TTAAATAGTAAACGATCGTTTTTAGCCTTTGACTCGTTAGAAAGCTAATGTTTTTAAGGATAAAACGATCGTTTTATGATTTAAGTTATTTTAGAATGTTTTTTAAGCAGAATAACGTTTTCTAGCTTAGGCTTAGACTCGTGTTGTAGTATTTGTTCTATTGAAACGATTTCAATGCGCTAATTTCCTTTCTTTAGGGTCAAATCTGTTGGCTCGTTCTGTGGCCACTGCTGCTCCACCTGCTCCCGAAAAGAAACCCGAGAAGACGTCGTTCGGAAATCTAAAAGACTCGGATCGAATCTTCACGAATCTTTATGGACGACACGATTATCGATTGAAAGGAGCAATGGCTCGGGTAGGTTTTTGGGAAAGCCGGTTGATAAAGTTATGGTTTAACGTGTTGGTTGGTTTGTAATTGTTTGAATAGTTTTTTAAAATGATAACAACAACGTAAGAACCATTTAGCTTAAATAACTCGTTATAAATTTAAGCAAAAGTAAAGTTTTTAACAGATTTGTTAACTTGTAGCTATCTTTGAAACTAAAGATTACTTTAGTAAGCTTAAAAGTTATAAAACCTAGCTCTAGATTTCTTCTTGGTGGCTTAAAATCTCTCGTTTTCCTCAAGATATTTAGGTATTAAGTGTTACGTAAAGATCATGAGAAAGTGTGTGTTTAGAAGGGCACAAAGTACGCACTGGTACTTTGGTCGTTGGGAGGGGCCACTTTTACCCTGGCTTAGTTGTATCTAATGTTTTGAGTGATTGTATTGATACCTTTCATCTATTCTAGGATAATCAAAAATGCTTAATAGATTGGTGAGCAAGTTTTTGACAATTCTAGCCTAATTCTCATGCACTTTAACCAACAAACGCTACCCCAAAGCTGCTTACACTTGAAAATCAAATAAAAGCAGCAATACAAAACTTGAAATATGTTTTAAATGCTCTAAGGATATTCTAGAGTGTTTTTTTAAGAAGAATAACGTGTTGTAGCTGAGGCTTAGACTCGTGTTTTAGCTGAGGCTTAGACTCGTGTTTTAGCTGAGGCTTAGGCTCGTGTTGTAGCATTTGTTCCATTGAATGCATTTAAATGCGCTAATTTCATTTCTTTAGGGTTAAATCTGTTGGCTCGTTCTGTGGCCATCACCGCTTTTTTGATTACTCAAGAATAGGTAGATAAAAGGTATCAATACAACCACGCAAAACATTAGATCCAATCAATAAAAGTGGCCCCTCCCAACGACCAAAGTACCTACGCACTTTTTCTATAGCCGTCATCAAATTCATATCTTCAACGTTTTCTAAAGGAAACGGGTTGGTCTTGATGGCCGTCGGAAATGATCATAAAGATTGTAAACATTAGAAAACTTCTAACAATAAGATGTTTATTCCTTTTAGGGTGATTGGTATAAGACGAAAGAAATCATGCTGAAGGGACCGGAATGGATTCTAAAAGAACTTTCAACGTCGGGTCTTCGTGGTCGTGGTGGTGCTGGTTTCCCATCTGGAATGAAATGGGGATTCATGAATAAACCTTTTGATGGAAGGTTGGCTTGTTTTTAAGTGAAGAAATCCTTTTTTTTTTAGACCCAAGTACTTGGTGGTGAATGCAGACGAGGGAGAGCCGGGAACGTGCAAAGATCGAGAGATTATGCGACACGATCCGCACAAACTCATTGAAGGGTTTGTTTATTTGGCAATCGGAGAAGCTTTAGTGCAATTGTTAGCTATTAGAAACGACTAGAATTCTATTAACATCTTGTCCTTTAGATGTTTGATCGGTGGATTGGCGATGGGTGCTCGCGCGGCCTACATCTACATTCGTGGAGAGTTCTACAACGAGGCGGTCATCCTGCAAGAGGCTATCAATGAGGCATACAAGGTATAACAATGACTTTTGAACTGTCAGCGCTGGCTGCAAGTCTAGAAAGCTTGTCGAGACGCTAGATCAAAACCAAAACCAGCTTCCCAACACAAAATTTGAAGCTCATGACAAATCTTTGATCTTAAATCGATTATTGGCAAGATTTAGACCTAGAACTTTCTATAATTCTATCATTCTATCAATTCTATCATATCAAATCCTATCAATTGCCAGAATTTAACCTCTTTTACCCTTTTGCCACAATTTCAATGCTTATTTTAGGCTGGATTCCTCGGGAAAGATTGCCTCGGCACTGGCTATCATTTTGATGTTTTCGTGCATCGAGGAGCCGGCGCCTACATTTGTGGAGAAGAGACAGTAAATTTAGAAAAGAAACGTAGAATTTTGACTTTTTTAGGCTCTCATCGAATCACTTGAAGGCAAACAAGGAAAGCCACGTCTGAAGCCGCCATTCCCCGCAGACATTGGTCTCTTTGGATGCCCAACAACGGTAAGGCGTTTGGTTGATTGTAGATTATTCAATTGCACATTTGAGATTTGTTCTTGTTTTTGCTTGTAAATTAATCAACTTCAAGAATTTCAAGAACTGCAACAATTTAGGTGACAAACGTCGAAACGGTGGCCGTGGCGCCGACGATTTGCCGTCGTGGTGGCTCCTGGTTTGCGGGATTCGGCCGAGAGCGCAATCGTGGAACAAAACTTTTCTGCATCTCTGGACAAGTCAACAACCCGTGCACAGTCGAGGAGGAGATGAGTGTTCCGCTTAAAGGTAAAGGATTTAGCGCTTACAAGTGGCTCTTTATCCATCGATTGCTTCATAATCGAGTTAGATGAAGAGTTAGACGTCGTTCACTTTATGAAAACTGTGTTATGAAAATTTATGGAGATTTCTTGAGAAACCTAGTAACAATTGACAACATAAATTGGGCTAAAAAGCACATGTAACATTTTCCAATTCAGATCTGATCGAACGACATTGTGGCGGAGTGATTGGTGGATGGGATAACCTGCTTGCGATCATCCCTGGTGGATCTTCTGTGCCACTCCTTCCCAAGTAAACAGTACTAAATCTCTAACTCAAGTTTTCGAGTCTTTAGACCAATTTGCGACACCGTTTTGATGGATTTCGATGCTCTGGTCGCTGTCCAATCGGGTCTTGGCACTGCCGCGGTGATTGTGATGAACAAACAGGTACTACAGACAGCTTTTAATCGATCGTCTACATCTGATTCAGGCTGATGTTGTCAAATGCATTGCTCGACTCTCGCTTTTCTATAAACATGAAAGCTGTGGACAATGCACACCGTGCAGAGAAGGGTGCTCTTGGTTGAATAAGGCGAGTTTTTAGGAAATTTACAATGGTTAGATGCTGAACTGGGGTATTTATGACCTCTAATAGGAGTTGGTTTGACTTGACCTGGAAAAATTGGGCCAGGAACAACCGTATTAAGGGCTAGGCTTGTCCGGAATTGTCATTAAAGTGGGAAATTGGACCTGAAACAACGCTGATCAGAACTGGGCTCGTTTGGAGCTGTTACTGAAGCATTTTTGCACACCAGGGCAAAGAGCGAACTCGATATCACATTATTGTTGAAACTTTTAGCTGTGGATAATTAAAGTTCTTTTAGATGATGTGGCGCTTCGTTGATGGACGTGCAAAACCATCGGAAATCGACATGATTTGGGAGTTGTCCAAACAAATCGAAGGACACACGATTTGCGCTCTCGGAGACGCGGCGGCTTGGCCTGTTCAGGTATAAATTTTTAAGCGGCTGAACTTGTAACTTGCAGTAGTATTCTTTCAGAATCAATGCCTTTACTAAAGTATGAAGGTTATTGCAATGATTATTAAGAAATCCCGCAATTCTTTCATTTCCAGGGCCTCATTCGTCACTTCCGTCCCGAGCTAGAGCGTCGAATGGCGCAATATCACGAGACGTTCATGGCCGAGAAAGGATTCAAACCCGAAGAGAGCAAGATTCTTAACGGAAAACATTAGACATTTCATTGCCTCAACATTTTATACTCGAATTACATTAAAGTTGATGAGAAATTCGACAAATTAGCGCTATTTCCTCGGATTTCTTATAGCCATTTTGTTCTAGTGTGAAAAGTTACTTGTTTTAAATTTCGTCATACGCTTTTTTGAGTCAGCTCATGTGTTATTTTTTCTTTTATTAATTTTGCATGGGTATCTATAAGTTTTCATAGGCGTAGATATTAAAAAAGACAAGTTTTTTAGATATTGGCTCTGATAAATTTCTTTTCTTTGTTAAGAAATCATATATTTTAGTTGTCTATTGTATGAGGAAGAGGTTTGTAAATAAATTTTGAGATTAAAATTTGCTGACTTGAAGTTTGTACATCTTTTAGACAGCTCTTTGAGCGTCTGTGAAAACTTGGAAACCGTAAAATAGTTATCAACTCGGCTCGGCGTCGTTCAGTACTATTAGGGAAAATTTACTAATCAAATCAATTGAAATGAGCGAATTCAGGAAAAATCGGCCATGATTAGGGCTATTTGAATGAGTATTGACTTTGAACTTTGAAGCTCCATAACTTTGTCCAGAGATTAGATTCTTGTCAACTTTTTATATAGATGGATAGAGGACACTTCGGGCTTTCAAATGATACCAAATAGAGCTTGATTGGATTAGCCAATCTTGAGAAAATCAAGAGACAAGTCGCTCGCTTTTGGTCGAGTTGGCATTTTCATAAGGGTCAGGTAGCTAAAAAAATGACTTGGTTACAGTAATCTTTAGTGTCAAAGTTGCTATAACTTTTGATTTGATGGATTTATTGAACGTTTAGTGACATTTTTCTCAACCAACAACTGTCTTTTCGAAGAAATTCCGTTGTACTCCTATTGACGAAATTTCTATGTCTCCAGATCACCGAATCGAGTTTTCTATAAAAAAAACGTTAACTGAAGATCGTGAAGCATTGCTTTAATGTATTGCTGAAATGTTTCGCTCAAGCAGAAACATTTTTCGTTTTGCGCAAAACGTTAAAAATGCGACTCGGAGGAATTTGGTGATTGGCTCGACCATTTTTGGCGCAACAACCATCTTAATGCTCAAGAAAAGCGATTTGCCGTTTTTTAATGAGGCGAAAATGTTATTGATGGAAGATGATAATGCGAAACATCAGGTGGGAAAAGAATTTGCTTTTTTCGAAAAGTTAAATAGCTCAAAAGCTACACTGACATCCAGTTTTGAGATTTGAGAAAGTTTGAAGCGAGGAAAAGTTTTCCGAAAGCAGACAGGGACAAGCTAAATCTTTGACGTGACATCCAGCTTGGGTTTTAGTGAGATTTCGAATAGCCTAAGCACTTCAAAGTCTAAGTTGACATCCAGCTTGAGATTTGAGAAAGTTTTAGCCGCGTAAAAATGCTCTATTTTGTTTTTGATTAGCCGAATTTCGAAAATGATATCCAATTTGAAAATTTGAAGTTTTTCAGGTGCACACAGATCACAAATTGACGAAAAGAGAGTTGCGCTTTCTGCAATTCGCATCAATCGAGTACGATGACGTGATTTATATGAGTCCAATGGATTTTATTGACTCGTTGACATTGGATCATCCAAGAGGTGGGCACAGGCTTTCGATATTTCGATATTTCGATATTTCCCCAATTTCGTTGCGTTGAATCTCTAAGTTGGATTCCAGTTTGAAAATTCCCAAATTATCGACTCTTTCTGATTTCGTAATCGATCAGAAAACGTTTGTAAAGTAATTTTGGTTTTATTTCGTTTTCTAGAAAGAGTTTATCGTCGAGTGTTGAAGGGAAATGATTTACAAGGAATGCTAAAGAAAACACCGCCATTTCGAAAAGGAAACAAGGATTTATTCCGAAAATTGGATCAAGGAGGGATCATTTCATACGCTGAATATATATTCTTGCTTACATTATTGACAAGTAAGTGAAACTTTTGGCTTTGTCTTCGTTATCTCCCCTTGGACTCCCCTTGGACCTCTCTCCCTTATCTTTCATATTTCTTCTTGCTAAACGAAAGCGCTAATAGCTCAGTGGGTAGAGCAGCTGGCTGGTAAGTGATTCCCTGATAGGCCCTCTCTCCCTTATCCTCTTGGCCCTTGGCGATCCCTTTGGCCCTCCCTCCCTTATCTCTCATATTTCTTCTTGTTAAACGAAAGCCTCAATAGCTCAGTGGTTAGAGCATCTGGTTGATAAGCGATTCTCTGGTAGGGTCGAGGGTTCGACTCCCTTGCCCCCTTATCTTTCATATTTCTTCTTACCAAACGAAACCACCAATAGCTCAGTGGCTAGAGCAGCTGTTTGGTAAGCGCCAATAGCTCAGTATTCCCTGATAGGGTCGAGGGTTCGACTCCCCTTGGCCCTCTCCCCTTATCTTTCATATTTCTTCTCGCCAAGCGAAAGCACCAATAGCTCAGTGGGTAGAGCATCTGGTTGATAAGCGATTCTCTGATAGGGTCGAGGGTTCAACTCCCTCCCGAACTTTTGATGGTTGTTTTTTTGACTGTTGAATGGCTAACTAACTAGACTAGCTGCCTAAAGCCACTAGAAAAAGTCCAGATCTTCCAGATCTTAACTTACAACTTCTAGAATCACGTTCTTCTTTCAAAATCGCTTTTATGATGTTTGATGAGGATGACAGTGGATTTGTAGATCGAGACGAGTTTTTATTGGTTTGCCAAGCATTTATTAGCATTTCCCTTGAGAAATCGATCTTTTGAAAGGGTGCACTGTAGAAAAAGCTATTTAAAATAACCATTAGACGCATAAAAATGCATCAAATAGCTTATTTGTTAGATAAAAAAATCGTGTTTGTCACTGGGGAAATGGTCAAAAATTTTTCTACTTTACTTTGTACTCAAGTTAAACGCTTGCTTTCTAGTGCACAGTGCTTTCTAGTGCTTTCTAGTGCTTTCCAGTGTGCCAGATTGTGAGCGTTTATCTGTTTAAATCGATTTTTGTCTATTTCCCTAAATAGAGTCTTCCGAGTGTAGTGCCTTTTTTTTGCAGATTAGAAGTTTAACCTCATCGCTTCGATCAACGAGATCACATTCGCTGTCAAGAGATGATGTAAGTGATTGATTTGTGAATGGAATCGCATTGGAAAGAGTTTAGAGCAAAAGATCGACTTGTTAAATAGTGACCTAACTACCGTACCCCTTCAGCTAAAATGTTTAGCTAGACTCAAATTCGCTACCTCATTCGCTATCGTGACATCCAGTTTGAGTTTTGCGAAAGTTTTGAACACGATTGTCTTCTTAGAAAAAAAGATATTTGAGGGGTTGGGTTAAAGTGGAGTTTTTACTTAAAAATCTGGTAACTTACTTACTCTAATGCACTCCAGAAGACCTCTAGAAGACCTCTAGAAGACAAGAAGACTTCAGAAAGCTCGAGAAAAAGACTAGTTCAATTATCTGTCTCTTTCTGGACTCACTAGAAGAAAATCGAAGTTTTTGAGCAAAGCTAACAATTGGGTAATTGATTGAAGCTTCTAAGGAAGACAAAAGGGCGACTAATCGCTTTCGTGTATGCCAGAAGGGATGTGTTTCGATTTAGAGAGCATATAGTACACAAGGAGATCTAGAATTTCGCCCAATCTCTTTCCAATCTGATTCGAATTCAATTCCAATCTCATTTTCTTCTCTCAGCTCTAACCCACACAAAATAATCACCTCTTCGTCTTTATTTTCTTTTCAGTCATGTCAATTGGATCCATCAGATTTCAATTTTGTCGTGAATCGTTTAAGTACAAAACTTTTCGCTGGAACCGACGCTTATACTATCGTCTTTCAAGTGAGCTTTTGTGGAGATGAAAAATGACTCTTTCTGGTGGGATTCGTACAATTGTTGGTGGGATTCTTTGAGACAATGTCCCGGAGACGATAGCCTTGATGCACAGAAGGCTAGATACAGTACTCTTTATGCCCTCCATACAGTACTCTTTACGCCCCTGATACAGTAAACAGTACCATTGACTAGCCAGTGCAGTACTCGCTGCTACCCTCGATACTTTTTACAGCCTTTTGCAACACCTATAGCAGTGCTATACGGTGCATATTCGGTGTCCTAGACACAGTATTCTATAGCTTTACATCTGCTCCAGCATTACGGTAGCTTCTTTTCACTATGGGTTACGGTATCTGACTAGAGATCTGCTGTATCTAGTCTCTAGAGATTACTGTATCGATCCCGGCAATCTATGCCCGAATTTTCGTGAAGTAATTGGTATCTGATCGTGCACACACCATTCCCCCCACCATTCATTGTCATGTTTTCCTCGAATTTCAGTTCTTTTCAGTTTCCCCAGCATGTTATTTGCATGGCTTTTTAAAGAGTTTCCCGGAATTTCTATTCTAATTTCTGCTTTTGTAAAAGCTTTACGGTAGACTTGACTAATATGGTCGTAAATTTTGACGTAAACTTGCCATCTGGCGCACTAAAGACCATTTTTAGAAGAAGATTTAGTGCGCTAGATGATGAAAGTTTACGAAAAAGAGTTCAGTCCAGTGAAATTTGCGTTCTTTGAGTGTTCGCTTAAACTTTCCCCACCTGGCGCACTGAAATCTATTTGTGGATGTGCACTAGATGGTGAAAGTCTACGAAAAAAAGAGTTCAGTCCAGTGAAATTTGCGTTCTTTGACTGTTCACGTAAACTTTCCCCATCTGGCGCACTGAAATCCATTTGTGGAAGTGGACTAGATGGTGAAAGTTTACGAAAAAAAAAAGAGTTCAGTCCAGTGAAATTTGCGTTCTTTGAGTGTTCTTTTTCGTAAACTTTCGCTATCTGGCGCATGGAAACCCACTTCTTGGGAGAGATCCCGTGTGCCAGATGACGAAAGTTTACGAAAACATTCAGAGTACGCACAAACTTTCGCCATTTAGCGCATGGAAACCCACTTCTTTGGAGAGATCCCGTGTGCCAGATGACGAAAGTTTACGAAAACATTCCGAGTACGCACATCTAGTGCACTAATTCAAATGAATTTCAAGTGCACTAGATGCTGAAAGTTTGCAAAAACGATTATTAGCCAAGTCAACTTTGTTTTGTTCGAAAAAAAAGTCCAAATTTCTTCATTTCCAGTGCACCAAATGCTGCGCGTTTCCCTGAAAATCTCTCTTTTTTCCAAAAGCTAAAATGCACCCTTTCAAATGAATGAATTTCTCTATAACCTCCGTGTGCTCCAGATCGAAAGATTCTCTTTTAAAAAGTGACAATTATTCGGGGAAACTACCGTTATTTTGACTTGCAAAAAGTTCGAGCAAAATTACAGTAATTTCCATGAAAAGTCAGGAAATTTTCGAAAAGAATTGCTCAATCTGGAGGGCACTAGATGGATTACAATCGTTTTCTTCTTCTCTTTATCTATTTTGGATGGTGTGTCCACTTTCAGGTGTCAAATCTCTTCTCCAATCGCATCTCGAGTCTCTCCGAGAAGCGTCTCAGTCTAAAAAAAGCTGTTAACCGTGAAAATTGGCTCACTGTAATCGTTTCACATTTAGAAAACGGATACCGAAGTGAAAAAGCAGGACACAACGCTTCTATTGCACTTGTTTGGCTTAAGTGGACGGGATATGCTATCATTTGATCAATTTCAAACGTAAGAATGGCTTTTTTGAAAGTAAATAAATGAATTCTGGATTTCACAGGACTATTTAAACATATAGTTTTCAGTTTTTGCGCAAATTTGCAAGAAGAGTTGATGGAGATTGAGTTTCACGAGTTCTCAAGGGGGAAAGAGGCTATTTCACCGCTGGATTTCGCGAGGTTAATCTTGAGGTTGGTGCAGGGGTTTGTAAGGGATGGGTTAGTGTAGTTTTATTGTAGATATCGTAGATATCGTAGATTTCTTAAAGTTCGACTGAGCATAGGACACCTATCTGTCAGTGTTTGGGGTGGGTCTTGTCTTGTCTAGGTTACAGACCGCTAGATCGGTTACAGACGGAACTAGATCGTCGATAATCATGGTACTTTGCCTGTAACCAGTGACCGGCTTCAGTAGCCAGCCAGTAGCCAGCCAGTAGCCAGCCAGTAGCCAGCCCGTAGCCAGCCAGTAGCCAGCCAGTAGCCAGCCACTAGCCAGCAGTAGCCAGCCAGTAGCCAGCCAGTAGCCAGCCACTAGCCAGCAGTAGCCAGCCAGTAGCCAGCCTGTAACCAGCCTCTGCTGAATGAGCTGAAGCCATTAATTCAGCCTCAGCTAATGAGAATCCTGATGAAGGGATCTTCACTAAGAACATGACGGGATTTCTAAATCCCGTTCTAAATCCCGTTGATCCATTCACTAATCCATAAGCCCAAATTGCTTAGGCTCTCTTTCCAGAAGAGTTAGCAGTTGAATTACAATAAAATACAATACAATCAAAATTTGCATACATTTGGGAAATCGTAGGCTTTGGCTTTGGCTTTGGATTCCACATTTAACGAACACCCAGAAATGGCATTTCAGAAATCAGTGCCGCTCATCTTTCTCGAGAGAGTAAATCTTTTTTATCCTCTATTGTGACAAGGGAATTAATGAATTCTAACTTTCAACTTTTGAAGAATCGGTTGCTAAGCGGGAAGCCAGGGCCTGAGCCTAAGCCTAAGCTTGAGCCAATGTTTATGAGAAGATGCTCTCAATGTTCTGAGATTGACTGGGAACCAATTTTTAGGTCGCTGTTAGGCTTAGGCTTGGGCTTGGACTTAGGCTTGGGATTAGGCTTGGGATTAGACTTAGACTTGGGATTAAGCTTGGACTTAGGCTTAGGCTTAGGCTTAGGCTCAGGCTTAGGCTTAGGCTTAGGCTTGGGCTTAGGCTTAGGCTTAGGCTTGGGCTTAGGCTTAGGCTTGGACTTAGGCTTAGGCTTAGGCTTGGGCTTAGGCTTACACTTAGGCTGAGGCTTGGGCTTAGGCTTGGGCTTAGGCTTGGACTTAGGCTTGGGCTTAGACTTAAGCATTAGAGGCTTAGACTTAAACATAACTTAGAGGCAAAGTTAGAATGCTTTCAGGGTCAGGGTTACGGTAGTGCTTCTAGATTACCTTTTAGATACACGATCGTGCATGAGAATGACTACTCAAAGTATATCAATCGAGTACAACATCGTTTAACGCATGAGGATAAAGTCGGGGAATAATTTATGAAATTCCTAGTCACCTTCGGAAATTCTAGGGTATAACGATGGAACATTGGCGAAAATTCTCGTACTTTTTAAATAATTTGGAAGATTTCGCGACGGCCGTTCGATTGTATACGAATGCGAATATGCCAGTGACGGCAAAAGAATTCGAGAGAGCTGTGAGAAGTACAACTGGATTGGTGAGACTCAAAATTGATCAGAAACAATTAGCAAGGAATTAAACCTTGCAGAAGGTTGTGTGACTTCCAGCTTGCTTAAAAAGATTTCTAAATTCGTTCTAGTGTATTGGGGCGTTGTGCTAGATAGCCAAAATTTTAGCATCATTCAAATCTTTCAGCAATTGGATGAAGAGGTGATTGACATGTTGTACAAGATCTTTGACGCAAATATTGATGGCTTTTTAACGTATGGAGAGTTTCTGTCAGTGATGAACGATCGATTGCATCGAGGGTTGAGAGTGAGTGGAAAAGATGAAGATTCAGAGACGAAAAAAAAAGATAAATTATTTTGAACGCTTGGAAAAGCTTGGAAAAGGCTTTGTGCGTTCCAGATGGCTTAAAAGCTCAAAAACCAATGGGCAGAGTGAAATCCCAGCGTTACAGGGTCGAGTGGACAAGCACTGGGGCTGGAAACAGATGAAGAGCTGTGTGGCGGCCGAGGTGGGAAGGAAATGAAAAAAGAATTCGAAAAACTCGCGTTAGTGCGTCTTTTTGTACATAGAAATGCTTGAAATCTTGCTTTTTTTGGAAAATTTCGCTCTGTGATTTGATAGAAAGAGATCTGATATTTTAAATTTAAATTTAACCCTAAAATTTGCATACCAAAGATTTTTTTTGCTTCTTTTAATATAAATATGTTTGAAAATGTTTGAAAACAGTCGGAAATCATAAAAACAGACAAAAAGACGTAAAAAAATTGAAAAACTCGGTCATTAGAATCAAGCTAGATGTCAGTGTAGACTATGGACTTTGGACTGCTTACTTTCAACTTTAGAAAGTTTTTATAAACACGAAACTACAGCAAAGCCTAAGCTGGATGTCAGAATAGAATTTGGAGTGGTTAGATTTTCAAAATCTTGTCGAAATCCAAACTGAGAGTCAGTAGGTCTAAAGCTGGGGGTTTAAAATCAGTTCTAGATAATTATTGCAAGATTTAAACTGTTGCAAGTCTCAAGCTGGATGTCAGAATAGAATTTGGAGTGTTTAGATTTTCAAAATCTCACCAAAATCCACACTGGAAGTTAGCTCAGGTTTAAAGCTGGGGGTTTAAAATCAACTTTAGACAATTATTGCAAGATTTAAACTGTTGCAAGTCTCAAGCTGGATGTCAGAATAGAATTTGGACGCTTTTGCGGAAAGATTGTTCGAATCTTTATTTGTCTGGCATAAGCTTGTTTCCAAATCTCAGCGAACATGGCAGCGCTGTGAAAACGATAGAAAATTGTTAACGGAGTGAAGCTGCGGACAAGGGAAACCCATTTACAACGAAGGCCATGGAAATCTAAAGGTTTTTGTACTCCTTTCTTGCAATTCTTAGAGAAATTCAGAGAAATCTGTTTTTAGTACTTGCTAATGATAAAATCGGCTACTCCAGCAGCTTCTAATTCAAGCAAATCAATCAAAAAGATTGTTTTTACTTGAATTAGATTAGCATATTAGCAGAAGAGTAACAATTTGTCGATCGGGTTGCTTGTGAAAGCTTGAATTCTCGTGGATTTGTAGAAGGGAAAAGCTTGGATAGATATCTAAACATTGAAATCGCAACAACTCTTTATCCCAGCTGCAAAATGCTGCAAAATCCTTATCAAATGCACGGCCAACAGCACAGATGTCATCGATTGATCCCTGTTTGATTTCCGATTGATAGCCATTGATTGAAGCCTAAGCCTAAGCCTAAGCCTAAGCTTAAGCCTAAGCCTAAGCCTAAGCCTAAGCCCTAAGCTCAGCAACTAATCCAAGACAGAGAAGGATTTGATCGAGAGAAGCTGCTGAAAAGTGAATTGACTTGACTCACTTTGATTCACTATTTGAACCATTGACTTTCTGTTTGAGACAATAATCTTTACAAATTCAACACTAGAAAGAAAACTAGCGATCCGGAAGCTTTAATTTCAGTATTCTGGTATTTCATCACAGGAAAATCAACTCGCTGAGCCAAATTCTATGCAATCTACACCATCCAACACAAAATTTTCTGCTGATTCCGAATATATATTCCGTTTTTTCTAGATGATAATCTGTCAAGAGTTTCAAGCGTCTAAAGTTTGCCTAGAAAAATGTGGTTATTTAGATCTTAGCGTGGTCTTAATGGCCTTTTTGGTGGTCTCGGTTTGCTGCAGTTATGGCCGAGTGGTAGAGCGCTCGTTTTCAAAGCGAGGCCTCATGAGTTCGATCCCGACTGGGGTTTTTCTTTTCCTTTTTTTGACTAATGTTATTTGGGTCTATGCGCAACACTTACCTATAAATCCAAGCCTCAAAAGAGACTCCCAACCGCGCGAGTCGTATAGAGAACATTTGAGAATTGAATTGAAGCCAAATCAGGGAATTGTACTGGTGAATTCTAAGAAGTTTGCCAGGAAGAGGTCAGTGACCTTCCAAACGAGACCAGGTGAAGCCAGAGCTGGGTCCTTGCTAATAGGGACGCTTTATTTGTGCACGAATATTCTTTTCTCACTTTTTAATCGAATTCTGATGGTTCTGTAGTCCCCTTCACCCATTAAACTCATCAATTTCCTTCTCTAACCGTTTTTTGGCTTTAAGTGAACAGAACTTTACGATGATCTTTATGAAATAAGCGTTTTGGAAGGCACAGAGAGTATTAAAGTTTAAATAGAAGTATAAATTACAATTCTAAATAAATTTGTTGTTTTTCATTTTCAAATTTCAAAAACTTTATTTTCTTTCAAAAAAAAATGATCACATTTCGAAAATAAAAAAAGAAAATAAAGCATTTCAATGAATTCCACGAGGTCAGAATACCCATAATTTTGAAATGAAATAAAAATCGTTCAATCTTTCCTCGCATACACATTTTTCCAGATCTCTGCTAGACAAACGGAGCTATGAAAACGGTAGAAAATTGTTAGCGGTGAGAAGCTTCGAACCAAGAAAACCCATGATCGTTTTCCGTAAAAATCTGAACGTTTTACGAATGTTTTTATCGTTTTTCCTTTCATTTTGAAGAAATGCAAAAAAAATTCTCCCCGGCCGGGAATTGAACCCGGGTCTCGCATGTGACAGACGCGGATACTAACCACTATACTACCGAGGAAGCGAGAGAGGGATGGTGAGAGGGCTTTTTCAGGGGAAAGGGGCGGGTTTCTTTTGACGAAAAGAGATGCAGAGATTTTTTCGTTTTTTTCAGCTTTCAGCTTAAGTATTCTTTTTAAATGCGAATTTTTTAAATGTTAATTTTTTAAATGCTAATTTTTTAAATGCTAATTTTTTAAATGCTAATTTTTTGAATGCTAATTTTTTGAATGCTAATTTTTTGAATGCTAACTTTTAAAAGCAAATTTTTACCGTATTTCTTCGAATAGAAGACCGCGTAAAGAGTATGATCGCGTACACCTGCGTAGCAGCCCTTAAAATTTCTTTTCTGCATAAAAGCTTTCAATCAAGTGCTATAGAGCTGGAAAATGGCTCAAAAATCTGTTAGCTCATGTGGTATTTTACAGTTACCAAAGTTTCAGACGTCATGAACCAAGCGAGCGATGATGCGAGCGGCATGATGGACTCCTCGATGGCATCCACCTCTTTCACCCCATCATCACAGCCCTCTATCAGATCCCCGCAACCACCACAGCCAACCATCGATGGATTAGAAGGATTGACTGAAGCTGTTAGCTCATGTCGTATTTTTGAGTCATTTTCCAGCCCTATAGCACTTCATTGAAAGCTTTTATGCGGAAAAGAAATTTTAAAAAGGGCTGCTACGCAGGAGTACGCGATCATACTCTTTACCCGGTCTTACGATACGCTAAATGCTAATTTTTAAGTGCTAATTCTTAAATGCTAATTTTTAAATGCTAATTTTTGAAATAAATCCTTTAAATGAACGTTCAGTGACATCCAGTTTATGCAAAAATCAACGAACTTACCAGTGATAATATCTGAAACACCGGCTTTCTCCGATTCGAAAAGATTCATCAAGAATAAAGCCAAATTGGCGACAAGGAGAAAAGTGACGGCTTGTTTACCGGGTTGAGAAACCCGATCGGCTCCAGAAACTCGTACCCGACCAGCCATATACAAAAGAAACGTTTGCAAGCCGACCTGGAAGCAAAAAATGTTGAAAAAACGACAAATGTAAAGTTTAAACGCTTGTAACTTTGTTTAAATCTATTGGATTAAGGTGTGGGATAGCTTAAAAGAAAGAGAATTTGAAGGGCTTTCGAATGAATGAAAGAAAATGAAAAATGATCAACTCTATCAAAAGTTATAATGGTTTATAGCTTTATAGCTTAGAATAGATATTTAATGTTTTTAAATAAACAAACAAATAAACAATAAAAGACAACATTTTGAACCTACCAAATTCATCTTTAAGTCTAAAAATAGGTTTTTAAAGTTGAATAAAGTTTTTAAACTTTTTGTGTGCCAAGGAATACCTGTAATATTCGACAAATGTGAACGACAAGCAAAACAAAAGCCAAAGCGACCCAATGACGATCACCTAGAAGGATTACGGTAGCTAATTGATCAGTAGAGACAGCTCTGTTACCTGTTAACCCGACTAGACCAGCCACTGAGTAGATCAACTCCCCGACAAGGCCAAGACTTAACAGGATTTGATCCAGTAGCTCCTGAAATTTGGAAATCGAATGCCCAGCTGGCTTTGTGAGAACGCAAAGCACCCAGTTCACTCACCGTATGCGCTTTGTCACTTTTGTTACTTTCTTTCTCGACATTACTGTAGTATTGCAATTTTCGCATCTGATAGATCGCAATCCCGCAACCGATCGATGAAAAGATGTACTGGAAAATAAAAGCTGGAAGGCACAAGAGATTTTGAAAAGCTTTTTAAATCCCAAAAACCGTTTTACCAAAACTAGCTAACACCGGTTTGATCCAAATGACTTAAATGACTCAAAAACGTTCGCTGAAGCTGGTTTTCGATTTTAAAACGGTGATCTGGAAGTCACACGACAGAAGGGCAGAATTGAAATTGTAAAATAGCTGACTTGGATAATGTCGGTGATTGCATAGACATAAGCAGCTTTTTTCTTTTCATTCATTGATGAAAGACCATAGTAAACGACCATTGAAGTGAATGAAGTGGCCAGGAAAGCCAAACCGAGGAAAAGGCCTAGAATTGGAGTCTAGAATTGTCTAAAAAGTTACAGTAGTCTAAACCTGTCGTCGTTTTACTGCAATCGACTCGAATTTGATGTTTTCTCTTCACATATTGACCGGATGAGTTGTAATGGCGACCAATGTTACGCCAAACTGAAGATTTCACAGTTTAAAGTACGGTATGGTATGGTAAGGGATAGGGTACTATAGTTGTCTTTGGAAAGGGTTACTGTAACTGTCTTAGAAGGATTACTGTAGATGACTTTCTCAGAATGCTGAAAAACTCGGATTTTTTGGCACTGGATTATAGTGTGACATCCAGATTGATCACAGCGTAATGGAAATCACGTTTTAGATAGAGGATTACTGTAGCTGTCTTAGGTGAAGGATTACTGTAGCTGACTTCCCCAGAATGCTAAAAACCCGGATTTTTTGGCACTGGATTACGGTGTGACATCCAGATTTCACAATACTTTAAAATTCAATCACCAATGAACATCACAGCCGCGCCAATCAACGAGTACTCGACAATCGCTGTGTACATCACCTCAGAGAGTGAACCTGAAAAAGAAATTGATTTACTGAATGGGTTAGAAACAAAGCAAAAGCTTTACCGTTTTCCCAGATCTTTCCTGAAATTAGAAGAAGTAAGATTACGGTAATTTGGGTGAAATTTTAGAAAAGAGACTTTTTTTTGACTTAAACTTGCCTAAAATACATTCAGCTGCCCGACATTTGTCCGTATCATAATTCGCGATTAAAGTGTTCAAAAGGATTTTCCCTGGCTTCCCGTGATGTTCCTCTTCTTCGGCTGAGCTCGTCTTGTTCCCAAGTTTCTTGTTTTTAAAGGTTTCGCTGAAATTCGAAAGCTGAATTCCTGTTTTAATCTTTTTTTCATCAATCCTGGATGTCACTTAAGAGATTAAAAGCTTAAATTCAACTAGTTTTTTGCCTTTTTAACAATCTCGAATCTCGTTACGGAGTTTGACTCATTTAAACTACAGCTATTACTTAAAATAACTTTTTATTGATTATTTTGTTAATCCTGGATGTCACTTGAGAGTTTAAAAGCTTAAATTTAATTAGTTTTAGCCTTTCTAACAATCTCGAATCTCGCTACGGAGTTTGACTCATTTAAACTACAGCTTTTACTTCAAATAACTTTTTATCAATTATTTTGTAAATCCTGGATGTCACTTGAGAGATTAAACGCTTAAATTTGCCTAGTTTTAGCCTTTCTAACAATCTTGAATCTCGCTACGGAGTTTGACTCATTTAAACTACAGCTTTTACTTCAAATAACTTTTTATTGATTATTTTGTTAATCCTGGATGTCACTTAAGAGATTAAAGGCTTAAAAAAAGAGTTTTTATCAATTTGGATTCTTCAATCTGGATGCCAGTAGTTTGAACCTATTAAACTCTTAAATTTCAATAATTTTTTACTTTCGAGTTTTTTACAGTCAATCCTGGATGTCACACTACAACCTACCGTATTTCTTTTTCCATCACTCCCTCTTCCATCAATATATACCGTACCCAAGTCCAGAGATTAGCAGCTAAATTTTTCAGATTCAATGATGCCAATGATGCTGATACCAATAAGATGCATTGTGCCAAGTCTAGCAATTGTATGAGATCCAGAAATTGATAGCTGGAATGGAATGATAGCTTTTAAAAGGCTTTAAGCTTTTGAAAGCTTTTTAAAACAACCTTCGAATTGCAAAAGATGAAATGCATTTGAATAAAGATGAAAATAATTGCACAAATATCCAACGAAGCTTGCAAACGAGAGCATGAAGAATCGGAGGAGAGGCAAAGGAAGACGAGGAACGAGTTGAACACAAGCCCGATCACACCGAAAGCTGAAAGTTCAGGTTGAAAGTAGGAGGACGACGAGGACAGGCAGGAGGACGACTTGGGGTACGGTAAAGACAGTCTACAGTATCCCAAGGTGAGTTTAGACTCGTTTAATTGGATGTAAAGCCAGTCGACAGTACCCCAAGGCCAATTTAGACTCGTTTAGTTGCATGTAAAGCCAGTCTACAGTACCCCAGGGTCAGTTTGGACTCGTTTATTGTATGTAAAGGCAGCCTACAGTATCCAAAGGTCAGCTTTGACTCGTTTAATTGCATGTAAACCAGTCTACAGTATCCCGAAGCCAGTCTAGACTTGTTTAATTGCATCTAAAGCCAGTCTATAGTACCAGACCAGTTTGGGCTTAACTGTAAAGCCAGTCTACAGTACCCCGAAACCAGTTTATCCAAGTTTATGCAAATCCCGAACTCTCACCTACACAACCGAGCCTCAAAAAGAGACTCCCAGCTGAGGGTGATGTGTGAGAGACCATTCGAATTGTGGCCGCTTCCGAATTTGCTGATGATGTGGAAGAAGACTCGCCACTGTCAGCTGTCTTCTTCAACCCAAACAAACGCTGAAAATCTTCCTTGTGATTTCCAACTAAGAGATTTAAGCTTTCAAATGTTCACCTTTATCCCACCAATCGAGGAAAACCATCGAGGATTCAATAAAAGCACGGAATACATATAAATAAAGAAGATGATCCCACAACCGTACATGTACAAGCCAAAGATCTGAACTCGGAGAGGGTTAGGGAGATCTTAGATAGATCTTAGATGTGCGCCAGTGTGCTAGAAAGGGTACTAAGGCTAGCTACCGTAGGCTACAGTATCCCGTAGACACTGTAGCCGATTCAAACCAACCCAATCTTTCGGATTCATCTTTCTCTCCTCATCACCCGATAGCAAATGTGATAGCTCGAGAACGAGAGCGAAAATCGTGATAAATAGGCAATAAAAAGCGGTGAGTGCTGTCATCATTGAGGATCTAAAATGATTCTAAGCTAAGCAACATAAATTTCTAACTTTCAACTGAATTTTTAACAATCCTGGATATCACAGTGAGTTTTGGTTTTATTAAAACTTGTCTTATAACAAAAATTGAGCTTACCTTTAGCTTCAAATCTTCTCGAAGCAATATCTTTTTTTTAAATAATCAGAATTTTATAAAACTTTAGCTATTTCTTAGTTGGATATCACACTTTAATTTGTGAGAATTAGATTTGATTTATTTGCAATATGTAGTAAAGTACCGTACTCCCCTGGTTACCGTACTCCCTGGCTACCGTAATCCGTCTACTGTCTGTCTGTCCACCGAGATTTCATTCTCTTTCAAACCCACTTAGCTTCCTTATTGTTGATCCACCGGGTTTCACTGGGCGAGTGATCCCATGGGGGTTCCTCTAGCTGAGAAGACGCTTGTTCCGAGTTCGCCGCGCGTAAGCCCGGATTTTCCTGAAAACTTTGCAAAAATGAAAACTTTTCTGTCAACTATGGAGCTCACACGAGTGTTTCGTTGCTGTTTTTTGATTGTAAAACGCTTTTCAAAAAATTTCTTTCTTTTTTCTGTTTGTTCACGCATAAAAGCCTTTAAAAAGTGTCATTTTTCTCAATTTTCCCATTTTGTTGTTATTTATCTTTACAAAAGATATTCAGTTTAACAGCAAACACACAAAAATTCTCTTTAAACAGAGATTTTTTTGTAAATTTTCCCGAACAGAGTCAATTTTTGAGGTAAAAAAAAGAAAAATAGAAAAATCTTATTTGAAAATGAGTTTTTCTCGCATTTTTCTCAGATAAGATTACTGTAAAATGAGACAGACAACTGTTTTTTGTCGTTTTTACATCAAAAACTCCTTCAATCTTCAAAAATTAGCTTTTTATAGGCTCAAAAAACAAACATTTGTCGGCTGGGAGTTTTTTGGTGGATTTTTAACGGCTTGATGATGCTTTTTAATGTTTTTTTGGGCAAACTGGAAGTCACTAGAAAGATTAAGAATATTTCTGAGACACTGAGAAGATTAAAACTATTTTTGAGTCACTGGGAATGATCGAGATCCAAGCCTAAGCCTAAGCCTAAGCACAAAGGGCATCCAAAAACCGATTTAACCATTTCAAATTATAGTGTGACATCCAGATCAGCCAAATTTAAAAAGATTACAGAAAGTTGTTGCTGAAAAAGTAGATTTCTGACCGGGATCTGATTTGACTTAAAATATGGTCGAATTAGAACAAAAAAAAACAAAATCCAAACAAAATCTTTTTCCAAATCCTTTCCCCACCTCATTCTCGAGATCCTTGAAGCGCGGGGGTGGGTCCATCGATAAATTGGCGGCTTCAACAGACTCCTCCTCGTCAGTGTGCTTACTGAATATCGATAAAAATTATTAGCCAACTTAGGTAGTCTAAAAGTAGTCTGAAAGTCGTCTAAAAGTAGTCTTAAGTAGTCTAATACCAAAGCCAATACCATTCCTGGATGTCATTTAAGAGTCTAAAAGCTTAAATTTGCCTAGTTTTTGGCCTTTTTAGCAATTTCTGATCTCACGAAGGAGTTTGACTCATTTAAACTAGAGCTTTTACTTTAAATAACTTTTTATTGATTATTTTGTAAATCCTGGATGTCACTTAAGAGTATAAAAGCTTAAATTTGCCTAGTTTTTGCCTTTTTAACAATCTCGAATCTCGCTACGGAGTTTGACTCATTTAAACTACAGCTATTACTTCAAATAACTTTTTATTGCTTATTTTGTAAATCCTGGATGTCACTTGAGAGTTTAAAGGCTTAAATTTAACTAGTTTTAGCCTTTCTAACAATCTCTGATCTCACGAAGGAGTTTGACTCATTTAAACTAGAGCTTTTACTTTAAATAACTTTTTAACAATTATTTTGTAAATCCTGGATGTCACTTAAGAGTTTAAAAGCTTAAAAAGAGAGATTTCTTCAATTTGGATTCATCAATCTGGCTAGTGAAGAGTTTGAATCAATTAAACTCATTAAAATTCACTATCTAATTCACTTTCTACTTTTTTACAGTCAATCCTGGAAGTCACTTTTGTTAATAAAGTTAATATAATCTAAAAATTAACGCTTTACTAGTTTTTCACTTGTTTTACTGATTTCTTACCGAAAAATCGAAGAATTGACCCAACTCTTTGTGAGTTTTTTCCTCGTTTTCTCCAAATCTCTTTCCTCAATCTGCCGACTTGATAAACGGTTGGCTTTTGCTGAAATTTGCATCCAAATTGGACTCCAAATTTGGATTCAAATCTAAAGCAATTTCCATTTAAAGTCATATTAAAAAAAGGCTCAAATTGCGAAATCATTTTTCGATCAAAATACGAAACTCAAACGTTTTTCCATGACAATTTTCTCCTATTATTTGTTTTCCTTGAAACTTTTGATTCATTATATTTTGACGGGGACCCCTAGGCTTCATTTCAAAATAACGATAAGCCTAAAATCTAGAAAATATCAAATTTTTTTTCTTATTTACCTAGCGTGACATCCAGCTTTGAAGAATTGATTGTTAGAATTGGATAAATGCAAATCTCTGCTCACTTAGAGGCGTCTACAGGCTCAAGCTACAGACAGCATCCTTAAACCCCATGAAATACCCCATTTTTTCATCTCTTTAGCTAACGTGACATCCAGCTTTGAAGAATTGATGGTTAGAATTGGATAAATGCAAATCTCTGCTTACCCAGAGACGTCTACAGGCTCAAGCTACAGACAACATCCTTAAACCTTATGAAATACCCCCATTTTTTCAACTCTTTAGCTAACGTGACATCCAGCTTTGAAGAATTAACCGTTGGAATTGGATAAATGCAAATCTCTGCTCACTTAGAGGCGTGTACAGTGAAGTTACAGACAGCATCCTTAAATCCCATGAAACCCCTCAATTTTTTCATCTCTTTAGCTAACGTGACATCCATAATCAAAGAATTAACTAGAAAAATCTGATTTCACAATTGGGAAATTAAAGATTTTTGCTTGATCCCATTCCTGAAGGACTCAACCCCAAAATTCGTTGTTACCCCGCAAAATTTTTGCTTCATTTTCCACTGTGCCCACCAGCTTAGAAGGATCTTAAAGAATTTTTGCGTGTTTCGTTTAAAAACATTATTTCGATGTTGAGATAAAATCAACTCACGTTTAAAAGGTCCACTTTGGGAAAAAAAGCGTCGAATCGTGTTGGGACGGGTTTCTGAAAGAAAATTTTTAGACATTAGCAAAGATCAACTAAAAAAAATCTGTCACTTTACAAGTTTTTTAGAGAATTTTTGCGATTTCAAGACTTTGAAAGGAAATGTTCGCTTCGAATTGGAATTTTAGCGAAAAAAAGTGAAAATTCGGTCAATCTGGGACGCACAAAATCACTTTTTAAAAGTTTTTTGTTGATCTTTTGAAAAAAATTTGTAAACACTTTGAAAATCAGAGAACTACGGTATTTTTTGGGGAATTTCAAAGTAAAGGTGAAAATTAATAGTGTCAATGTGCTATCTGGAACGCACAAAATCTGTAAACACATTGATTCTAGCGCATTCGACTCTTATTGAAATCCGGTTTAATTACGCAGATGGCTGAAAATCATTGAAAATAAAAATCATTGAAAAAACCGATTTAATAATTTTAACTTACAGTGTGACATCCAGATCAAACAAATTTAAAAAGATTAGAAAAGGTTTTTCACTGAAAAAGTGGATTTATATCGCAGAGTTGATTCCACAGAGTTTCGAATAAGGTAATATCTAGGAAAAAGCAAAGTAAATGCGAAGATTAATAGTGTCAATGTGCTATCTGGAACGCACAAAATCTGTAAACACATTGATTCTAGCGCATTCGACTCTTATTGAAATCCGGTTCAATTACGCAGATGACTCAAAATTATTGAAAATAAAAATTATCGAAAAGTCGATTTAATGATTTTAACTTATAGTGTGACATCCAGATCAAACAAATTTAAAAAGATTAGAAAAGGTTTTTCACTGAAAAAGTGGTTTTATATCGCAGAGTTGATTCCTCGGAGTTTCGAATAAGGTAGCTAAGGAAAAAGCTAGATAAACAAGTAATCAATACCAAAAAATAATCTAAAAATAGTGCTAGAGTGATTGGACACAAAAGGGCTTAGAAAAAAAGGTGGGGAAAGGATTGGGACGGCATCTCGAAAAGGGTGGGGACCGGCTGAAGGAGATCGTCAAGAAATAGAGAAAATGAAAAGGGAAAGGACACAAACATTTGTGCGGATGGTGAATGCTGGGACACACAAAAGAGAATGGAAACGATCTTTGAGAGCAATTCATTATTTGGAGTGTCCGTATCGGGTATACAACTACATCGACCGTTTGTCTGCTCCGTTTTTGGTGAGAATGAGAACTGCAGAAATGCAAGCCCTCTAGCACACTCTTTTTCAGAGATCTGGTACAGCGAGACTAGACTAAGCAAGACTAGGCTAAGCTTTGATCAATGCTAATGTCTAGAAGCTCAATCTCTCGACATACAGTAACCTAGAGTCTTTTTATGTAAATGAAAAGTAAAGGCTATAGAATTTTCACTCAAATGTAAATCCTGGAAGTCACTAGGAAGAATGGAAAAATCTTTTTCGTCCAATTCACCATTTGAAAGAGAGAAGTCCGTATCGGGTAGAATACACAACTACCCGGTTCTGATTTCAGAAGAAGAAAGACTACCATTTTTTGGTTCTAGCAGAGATCAAAGATCAAACGATTTGGGAAAAAAGTTAAGCCAAAAGACTAGGACAAAGTTGAGTAAATAAACCGATGAGACTGAGCAATCGCTGGACAATTTTAGATTCTTTGGACAACTTGCAATCCTTCAGAAAGTGATTTCAGACTGATAACTATCAGACTTTGGGTAACTAAACCGATAGAAAACGTAATGAGTACTATGGCGTAATGAACCCTAAGACGACTTTGGACAATGAGATTTCAGCGATCCATTTCAGAGAGATCGACTCAAGAAAAGCGAAAAGTAAGGTATCAGATTTGAACCGATCCGAAATCGATCAAAGAACTGGTTTAATTATTTCAAATTATAGTGTGACATCCAGATCAGCCAAATTTAAAAGATTATAAAAAGTTGTTTCTGAAAAAGTAGGCTTGCCTTCTGAGATTCTTTTTATGACTTTTTTGGTGGATTTTTAAAGGCTTGATGATGCTTTTTAATGTTTTTTGGGCAAACTGAAAGTCACTAGGAAGATTAAGAATATTTCTGAGTCACTGTGAAGATTAAAACTATTTTTGGGTCACTGGGAATGATCGAGATCCAAGCCTAAGCTTAAGCCTAAGCCTAAGCCTAAGCCCAAAGAGCATCCAAAAACCGATTCAATCATCTCAAATCATATTGTGACATCCAGATCAGCCAAATTTAAAAGATTACAAAAAGTTGTTGCTGAAAAAGTGGTGAATCCACTCAGGTAACTAAACCGAACCGAAATCGATCCAAAAACCGATTTAATCATTTCAAATTATAGTGTGACATCCAGATCAAACAAATTTAAAAGATTACAAAAAGTTGTTGCTTAAAAAGTGGTGAATCCACCCGGGTAACTAAACCAAAAACCTCAAACACAAGTATTACAATCAATGAACGAAATTTAGATAGCTAAATTTTAGTGTGACATCCAGATTGCAGAAAGAAAGCAAAATCGTGAAACAATCAAAGCTCTAGGCGGTTTTTCTTTCGGTTTATTTACCCAACGGTTCTTCAGAAGTGAAAAAGTGGCCCGATTCGCAAAGATTAGACAAAAATAGATTGATTCCAATATTTTTCCATTAGTTTCCATTAATTTTCATAGTCATTGTTGACTGAAATTCTATTGTAGACAAAAGAAAATGATAACGAATCATTTGAATCCAAAGTTTTGTGATATTTAGTATAATTTTAATAATAAAATGATGAATTCGGTGAATTAAAAAAATCATCGAAAAGTCATCGAAAATGTTTTTAAATTATAGTGTGACATCCAGATTGGACAAATTTAAAAGATTATTAAAAAGTTGTCGCTGAAAAAGTGGAGAACTCACTCGGGTAACTAAACCGATCCGAAATCGATCAAATGAATTAGTTTAATGATTTCAAATTATAGTGTGACATCCAGATTGGACAAATTTAAAAGATTATAAAAGGTTGTTGCTGAAAAAGTGAAATTTTGAGGGCTCACTTTCTTCGACTTTTTCCATCTCATCACTCTCGTCATCGATTCCCTCCAACGCTTCACCCAATCTCAGATTTCCCTCGAAATCGATCTCTCTCAAACGCTCAAAGTCAATCGGTGTCCCCTGATGACCAAATGTGGACATTTGATGAGTATCAAGATCTGCATGAATTTCAGATTCCCTGTGGTGCACAGTTTTATTTGATTTTAAACCTATACTTTGAAAGCAGTTCATCCCTTTCATGCTTGAAAAGTAGAATATCAAAATCTTCAACTCTTAATATTTTCTCCTTTAGTGCAAAAGTCTTATCCGACTTATTTTTCTGAAACATTTTATCAAAATTCAAAATTTTCGAAAACAACTTTTTAAGTAACAGGTTTTTTTTTTGGTAGCTTATCCCTTCATCTTTTACGATGTAAATGCCCGTACTCTAATATTTGATTGCTTTTTTTGATTGCTTAAAACCTTTTTTTCGTAAAACTTGCGAAAAAAGTCTTGTCTCATTAAGAAAATTTGTATTTTCTCTTTGCCTTTTTTTTTGTTATGAATTTTTATTTTTAGATGTCGACTCGCAAATATTTATCAACTTCTGATAAGCAAAAGATCGTGCAAGCAAAGAAATATGGATATTCATCATCGTCTATTGCGATGCTCTTCAAATGCAATAAAAGGACGATGAATCGGCTAGCAGCAAAGCAGGCCAAAGCCAAGTACAAGGCAATCATAGAGAACAACTTACTTCCATTTGCGAACACAAACATGCCACAAGGATGGACCTTATATCAAGACGCTCCATGCCACAAAAGCCAGCTAATGATGGGCCGAGCCAGCTAATGATGGGCCGAGCCAGCTAATGATGGGCCGAGCCAGCTAATGATGAGCCGAGCCAGCTAATGATGCGCCGAGCCAGCTAATGATGGGCCAAGCCAGCTAATGATGGGCCGGCTTGCAAATGGAGGAAGAGCTCGCCTACCCGGCGTTTTTGCTGCTTATCGTGTAAAATTGATTAAAGTGCCTCCTTATTCGCCGGATTTGAATGCTATAGAGCATCTTTGGGCCGATTTAAAGACTACACTCAGGAGCAAGAACATCAGAAAGGAAAAATACTAAAATCTAAAATTCAACACAAAGGTCGAGCTTTGGTTCTTGGCGTTTGGCGACAAATTTCTCCGGGAATTCTACGTGATTTGGTCGATTCAATGCCTCAACGGATTCAAGATGTGATGGCTAAAGGAGGAACGACAAAATGTTAGGCTAATCTCGCTTTCCTAGCTAGCTTTCCTTTTTTAATGGTGGGACAAGACTTTTGCACCACAGTGTATTCAAATTTGACTTTACAACAAAATCTTGATTACTTAAAGCTCTATTTAAGACGAACTTTCCACTCGTTCCTCAGTCTCGTCAATCTTCGATAATTGCTGAATATTATTCGGTCGATCTGTTAAATGAACGATCGGATTTGGATCATCATCGTCATTAATTGAAAAAATCGGATTTTCCATGCAAATTTCATCTAAAACCATTTAATTTCTATTTGAAAATCGTCAATAAACCTTTTCTGATGTTCATTTGGTTTAGTTACTCAAAAAAAGGATGAATTTTTGACCAACCTTTCCCCATTTCATCAGCTTCATCAATTCTCGCCATATTTATCGAAGATATTAATGGATTTTTCTTGAAATCTTCTAGAAATCCATGATTGTCCATAGCTAAAACTAGATTTAAATGTTTAAAACTTTTATTGATGAATGAATGTGTGCAAAGCTGGTAAAAAAAATTCGAAAAAAGGCGAACTTTGGAGTCAAAATAGTGTTCGGAAATGGAAAAACAAAGGAAAAAAGGAAAAAAAGTCGATTTTCAATGGATTTTAAGCTTTCTAACGAATACAAAGCTATAATTGTTTCTTTTAAAAACTGTAAACTGTTCTAAACAATATCAAAAAGCCAAGGAAGTAAATTTTTTTTGTAAAAAATGAAAGCTATTGGGTCTATTGACCGATCATCGCCTCGATCTTGACACCAAACGAAAGAAAAATCACTTATTTACTTAAATCAGTAAAAAGAAAATGATACTGTTCAAATGAATGAGTCAAAAAAAATTCGAAATTTTGATCTATGGTGCTCTTTTCGTGATTTGAATCATCAGAAAGCTGTGTCAACTTCGCATTTAATGTCATTTAACCAGAATTCAGCTTGCCAATGATGGCTAAACGACTCGTTTATAATGAGGCTCCAGGATTACGATAGCTTTTTTCTAATTTCAGAATTTGAGAAAGTTTAGATTCTCGAATTCGTTCCAAAAACATTGTGAAATCCGTGGTGTATTCAACTTAAAAGTTTAGGATTTGTATGTTCGGATTAAAGTGTTTAAAGTATCCCGGCTTTGAACCTCACTTTGTTCAAAAGCTGACCTCCCCTTCACAACTGACAACGGCTCAGGCTCAACTCCAAGTAAAAGAGCATCCTCTTTAGAACGAGCTGCCTTCTAGTATTATTGTAGAATTCAGAAGATTTATGTGCAGAAATGTTCCACGATTCCACGAACTCCAAACGTTTGCACATGCATTTCACTGAAATCACCACCGGTTTCTACAGCCTTTTCCCGTCTTGAATTTTGCTTCGAATGCTTCTTCAAAAAGCAAAAAGCCTGGGGAGCACACGGATTTGAACCATGGGCCTCTCGGACTGCAGCCGAACGCTCTGCCACTGAGTTATACCCCCGGGTGAATGTTAGGACAGGAAATGGGGTGTGGAAAAGAAACTGGCTCATGTAATCCCGGATCGGTTGCTTTGCACAAGAAGTCCCATAAAAGCTGAACGAGGATTGCATCAGCCGTTCTCTCAAACGGTGGTTCTTCTAGAAAAAGGATGATGTCTTTTAGAAAACTTGGGCGAAACAGACTCTACTATTTAAGGTTACTATAAAAAGTGTATGAGTTAACTTCCCCTGAAGAAAGAGAGACCAGGTGCGTTGTGGTGTAATGATTAGCACATTTGCCAGGTATGCAAAAGGTCGCGGGTTCGAGTCCCGGCGGCGCTTACTGGTGTATGGACAGTTCGGCTCTGATACAATTTCATTTCTTTGCGATTGATCTCTGAACATTTTTCTTTGCATGTCGTATTTGTTGTTTGTGTCTGTACCGCGTATTTTGCTATTTAGAACAATTTCAACACTTGTAAGTGAAAAAAAAGGAATGAATAGAAAAAGGGGCATAACTGACTCCACTAAACTTCAAGAATAGATTTTTTAAGTACACAATTTACAACAACTGAAAATTGTCTAGTGGCGGACTACGGTATCTCATCCATCGACTTTGAATTTTAACTTGTGTAAGGAATTTGACTATCTGCAGAGCAGTGGCAATTCGCCACACGGAAATTTAATTGAAATAACGCAGAAAAAAACAAAGTACTCGATCAATCGCCATGTTGGGGTCAATTATTTTTGATCCCGGAGCTAATCTAGGGCAAATCCTGTATACACGCTTTCCCATAATCATTAAATTTTTATTGTTTGTTTGAATGCTCTCAAAGCAAAGCCTTTATAAGCAAGGGTTCCTACCATTTTTGTCTCATTCTGCCCATCTTTCTTTTAGCATGTTGCCTCACTTTTTGCCCATCATTATTTTAGTAAGACGCTTTGCTATAATTGCTTTTAAATGTTGTAGTTTGTGATTGCTTTTCAATGGATGTTTCGTACAAGTTTTATTTTAGCACATGTCAACCTCATCTTTCAACTTCTTCGAAGAACTTCCCGATGTCGTCTTCTATGCGGTGTTGGAGAGACTGCCCGGACGGGTCATTGAAAAGTTGGCGACTCTTATCTTCTAATTTTAATCTTTGCTTTAGCACTGTTCGACTAATCTCAAGGGATTGCTACAGAAGGGTCGAGTTGCGCAGAGGGAGACTTCCTCGTGTTTATCTCGATCAACTTATTATTCGTGCAGGGAGCAGGGTAAGATATTATTGGGTTTGTTACAAAAATGTCGGTTTTAGTTTGAGTATAGAAGAGAGCCTTTCGAGAGAGCAAGGCCTTACTGTGACTTTGCAGAAACGATCGATCCAGCTGACTTGGTTCAACATTTGAATCATTTGAAAGAGCGTGCAACCTTCAAGACCCTCGAGTTGGTTAGTTTTCCGTAACATTTATTGGCACTTAAAATCTGTTTTTCAGATGGATGTCAATTGGGCTTATGCTGCAAATTGCAAGTTGCAAATCGAGTGCGAAGAATTGTCTTGTTGTGGCAGTTTTACGACTCTTTCGCCGGAAAGATTCATGCATATTTTTTGCAGTATAAGACCAACACGCAAGCTAACGATTAAGGTAAGTTTGTATTGCACGAATCAAAATTAGGCTCATTAAGGCGAATCAGGACAACGACATTTTTCCTGTGACGAGTGACTTTTTCACCAACAATTATGCGATTCGATTGCAAGAAGTTTCGTTTTGCGGTTACGGGAATGCCATGGTTGATCCATTAAATGACACGGTTTGTTTTGATTTGGTCCTCAATAAACAATTTGTTACGACCCTTACTCCGGTTAATATTTATTGTTTAGATCTTGTTGTATTCAAATCTTTCGATTTTTTACAATTATTTTCCAACAAGTCCCGGGTGCACTCTTGATGGGATTCTGATGGGATGCTCCGAGACTGGTACACTTCAGAACGTCGAATTGATTGCATTCACCTTCTAGCAGCTGGCGGGCAAGCAGAACGTCAAAATGTGAGCTCTTTTAACTTTCTTATTTTGCTGAAAATCATTTGGAAGCGCTTTTTAAAAGAGCTGCAAGATCAATTGAACTATTCTAGTCGAGATAGCCTAGATAATCATTAAAAGCAATTCAAAGCAATTGGTCATTTTCCCGATATTCCCGGTAATTGTTCAATTTTTAGTTCTTGCGCAATTTATCTGGATTGCTAGTTGATAAAATGTTCTACGACAAGGTTTTCGGGCCTAGAAGGGTACAATCTTTGGAAAGAGCGAATGGGGACGTCATTTGGCTTGGGGTTTACTTTAATCTACAGCACGGCTATCTTAGGTATGTTTTAGCATGGGTTTTTTTCTAACGTATCAAACGCGTTCAATGAAACTATTTATTACCAAATTGTTTTAGGATCGAAATGACTCGACTAGTGCCCGGCCCGAAAGCTGACTTATATAGGCGGTATGATGGCGCTGGTGGTCATGTGATGTATTTGTGATGTATTTTAAAGCTGAAGTTTCGATGTTGGACGTGTGATGTGTGATTGTGATTTCTTGGAAAGTACCTACTACTACTAATGTCAAAATTTGAAACTTTTCTCACACTGAATAAATCCTTCATGATTTGGTTGTCCTTGGTGCGAGTCGATGGGCGGAACAAACGACGCTTAGTATTCATGAATATGTGCACTCGAAATAATGCTATTTTGTTTATGTAACGTGATTTTGTTTTCTTGATTCAAATTTCAGTTTGATCGATATATAAATTTATTATTTAACTTTAGAAAATGAGCGACGAGGAAATCGCTAACTTTAGCATGTTGTCGATACAGGACATCGAGGGGGAGACTTTACTATTTACTACAAGAACAATTTATTTACAATTTACAAAAACTATTTACTACAAGTAGCCGGCTTGTCTTAAGAAGAAGAAAGATCTAAGAATCTAAGATCTGTCTAAAAGAAGTAGGTACTTGATCTTATTGTTCAATCTAGTCTCTCTGGATATTTCAATGAATTGGATATATCCAATAAATCTATCATAGTATTTAGGCTGTTCGAAAAGCTTCTTTGGCTGAGATGGACGCTCGAACGGCCAACACGACAATCACCGAGGAAAGCGATCAAATCAAGAAGATTATCGACAAATTGAGTGAGTTTTGAACACAATTTGTGCTTGTTAGAGTCACTGGAACATTCATTCACAAATTGATTTTACGCTTTACCCGTGACCGCAAAACGAAGCTTCTTGCAATCGAATCGCATAATCGAATCGCATAAAGCCTGAAGCAACCGCATCACTGCCATACACGAAAAGGAACATTGCAATGGGAGCCATTGAAGCGGGTTGTTTTGCTGGGTTTAATGTGGTAACTTGCTCATGTTCAGTTCATCAAAGATGACTTGACGAAATATTGGAGTGTGAGAAGCGAAGATGAACAAATCGGTGATGACAGCTTTTTCGCGGCATTCCGATCGGCTAGCTGCACGAACGAAAGAATTGGGAAAGTGAGTGATGCTTTTGGATTTGGATTTTTACCCTTGAAACACTGAAGTTAAATCCATCCAACAATCAGCAGCTAGATTCAGTAATCGGGAAAGCAACATCGGCGATTTCCCTCATCACTTCGTTTTTGATCGCCTTACAGAATGAGGGATTTCTCAAGACAGCCAGGGAAAGTGGAACATGTTTAGTAAACAAGGCAATGTATGATTGCAAAAGTTTGCTGACTTTATTTCTACTTTTAGTCAAGCTTCAGGAAGAAAAGTGACGGGAGCTTTCTCAACCTTAGTGGTCGTTGCCTCGTCGGTTTTGAATCAATGGCAGCAGGAACTGCAAGACAAGGTGACGTGGCTTTTCGTGATAAAGTATGTTAATTTTAGGTTGACGAAGATTACGCACTCAACATTTATTGTCACACTGGCCCCAAAAAAACCCGGGATAATTTGGACGATAAAGTATACGGTTTTTGAGAAACTTTTTCTAAAAGCGTTTTAGGTTACGCCGGGCAGATGTTGTGCTGACGACTTGCGACGTTTTAAGGAAATCACAAGGGAATTAGGTATGTATACAAACTCTTTTGGTACTCATGGTATCCGGACTACGGTAGTTTTTGTTTAAGCTTACATTTTGAAAAGCTTAATCAACTGTTTTACAGCCTAATAATGAATAGAAGAGAAATAACCGTACCCTTTAAAGTAGAAGCATTACTGTACTAATATTGCAAGCAATAGCTAGACAAATTCTCCTCGTCCAATGATTTCTCATCAAGTTCCGAGTCGTAAACAGCAGCCAAATGTTCGTGGAAATCCCCGTGGATGAAAAAGTTCATCGCCTAAAATGAATAGATGAATTTGATTCCAAAAAGAAACTTCAGCACAAAATTTAACTTATCATCTTGTACTACGTAACACCATTGATGATCTTGATATTTGCTTGGATCGTTGGCAACTAAATCTAGATGTTAGCAAGAATTTATCGGCCTAAGCCTATGGATGTTTAAAGCCAAATAAGCAAGAATAAACCTTCAATGAGCGATAAACAATATGGTTCTTGTCGAATTTGCTTGTTCCTAGAATAATGTTCATCATTTTGACACCGGGCCGCAGAATCGTTCTTTTGATAGTATCGTTGTGAGCCCTAGAATCACATTTCGAAAAAGTTCAATCAAATTCTCGAACGGCTGAAGATCTTCGAGCGTAACCTTCCGATGTTTGTGGTTCTTTTCCGAGATAAATTCCTCTTCCAAGTGCAGCTCCAACCAATTGCAAATTTGTCCCCGAGCAAACGATCAAACCCTCACACAAAATCTTGTACCAGTTCTCGACGGGCGATCCGCTAAAGAAAATAAAGTATTGAAAAGGTTTTTACAAAACCCACTGGAATGCGTTTAGCGCAGCCAGGAACATACCAGCTTCGAGTCCTTACTTACTTCGGTGGATTAGAGGTGAGTTTGTTGATACGAATTAATTTTAATCATTTTAATTTTCAAAAAAACATTTTTTCTTATAGATGCAGGATTTGCGCGTAAATTTGGTTGTCAATCCGACTGTGGGAAACAACATGGCGCCGGCACCTATGGCACCTGATGGTATTTGATTTCTTTCTTTACCTGAACATTTTTATTTTAGACGGTCCTCAGGGCGGCGGTGGTGGAGGAGGCGTCTGCGAGGGTGAACTGCCCCACATTGAAACGTCGTTTTTTTGCGCTACGCCAGGTACCTTATTTTATTTAATACTTGAATGTTATGTGTTAGTGTTATGTTGCAGTCAAGGAAAATTTTCTTTTAATAAAGTTTTCTTTTTTAGGCCACTACGGCCACTAGCGACTCAAGGGACAAGAAGGGACCCCATCGCCTCATTGAAATGCCTTATTTTTTGTAGATGTGCAATAAACTTGTAAAAAAATATTCAATAAACAAACAAAACATCTCAAAATAAAGATCACTATATTTTGCTGTAAAAGAGAATAGAACAAATTGTTTGGAAAGAGTTAGTTCACAGTTGAACTATTGGTTGCCTTGTGAAAGAAAAAACCCATTTGTTCCGTCTGATAAAAATGAACACGGAAACTGGGGAGATTCTGAGGCGGCGAAATGGATCGTGCGTGGCATGTAGACCGGCTTGGTTTAGTTGCTTTCAAAATATCGATACCGAAATTTCCGAGCAGCTTTTAGAAAGAAAGAAAACTGGTACGATTTTCATAAGCTCATTAGTGTTTATTTAAAACTTGAACAAGTTCGGCTTAAAGGAAAGCACCAAGAACAATCAAATCATGAAGGATTTATTCAGTGAGAAAAGTTTCAAATTTTGACATTAGTAGTAGCAGATACTTTCCAAGAAAGAGCGATCACACGTCCAACATCGAAACTTAAGCTTTAAAATACATCACAAATCTACACAACAAAATACAGCTTTAATTCAAAATAGAGAATATCCTCTGTGCATTAATCCACGTCAGAATCCACGTCAAAAACCAGGTCATTATCCACGTCATAATCCACGTCATCATCGTCATGACCACCAGCGTCATCATACCGCCTATATAAGTCAGCTTTCGGGCCGGGCACTAGTCGAATCATTTCGATACTAAAACAATTTTGTAATAAATAGTTTCATTGAACGCGTTTCATACGTTAGAAAAAAACCCATGCTAAAACATACCAAAGATAGCCAAGATGATCAATGCAAACATTAAGCTTAATGACGTCCCCATTCGCTCTTTCCAAAGCGCGGATAGATTCGATGTAATCCTCGCAGTGGAACCTTTTACGAACTAGCAATGGACGTAAATTGCGCCAGAACTAAAAATTGAACAATTTTATCTCGAAAATTACCAATTGCTTTGAATTGCTTTTAATGATTATCTAGGCTATCTAGACTAGAATAGTTAAGTCGATCTTGCAGCTCTTTTAAAAACCGCATCCAAATTATTTTCAGCAAAATAAGAAAGTTAAAAGAGCTCACATTTTGAGGTTCGCCAGCTGCTCGAAGGTGAATGTAATCAATTCGACGCTCTGAAGTGTACCAGTCTCGGAGCATCCTTTGAATCCCATCAAGAGTGCACCCGGGACTTGTTAGAAAATCAATGTCAACAAACGAAAGATTTGAATACAACAAGATCTAAACAATAAATATTAACCGGATCGTAACAAATTGTTCATTGAGGACCAAATCAAAACAAACCGTGTCATTTAATGGATCAACCATGGCATTCCCGTAACCGAACAACGAAACTTCTTGCAATCGAGTCGCATAATTGTTGGTGAAAAACTCACTCGTCACAGGAAAAATGTCGTTGTCCGCCTTAATGAGCCTAATTTTAATTCGTGCAATAAAAACTTACCCCAATCGTTAGCTTCCGTGTTGGTCTTATACTGCAAAAAATATCCATGAATTTTTCCGGAGAAAGAGTCGTTAAATTGACACAACAAGACAATTCTTCGCATTCGATTTGCAACTTGCAATTTGCAGCACAAGCCCAATTGACATTATCCTAAAAAACAGATTTTAAGTACCATTAAATGTTACGGAAAACTAACAAACTCGAGGGTCTTGAAGGTTGCACGCTCTTTCAAATGATTCAAATGTTGAACCAAGTCAGCCGGATCGATCGTTTCTTGATAATCAAATTCAAGGTAACGCCTTGCTCTCTCGTTAGGCTCTCTTCTATACCCAAACTAAAACCGATGTTTTTGTGACAAACCCAATAATATCTTACCCTGCTCCCTGCACGAATAATAAGTTGATCGAGATAAACACGAGGAAGTCTCCCTCTGCGCAACTCGACCCTTCTGTAGCAATCCCTTGAGATTAGTCGAACAGTGCTAAAGCAAAGATTAAAATTAGAAGATAAGGGTCGCTAACTTTTCGATGACCCGTCCAGGCAGTCTCTCCAACACCGCATAGAAGACGACATCGGGAAGTTCTTCGAGGAAGTTGAAAGATGAGGTTGACATGTGCTAAAATAAAACTGTACGAAACATCCACTGGAAAGCAATCACAAACTACAACATTTAAAACCAATTATAGCAAAGCGTCTCACTAAAATAATGAACGAAGGATGGGCAAAAAGTGGTAGGAAAAAAAAACTAAGAGAACTAACTCGACTTTTCATAAGAAAAGTAGATCATAAAATTCTTGTCATAAGACTCAAACGAGAGGAAAGCTACTCTGTACACAGGATTTGCCCTAGATTAGCTCCGGGGTCAAAAATTGGTCAAAAATTGACCCCAACATGGCGATTGATCGAGTACTTAGTTTTTCTGCGTTATTTCAATTAAATGTCGAATGAAATTGTATCAAAGCCGAACTGTCCATTCATCGGTAACACTTAAATCTAAGTCAATTTCCTCTCATGTGTACAAAAACAGAAATCTTCCAGAGCATAAGTTGAAACTAGGGCAGATCAAAACTTGTGCGCCGCCGGGACTCGAACCCGCGACCTTTTGATTACCTGGCAAATGTGCTAACCATTACACCACAACGCACCTGGTCTCTCTTTCTTCAGGGGAATTTAACTCATACACTTTTTAAAGTAGCCTTAAATAGTAGAGTCTGTTTCGCCCAAAGTTTTCTAAAATACATCATCCCTTTTCTAGAAGAACTACCGTTTGAGAGAGCGGCTGATGCAATTCTCGTTCAGCTTTTTTGGGACTTCTCGGGACTTTTTGGGACTTGGGACTGCATGCAAAGCAACCGATCCGGGATTACATGAGCCAGTTTCTTTTCCACACCCCATTTCCTGTCCTAACAAACACCCGGCGGTATAACTCAGTGGCCGAGCGTTCGGCTGCAGTCCGAAAGGCCCATGGTTCAAATTCGTTTGTGCTCCCCAGGCTTTTTCCTTTTTTAAGAAGCATTCGAAGCAAAATTCAAGACGGGAGAAGGCTGTAGAAAACGGTGGTGATTTCGGTGAAATGCATGTGCAAACGTTTGGAGTTCGTGGAATCGTTGAGTGATTCTGAAAATGTGCTGCAAATTTTCACTATATTAAAATATTAAAACCATGTTATTTATAATTTGAAATCATTAAACTTCATTTGAAATCATTAAACTAATTCATTTGATCGATCAATAATCTTTTTAAATTTGTCCAATCTGGATGTTTCATGATTCATGAAAACATTATTTATAAAAAGAAAATGTAAATTGCTTAATGGCTTACTTTACAACGAAAAAGCAAGCAGCTTTGTTTAAGCTTCCATTTTGAAAAGCTCAATCAACTGTTTTACAGCCTAATAATGAATAGAAGAGAAATAACCGTACCCTTTAAAGTAGAAACATTACTGTAAGCATTACTGTGCTAATATTGCAAGCAATAGCTAGACAAATTCTCCTTGTTGCTTCACCATAGCCACGCCATCAGAGGCATTCAGATTTGGGTTCTTCTTGTGGGCCAGAACGAGCGCATTGTCTTCTTGTAAAGTTGTAACTGGTAGACGTCCACTTTTTGTGGCACGATGAACGTTTCCCGCGAGTTTGGCCCTGGTGACAACAAGCGACACAGTTGTTTCGGTACAGCGGAAGAGCTCAGCGACGGCTTTTCTAGACATTCCATTTTTTCGAGCTTCGACGATTTTCTCCTTGTCTCCTTGTCCGGAGTTGATAAGTAGGCGCCGGGCATCTAAAAAATCAGTGTTAGCAACCAGAAATCAATAGGAAAAACAGAAAATTTCACGAAGAAACTGTGATGTTAAAAGACTTTTGTCAATCAATTTTTGGCCCAATTTTTGTTTTATTAAAAAGTTCATGACATCTGATAAATTGTTAAATCCATCTTTTTGTAATGTTAAAATTAGAGATAATAAGCTCTTTAAATCTTTTAACCCTTTGCAAATTGCTCGGATTTGGACCAAGATATACAAAGAACAAACTTCTAAAAACCAAAGGTTAAAAGACTTTTGTCCATGACTGTATCTTTTTTTTGAATAATCAGAATTTTCTGAAACTTTAGCTATTTCTTAGTTGGCTATCACTGCTTATATACAGCTCACAACATTTACAGTTCTTGCTAGTGAGAGTTTTTGTTTGCATTTCAAAATTGTTTGTTTTGTCAATGAGCTTTTCTATAAACTTGCTTGCTTGAAAATATTTTTTTGAAATTGCGGTCAAAATCTGAATCTTTTGCAGACTTTTAGCTGGATAAAAGACAACTGAATAGGTTTAAAGTTTTTAGAATAGAGATTTAAAGATATGTGGAATTGTTCAATTGATTTCTACTTTTTTGTCAATAAGCTTTATTTTTATGCAATTTTTATGAAAAAATTATAAATAAATTAATGAAAAATCAAAAATTTACATAAAAACAGAAATTTTTATGTAAAATTAAGCAAAAATTAAGCGAAATTAAGCGGAATTAAGCAAAATTCAGCCAAATTAAGCGAAATTAAGCGAAATTAAGCAAAATTCAGCCAAATTAAGTAAAATTAAGCCAAATTCAGCAAAATTAAGCCAAATTCAGCAAAATTAAGCCAAATTCAGCAAAATTAAGCCAAATTCAGCAAAATTAAGCCAAATTCAGCAAAATTAAGCCAAATTCAGCAAAATTCAGCAAAATTAAGCCAAATTCAGCAAAATTAAGCCAAATTCAGCAAAATTAAGCCAAATTCAGCAAAATTAAGCCAAATTCAGCAAAATTCAGCAAAATTAAGCGAAATTAAGCAAAATTCAGCCAAATTAAGTAAAATTAAGCCAAATTCAGCAAAATTAAGCAAAAGTCAGCAAAATTCAGCAAAATTAAGTAAAATTAAGCAAAATTAAGCCAAATTAAGCAAAATTAAGCCAAATTAAGCAAAACTCAGCCAAATTAAGCACACAAAAAAGCCATTTAACTTGAAATTTCAATATTTTTCTGTCACTTTTACGGGATATTGCATCGAGAATTGAGATTTTACATTTTTTTGCTGAAAAACAAAATGAAAAAGGCACGATAAATAATAGAGAAATACCACGTTTGTTAGAAGAAATATGTCAAAAAATTGGCACCAAAAATTTGTATCAATTACGACAATATGGCAGTTTTAAAAGAAAATCAAAGAAAATTAAAGAAAATTAAAGAAAAAAAATTTCAAAAAATTACAAAAATTTCAGATCATTTCCGGAATACTAGACATTTTTTTTGTGAAGAAAAGATATTCAATTAAGGTTTTTGAAAAATGTGCAAAATTCCCTTTATTTCTTTTGTCCCTCTTGCTCTAGCGCCACCCGGTTGAAGCAACGATTTGGCAACGCGGAACGGATTTGTTCCAGATTTGCCACCTGGAAAATCAATATTTTGGAAGCCACAATGATTATTTAGTATTGTTTGTTTGTTTGTTTGTTTGTTTGTTTGTTTGTTTGTTTATTTGTTTGTTTGTTTGTTTGTTCTTGTTTGTTCTTGTTCTTGTTTGTTGTTGTTGTTGTTGTTTATTGTTGGTTGTTTAACAAACTAATTGTTTGTTGTTCTTGTTCTTGTTCTTGTTCTTGTTCTTGTTCTTGTTCTTGTTCTTGTTCTTGTTCTTGCTCTTGTTCTTGTTCTTGTTCTTGTTCTTGCTCTTGCTCTTGCTCTTGCTCTTGCTCTTGCTCTTGCTCTTGCTCTTGCTCTTGCTCTTGCTCTTGCTCTTGCTCTTGCTCTTGCTCTTGCTCTTGCTCTTGCTCTTGCTCTTGTTCTTGTTCTTGTTCTTGTTCTTGTTCTTGTTCTTGTTCTTGTTCTTGTTCTTGTTCTTGTTCTTGTTAGAAACAGAATCAAAAGAAAAGCTATAATAAACCCAGTGCTGAATATTGTATGAACAAAATCTCACCTCTTTTGTCAACGTATCAATGTCGATTTTGATCTGCGAGATCTTGCGCTCTTCCTCGAGTTTTCCCGTTTTTTGAGCGGGAATCTGATTTGCTAGATCGGCTTTTTTAAGCATCGCATCGATGTCATTGAGTTGTCTCTCCAACTCATCCAACTCAGCGTTGTTCACATTCTCGAGAGCATCTAAAAATGGATTTTTAGCATCAATTGGTTGATGTCCATTTTCTGAAAACCCCTGGCTGGCTTAACTGGCTGGCTTAACTGGCTGGCCTATTCCAGTAACTTGACCTACACTAACTTGTGACTCAGCTGTAAAGCGTAAAAGCCAATTTGTGATTGTTCCAGTGACTCTAACAAGCACAAATTGTGTTCAAAACTCTTCAAAACTCACTCAATTTGTCGATAATCTTCTTGATTTGATCGCTTTCCTCGGTGATTGTCGTGTTGGCCGTTCGAGCGTCCATCTCAGCCAAAGAAGCTTTTCGAACAGCCTAAATACTATGATAGATTTAGCCAGCGACGGTACTTGATTTGATTAGGTTATTATGGTTATCTAAAATCTAAGTTGCATCCCAGATGGGCCAATCAAGCAAGAACCTTCGAAATAGTTCAAAGATCAAAGCAGAAAAAGCGATGATCAGACTTCAACTCAATATTTTCGTTGCATCTCACTTTTTCAACTTTCTGACTTTTGTTTTGATGATTTTGGGATTCACTTAAAATCTCTATCTTTTTAAAGTATCATTTTTTAAACGATAAAGTGTTCGCCTACTGTATACCTCTTTTTGACATTGATTGTGACAAGAAACTATGAATGAAGCAATTTCAATAAAAAGGTTCATCTCTTCCACTCACCTCTCCAGTCATTTGCTTGTCAGTTTCCGCTTGATTCCTGTAGGTTGTAATCTCTTCTTGTGTCGTTAACAACTCGGAAGTTAAACTTTCCACATCTTCTTTCAATGTTTTTGCCGATTCTCTTGTTTTCGTTGTCGCTTCGAAGAGCTGATCAGCTTGTTTTCCAACAGATGCTGCATCGTCTCCAGATTTTGCAGCAAGATCCTAAATTTCAGAGTAAGCTGGTAAGCTGGTAAGCTGGTAAGCAGTAAGCAGTAAGCCGACTAAACCGAGTAACCAACCTTAGCCCTTTGAGCATCTTGTGCTGCTGATCCAATCGCTTTTTCGGCTTCCATTGTTTTCTCCTTAGCTTTCTCGATTTCTGCTTGAATATCGCCGATTTTTGCCAATTCAGACTCAGCCGATGCCTTGCTTGTTTCCACTTTATTATTGAATTCTGAATAGCATTGATTGAGTTCTGTAAAGACTTAGCTTACCTTGCAAGGTAGCCAACGTTCTTTCAGCTTCCTTCAGTGTTGATTCAGCTTGTTGAATTGCTTCAGTTGCTCTAGCTCTTGATGCATCGACTTCAGCCAATTGCTCGTCAGAGATCTGAACAAAAACTTTATATTTCGAAAAACTTGAGCAAGCAAGCAAGCTCAGAAAAGCTAAGTTGCATCCCAGATGGGACAATCAAGTAAAAATCTTCGAACTAGCACAAAGATCAAGCCAGAAAAAGCCATGATCAGACTTCGACTCGATATTTTCTTTGCATCTCACTTTTTCAACTTTCTTTTCTTTTTTTCTACAATTCTGGCAAGCACTTGAAATAATGAAAACAAAATTTTAAACTTCTACACAAATTAGATTAACAATCAACAAACTACAGTACTCTCCCGACAGTAACCCTCACCTTTTGCTGCTCCTTTGCATTCTGCAACTCGTTATTCGCTTCAGCCAGTGCTCTAGCCGCATCATCCATCATTTCCTTATTCCCTTCGACTTCTTTATCAATATTTGCCCGTGTCGTCTTGGCCTCTTCAGTGATACGCTCGGATTCGAGTTTGAGCTATGAATTTCAAGAATTTTAAATGAAACCCTAGATTTTTCTTTCCAATTTTATCAATCTGGAAGTCATTCTTTCTATTGGTTTTTTAGAATTTTTCAAAACCTCTTTCGGATCGATATTTGGTGGCTTCAATGCATCAACTGTTGTTAAGGCTTCAGCAGCTCTCTGAAAAGTGATAAAGTTATATTTTCTGAAAAGTTTATCATATCAAAAGTGTTCTAGAGAGCTAAACGAGTTCAAAGCCAGTTAATAAGCTAAGTTCAAGCTTGATTCAAGTTTGATTCAAGCTTGATTTAAGCTTGACTGGACAGAGATTAGTCTTTCCAAAGCTAGAACAGATCAAGCGAGAATCTAAGAAAGCTAAGGTAAGCAAAACGTTTGTATTGGCTTTGTTTGATTATGCTAAGCTTACATAGTCTACTAGTCTATCTACTGCACTCTATAGAATCATTAGTTTCCCATCCTACTCAACCTGATTAGCTTCAGCAGCATCTTTCCTCTGTTGATCAGCTAATTCCCGAGTCCTCGTCAACGATCCATTAATTGCCGACTGTTTCTGCTTTATCTCATCAATTTGCTTTGAGATTTGTTCACCTAAACTTTCTCTTAAACATTACAACAACCAAAACTAATCTCACCTCCATAGATAGCATCTTGTGCTTCTTTTTGAGCTTTCCTTGCCGTTTCGAGAGCCTCTTCAGCTAGCTTTTCGACTTCTAGACTCAACTTGTCATGTCGATCGGCTTCCTCACGAGTTTTCTGTGCAATTTGTGACATTTGAGCTGATTGTTCACCGTATCTAAAAAACGATTTGAGCTGATTGTTATGGTCTTAATCAAATAAAGCTCACTTTCGACTCGCTTCCTTAGCTCTTTCCCATTGCTCACTTCCTTCAACGTCAAGATAATGCAAAGCGTTCTCTAGCTCGTTTCGTGCACTTTCTAAATTCAAAAAAACATATCTTTTCACTTTAAATTCATTGTTATTTAATGAAATTTAATTATTTAATGAAATTTAATAAAATAAATACTTGATAAGAAAGTAGAAGCTAAGAAAATAGTCTTGATGACTAAGAAAGTCGTTTAATCTCTTCGAAATTCATTCCCTAACATACCCATAACAATCTTTGCTCTTCTCAGCGCTTGCTCTGTGCTTTCCGTTTTCCCCTTTGCTCCATCAATCACTCCATCGATCATTTTTATCCCCTCAAACGCTGATTCAACATCTTTTTTGAGTTGAGAGACTTGATTGACCAATTGAGCGTCATCAGCTTCTAGAAATCAATGATGAAAATCAATTTTTGAATCACAAGACTTAGCTATAGCTTAACTATAGCTAACTATAGCTTAACTATAGCTAACTATAGCTTAACTAGCGTAAGCAGAAAAACTTCATCTAATAAAATAACATTGTTGAAGGGTTTTTTTTTTGTTGGCTAGAATTTCACTGACAAAGATTGCACTTACCCAATTTCTTCATCACCGTATTTGTCAATTCGGTCACTTGAGCGCCCACCTCGTTCACTTTATCATCAAAAGCTGAATCGTCGACCTAGAGATGAAATTTCTATATGTAACTCATGTTCTTTCATATGTTTTTAGCTATTCTACTCGACTGTAGACGAGTTATAGTTCTATTGTAGCTTTGTTTGCTTTATTTGCTTTGTTTGTCCTTCTAATAATGCCAATTCCTTAGCTTTTACTGAAATAATAACTATCACTGTAACTACTATAAGTACTACTTAAAAGGCTGCTGTGACTACTACTTAAAAGGCTACTGCAGCTACTGTAACTACTACTTAAAAGGCTACTGCAACTACTACTTAAAAGGCTACTGTAACTACTACTTAAAACGCTACTGTAACTTCTGTAACTACTACTTAAAGCCCTACTCTAACTACTCTAACCACTACTTAAAACTCACTGGTGCTGGATTCTCGATAATCTCCTTTAGAGTATTGTCCAGATTCTTGACTTTCTCTCGGAAAATGTTCACTCGTGATTGAATCAAAGTGTAGCAATCATCGCAAAGCAGACAACCGGCTTCCAAGTTGTAACTAAAGATTACAGCTGTTTACGAAAGCAAAAAGTACATAGAAATGCTCTTGGCTCTTGGCTCTTAGCTTTCTTAGCGTTCTACTAATCTCACCGATTCTCTGAGCACTGATCACAGCGTCGTCCCTCGATATTGTCCTTGCACAAGCATTGACCATTTTTCACATCACATTGTGCACTTTCTGAATTATCGATCAGTGATCTGGCTAACGAAAGAGACTTTACAGTATCCGTATATCCTATTAAAATCCCTCACCAGATCCAATCGGCTCACAATCACATGGTTTACATCCATCAGCTGAGAAACCAAAGTGATAAGGCGCACACTCGTCACATCTGAAAGATTACTTGGTCACTTTGTGCTTGCAAACGCACGTCATCTGATACACCTACGAAAGCGGTGTAGAAAGCGAGCACAAACTATAAACTTTCTCACCTCCTTCCGGTGACTCCCGGTTTACATTTGCATTGTCCACTCACGACATCACAGGTGGAATCGATGGATCCAAGTGGATCACACTCACACGAATCACAACCTGATCCAGAAGTGATGTTGAAGAAGCCACGCTAAAAAGAGTAACTTTATCTCAATCCATACTAACAATCCTGTTTTCCAAAGACCAGGGTTAAGCCAAAAGCTAGGTCAAAAGCTAGGCTAAAAGCTAGGTCAAAAGCAGGCCAAAAGCCAAGCCAAAAGCTTGGTCAAAAGCTAGGTCAAAAGCTAGGCCAAAAGCCAAGCCAAAAGCAGGCCAAAAGCTAGGTCAAAAGCTAGGTCAAAAGCAGATCAAAAGCTAGGTCCAAAGCAGGCCAAAAGCCAAGCCAAAAGCAGGCCAAAAGCTTGGTCAAAAGCAGGTCAAAAGCAGGCCAAAAGCCAAGCCAAAGGCTAGGCTAAAAGCTAGACTAAAAGCTAGGCTAAAAGCTAGGCTAAAAGCTAGGCCAAAAGCTAGGCCAAAAGCTAGGTCAAAAGCTAGGCCAAAAGCCAAGCCAAAAGCAGGCCAAAAGCCAAGCCAAAAGCTAGCTCAAAAGCAGGCCAAAAGCCAAGCCAAAAGCAGGTCAAACGCTAGGTCAAAAGCCAAGCTTTCCACTCGTCTTCAAGCCTTGGTAAAAACTATACCTCGCATTGATCACATTGTGGCCCGATGACGTGCGGTTGACAGTCACATTGCCCATCACTTTGCTGACACTCCAAAACGGTGTAATCGTTTGATGGACGGATTGTGCCCGGAGCAAAACAGCTGAAAAAGAGTTGAAGAGTTTTTTGAAACGCTTAGCCAATCAGAATTCACTCAAGGAAATTCAATCTGGATATCATTTCACTCACCGACAAGCCTTGCAATCACCCGTGGGCACTTTAAGCGCATCACCCCAGAATCCACCCTTGCACTTTTCACAGTGAAAACCGTCTGTGTTGTAGATGCACTTTTTGCACTCTCCAGAGATCCTGAAACAGATTTTTCTCCATTTTTTTCTACAGTTCTTAACTCACTTGTCACAGTTTCCAATACTGTTTGGATCGGTGTTACCCGAGCATTCGCATTCTTTACATTCAATCTCGATCTTTGGATTACCAAAGAAACCATCTGAGCACTCATCGCATCTAAAATAAAAAGATTTTCATTTATTTTCATCAAAATAAGCCAAGTAGATTCATTTTATAGTACTAGTTGAAAAACTCGTCAAAAAAGGAATTGGGAATTGCTGAGAATCAAAAGAAAAGCCTAAAGATTAGAGAAAATGCTGAGGAAAACGAATAGACGGACAGACGGACGAACAAACGGACGGACAGACGGAGGGATGGACAGAAACTGCTCTTTTATATATATAAAATGAAATTCCCTTGTTTCCTTAAGCTCAAATCTAAGAATGAAATAAATCATTTTCAAAAAAAAAACCTTCTTCCAGTGTATCCAGTTGGACAATCGGTGCAAAGAACGTCACCATCCGAATGTAAAACACAAGGACCATCCTCAGGACAAGGGCATTTCTAGAAAAAGAATCAGAAGTCAAAAGAAAGTTTATTGAAAACTAGCTTTCGAAACATCAAACGATCGTCAGTACTAAATTGATGCAAAAGAAATTTCGCATCAAAAATTTTCTATTTCTCTTTAAAATCTAAAAATTTGATTTCATTTTCTTTTGTACATTTGTACTCTTGAATGTTTACTTTATTTTTACGCTTTTTTCTAAGTCAAAGCTTTTACTTTTTAATTAATATTTGCTTTAGCTTTGGTGGGGCAAAAGTATATTGTGAACGTGTGTCTTCTCATGTTCAAGAGGAGGAAAAACGCTGCCGAATCAGATCGTGATTTTTGTTCCACTTTTGGAGAACAAGTTATGATCAAAAGATCATGCTAGCTCTGGTTTTCCCAATCTAGATTGTTCTAAGCCTGATTTTCCACAATCTAGATTGTTCTAAGCCCGGTTTTCCCATTCTAGATTGTTCTAAGCCTGGTTTTCCCGATTCCGAGAAGGTATTGAATCTCTTGAATGGGCATCGCTTGGCAGCCACATGGGCATCGCTTTGCAAGGATCGATAATAATGAATTGGAACAACAACTTCTTGAAGGGAATCCAATGCAAACAACAAATCCAATGGTTTTCCAATCTTGCAACATCTCTAATGTAATCAATCAAGAATTGTCCGCCATTTGGAAATAATCGGAAAGACCAATCGTAATGGACGGAAAGACTATAGGTATCACGCCAGCACCGAGAATTAGCCAGCACTGAGAATCTGGGAGCTGTATCTTGTTATCTTGCTTATCTTATTTCTTATCCTACTTCGATCAGTCATATCTTGAAGAAAAGAAGCTAATTTTGAGAATATCTTGATAATGGATGAGAAGTAGATTAATTTCTATAACATTTATCAGAAAAAGACAATAGCTCAGCAAGGGTCAAATGCTAATTTCAACTGTAAAGCCGGAGCACAAAGTGATGTTGTGGTGGAATATCAACGGGCTTGTTGCTTTCGAATTATTAGAGCCCAGGAAAAGCAATTGATGTTGATGTTGATGATATGATGTTAAATAAAACAAGTTCTTGTTTTATTTAACAACTCAAAAAGGTTGACAAAATCTTGCGTTAAAATTGTTGAAATTCTTTGATTTTCAATTTTCTTCGACTAAATTCTTACCTAAAGAAATTTTTGAATTAATTTTTATAAATAAAGCGAAATTTCTTTTGCATAAACCTAGTATACTTGAAAATGTCTTTTAAAAAACGAGTACAATACAATACTAGTTGCGTTTAATATCTAACTAAAGAATACCAAAATTCACCTGACAATCCTCTTCAGTTCCCCTTAACGCATCACCATAAAAACCACGAGCACAACGCTCACAAGTATCTCCAGCAGTGTTGTGCTTGCAAATACAGGCACCTAAAAAGGATAAGCTAAATCGATAAGCTTTTGAAAGGTTTTGAAAGGTTTTGAAAGGGTTTGAAAGGTTTTGAAAGGTTTTGAAAGCTATAACAGCTTTTGAAAGCTATAACAGCTTTTGAAAGCTTTCGAAAGCTATAAAATGCTATAAAAGCTATAAAATCAGCTTGATTCTCAATAAAAACCAACCACTTTCAGCCTCACAACTTTCCGAGTGCCCATGACAATCACATTTGATGCAACGATCGAATGGTCCGCCAAATTTACGCTCACGACGATATCCGGGAGCACACGATTCACAGAATTGACCGACAAAGCTGAAAACGGATTGTAGAGCTTAATGTAAACTTTCCTCACCTATCTTGACACTCGCAATGCTCGACCCAATGCGCTTTTCGTGGATCCAACTCACTTGGCGCCAAACCAGCAGATCCCAGATATAAATCGTTCAAAAAACCAACATCATTGTAGGTGTAAGTTCCGCGAATTTTCAATGCTGTTACATTTGAGAGAATTCCGATAAACTCGAGCTCGTTTAGTCGAGGATTCCACTAAAATTTTTGACTTTATAAAGCTAAACTGGAAGTCACAGCAGCTAAAGAAATTGTTTAAAAATGGTTTTAAATGAAAATTGCGAACCTGGAAAACATTATCAGCATGAATTTTGAAGCGATATTCTTGAAAGCTCGTTGTTGGAGAGGGATTATTTTGAGCGAAGATTGGAATTGACAACTCCTGACCCTCAGAACCGACAATGAGAATGTCTCTGAAGATAAAAATGATTGCTAATGCTTGTCTGATGTTAGTCCAATCTGTTTACAAGCAATAATTCTATCATTTCAAATGATAAGTTCAATTTTCTAATTGACCTTATGATTTGAACCAATTCAGAGCGAATTTAAGTCAATTTTAAGCCAATTTCAACTCTCTTTACTTACTTGGTGCTTGCTCTTGCTCCATCTTTGGAAACGCGCAGATGGAAGACTAAATCCTGATTGTAGGCGGCTCGCTGATCACCGAGGAACATCTCGGGAGCACTGAAAAGAACAATTCTTGTCGATCAAGAACCACTTGTCGATCAAGGACAACTTGTCGATCAAGGCTAAGCTTCTGATTCTGGCTCTAGACTGACTCCTTACCTTTCTATCAATATTACTACTAGTAAATTACAATCAACTTGATAGAAAGTTGATTGTAATTTACTAGAACTTGTACTCACTTGAAATAGACAGGCGATCCATCGACATCTTGCACAGCTACCGCTTTCTCGATCTCAGCCCATTGCGCATCCACCGGCCCACGATGTGATAAAGCTCCCCACGATTCTTTGCCTGATATTTGATTTTGGAAAGCTGACAATCACTGGACTAGAGTCTGAACAGAGTCAGTCATGACCAGAAGTACAAGAACAGAAGCTAATAGTAAGTCTAGCCAAGTTAAGTAAGGCCAGGGGTTGTCTAAGACCGTTAAAATAGTCTAAGACTAATTTAAGACCGTCAAAATAGTCTAAGGCCGTTAAAACTAGTTCAAGACTAGTTTAAGATCATTAAAACTAGTTCAAGACTAGTTTAAGATCATTAAAACTAGTTCAAGACTAGTTTAAGACCATTAAAATAGTCTAAGACTAGTTTAAGACCGTTAAAATAGTCTAAGACTAGTTTAAGACCGTTAAAATAGTCTAAGACTAGTCTAAGACCGTTAAAACTAGTTCAAGACCGTCAAAGTAGTCTAAGATTAGTCTAACATCGTTAAAACTAGTCCAAGACTAGTCTAAGACCGTTAAAACTAGTTCAAGACCAATCTAAGACCGTTAAAACTAGTTCAAGACTAGTCTAAAACCGTCAAAAACTTAACCGTTAAAGATTTTGAAATCAAAATTTCTCATTTCATTGCTATTCAAATACCTCCAATACTTTGTAACTGAAATTTTCTCAAAGAAGCAAATAAACTGATAACAATTAGCTTTTTATCGAAAAATCCGATTTTCACACCTCAAAAAAAAGCTTATTTTTCTTTGATGAAGTATCGATTTTTAAGAAAAACGAAATTTTCATTTGTAAAGTTTTCAATTTCATTTTCAGCACTCATTCGTTATCGGTTTAATTGCTCAAATTTTTGCTCTTTTGACCGCTTTGCTTATTTTGGTGATCCATTTATGAGTCAAAGAAGTAAGCTGAAAATTTCTGGATTTTTCGATGGCTTTGTTTGATGGGTTTTTCTTTTGACTGTACTTTGTGCTCAAACAAATTCATAAACACATCCCTTCTAGCGTAGTGTCAACGATTCTTGTCAACTTTCAACAATCTCCTTTATAGGAATTCGATTTGCAGAGAAAGAGTGCTTTTCGAATTTTTCCAAATTTTTCTCATCAACTTTATAATCAAATTTTTAAACTTTTCAAGCACTGTGCCTGCCAGATTGTTTAAAAATCTCGAAAATTCTCACCTTCATCAAATTGTGAGCTCACATTCACCGCATAATAGCCATCAGCTGAGGCACAAATCGATGAATGACCATAGCAGAAACACGGTGAACAACCGAACATGTTCTCACTAGAAATTTCAGAGATTTTGAATGAAAAGAGCAAGATTTACAGCCAGGGTTACTGTAAGATTGGGTAAGATTACGGTACAAGAAATCTACAGTAACCCTAGAACAAATTTCCATTCTATTAAGCTAGAAAAATGTCATAAGACGCTGTGATATCCAGCTTAAAATAAAACCCCAAGAAATCCATCACTATTCTTGGGGATTTGGCTTTAAATCCATTGGAAACTCTTTATGAGATCAAACTCACGTCGACAAATCGAAATATCCGGGTTTACACTTGTTACATTGACGACCCTCGACGTTACTTTTACAGGTACATGTTCCATTCATTGAATCGCAATACGGTTGATTCTCAAAACTTCCAGCTACCTCACATTCACAGCTCCTGAAAAAGAATCTAGAGTCTGGAAAGCCAAATTGTAGTTGTAAAGCTTGACTCCAAACCTATTTCTCATTCTGGCTCTATATTCTGGAAGGCACACTACCTAATGGCTAAGTTTTCAGGGCCACTTTATAAAGGCCACTTCTGCCGCACTGAATTCTTCGTTTTTCTCATGCCAACGATCGGCTTTACAAGAAAGTTCAGTGCACTAGAAAGATGTGCTTCTAAGAGCTCAAAGTACACATGGAAACTTAGCCATTAGGCTTTCCAGAAGAATCTCTCTTCACTCACTTGCAACCGTTTGGCCCAAAATCGTAGAACCCTGGTAAACATTGGTCACAATATTGTCCACCAACTCCTGGTTTGCACAAGCATTTTCCATCGGATTGGCATTGAGTTGATAATGATCCTTGCTAAAGAATAGTTAATTAAACAGATCGGTTTAGTTACCCAAGCTGGACTTGACCGGCCCAGTTACTCAAGTTAGACTTGGTTGGTTCAGTTACCCAAGTTAGACTAGGCTGGTTCAGTTACCCAAATCAGACTTGACCGGTTCAGTTACCCAAGTCAGCCTTGACCGATTCAATTACTAACTAGCATAGCTAACCTCATTGCACCGACAATCCATACAGTAATTTCGATTCGCTTCTCGCCAATGATTAGGCAAACATTCCTCACAATGGACACCTTGCGTGTTCCTTGACAATCGATGCAATGCCCACCGTGCCCGGTTTTCTCGTAAAGATCCTGGAATTTCAAACGTCAATTCTCCTGGTTCAGTTACCCAATTTACAGCCTGTGCCGGTTCATTTCCCTAACCTGATCATAATAGCATCGATTCGAGAGACCAGTGCAATTGCAGGCCACACATTCGTTAGCTTCTTGAGCCGTGCCGGGTTTCCACGGGCGATCGTTGAAGAATGGTTGACATTCGTCACAATCAGCTCCCTGTGTGTTATGCTCGCAACGACAGACCATTCTGAAAGGGATATCGGATATTTAATACGCGTCTCGCTCTTTAGCAAAGCCAAATTTCTAATTTTGAAAGCTCTCACCTGTATGCCTCTCCTTCTCCAGTCGATTTCACACATTCACTCGCGTGTCCGTTACACTTGCATCGACCACCGACAGCCAAATCAGAGATAGCGTAATGGTAAGAGCTGAGAACCTGAACGACAAGCTTTTAGATCCAAAATTACGATAGTTTAATGAGAAAACGATAAGGATATGACTTACAATCGGATCTCCGAAAACTTCGTCACCGAAAGTGTTCATGCGAACGAATTGGATACGAATTGCTGATGCTGTTACCCATTCCTAAAGTTTTGATTGGTTTAAGTCCATTAATTTATTTAGAAAGATAACTAGGGAAAGGCATTAGGTTAAGGTGGCTTTTTACTACGAGAGCTTTATAGAATTGATTATGCTGATTCTGAAGATGCTTTTACTTTTTCTAAAAGAGCTCTGCAAGGCGAGATTTCTGGTGTTAAAGTTTAGGAAGATTTTTGGGATATAAGTCGTTTATAAGCTTTTTCTTTGTCCTTAAAAAACTAGAGCTGATGGCGCAGTGGATAGCGTGCTAGTCTCTAAAAACGGTGGAGGCTCTTTTTGTCCGGGTTCGAGTTCGCTCCCGGTCTATGCTGTTTTTTTGACAAAAAATGATTAGAAACTTTCGATTGAATCTTACTATTTTGTGGAATTCAATTAATTTCCATTTCGCGTATTGAATTTCACAAATTTTTGCATAATCAGCTCATGAAATCATGAACAATCTTCCAGCAACAACAAACAAACAAAAAAAAATGTTTCTAAATCATTTCTAAACATTAATCGTTAATCAAAAGTCAAAAACAATCATTTCTCAACAATAAATCAACATTTTCTAATCATTTTCTCAAAAAAATCTACCGGGAGCGAACGCGAACCCGGACAAAAAGAGCTTCTGAAGGTTCTGAAGGTTAGCACACTATCAGCTCTTGCTCTTGCGCCATCAGCTCTAGTTTTTTAAGGACAGAGAAAAAGCTTATAAAGGACTTATAAATCTGCCTAAACTTTAACACCAGAAATCTCGCGTTACAGAGCTCTTTTAGAAAAAGTAAAAGCATCTTCAGAATCAGCATAATCAATTCTATAAAGCTCTCGTAGTAAAAAGCCACCTTAGCCTAATGTCTTTCCCTTTTAAGCACTAGATTATAGTCCGATTGCATCAAAGAAAACCTAAAAAAACCTGTAAAACAATAGAATCTCAAAGAAAACCCTATCAAACCTGTAAAACGATTGAATCTTCAAAAGCATGAGCTGATGGTCGGCCTTCTAAAGTCGAATAAGCAATGTTTCCTCCAGTAATCGGTGAAATATCCGAAAATTCTTTTGAACATTGAGCCACTGCTTCATTCCCAGGCAAAATTGGAGCTTTTTCAGCGACATGAAAAGTGGCACGGCAAGATGAGCTGAATTAAACGATTTTGATACAGTTTTATTGCTAGTTTGATTACTAGTTTGTTTTAACAAAGCTGTATTAAGCTTTATCTAACAAAGCTTTAGCTTAAAGTTTGCTACAAGCTTCAAGCTATCTTTTAGAAAGCTTAAAGTTTGTTAGAAGCTTCAAGCTATCTTTTAGAAAGCTTAAAGTTTGCTACAAGCTTCAAGCTATCTTTTAGAAAGTTTAAAGTTTGCCAGAAGCTTCAAGCTATTTTGTAGATAGCTTAAAGTTTGCTAGCTTAAAGCTTGCTAGAAGCTTCCAGCTATCTTTTAGAAAGCTTAAAGTTTGTTAGAAGCTTCAAGCTATCTTGTAGAAAGCTTAAAGTTTGCTAGAAGCTTCAAGCTATATTATAAAATGATACCTGTAATATTGCCAGGGAATCCATGGTTCATCATCACCGGGTTTCGTTTTCTTGTAAACGACGAAAGATTCTGGGCGAGGTGAGACGAATTTCAAATGCACATATGTGATGTCAAAAGTTTTTCCTAAAATGAAAAAAAGCTTCGATTTCTAATCACAAAAAACAAACCGAGATTTAGCGTAAGATTGACAGAGTTTGGATATTGCATTCCCTCTTTCATCGTCTCTGATTGCCACCATGTCGCATTATTGGCATTGTTAAAATCGGTAAGGTAACGAGCTGGATGAGCGAAAGCCTAAAAATAAATATTACAAGCTATAATATATCAAATCACCTTTATAAACCTTAAAATATTATAAAATCTATTGTAAAGATTGATTTTGAATAGCGATTTTATCAAATTTCGATTTGTTAATAGAGAAAAAACGACTAAATGATAGAAGAGACGAGGCAGAGAGCACAGAGCTGACAGCGCTCATTCAAGCGCTTGTAAAATGAGTTGTGCAAGTCCAATTGAAAACTTTTAAAGAGAGAAATGTAGCCAAGATTTAGGGCTACAATTCTCTATCTAACACTTGACATTTTTCAAATCATTCACCCAATTACCCAACCAACTAAAATTCACGATCGCTTTTTCAATTTCAAAATCCTCTTACCGGATGTCGAGCATCACAAGTGTCACAAACGCTTCTCAACTGCGAATTTCCCGTTTGCACGCAGAATCTAAATAGAATTTTGATTAAGAAATCAAAGATAGAAAAGATATCTAACAAGAAAAAGTCAATCAAGTTTGGACAAACGACAAATATTCGATGCAGAATTACTCGCTGATTCTGAATCTGTTTTCCGTTTTTGCTAAATAGCACTCTGTCAAAAGTTATAAGCGATTAAAGTTTTGAAATCGCAGAAAACATTCAGAAAACATTGAAAACTCGAAAATTTTCTTACAAGCTTCCTTTGACTTTAGAAAGGAGTGATGGTCGAGTTGTAGGCGGCTAGACTACAAGACTCAAATGGTTTGCCTTGTATTCTAGCCGACTATCACTAGGCCTTCACTGCGTTTCAAAGTCTCTGGAAACTTTGCTTATAAGATGATTTTTGGATGTTTTCGGATGATTTTCGACGACATGTTTTGATTTCAAAACTTTAATAGCTTATAACTTTTGATAGAATGCTGCGTTTCAAAAACGGAAACCAGATTCGAAATAAGCGTGAAATTCTGCGTCGAATGATGCCACATTCGGTTGACTTTCCTTTGTAAGAAACATATTTTTGAGAAAAACAGGTGCAAATTTCAGCTAATTTCAGCTAATTTCGGCTAATTTCATCAAAAATGGGTATAAGGGCGTCAAGTGGGGGAAGGGATAAGCAGCGGTGGTAGTCTAGGGGACTAGTGCGCTAGTCTACAACCTCTCGGGTTCAATTCTGGTTCAAAACTTTTGGAAAACATCTTTTGAGGTTTTAAAAGTGTTTTCACAGTGTTATTTGACTTATAATACCTAGAAAAAATGATTAACAATTAACCAAAATTCAGATAAATCTTTTTTAAGGTTTAGTCAAGTATTCTAATGGCAAAAAAAGCTGATTCTTTCATCATTTTTCAATTCTTTTTTTCTAAGCGCTTGTTAATGCTAGAAATCTGGTTTATATGTCAAAAAAAACACGCATTTTCTACTTTACTTTTATATCAAAGCGTGGCAAAAAGAAAAAGCAGTGGTGTCAAGAGTTGAGCGTTTTTCTAGAGAGTAGACAGACTTAGGCTTCTAGCAGGCTTCTATCAGGCTTCTATTACAGCAATTTAACCATACTCTTTTCTTTATCTGAATATAATAACCCGGGTTTCTATGCCAAAGCTATAGAAAAGAAAATTGAGCTTAAAAACGAGTCTTTTTCTTACTCAAAGTCCTAGTCAAAGCTTTTCTAAAGAAAAAAATGATTATCTAATGGTTTATAACGGTTTTAAAGTGTTCTGATATTAGTTTATGGTATTTTAAAGTTCATACTTTGTCGGTTGTTTCTCCCCGCAAGTATTTGTCACGTGAACTTCTCGCTGAAAAGCAGCATTGATGAAATCTGGCACACAACGTTGCGGGCTTAACGTCGCTGGATCATAGCAAGGATTAGCATCTGAAAAAAGAAAGATTTTCATCTTATTTTCTAATTAGATTTTAATTTTAAATCATCGATTATCGAATTCTAAAAGATTATTTAAAGAAAAAGTTATTGTAAAACGTCAAAAAATCATCGAAATTCAGTACTTTTCAATATAATTTCAATAACTTCTCAAAATCATCTTTTAAAAAACAATAGATCTAAACAATAGATCTTGCTAGAGCCTTTCCCAGACTATATCAATACCAATCCACTCACCAGCTCCAAAATGATGTGGATCAACTTGTGGATATTGTTGTGCTGGTTGTGATTTAGCATCAAAAATCAAAAGTACGGTGAATATGAAAAAGCGAAGACGATTCTTTCGCATTGTTTTCAATCGAATATTAAGAGATCAGCGAAAATACATAGAAAAAAGAGATCAATAAAGAGATCTCCACAATTTACACCCAAATTCGATGCAGCTTTTTTTGATCTAAAAATACAATTTTAAATCATGAAAATTTGAAAGATCATAAAAATTTGAAAAGTTTCAAAGATCAACGATTCCAATACGGTTCCAATACGGTTCCAATACGGTTCCAATTTTGATCTAATACGGTTCCAATACGGTTCCAATACGATTCCAATACGGTTCCAATACGCTTCCAATACGGTTCCAATACGATTCCAATACGATTCCAATACGCTTCCAATACGGTTCCAATACGGTTCTTTTTTTGATCTAATACGGTTCCAATACGATTCTAATACGATTCCAATACGGTTCCAATACGGTTCCTATTTTGATCTAATACGGTATCAATACGGTCCGAAAACGGTTCCCATACTCTTCCAATACAGTTTCAATATACAATAATTCCTAAATCCTGGAACTCACAAAGCTCAAAAAATGAAAGAACTTGAAAGAAATGAGAGAAGAAGATTTTGATAAATATTTTTGATTTGAAGGGATTTTTAGATGTTTGAGGAAATCTAAGTTAAAAAAACAAAGCTATTTCTATTCTGGAAGTCATCTGGCTAGAGAATTCAATGAGTTTTATTGTTTTAAGTGATCAAAAGATGAAAATGACCAATGTTAATTGAGAAAAAGTCTTCTTTAAAGAAAAGAAAAAAAATAAGACAAGAGCGGCACTTTTTCCTTGGCCAAATCACTGCAAGATCGAACGGTTTGCGAAAAGGAAAAGCTTTTTTTTTGAGGGAAAGATTATAGGATTGATGGAGAGGAAAAGAAAGGTGATAGGGAAAGAAATCGACAAGAAATCAACACAAAAATAGAAAAGATAAAAGAAAAAGATTGGGACACTCATTTGGGTGAAGTGATTGATGATTAGGAGAGATTTTGAGATTTCGAAATAAGAGCAGTAGACCGGAGCTGGCTGGCCAGACTTTTAGCCTAACCATAGCTGAATCTTGAGCTTAAATCTTAGCCTAACAGTACACTTGTACTGGGTACTGGTAGGCCAGTACCCAGTCTTGTTTTAGCTCTCTTTAGATCCTAGGTAACCCAGACTCTGATCCTGACTAGCATTGTTGATCTGTTAGATCCAGAGCCAGATCCAGATCCAGAGCCAGATCCAGAGCCAGCGACAGATGCAGAACCAGATCCAGAGCCAGATCAGAGACAAACCTGTGTCAAACCAAGGCTAAACCCATTGCTTGCCTGATACTTGTCCTTGGTCCAGCTTTGGTTTTTGGCTGTTGGACTCACCTGACATTGGCTAGATCCTAGTCCAAACTTGAACCAGGTTGGCCAAAGCCGTCTAGACCTGTCCAAACCAAACCTGTCGGGCTGAACCAGTTCCAAAAACAATTCCAGCCAGAAGCCAGACAACCAGAAGCCAGACAACCAGAAGCCAGCCAACCAGAAGCCAGCCAACCTGAAGCCAGCCAACCTGAAGCCAGCTAGCCAGAAGCCAGCTAATCAGAAGCCAGCTAACCAGAAGCTGCCAGTCAGAAGCCAGCCAACCAGAAGCCAGCCAGAAGCCAGCTAATCAGAAGCCAGCTAATCAGAAGCCAGCTAACCAGAAGCTGCCAGTCAGAAGCCAGCCAACCAGAAGCCAGCCAGAAGCCAGCTAATCAGAAGCCAGCTAACCAGAAACCAGCCAGAAACCAGCCAACCAGAAGCCAGGTCAGACTAGTTTACATCAAAGTCAATGGCACCAAACCTGGCTCAGGTTAAGTCAGTTCCAAGTAAGTCTAACAGCCAAAAACCAGCTGGACTAAAGGCTGGACAAGGATCAGGCAAGCAGGCGATTTGAAAATAATTGAAGACGGAAAAGCTAGGGTTGAAGAGTCAACTCAGGCAAGGTTAGTTTAATTCAGAAATAGAAAACTATCTGCAATCTCGATGTCCCTGTCCTAACACACGACTATCGACTTGCTTGGGTTGCTATCTAATCTATTGAATGGGGTGAGAGGTCAGTCAGACACTCGTTTCTCATCCCAGGTCCCCAGCCTCTCCCTTTTTATAGATGACCCATTGAGTCTTTTCCCCTTTCCTCTTGAGTTCTTTTTTGCTTTTGAGATTTATTGGCACCAGAAATTTTCCATCTCAGCCATTAGCAATCGTTTCTTTTTCTTTTAATCGTTTTGCTTTGAGCCAATCGATTCCTATATGATTCATCTTAGCGAAAAAAAGTCCGAAAAATTTGCTTTTTAGCGATAAATGATTATTATTACGATTGTTGATTTTGAAAATTCAAGAAAATTGACATAAGAATAGATTAAAAGAAAGAAATTGTTGAAAAAAATTGTTGAAAAATTAGTTTTCGGTTGTTATTGAGACGAATACAGACAAAAATATTCGATTAAACAAATTAAAAAAACTTTTAAAGTCATTCTTTAACTTCTTTAACTTCAAAAGTATGATTTAAATATAATATTGTTAAAAATAAAATTGGATAAGATTAGAAAATGATGGGGAAAAGAGGCTGGATCAATTGCGCAATCGTCACTCAACTCAACAGGTCGCCAGATATGTCTCTTAAATCTTTTCCTTTGAATTTTTCAAAGAAATAAGTACCTAATAATCTGCTTATGCTTAGAAAAAGTCACTTATAATTCTTGACTTAAGAATAAGTCAAGAATTATAAGATCTTTGGCTTCTTTGGCTTCTTTAGGAAATCTTTTTCTCTTTTCACCTTTTCCCTGCACCGCTGTACCATTCTTAGCTCTCTTCTATCAATAAAATGATGTCAATGTTTTGCATTGGTATGCAAATCATATCACTTATTGGAAAGAAGATCAACATTTTATGATGTGATAAGACAAACAGAAGATAGGCCTCTACAGAAGATAGGCCTCTACAGAAGACAGGCCTCTACAGAAGACAGGCCTCTACAGAAGACAGGCCTCTACAGAAGACAGGCCTCTACAGAAGACAGGCCTCTACAGACGATAGGCCTCTACAGACGATAGGCCTCTACAGACGATAGGCCTCTACAGACGATAGGCCTCTACAGACGATAGGCCTCTACAGAAGACAGGCCTCTACAGACGATAGGCCTCTACAGACGATAGGCCTCTACAGACGATAGGCCTCTACAGACGATAGGCCTCTACAGAAGACAGGCCTCTACAGAAGACAGGCCTCTACAGAAGACAGGCCTCTACAGAAGACAGGCCTCTACAGAAGACAGGTCTACAGATTCTAGAGTTCTGCAAGTCTGGTACAACTTATTGTTAGAATCAAAGCAGGATTAGGGTTGTTTCAATGGGAATTTATGCTAGGATAGGCAAAGTCAGACAACAGTTAGATCCTGACTTGGGTCTAAAGTTTGAGACCTAGGTTTCAGCCAAGTTTTGGTCTAGAATCTAGCCAAGTTTTGACCTAGATTCTAGAGTTTTGACCTAGATTCTAGCCAGATTTTGACTTAGATTCTAGCCAAGTTTTGATCTAGTTTCTAACCAAGTTTTGACCTAGATTCTAGCCAAGTTTGAGACCTAGGTTCTAGCCAAGTTTTAATCTAGGCTCTAGTCAGATTTTGACCTAAGTTCTAGCCAAGTTTTGACCTAGTTTACAAGTTTCAAAGTATAGTTGAGACATATGGATTAGATGTCAAAATCAGAACAGAGACCCGGCATCAGAAAAAAAGAAATCAGCTTATGGAAAAGCATAAAAATGAATGAAATGAATACCTAAGAATTCGTCTTGGAATCTGGGCCAACAATTCCTAAATAAAGCCTCAAAATAATAACAAAATACAAAATAATCAATCTAAGTTTCCAGAAAAATTCGATAAGCATCAAAAAAAACTTCTAGATAAGGTACAAGAAAAGGTTTCTTTGCTTGAGATTGCTCTAGAGATGAGTCTTTGTAGTGCCTTGGCCTGTCCTTTCCCCTTTTTACTCACCCCTCCAATCTCTCCATATTTGAGCAAACACAAGTTGTGACCTCTTCTCCTTTCTCCTCTTTTCTCATAAATGTTCTATAGAACATACTCCAAGATAAATAAAGCACAAGGCAAAATAGGCAATGATTGGCTTAGATTTTAAAAAAGATACGTAAAATGCGATTTAAGTTATCGTGTGCGTTCCAATTAAGAGATTAATTCTTAAAAAAGGTTAAGTAAACAAGAAAAACACAGAGGAAATGAGTTGCAGAACGTTTGTTGGGTTGTTTATTAGGAATTTGCAGTGTAAATCAAGGAGGCAAGAAATGACATTTTCAAAAAATCTGGCTGGCTTGGATGGTTTGGATGAACAAACATATAGAGTTCAAGCTTATGGAACAGATTTTTGGCTGTCACGGGTACGTCAAGCTCTTGAGTAAGATTAGATCTCAGGTTTAGGTCAGATTCAGACCAGATTTAGGCCAGACTTAGACCAGACTTAGGCCAGCTATAAATCTAACCAAGAGAGCAGGGTAATGACTGACTTCTGGCTAAAATTTAGAACTAAAACCAGGCCAGGTTTATGCCTAACTCTTTAAATCTATAAATCTCTTATAGCTAGCTCTTGAAATTCATAAAGAACGAAAAAAATCGATAAGAATAATTTCAGTTTTAGCTTTAAGATAAAACTATCTCTGCTAGCGGATAGGGGAGTTGGAAAAAAAAGGATCGCCGAATTGGTCACAGCTGCGCGGTCCAGATGTGAATAGGGATGGAAAAGAAAAAGTTTGGCAAAAAAAAAAAGTGGCTAAAGAAAGATTTTCTCTATACCAAAATTCACAAGTTTTTCATTTTGAATCTAGAAAATTTTCGATTTCGATCAAAACCTTAAGCAGCTGGGATCAAGAAAAAACGTAAACCATTCTCATTTGTGCGTTCCAGAATTCCCAAAAAAAACATTAGATTTTCAAATTTTTATATAGAAAACGTTTAAAATTTAAAGGGAATAAGATTTTTGAGAAATTTTGAGAGATTTTACTATGAAATGTGATTATGTAAGAATGAAAATTAGTAGTGTGCGTGCCAGAATGACATAAAATGAGAACAAATAAGATTGTGAGTGTGTTGAAGGCTTTAAAAATGTTTAGAAATCGATCTAGACAACTGGATCAGTTAAATGCAAATTTTTTTTTTCTAAGAAATCGTAAATCTAAAGAAAAATGATAGGAACGCGTCTTGGAGATCTATCAATAAGAGATAATAGATTGAATGGAGGAGAGTTTTGAGAGAAAGAGAAAAGGGGAATGGTGCAAGATGGTGACCTTTCTTGTGGAAGGGGTAAGGAAGGGACAGGGCACAGATAAGCGATAATAATTGCGATTGGAGTGGAGGTGGGATGAGAAAAAGATACTAGCTTCGCGCATAAGTCTTGACCAGTTTTTAGAGTTCTTAGAAATCAGTAATGCGTCCATTGATCCATGGTTTGTTTTGGGTGAACCAGAATTACGGCTACAACAGATTACAGCCTTTACAGCCGCAATCAATTCAAAAACCCTAAGTCTTATATAGAGAATTAAAGCCTGGGTTCTTGCCTACATTTCTGTATCAAAAGATCTTTGATTGGAGTTTTGCAGCCCATTTTTCAGATCCTCAAAGAGCTCAATCCAACCAGTCTCCGGCACACTTCGATTTTTAGCTTTTTTCTATTGTTCGCGATCTCTTTTAGATCTTAGATCCAACCACTCGCTTCTCTTTTCATCAACAACATCACTTTGCTGATCGATTTCTTGAACCATGCTTTGGAGCAAGGCCCTGGTCTGGCCTCTGAACTTGGCTTTGCGCCTAGCTTGGCGTTTCACCTAACTTGGCCTCATGATCAACCAAAAACTGCCCAGCCGAACCAGAATCTCAGGCCAAGATCTAGCTTAACTTTTTAGGTGACTTGGCTTTAGCCTGAAATACTACTCACTATCAGACAGAAGCCTAATTAGGATCTGATTCAAGCTGAGAAATCTATCGACTCTAATCAGACCAGCTTGGAGTCAGATTTGACTTTTGGTTTATGAAAGTCAGCTCAGTCAGATGAAAGCCAATCAGAATCAAATTCTAGAGTTGACTTGCTAGCTAGAAAGCTAGCTAGCACACCTAGCTAGAAATCAAATTGAATCACCAATTTTCAAGGTACATGTAAGATTTTCAAATTGGCAATGTTTAAATTGACAATGTTCAAATTGACAATGTTAAAATATTATCGTAAAGCTGTTTTAAGTCTGGTTTGGTTGTGTCGAAAAATATAGTTTTTGCGAGAAGCCCTTTCCCTGATCAATGTGTTGATCGAGGAAAGGGGAAAAGAAATGAACGGGACAAGGAGAGGGATGACTCACCCCTCTAGCAAATCCATCAACCACAATAGACAGAGACAAAAAGTCTTTACCTTTACAATCAATCACACAGACAATTCAGTGTGATTCGATGGTTCAATTACCCAACTTTCTTTTGGTTAAATGCTTCGAAAGTTTGTCTAAAGCTAGAGATTCAAAGCTATAAGCCATAAAATAAAGCTGAAACTTGTATAGTTAAGGAAAGCTGGCTGTACTGCTGACGGTACTTCTTGAAAGGTTTTAACATCTTTTGGAATTGTAGTGAATGAAAGATCATCTTCAAATAGTTCAATCGTGTTGTCCACGAGAATTTAAAACCGTGTTTAAGCTAGAAGTATAACACACAAAACCCTAACCTCATTTCAAAACTCGACAATCAAAATCGTTTTCAAGCTCAATAAACGCCAGTTTAGAGTACACTTCTTTGAAAACAATTTCTAAATTAAGTAGATTATTAGCACAAAACACAAAAGCATCATATAAAATCGTTTTTCTCTAATTTGAGCTATCAACAACAACAACGGCGGACGGATCTTCTTTTGCTTACAAAGTACGCTTACCTATTCGACTCAACTTCTCAACTCGTTCAGCGGGAAGAAAACTTTGCAAATGATTTCCATAGAATCGTCCAGCTCTGGAAAAGCATCTTTCGCGTTTAATACTTGTTCGCAGGATTGACAAAAACAAAAAGTCAATCGAAAACAACAAATAAACCTTTTCTCGAATAGGTAAGCGTACATTGCAAGCAAAAGAAGATCCGTTCGTTTCTTCGTCTCTTTTAAAAAGAGTTTTTGTCGGTTTGATTCTCCAAATGTTTGCCAATATTTACCAATATTTGTCAATGTTTTCAATAGTCCTTCAGCTTCACGCCTGCTGTGAAAACGAGATGTAGCTGATAGATGGAATCCACTCGCCAATGCTAAAAAACCAAAAATCTTTTTTTGAAGATATCTTTTACCTATTTTCAGTTATTCCCATTCTTCTTTTGTTAGCCGCATCGAGTACAAAAGCAATCACTCGATCAGAATCCATGCTGTATAATTTGAGAGCTTTAAATAGAGCCTCGTCCAGCTCTAAAACAGAAACTTTCCAAATTCTTCAAATACCTCACCTGCTCTCGATTTTTAGATGTGCAACTGGTGTTTGTAAAGTCTTCTAAGGCCAGCAGTTCTTTTGGAAAAGCATCTTTCCTTCCCTTCAGTTCTTTTGGAAAAGTGGAATTGATGTAGTGAATTATACTAAAGTAAAATTTTTGACAAATCAACATCAAAACAAACCCGAAAAACGAGACACCATTAGATTTTGTCGCCCAATCATCCAAAGCTTTTGCGAAATAGCTAACTACCAGTTTAGCTAACTACCATTTTAGCTCATTGATCAAGTCTAAATGAAAAGATTTCACGCACGTAAACTTTAAACTTACTTTCATTTTGTTGAACCTTTCCTCAAGAACTTGCGTTCTGCGTTCAAGAACAAGAAGAATTTTTTGCGAGTCGGCAGCACAATTTTTTTGTCGGACACCCAATGCTTTATGTTTATAATAACCAACCCGATTAACTCTATTTGAAACGATCTGATTCCACAATGTAAACGGCAACTATGAACGGCAAGTGTGAACGGCAAGTATGAACGGCAACTATTAACGGCAACTATTAACGACAAGTGTGCACGACAAGTATGAACGTCAACTATGAACGGCAAGTGTGCAGGACAAGTATGAACGACAAGTATGAACGGCAAGTGTGCACGGCAAGTATGAATGTCAACTATGAACGGAAACTATAAACGGCAAGTGTGCACGACAAGTATGAACGGCAAGTGTGAACGGTAGACACAACAGCAAGTTCTCTGCTACTATCACGTCCATCAAGACATAATTATCCAAGGACTAAAACATTTGAAACATTAAAAGAAATAGATAAAATTTCAAAAGCTTACATTTTTGTCGACTTTTTCTTAGCGACACTGATATTTCTGGTTGAAGTTGTTCTGTCATCCTATCCACAGCATCCTTTGCTATTCTTTCACAGTATTTTGTTAAATACCTAAATAAAAACATCGGTTCCATTATACTAAAAACAAAGTTTCGTTTCGATTTCAAAACCTTACTTCACTTTAGATCGTTCTTAAGGTATTTTTTGTTGATTTGACCATTCATCATGACTCTTATTGTAGACTGAATCAGCTTCTCGCTTCTTGCTTACTTCTCGAAATGCTGCCACATCATCGATTGACTAAAATGCTAACATTAAAACAGAAAACACAGCGTTACTTCTTTTCTTGGAGTCTTCATTTTTGTTTTTTTGTTTGGCGGTCTTTGTTTGGCGTTCTCCATTACCTGTAAGAAAACAAAATTGTAAGAATCATCACAAATATACTTAGCGTTTTTAAGAATGAAAAAAAATAAAAAATAAAAAATTAACACGCGCTCGAAAAATTGTGAAAAAAATAAAAATAGAAATAAACACACGCTCGCAAAAATTGAAAGGATTACCGTAGCCTTGCTTTACCACATTTTAGCAAACGTAAGGCGTGATTTTCATGATCATTTTCACCAATAACCGGCATTGGGACAAATGCGACCTTTTTTTTTGCGCACTCGGACATTTGCGCACCTTTTTTTCCGCACTTAGCCCATTAGCGCACCTTTTTTCGCGTTTTAACAAGCTCTAAAAAGCTAAAAAAGCTCTAAAAAGCTAATATTAACCAATTTCTATTCCAAAAGTTGTTTTTCTAGGTAATTTGAGGGCGTAGAATCGAAATTTTGGCATATCAGAGCTTGTGGAAGCGAAAAGCGATGTCCGGGTGCGCAAAAAAAAAGGTCGCATTTGTCCCACTCCCCCAATAACCAGCTTATTTTCATTTTCTCATTCTGTTGACTTTAAAAATTCCCCTTTCGCTTTCAATTTCCTTTGAACTTTATAGTTCAAATTATTCATAAAATAATCATTTTCGTGTTTTCCCCTCTATTTCTTCAATTTTAAGATCAAAATGATAAACAATATGTGAAATAAAACGAAAAATGAGAAATGAGCAAGTGTGAAACACGGAATTTTCTTTGTTACCTTACCTTTCTTTTTTTTTTCAGCGCATTTTTCAGTATTTTTCAGCATTTAGCGCTGAAATGCACCAGAAAGGCTAAAATTCTTTAAATGCCAGCCAGTTTTTGTATTTTTTAAATGCTTTCCATTTGTTTAAATGTTTTCCATTTTTTAATGCTTTTCATTTTTTTTAAATGCTTTCCATTTGTGTTTTCCATTTTTTTACCCAAAAATTTCTTGATTTTTAGAGAAAATTTGACTCAAAGAGAAAACGGACTCAAATGAGACTTGAGAGATCATGAGTTTACCTGAATTTGTGGATCGATGCTTTGGAGAGGTAACTTTTGGATTTCTGCTTATTGGCTTGGTTTAGAACTGACTCTGGAACTTAGACTGACTTAGACTGACTTAGAACTGACTTTAGAACTGACTCTGGAACTTAGACTGACTTAGGACTGACTTTAGAACTGACTTTAGAACTGACTCTAGAACTTAGACTGACTTAGAACTGACTTTAGAACTGACTTTAGAACTTAGACTGACTTAGAACTGACTTTAGAACTGACTCTGGAACTTAGACTGACTTAGACTGACTTAGAACTGACTTTAGAACTGACTCTGGAACTTAGACTGACTTAGGACTGACTTTAGAACTGACTCTAACTCTGGAAGCTAACTTAAAACCAAATCCCCAATCATCTAAAGTCTACAATATCAATAGCTTTCAAATAGCTTTTAAATAGCTTTTAAATAGCTTTCAAATTTAGTTCAACACCTCAAAAACAAACGCGAATTGCCCTGAGCTCTTCTATTTCTCGATTTTCCCGTATTCTCTCACTCTTTTTCTCATTCTCTCACTTTTTCCGTTTCAAGCTCACAAACTTCAAAAGCTGAAGAAGAAATGGCCAGTAAATCGATGGATATTCTTCAAAATGGTAAAGAATTTACAATTTCGAAGAAATAGAATGTTTTTAGCTTATTCTGGCACTGTTGGCTTTATTAAGCGGCATTGAAATTGTCACGAAACACTTGAAAAAAGGTGTTGAACTTTTTGAGCTCCTCTACAATTTGTTGGTTTTTACGAGCATGGTAAGTTTAATTTAGATTTTATTTTAGATTTTATTCTTTAAACCAGTCTAGAAAAGCTATTGTTATCTAGCTATTCAGGATTATAATAGCTTACGTTGTTCTGTAGCTGGTTGATAATAACTGACTAGAGATCGTTGTTTATTTACCAATTCAAAGTTGGATCTAGCCTATTTTATAGCAAATTTTTCGCTGATTTTGAATATCGTAAATCCTTTAAAAAGCGCCGCATCTAGAGCTTGATCAAAAAAAAAATCAGTGCCGCGGTTAGGGAATTTAGTTAAAACAGTGCCATAATAGCAAAACGTTCAAAACAGCGCCGTCAGATTTCTCAAAATCCAAAAAACCAAGGCGGCTCAAATTTATACCAAAAAAATTCCTTGCTTTCTTGGCTACATGGTGGGAGAAACAGCTTTTTAAAAAAAGTTATTCTTCATAGATAAAATTAGCGTTCAAAATGTGTGTGTCCAGTGAAACTCGGTTGGTTAGCTGAATATCTTTAGAGGTTTGATCTTTTTTTTATCTATTAGCGACATGTCTTCGAAAAGCGCAAGATCGCTTGATACTCGCGCGGTTAGATAATTAGTGCAATTCGAAACTTGGTGGTAAATAAACAACGATCCCTAGTAAGTGCGGTAGCTAGAATTTGGTACTTTGGTAGCCCTAGTAAGTGCGGTAGCTACAATTTGGTGAATTGGTAGCCCTAGTAAGTGCGGTAGCTACAATTTGGTGAATTGGTAGCCCTAGTAAGTGCGGTAGCTACAATTTGGTGAATTGGTAGCCCTAGTAAGTGCGGTGGCTAGAATTTGGTAAATTGGTAGCCCTAGTAAGTGCGGTGGCTACAATTTGGTTCATTGGTAGCCCTAGTAAGTGCGGTGGCTACAATTTGGTTCATTGGTAGCCCTAGTAAGTGCGGTGGCTACAATTTGGTACTTTGGTAGCCCTAGTAAGTGCGGTGGCTACAATTTGGTACTTTGGTAGCCCTAGTAAGTGCGGTGGCTACAATTTGGTACATTGACAGCCCTAGTAAGTGCGGTAGCTACAATTTGGTACATTGGTAGCCAAGTTATGGCTTATAGTAGTTGAGTAAGGTATTGTAGATTACGATTGCTTGCAATGCCCGTTTCCTAAATCTAAACCCTTCCTTTTTCCATCGTAATCTTGTCTATGGTTTAGAAAAAGCGTAATGTGAGAGATATTATACATAAAAGTACAGTAAAGTACGATTTACAATACATAAAAGTACAGTAAAGTACGATTTAGAGTACATAAAAGTTCTATTTGATGTTTTAGATAATGAGTATCGTTTCCGTTTGGTTCTCCGCTCGTTCTGGTCATCGTTTCAATGGTTTAATAATCTCGTTCTCAATTGGAGCATTACTTTTTGAGGGATCGTTTTTAATGCAACTTGTGAGTTTCTAAAATATAATTTCTTTGATTTAGCTCTTCTTTAATTCAATTACCCGTTTAGCTTCTCAAGAATGGCTACAAATTCCCATTTTGGAGCACAATTCGAGTGCTACTCTTGACAATTCTCAATATTTCATCCTTTCAACAAGATCAACACGATGAGAACAATGTAAGCAATGTTATTTTTATTATAAACCATTTTTGTTACTCAAATCTTAATCAAAATCATTTCAGAAAGCTTGTCCAATCGACTCAGCCGGTTTCTATTCAATTCTTTTCATCTCATGGTTCACAAAACAAATCTCCATTGGGAATAAAAAGGTTAGATTATTTAAATTTAACTTCAAAACTTAAACTTTCAGTCTCTCAAAATGGAAGATCTCTTCAATTTACCGATAAACGCAAAATCGGAATTTTTAAGAAAACAATGGAGAGAAGCTTGGGAAATTGAGAAGAAAAGTATGATTTTTGATAGATGATTTACTCAAAATTTAATCAATTTAGATAAACCAAAAAACCCGTCAATAATTTGGGCAATTCATCGATGTCATGGTTGGCACATCTTCTTCATATCATTGCTGCAATTGGCGAGTGATGTGGCAAGGAATCTGACGAATCCACTCTTGCTCAAGTGTGTCTAAACCTTAGCTTTTGCTGCTTTCTTGGTTTTCACCAAGAAACTATCGTAATCTCTCTATTCAGCTGGGTTACGGTACTTTAAAGTACTAAGTTGATGTAAAAGAAATTTCGCTTTTTCTTCAACGTTGCTTCAGATCCACTTATTGAAGAAGTCTTGATTCTGTGATTGAAAGTAGTTCGGTCATGATCAAACAAGCCCGTTAATATTCCACCAGCAAGACAATATCACTTTGTGCTCAGGCTTTAGAGTTGAAACTAGCATTGCTCAGCTATTGTCCTTGCTGAGCTATTGTCTTTTTTGATAAATGTTATAGAAATGAATCCACTTCTAATCCATTATCAAGATATTCTCAAAATTAGCTTCTTTTCTTCAAGATATGACTGATCGAAGTAGGATAAGAAATAAGATAAGCAAGATAACAAGATACAGCTCCCAGATTCTCAGTCCTGGCTAATTCTCGGTGCTGACGTGATACCTATAGTCTTTTCGTTCATTACGATTGGCCTTTCCGATTATTTCCAAATGGCGGACAATTCTTGATTGATTACATTAGAGATGTTGCAAGATTGGAAAACCATTGGGTTTGTTGTTTGCATTGGATTCCCTTCAAGAAGTTGTTGTTCCAATTCATTATTATCGATCCTTGCAAAGCGATGCCCATGTGGCTGCCAAGCGATGCCCATTCAAGAGATTCAATACCTTCTCGCAATCGGGAAAACCAGGCCTAGAACAATCTAGATTTGGAAAACCAGAGCTAGCATGATCTTTTGATCATAACTTGTTCTCCAGAAGTGGAACAAAGATCACGATGTGATTCGGCAGGCAACAAAGATCACGATGTGATTTTTGCTCATCTTGAACATGAGAAGACACACGTTCACAACATACTTTTGATTCACCATGATCTAAAGCAAATATCAATTAAAAAGTGAAAGTTTTGACTTAGAAAAAGCGTAAAAATAATATCCAAAAGAAAATGAAATAAGATTTCCGGTTTAAAAAAAATAGAACGAAATTTGTTTTGCATCAATTTGGTCAATGTTTTGCATCAATTTGGAGGATTAAATGGTCTTCTAGAAGGTCTTCTAGAAGCTATTTTACTAGGTTGATCGTAAAGAGATGGATAAGCTAAGGTTATAATATCAAAATGTCAAAAGTTACCCATCAATTAGCTTATTATTCTTGATCCAGAACACTAGTGTTTCAAAATCATAGAATTAGCATTTACGCGACTTGGGCACTTTGGTAAGGAGCCGGATGGGAGCTGGGTATTCCCTGATAAATTTTGTACGATAATCCGGTTGTTTAAAGTCAAAAATGGCCAAGCTGGATTTCGCACGAGTGTTTCATAATAAGAAAATCGAGATTCAAGCAATTTTAGGTAAGGGGTAGGTACTGACTTCCATTTCTTTCGGATCCATTCTTTCGGATTCACGGCTGATCGAACTGGAAGCCTTAAAGAACAAGAAATTACACTTAAAATCCTACAAACTTACAGTTTAAAATCCTATAAACTTACAGTTCTTTTAACCTTAAAAAAAAAAACAATCGAAAAGTCCTTTTTCAATAGATGGTTGCTTTCATCGATTCACTCTCCATCAACTCCACTCTCGTTCTCATTTCTTTGTGCAATTGGGCTCTTTCTTGGATCAGAGATGAAATCATTGCTTAGTGGTTATTATAATCATGGAATGCTGAAAATCGCGATCTATATTCAGTCAATATTTCAGAATGCGATTTTTGAAAAGGTATTTTTTGCATAACAACTTAACAAAACTGTATAAACAAGACGAAAACGTAGACTGTAGTTTTATCCGGATTCTAAACAGTAACCCTTACAGTACAGTCTTACAGTAACCCTTACTGTCTTTGATTTAGATCTTTATCCCATACTCTAAGCTTTAAGCTCTAAGTAACCCTTTTTAGTCTCTAAAACTCAATGCTGAGGCTCGTGGCAAGTATGATGTAGGATATTTGGTGAATCTAATGGCCGTTGATGTGGAAAGAATTTGCTCGTTCATCCCGTTTGCCACCGAATTAGTCACAATTCCAGTTCAGGTATTGGAAATTGACTCTAATTAAGTCAAATCTACGCCTTGACTGTTTCAAGGCTGTTTCAAGTGATTTCTTGGCTCTTTCTTGGATCAGAGATGAAATCATTTTCTGGGTTACTTTTAGAGTCAGTTTAATGAATAGACTTAATAGGAAGTCAGGTTCAGTCTCTGGCTTCGGTAAATTGATTCTTGCATCCAAGCTAGACGATAAAGAATTAAACCAGGATCATTTTGCTGTAAGCTTTAAGCTGTAGGTTGTAAGCTGTAAGCTTTAAGCTGTAAGCTGTAAGCTGTAAGCTGTAAGCTTTAAGCTATAAGCTCTAAGCTGTAAGCTTTAAGCTGTAGGTTGTAAGCTGTAGGTTGTAAGCTGTAAGCTGTAAGCTTTAAGCTCTAAGCTTTAAGCTCTAAGCTTTAAGCTCTAAGCTGTAAGCTCTAAGCTTTAAGCTTTAAGCTCTAAGCTCTAAGCTTTCATTGTTAGCTGTAAGCTTCAGCTTCTCTTCTCGATGATGTTCCTTACGTGGTCTCTCGGTATCTCTGCTCTTGGTGGCCTATTTGTAATCATTTCTGTGATCATCTTCAACATTCTCTCATCTCGATTGATTAAACGATTTCAAGCAAAACAGATGCAATTGAAAGATGAAAGGACAAAGATGTGCAATGAGGTGGAATGCTTAGAGATTAAAAGCTAGTTCTCGAGCTAGTTCGCTTTTAAATGTAAACTTTAAAGGTTTATATCTTCTCTGCTTTTTAAAGAACACAATGGTTTAATAGATTCTAGAATTTCTATCAAAATTTCGATCAAAAATACAGAAATTGAAGGAAAATTGCAAAATCCGAAAAATTTGCATAGTAGCACCGAAAATAGAGAAATGTGCTACTAGTTTAAAGAAAAAGTTCTGACTCAGCTGCGAAAAAAGTCAATTTTTGTGTTTAATAACAAAAATAACAACAATTATTCTTTAAAAAGATAAACGATGATTATCTACGACTTTCTGTCATCGATCTACAAGCTTTCCAATCTGAAAGTAACACTTTTTCGGTTTCAAATCAAAGAACTCTTGAAAAGCTTTCTTCAGCTTCTTTAAATGGCTCCGTTTTCAGCAAAAAACAAAGCTTTTTCTTGTAAAATCATTTGGAAAAAAAAGATCAAGATTTGTACAATATAAGCGCAAAAAAACCATCAAAAAAAGGAATAAAAATGGAATTTTTTTGCAGCTAGTCAAAGACTGCAGTCTTGAGAGTCTCAAATTCAGTCAAAGACTCAAATTCAGGTTCTCAACGGGGTGAAACTCATCAAATTATACGCGTGGGAGGAGGCTTTTGAGAGGAAAATTCACGAGCTTCGAACAAAAGAGGTTTGTTTTGAAAGAGCTGCATTTGTAGATTATTGGCCGGATTATTGTAGTCGGGTTATTGGCCGGATTATTGTGACCGGATCATTGTGGCCGGATTATTGTGACCGGATTATTGGTCGGATTATTGTGGCCGGATTATTGTGGCCGGATTATTGTGGCCGGATTATTGTGGCCGGATCATTGTGACCGGATTATTGGTCGGATTATTGTGGCCGGATTATTGTGGCCGGATCATTGTGACCGGATTATTGGTCGGATTATTGTGACCGGATCATTGTGACCGGATTATTGGTCGGATTATTGTGGCCGGATTATTGTGGCCGGATCATTGTGACCGGATTATTCGCCGGTTTATTGTGGCCGGATTATTGTCACCGGATTATTGTGACCGGATTCAATCGGCTCAATCAATTTACCCTTAAAATGCTAGCTTTTAAAAACAAGCAACCAACCGGATTGATTTTGATATTTTTAAACAGAAATAATAATATAAAAAGAAAATTTGGGAAGAGCTGCTGGGGAGGAGTTGCTGAGGAAATACCCCAAAATTTCTTTGATACTGACGTGATTTCTCGAAATCCGGCTATAAAAAAGACTTTTAATTGACCTAGAAACGTTATTCTTTAAACTTTGATTTGAAAATCATACATTAAAGTGTAAACTTTTAGGTGAAAATGATCAAAAAAATCAATTTGATTGGTCGTTCTGTTGATGTGATCAATGAAGCATCTGCATTTTTGGTTTGCATAACTTTTCTAATATAGATTTTAATATAAACTTAAATAAGGATTTGATTTTCGGTAAATACTCGGTAAATACCTACCGTAAATACTGTAATAGTACCCCACCCTCCCATAATGACGGTGCGGAGTTTTGCATAGTCTAGCTTTGAACGAGTTTTTCTCGACACTGTTTTATGCTACAATACTCGCTTAGGTATCAAAAAATAGCCCTGAATCTCAGCTATTTTTTGATACCAAGGTGAGCATTGTAGCATAAACCAGTGTCGAGAAAAACTCGTTCAAAGCTAGACTACGCAGCACTCCGCACCGTCATTATGGTTTGCATAACTTTTCTAATATAGATTTTAATAAAAACTGAATGAAGGATTTAATTTGCATTCTTTCCAGGTAGCTTTTGTCGTTTTTGGATTAGTTGTACTTAACACAAATGGAGAGAATTTGACACCAGAAGTGAGTGATTTCAAAATCAATTTAGCTATCAAATTTTCGTTTATTTCTCAACTTTCCTATAGTAAATTTTTGAAGATTTGTTTATTGATAATTGACAAAAAAAAACAATTCAATTTATTCAACTCTTTTTCGGTGGTTTTCGTGGCGCTTGCCGTCTTCGCTCAATTGCGTCGACCGATGCGTGTTTTAGCTCAAACTTTGCTACATCTTGTTCAGGTTTAAAAAAAGAAAGATTGGATTTTTAAAGTTTAAGTTCGAATATGGTTCGAATATGGTTCCAATATGGTTCCAATAAGGTTCCAATATGGTTCCAATAAGGTTCCGATATGGTTCCAATATGGTTCCAATATGGTTCCAATATGGTTCCAATAAGGTTCCAATATGGTTCCAATATGTTTCCAATAAGGTTCCGATATGGTTCCAAGATGGTTCCAATAAGGTTCCGATATGGTTCCAATATGGTTCCAATATGGTTCCAATATGGTTCCAAGATGGTTCCAATAAGGTTCCGATCTGGTTCCGATATGGTTCCAATATGGTTCCGATATGGTTCCAATATGGTTCAGTTTATTTTCACAATTTCTTTTATCTAATTCAATTGTTTAAGTAACAGAATTTTAGGCTAAAGTTTCGCAAGCTCGTGTCGAGAGTTTTTTAATGGAAAACGAGATTTTGATAAAGAAAGGAGAGGAAATTTGGACAAAAAATGAAGCAATTAAAATTGAAAAGGTAAATTTTAGTTTTTCTTACACTTTTATTCAATTTAGGGATCATTTAAATGGAGCGAATTGAATGGGAAAATTTGTTTGTCAGAGTTGAATTTCGTGGTGAAACGGGGAGAACTTGTGGGAATTGTTGGAGAAGTCGGCGCCGGAAAAAGCAGTTTATTGGCTGCAATTTTGGGTAAAAGCTAATATGAATTTGAAGCTGATATGAATTTTTATTTAAAAACGATCTTTCTTTTCTTTTTCTTTTATTAGATTTCTTTCTAGAAACATTTCTTTTCTAGGAATTGGTTAAAATCTAAGTTTAGACAAGTAAAACGTTATAAATCTGATGTCTAAAAGTTCTTGAAGCTCTAATCAGCTAAATTCTAGTCCTTTAAGCTCTAATCAGCTGAATTCTAGTTCTTTAAGCTCTAATCAGCTGAATTCTAGTCCTTTAAGCTCTAATCAGCTAAATTCTAGTCCTTTAAGCTCTAATCAGCTGAATTCTAGTTCTTTAAGCTCTAATCAGCTGAATTCTAGTTCTTTAAGCTCTAATCAGCTGAATTCTATTTCTTTAAGCACTAATCAGCTGAATTCTAGTTCTTTAAGCTCTAATCAGCTGAATTCTAGGAATTGATTAAAATCTAAGGTCTAGCCTAGTCAAATCTAAAGTTTAGACTAGTCAAAGTTCAGACTAGTACAAATCCGATATCTAAAAGTTCTTGAAGCTATAATCAGATGAATTTATAAACTCAGCTTACACAGAATTCTAGATTTAGACTATTTCTTAATGATTTGATTTAAATATTGTGTTTCTTTCCCTTTTCGAGTTATTCTGTTGGCTATAGTTTGCTTAAATTGATTTGTGTAATGAAAGCGATTCAAAAATTGATCTAGAACTTGTAAAAGAACAGATCTAGAGCTTGTAAAAGTTGGATTTCTTTTTTTAATCAATCTATTAACCACAATTTTCTAGATGAAATGATCCAGAAAACTGGTAAAGTAACAAAAAGCGGTTCTTTATCTTATTCCCCACAACAACCATGGATTATTAACACAACAATTCGAGAGAATATTTTATTGGGAAAGGTAGAGATTTGAAAGACTGTAAAACTGTTGTAAGACTGCTGTAGACTGCTGTAGACTGCTGTAAGACTGCTAGACTGCTGTAGACTGCTGTAGACTGCTGTAAGACTGCTGTAGACTGCTGTAGACTGCCGTAGACTGCTGTAGACTGCTGTAGACTGCTGTAGACTGTTGTGGACTGCTGTAGACTGCTGTAGACTGCTAGACTGCTGTAGACTGCTGTAAGACTGCTGTAGACTGCTAGACTGCAAGACTGCTGTAGACTGCTGTAGACTGCTGTAGACTGCTGTAAGACTTCTAGACTGCTGCTAGACTGCTGTAGACTGCTGTAGACTGCTGTAGACTGCTGTAAGACTGCTGTAGACTGCTGTAGACTGCTGTAAGACTGCTGTAGACTGCTGTAAGCCTTGTCAATCTTGTCAATCTTGTCAACAATCTAGTCTTTTAGCCATTCAACCCTGATCTCTTCAAAAGAATTATTCAAGCAACCGAGCTACAAGAGGATTTATCTAGATTTGAGCATGGAGAATTGACAGAACTTGGAGAAAACGTTAAAAGAAGAGAGTTTTTTTAATCAAAATTTTCTAGGGTGTTACTCTATCCGGTGGACAAAAGGCTCGTTTGGGATTAGCTCGAGCACTCTATCAGGTCAGTATTTGGCTAGAGTGATCAACTGAAAACGTTGTCAAGGACAGATCTGGCTTCTGGGATTACCCAGATTTGCAATAAGCCAAGTCAAATCCAAAGTCAAATCCAAAGCCAAATCCAAATCAAAAAAATCATCCCTTTTAGCTTAATAGATCATTTTAAAGGATTGTGAGATTGTTTTGCTTGATGACATTCTCTCAGCGGTTGATGTGCATGTGGGAATGGCGATTTTTCAAAAAGCCATTGGTCCATTTGGGATTCTGAGGGAGAAAACGAGACTCCTAGTCACTCATGGAAAGTTTTCTGTTTCATCATTCATCAATTCATTTTAGGCCTTCATTATGCAAAGCTTTGCGATCGAGTAATAGTCATGGATCAAGGGAGAATTCGAAGAATTGCTACCTATCAAGAATTAGCAGTATCAAAGAAACTTTGGATTCTTTAAAAAGCTTTAGAGAGACGATCAACTTTTCCGAAAGCTTCTTGTTGAGAATAAACGGGAGAGAAAGGAGAGCTTTTCTGAGAGTTCAGGTAAGAAAAGAAAAAAAGAAGAACTCAAAGCTTGTAGCCATAAGATTCAAGCTAGACCAACCTAGACCTGGACTAGAACCAGGACCAGGGCCAAGAGCTAGACCAGGACCAGGACCAGGACCAGGACCAAGAGCTATACCAGGACCAGGACTAAGAGCTAGACCAGGACTAGGACCAGGACCAAGAGCTGGACCAGGACAAGGGCCAGGACCAGGACCAAGAACTAGACCAGGACCAAGAGCTAGTCCAGGACCAAGACCAGGACCAGGACCAAGAGCTAGACAAGGACCAGGACCAGGAGCTAGACCAGGACAAGGGCCAGGAGCAGGACCAGGACCAGAAGCTAGACCAGGACAAGGGCCAGGACCAGGACCAAGAGTTAGGTCAGGGCCAGGACCAGGACCAGGACCAAGAGCTAGACAAGGACCAGGACCAGGACCAAGAGCTAGACCAATCTAAATCTGGCCAAAAGCTAAGTTCTGGTCTAGAGCTAACTGGCTGATTTAGCTTTAAGCAATCATTGGACTTCCTGGCTTTGAAAACAATTAATTTATGACTTTTAATTGATTGAAAATCAAGGTCCTCATGAAATCTTGACCCCCGAAGACGATGATTTCGTTTTCAAGAACGAAACCCAAAACAACGAGATGATGCAAAAGGAGAATTTGGAGACCGGAAGGGTAAATAAGTCAAATTTTCAAAGAATTTTTCAATTTCTAGGTGAAAAACTCGATCTACCTAGCTTACTTGAGAACTTTATCTCTATCGCTTTCAATTCTCACCATTTCCTCGCAAATTCTTGGCATCGGGATGGGCATTTGGAAGAGTTTATGGTTAGCAAAATGGACAAGTGAAACAACGAGTGATCAAACGATTTCAAGAAAGGAGATCGTTCAGAGATTCGTCGGATTCACTGGAATCGGATTGGCTGAATGTTTGTTTTCGCTAAATTCAATTTCCCCCCGTATTTTACCTTATTTTAGTATTTCTTTTTGTAAAACTCGCCTAAACCTTTTATAAACATTTTTCAATTCAATTCCAGCCCTCTTCCTCTTGATCTCAACCCTGGCTTTGATGATCGGTTGTGAGCGGGCGTCTCTTCGTCTCCATTCCCCATTACTTCACTCAATCCTTCGCGCTCCGATGGAGTTCTTTGACACGACACCAATTGGAAGAATATTGAATCGATTGTCGAGGGTGAGATTGATTTTAAAATATTATCGATACTATCTGGAAGTCACACCTCAATCTAGTCTAGGATGCAAGGATCCCCCGTCTAAAACATTGTCGATACCGTACTATCTGGAAGTCACACCTCAATTTAGTATAGGATGCAAGGACCCTCAGTCTAAAATATTGTCGATACCGTACGATCTGGAAGTCACACCTCAATCTAGTCTAGGATGCAAGAACCTCTAGTCTAAAACATTGTCGATACCGTATTATCTGGAAGTCACACCTCAATTTAGTATAGGTTGCAAGGACCCTTAGTCTAAAATATTATCGATACCGTACTATCTGGAAGTCACGCCTCAATCTAGTCTAGGATGCAAAGACCCCAGTCTAAAACATTGTCGATACAGTACTATCTGGAAGTCACACCTCAATTTAGTATAGGATGCAAGGACCCTTAGTCTAAAATATTATCGATACCGTACTATCTGGAAGTCACACCTCAATCTAGTCTAGGATGCAAAGACCCCAGTCTAAAATATTGTCGATACCGTACTATCTGGAAGTCACACTTCAACCTAGCATAGCTACTGTAAACCATAGCCCCAAGTCTCACTAGATCAAAGATTTGGTTATCAAGACTGAATTGGGTATGCCTGGAAGGGTGTGCTTGCAGATTTGAGCATAAAGTACATTTAGGACTTGGAAGTGATCGACTCGCAACTGCCTAGAACTCTCTCCGATCTTTCAGCCAATTTTTCACAAGTAGCTTTTTATAGACAATCTTTAATCCAGTCTTCTAGCTACTCCTCAGCATTACGATGATGTGCATTGCCATTCCTGAGTTTCTCATTATCGTCATTCCATTTCTGATCATTAACTATTTAATTTTGGTTTGTTTTTTAGTTTTTATGATTTCAAATAGTTTTCTCAGGATTTGACCGAGTTTAAAAAGTTGATAGGATTTTAATTTTCGTTCTAAAACTTGACGTTTTACTGTATTTACTCTATTTACTCTATTTACTGGCATTTCTCAAAACTTTCAGCGTTATTACATCTCGGCAGCTCGTCAACTTAAACGTCTTGAAGGAATAAATCGATCGCCAATTTTAGCGAAATTTCGAGAAACGATTCAAGGAGCTGCGAGTATTAGAGCTTACAAAATGGTGAAAAAAACTTTTTAAAACTTTTTAAAAACTTTAAATCTCAAAAATTAGATTGATCGCGAAGTGTACGCATTTTTTCATCGAATTGACGAGTTGGCGCGTTGTCGTTTCCTCTCGTACACCTCGAATCGATGGCTTGGGTTACGGTAAGGGTACACGAAAGGTTTAGAGTCAGTTCGGATGGTTACTGTAGTTGGTTATTGTAGTTGGGTTACTGTAGTTGGTTACTGTAGTTGGCTTACTGTAGTTGGGTCAAGCAAAGAGTGCTCTAGTCCTGCCCAAGTTCTAAAGAACCAGAGCAGGACTAGAGCAGGTCAAAGAACCAGTCAAAGAACCAGACTAGCTCCAAGACAGAATAGAGTTTGAAGGCAGGATAAAACCAGAGGAACGACAGGGTTAACGCCAGCGTCAACGCCAGCTTTTAAACCCTTTTTTTTTCAACCCTTTTCAACCCTTTTTTCAGTCTTGAGCTTCTTTGCAACATCACTGTTCTCGTCGTTTCAATCTTTGGCTTAATCATGTCAAAATTTGACGCCATTTCTCCATCAATGCTCGGTTTATGCATCTCCTATGCGTTGAATGTTTTGAGTTATCTTTTAAAGCTTAATCTTCGAATATCTAGATTTCTGAGGTATTGTATTTCGGGGTGAGAATGGTGAGCGAACTGGAGACGCAAACGATTTCCGTTGAGAGGATTGAAGAGTACTCGAGACTACCGTCAGAGGTACGGTAAAAGACAATAGAGAACAGTTGGCTTGAGATCCGGTCAAATAGAAACCAATTAGATACGATAAAACAAGTGCTAAATATAAAGCAAGTGAATCTAAGATATGGTAGCGTTAAAACAAAAATAAAACAAAACAAACCACAAAGACCAAAACTAGTGCCAAGTAGAAAATCAAAAAAAAATTGTAGGATACGATAGAATCGAGAAAAGAAGAAGAGGAAAAAGAATAGAAAAGAGCTTTCTATATAAGGCGGCCAACTCGTATATAAAGCGGCCAACTCGTATATAAGACGACCTATTTGTATATAAGACAGCCAAGTCCTTTATAAGGCGACCAATTCGTATTCAAGGCGGTCAACTAGCCTATAAGGCGGCCAACTCGTATATAAGGCAGTCAACTCGTATATAAAGCGGCCAACTCGTATATAAGACGACCTATTTGTATATAAGACAGCCAAGTCCTTTATAAGGCGACCAATTCGTATTCAAAGCGGCCAACTAACCAATAAGGCGACCAAGTTGTATATAAGCCGGTCAACTCGTATATAAGGCGGCCAACTAGCATATAAGACGACCTATTTGTATATAAGACGACCAATTCGTATATAAGGCGACCAATTTGTATGTAAGACGGTCAATTCGTATTCAAAGCGGCCAACTAACCAATAAGGCGACCAAGTTGTATATAAGCCGGTCAACTCGTATATAAGGCGGTCAATTTGTATACAAGGCGGCGAACTCGTGTATAAAACGACGAATTGGTATATAAGGCGGCTAGCAAACTCGTATATAAAACGACCAATTGGTAATAAGGCGGGCAACTAGCATATAGGGTGGTCAATTCGTATATAAGGCGGCCAACTAGCATATAAGACGACCTATTTGTATATAAGACGACCAATTCGTATATAAGGCGACCAATTTGTATGTAAGACGGTCAATTCGTATTCAAAGCGGCCAACTAACCAATAAGGCGACCAATTTGTATATAAGCCGGTCAACTCGTATATAAGGCGGTCAATTTGTATACAAGGCGGCGAACTCGTATATAAAACGACCAATTGGTAATAAGGCGGGCAACTAGCATATAGGGTGGTCAATTCGTATATAAGGCGGCCAATTCGTATATAAGGTGGCCAACTAGCCTATAAGACGACCAAGTTGTATATAAGCCGGTCAACTCGTATATAAGACGGCCAACTCGTATATAAGACGGCCAATTCGTATATAAGACGGCCAATTCGTATATAAGGTGGCCAACTAGCCTATAAGACGACCAAGTTGTATATAAGCCGGTCAACTCGTATATAAGACGGCCAATTCGTATATAAGACGACCAATTCGTATATTTCAGAAAAGCTGGCGATTGTCCACTAAACCACCATCAAATTGGCCTTCTAAAGGGCAAATCACGTGGACAGATTACTCATTGAGATACAGGTAAAACAAAATAGCTATTCAGTCAGAAAAATTATCACCTCAAAGCTTTAAACTTTAGAAAAGAACTCCCATTGATCATCAAGCAAATCACTGCGAAAACGAGCGAAAATGAAAAAGTGGCGATTGTCGGAAGAACGGGATCTGGTATGAGGAGAACTCGCGTAACTAAACCAAACAGAAAAAATAGATAAAAATCAGAGTCGACTACTAAAGATCCCTTTACATAAACGTTTAATTTCAATTTTTTAGGCAAAAGCTCACTAGCAATTGGTTTATATCGTTTAATCGAATCAACTAGTGGATCTTTGACAATTGATGGAGTCGACATTTCACAGATTGGACTACACGATCTTCGAGAGAACCTCACGATCATTCCACAGGTAAAAGCTTTGATTTATTGACCATACTAGGGAGAGTACGGTAGTTTGAGACAGATTTGAGACAGATTTGAGACAGATTATTGTAGTTCGTCGCGTTTATTCGGTCCCGAATAGCTCCCAAAATCATTTAGGAATCAGTGCTCTTCTCTGGCTCAATTCGTTTCAATCTTGATCCTTTTTTTACCCATGATGATGATCGTTTATGGCATGTGTTAGAGGAATGTCAATTGAAAACATTTTTCGCAAATACTCAAGAGAAACTCGACTTTCAGATATTTGAGGGTGGATTGAATATCAGGTGAACTTTAAAAAAGCAATTGCATTACCTTTTTGAATAAAACTAAGAATGGAAAGGATCGATTTTTTTAATATGACTGTAGATTAGTACAAAATAATCAAGAATTAGGGTAAAATAGGAAAATTTTGTAACAACAACAGCAAGATATGCGCATTTCAGTATGGGACAAAGGCAATTGATCTGTCTTGGAAGAGCTTTGCTTCGAAAAAGCAAGATTCTCGTTTTGGATGAGGTTTGAAGTTGTTGGAGTTTTAAGATAAGCTTTGTCAGTCAGCCAAGCAGTCAGGCTGACTCATAAGTCAGCCAAACAGTCAGCTAATCAGTCAGCTGACTCCCAGTCAAGTCAGTCAATCTCAGCCAAGGTTTGTCAGCCAATCAGTCAGCTAATCAGTCAGCTAATCAGTCAGTTGACTCTCAGCCAAGCCAGCCAAACAGTCAGCCCATCAGTCAGCTAATCAGTCAGCCAAGTCGGCCAATCTCAGCCAAGCTTTGTCAACGAATCAGTCAGCCAATCTCAACCAATCAGTCAACCAATCTTTCCAGGCCACAGCCTCTTGCGATCCACACACGGATGCAATCGTGCAATCAATTATTCGTCGAAACTTTAAGAACTCCACCATTTTAGCAATCGCTCATCGACTGAATACTATTGCAGACTATGATCGGTATTGAACGGATTACCGCAGTCTTATTACAACAAAATTCAGAATAATGGTGCTCGCCAAGGGAGAAATCGTCGAGTTCGACTCGCCGCAAGTGCTCTTGTCAAATAAAAACTCTCACTACTCCCAATTACTTCGACGAATCAATCGAAAACTCAAAGTATGATGTAGAATATTAAAGACTTTGTAAAGTTCGATGTTTCGCATCTGGAATTGAACAGACGACTTATAGAACTTAAAATAAGACTGACAGCCATTCGGTCAACATGTTTGAAGAGAATTGTGGGTCAGCTTGGCTTTTGTTCTGGCTTTGGCTCTGGCCTTGCCTTGCCTGGCTTCAGAATTGACTAATAAAATCCAGAAATCCTAGCAAGAAGTGAATATTACTCAAAAACAAGTAATATAATATATCCCACATTAGTCATTGCCTTTAGACTCCACAAATTCCCATTATCTAACCTCATCGCCGTAAAATTTCGACGAAAAGCTGCACTCAGTTCGAGAATGTTTTGAGTTGTTTCTGGAAATGCGGGAAAACTTTCCGAAAACTCCACAAACCTTAGCATATCTCTTCAGTGTTCCATTTGAGCTACAGCTGAAATCATCGATTCTTCGCTAATAAATGAAGTTTGACGTAGCCTAGAGTTTTTCATTTTTCAGAATGTTTCATTTCAAAACAAAACTTCTGAAATGACTAGTTTAAAGGCTTTGATATGAGAGAAACATAAAAAAAACATAAAGATATACTAGATTCAAGCTTTTTGAATAAAATTTTGAATAAGTACAAGAAAACTTCAAGTGATAGGTTTAAAAAAGTTAAAAGTTTAAAAGTTTAAAGAAATGTTGTTGACGAGGAGAAAGTCAAGCGCGAACCAAAAGCTTCGTAGCTGAGAACACTACCTCTCGGCGAAAGGGACATGCTTGTAAAGTAGGCGTGGAACTCTTACAAAGCAATAGCGATTTAGGAAAACCTAAAAGCGGATTCACAGCCTTGGAGAGGAAGCCATGCTTATATACTTTTGTTATATGGTCTAGGGATAGGTTTTCGCATTGACAAATTTATTTAAACATTTGCAAAGGCAATTGGAAACATTATACAAGGACCAATAATCATAAAAACCAATTGTAAAACAAATACATGCAGAGGAACACTAATTACTTGTTGACGCTGATGGTGTGGCTACGTTTTCGGTCACCTTCTCAGCCTCGCGCTTTGTCATTTCCTCGACCAAGACGTTCCAGGCATCTTCCGTGCTAAACGAAATAATATAACATTTAATACCGGTCTTAAAAGCTAGTACCGCTTTCGGAACTAGCAAGAAGTGACTTTGCATAATGCTAGCTCGAGAATAAGCAACTTTTACCTGAACTGAGCTTCCTCTTCGGCTGTAAAATCGTTCTCGAGTTGCCATATGGTGCGAATCTCCGTATGCTTTTTGCCCTGAATAAGAAGGTCGCTTAGTATTTGAAAGATATTTGAAGATCTGACCGAAATCATTGCCGCAAGAATTTTGGCAATCTTCTGGCGCAAGCAGCGAACATCCAACCAATTGGCAGCCTAAACCCAAACTTGTATGTTACAATTGAAATAAACCAACCTCAAATAGATCATAAAGCCCATCCCCATCCAAATCTTTCAGCAGCTCCTTTTCCTGGTTCTTGATTTCTTCACAATGTTCAACCCTAAACAAAAACAAAACTATTTAACATTACAAGATAATCATTAAACTTGTCATCCTTCAGAATCGGCTGATACTTGTGATCCTCACACCATTGGATAATCTAAAATACAACATGGTCAAATGCTAAGTCTTTACAAAATTTACCACGTCCTCTCTTAAAAACTAAATAGCTAATAAGTAGATATAAATTAACGTACCATTTTAACAATGGTTCCCTTGGCTCGGTCAAGCACAATTGGGTCCATGTTCTCCACATCATCAACTGGACAATTCTAAAGATGAAAAGAACACATGACAATATCAACCACCAATTCAAAAACGATAAAGCTCACCCTGAGCATTTCGATGAGCGTTGCCGATCGATCCGCTGCTCGCTTGGAAATTTCCAAAACCTCGCCGTCGATGGTCTTGACCTAAAATTAAGAATTAGAATAAAGCACAATAAGAATTCTAATGCTATCTTTATCATAATTAGCCATCCACACCCAGTAATACTTGCTAATAGTCAGATACGAGTTTACTACTGTTGCAAGCGCAAATTAAGTCGCCGAGAAACAACTTTCATCTTAAAAGATAAAAAAAATAAAGTTATACCTTGTAGATGACAGCTGAATCAGTCATTTTTGCACTGTTCTGCGCAAAGCACTGTTTTGAGAAGATACCTAAACGATCAAAGGGTTAACTGTTCTCAAAGGTTTAATAAAGTGAAAGAACATAAATGGGAGGGGTCACTTTTATCCTGGCTTAGTTGGATCAAATTTTTTGAGTGGTATTAATACCTTTTATCTACCTATTCTAGGGTAATCAAATATGCTTATATCTTTAAAGCGTTTACAACATATTCCAAGTTTCATGTTGCTGTTTTTAATTGATTTTCAAGTGTCAGCAGCTTTGGGATAGAATTTGGTGATTAAAGTACATGAGACTAGGCTAGAATTGTCAAAAACTTGCAAAAATAGCCACCAATCTATTAAACATACTTGATTAAATTAGAATAGATCAAAAGTATCAACACAATCACTCAAAACAGATCCAACTAAGCCAGGATAAAAGTATCGTCAACCACTAAAGTACTTAAATGGTTGACGAGAAGTCTTTTAATTGCAAATACTTTGAAGTAAATCAAAAAACTGTAGAAGTAAATCAACAAACTATAGAAGAAAACATTTAAAACCATTTAACTTTGATAAACCTTGGGGTAGGCTAGTTTCCGCAATTTTTTTTTGCGCAACTCGCCATAACTTTCTTCTAAGTGGACCAATCTTTATGATTTTGATTTCATTTTGTAGATCTCAATAAGTGCAACAAAATGACACAAAAATCATAAAGATTGGTCCACTTAGAAGAAAGTTATGGCGAGTTGCGCAAAAAAATTTGCGGAGCCTACCCCTAAACCTGCCGAACCGGTTGAAATTTGAAACAAATGACAGAAAATCTTCTTTGCCCTCACCATAAGCCGACACTATATTGCTGATTTAGGCTTTTAGCTGAATATCTTTTTTCCAAAGAGGCAGTATATATAACCTTTCGCTACCTTCTTTCGCTAAACATTCGTGCCTTTCAAATTTTACTTTCTTCAGTTTTTTTCCAACTTGACGCTTCAAATTTTTATTTTGATCAAATCGTCAAAGGCAAGCGTCAAAAAGAAAGGTTTTGGGGCTGAATTCACGATGATTTCGCACTCCGACACACCAAATCTTTCGAATTCAGAATGTTTTGCCTTTTCAAACGTTAGAACTATAGATTTGCTTGTGTAAGAGTAAAAATTTGGATATTAAAAGGGGTCAAGTTAAAGAGAGTGAACCTTTTGATATTCTGCCATCTCTAACACCCCGACAACCCGACTCAACTCCTTCAACGTATTAGAGGGGAGTCCCTGTGAAATGACCGACCTGAACTGCCGTTGCATAGACCCGAAAAATATGTATCTTTATTTACAGTAGTACGATAAGATGAATCGATTAAAAATGAGTGAAAGGGGAAAGGGGGACTTCAAGTGAGATCCGCACTTGTCCTCCTAGGCAATCCAAAGGACCCCCCCCCCTTTTCGGCGATGAAAAGGATAAGCACAGGGCCCTGTGCTTATCCCTTTCATCGCCGTGATGTAAATGTCGTGACTGATCGTGAGGTGGGTGCTAACCAGATCATCAAGGCCATATCAAAATGTAGCTGATTAAGATGCTAATTTTTTCTAAAGTCTAACTGACTAACAAGGGAAGTCCTTAAGGTCGGCATCTGGGATTAGGCTGAGACCAGATCTCTTTCATCACAAAAGTTTGAAATCCAAACACGAAACGGAGAAAAGTGTCTTAACATTTTGGACAAAAATTAGTTTTCATTCCCTCTAATTATCTGTATTTTCGCATCTTTTAGGACAGTATCGCTCACATTACGCACATTTGAATGTCGATTTTGAAGTGCCCACTCTCGTATGGACAATCGGGTGGCCCGCTGATCATCGCTATCAAATAAGCGAATTCTCATCAACAATCCTAGAATTGAAGTAATACAGTCGACTCTCGCAAAACTCGCCCAGCTCTTGAGAATCGACACTTTCTTCCATTTTTTTCACTTCTCTGAGTTCCCTGTGAAGTCGGGTAAATGAGGCGTTTTCCATTTTAAAATTCTCAAAGATTTTTCAATAGTTTTTAAGAAAATAAATCTGCGAACTGAGTGAAAATAAAGAAAAATGCAATATTTCTTTTCGTCCGCCAATATTATTGGATTTTGTAGTGAAAGAATTCTCTTTTTTACCAGAAAAGGCGATTTGTTATCAATCGATAAGGCTCCTAGGGAGCAAAAAGGGTTTTTTCTAAATTCTGCCTGGCTTAAATGGTTAAAATATCTTTAAGAAACAAAACAAAATACAAATCTGATATCGTTTTTTTCGTGGCGGGCATTGTTTTAAAAGATGTTTTGAAGAAATTGTGAAAACCTATGCACGAATATTTAATACTCAGGCATTTCTCTAGATTTTAACTTCTAAAGCATAAAATTGCCCCAATGTCACGTCATTTTTGGTCTGTACAGTGAGAATTGACGTTTCTCAAGGTCATTTTTTCATTTTCACCTTTTTGTGTCTTTTTTTTTGACCGCTCAAATGTCGACTCACCCCCACCGAATTTGGAAATCAATCTGCTTGAGGAAATTTGAACGTTTTCAATTTTACAGTTCTTGGTCGTTAATAGCTTTGGCTTTGGCCTGGCTTAGCCTAGCCTAGCCTGGCCGTCTGGCCTAGCCTAGCCTAGCCTGGCCGTCTGGCCTAGCCTAGCCTAGCCTGGCCGTCTGGCCTAGCCTAGCCTATTCTAGCCTAGTCTAGCCTGTCCTAGCCTGTCCTAGCCTAGCCTGTCCTAGCCTAGCCTGTCCTAGCCTAGCCTGTCCTAGCCTAGTCTGTCCTAGCCTAGGCTGTCCTAGCCTAGCCTGTCCTAGCCTAGGCTGTCCTAGCCTAGCCTGTCCTAGCCTAGCCTAGTCTGTCCTAGCCTAGCCTAGCCTGACGATTACAAAAAGCAAAAATAAACAGAAAACAAAAATCAAATGAATTTTTGGTTACTCAAATCGATTCCCAATTCCCCCCTGCTCGAGGGGGCATCGATTCCCCCCTGCTCGAGGGGGCATCGATTCCCCCCTGCTCGAGCATTGAATTCTCGAGAGGCGATCAATGGGTAAACGTTGTTCGCTGAAATTTTTCAGCTTCTCCTCTTAATGTTTATTTTTCTCTTTTACCCAGTGCACAAATTTTTTCGAAAAATTTCCAATCCTCTTCTTTCCTTTTTCTTTTTCTTTCTGCAATGATTAGTGTGATTTTTCAAATGTTATATCAGATTTTCTCGTTTTTTTTTTGCTGAATCATCTTGTTTTTAGAAAATTTTCATGTAAACAAATCGAAATTTCATCGAAATTTTATTAAAAATTTCTTATTTCTAACGTTTTTAAATCTTTTTTTTCTGAAAAAGCACACATTTTTCAATGAGATTTTTCTATGAAAAACTCTTTTTCTTTAGAAAACTAAAGAAAAAGAAATAAAAGAAGGATTTAGGAAAGGACCTTTTTGAATTCTTTTAACAAGAAGCTTACTAAAGTTTTTACGTTTATGCATTTCCTTTTGCAAACTGTTTAACTGGTTAACTGTTTAACTGTTTAACTATTTAACTGTTTAACTGTTTAACTGTAAACTAGTTTACTCAATTTTCTTCAAAACTTACTTTGAAACAAGATCTGGGATAGATTGATGGACTTAACCATGTTTTACTCAATCTATCGAACCTAGAGAAAGCCTTGTAAGCTTGTAAGTTCACACAACTAGTTACAGGCTTTTAACTGGGACTGAATGCTTAGGCTTAGGCATAGGCTTAGGCTTAGGCATAGGCTTAGGCTTAGGCTTAGGCTTAGGCTTTGGCTTTGGCTTGGGCTTTGGCTTAGGCTAAGGCTTTGGCTTTGGCTTTGGCTTTAGCTTAGGCTTAGGCCTTTATAAGCAAGATTCTGGATAAAGTTTGAAGCCAGAAACTGCTTTCAAACTTTCTACTTCACCAATACCTCAGAGCCAGCATTTCATTAACACATTTTCAAACTCCAAACATTGAGTCTAGGCAAAGGGAAAGGCTCTCCATTTGCCCCATGTCTGCCCATCTTTCCCCTCAGCAAAACCCCAGTCTGGGTCTTCCCCTTCCCTTTCCTTTTCCATTTTCCTTTTCCATTTTCCATTTGCTTCTCCTTTTCCTCCTTTTCTCCTCTAAAAGCACCCGTCTTAGGGCAATTTATTGATCATTTTCCCTTTTTCCCCTTTTCTCCTTCATTTTCTCTCCATTGAAAGACCAATAATGGCGCTTTTTAGCCTTAACACTACTGCTTTTTTACTTTTATTTAATTCCTTTCATTTTCTATTCATCTCCTAGCTTTTCTCTCTTTAAGAATTGTTTTATTCTTTAAAAAACTCAAGCCTAATATCATTTTAATAAGAAATTGTACAAGAAAAACGTAGTATCATGAACTAATTTAGGAAATAAATGAAGAAATTCGTGTTTCAAATCACTGAAACAGATCTTAATCGAGAAAAATCTCTTTTTTTCAATGTTTTTAGAGGTTTAGATTGAAAAAGCACGTTTTTTTCTTTAAAATTGATGTTTTTGTTGTCAATGATTGGATAAAATTCAAGGCAAAAAAGTCGTTTTTAACTGTTAGCTTCTGATAAGAAGCTTTGCAGCTTTGCAAATGATTGTTAACATTGCTAGTTAACTAATGATAATGTTTCTAATGATTGTTAACGTTTCTAATAATAGTTAACATATCTTTACATTTCATTATTCCTTTTTTTTTTTTGGTCGAAATCGAAAGCCAGCCAGCCACAACGATGCAATCATTGACTTTTTTATCACTCTGTGCACTCGTTAGCGTTTCTTGGTGAGTTCTAAATTTATTTTCTAAACAAAAATCAAAGAATAATTCTTTTTTTAAGCAAGTTTTACGATCAAGATTGTTTTAGGGCTGTTCAGTGTTGGCAGTGCAACTCCGGTGCACCGGGACAAGACAAATGCGCAGCGACGCAAGTCACTGATCTTGATCCGAAATGGAAAAAGGTACGGTTTTTTGAACTTTGTGCTTGCAATTGTAAACGCACACCTTCTGGCGCACTGAATTTCAAAGTATACAAGATTCCAGGACTGTGGCAAGTTGCGTGATGGCGAATACGCGAACAAGCCGGCTAAGGGATGTCGCAAGATTGAGCAGGTAAGGGTTAGCGATTTATAACAAGAAAAATATCCAAATTTTAGAATACATTTATGAAATAATGATTTTAAGTAGATTTATCACAAGATTTCGGTTCAAAAACGAGAATTTAACCGACTCTAGCAATCGAAAACGACTTTAAGCCAATTTCTTGATTCTTTTATTTGAAAATGAAAAATTTTTTGATGAATTATCGAATTATGGAATGCACAGTCGCTATTCTATTTGTTAAATTTATATATAATCAAGTTTTAAATTTCAGCAAATTTCAGTAAAGACTCTGAGCCAAATTCTTGGTTCTTTTATTTGAAAATGAAGATTTTTTAATAAATTATTAAACTATGGGACGCACAGTAGCTATTATATTTGTTAGATTTGCATATAAATAATTTGTAAATTTCAGTTCGTAAATTTCAGTAAAGACTCTGAGCCAAATTCTTGGTTCTTTTATTTGAAAATGGAAAAATTCCTTCGAATTATCGAATTCTGGAATGCACAGTAGCTATTCTATTTGTTAAATTTATATATAATTAAGTTTTAAATTTTAGTACGTTGGCAAGGAGTCGCAAGTGATTCGCGAGTGCGCCTATTCGGGCGAAGAAGTTGATGGACTGAAAAAGACAGGCAACACCGGCATCCAGCTCTACTATTATCAGTGCAAAGTTGGTGATGAAAAGCGCATAATGCCATAGCGCCAGACTGATAAATAAGTTTCATATTAAAAAAAGCCGCTCACAGCTCATTTCTTTGCTTTTTTCTAAATTACACTAAAACTACTGTAGGCTTCATAAAGCGGCTGCTATTTTCCTTAAAATCTCTAGCCAATCTAGCCAGCTAGCCAATCTAGCCAGCTAGCCAATCTAGCCAGCTAGCCAATCTAGCCAGCTAGCTAGCCAATCTAGCCAGCTAGCTAGCCAATCTAGCCAGCTAGCTAGCCAATCTAGCCAGCTAGCTAGCCAATCTAGCCAGCTAGCTAGCCAATCTAGCCAGCTAGCTAGCCAATCTAGCCAGCTAGCTAGCCAATCTAGCCAGCTAGCTAGCCAATCTAGCCAGCTAGCTAGCCAATCTAGCCAGCTAGCTAGCCAATCTAGCCAGCTAGCTAGCCAATCTAGCCAGCTAGCTAGCCAATCTAGCCAGCTAGCTAGCCAATCTAGCCAGCTAGCTAGCCAATCTAGCCAGCTAGCTAGCCAATCTAGCCAGCTAGCCAGCCAATCTAGCCAGCCAGCCAGCCAATCTAGCCAGCCAGCCAGCCAATCTAGCCAGCCAGCCAGCCAATCTAGCCAGCCAGCCAGCCAATCTAGCCAGCTAGCCAGCCAATCTAGCAAGCCAGCCAGCCAATCTAGCCAGCCAGCCAGCCAATCTAGCCAGCTAGCCAGCCAATCTAGCAAGCCAGCCAATCCAAGTCAAAGTCATAAATTTCCAGGGTGAAGGGTGCAATTCCTCTACGCTCACCTCAGCTCTCACTGCTTTCTCCGTGATCGCTGTGGCTCTCGGGCTCCGATATTAAGCCTAAAAATTTGCATCTCTAGATTTATCTAGATCTATTCTCGTTCTCTAGCTTTTACTTTTCTTATTTTAGATCTTTAGATAGGTTTTTTAAAAAAAAACCCTTAATTTTCCCAATTTCCTCTTTTTTTTCCTCACAAAAAATGTGCCTCATGAAAAAAATTTTTTACAAAAAATTTTCCGAAATTCCATTTTGATCCTCAAATTTTTTATTCTTCGAAAATTGCAATATGCATTTAAATTTTGATTTCGTATGCAAATTTAATAGATAATAAAGTTTATTATAAGATTTCTATTGTTAAAAAAATAGAAAAAAAACACATTACTTTTGTACTTTTCATGACTTAAAAATAGCCAAAATGATTCAAAAGATGCTTCTGATCTTCTGTTAATCTTCTGATTCTGATGCTGGCCTTCTGATCTTCTGCTAATCTTCTGATTCTGATGCTGGCCTTCTGATCTTCTGCTAATCTTGGATATGGAAGGAGTTTGGAGATTTTTTCATGTTTCAACTCAAATTTTAATTTTTTTCAATTTTAGGACTTTATTTTAAAGACTTTTATACGAGTTCCTTTAGAAGTAAAGATCAGAAATGTCATGGAAATGTCATGCAAATATTCACGTATCTTGGGAATTAGGGAAACTAGCGAAAATGTGTCAATTTAGTGATGAGATGAGCAGATGAGCAGCGTGACAGATCTGCTAATCTTCTGATCAAAAGATGCTTCTCATCTTCTGCTAATCTTCTGATTCTGATGCTGATCTTCTGATCTTCTGCTTATCTTCTGATCTTCTGCTACTCTTCTGATCTTCTGCGAATCTTCTGATCAAAAGATGTTGATCTTCTAATTCTGATGCTGATCTTCTGAGCTTCTGCTGATCTTCTGATCTTCTGCTAATCTTCTAATTCTGATGCCGATCTTCTGATCTTCTGCTAATCTTCTGAGCTTCTGCTACTCTTCTGATCTTCTGATCAAAAGATGTTGATCTTCTGCCACTTTAAAACAATCATCAATCAACAATCAGCTTACTTATGAATTAGAAAAGCATCTAAAGGTTTACCAATTTACGATAATCATTGGGTTTACATATCGTATGCAACGGGAGTTCGTGTGCAACTGGAAGTCGTGTGCAACTGGAGTTCGTGTGGAACTCGTCGAACGTCTCCGCTTTTTAAGATGCTTGCGAAAAAGGATCTGTATTGGCAAGCAATCTCAGCTGAAAACGAACGGGTCTTCTCTAGTTTCTAGAGTTGATTTCTTAAATTGTCTTTAAGTTGATTTCTTCGTCAATTTTAGAGTACGTCAATGGGTTCTGGAGCGACGCTCGTGCCAAATCCGAAGCCTGAATTACGCCAAAAGTTTATGCTATCAGTTTTCTGGGAGTGGCCTATTGAGTGAGGGATATGGAAGGAGTTTGTAGTTGCTGAATAGTAAGCCAACACTTAACTCTGCTAAATCCATCGAACAGCTCGAAAAACTGTTCATAGACAAATGGCAGATCTAAAAAAAGACAAAAATCATCCTTTTCTCAGACAGACTCCTCCTCAGACAAACAGACCTCAGACTCCTCCTTCCTCTCCTCCATGTCTTTATATCCGTCCTCATGTTTCTTCAATGATTCGGAACAAGTTAAAGAACCTTGCTTGGGAAGTGATGACCCATCCCCATTTCCAGATAGCCACTTCATCAAACTAACAGTGTCGTCACATTGTTCTCTAACTGGATTCTCTCTATTCTTTTGATCTTTCTAACCATAACTGTTCTTAGTGTCAATATTTAAAACTAGAAAAACATTTATATAAACAAATAATTTCAGTTAAGTTTTCTAGTTATTTATTTGACATCAACATGACGAACTCCTCATAGTTCACCATATCATCATCGTTTCCATCGACTTCATCAATCATGGCATTGATTTGGCGATCGCTCAGCTGCTCACCGTAGACGCTTTGCATCGCTTGTCGAAGCTCGTTTCTTAACTTAGCAAATAAAAAGTAATATTGATTTTAATATTGGGTTGGTGAATTGAAAACTGCCGAATATTGTCATCTGTGACAGTTTGAGCACTTTCTTCAAAAGAAACCCTATTTGGTGTCAATGGAAAAGTTGTAGAGAATCAAAAATCAAGCTTATATCCAAATTTTCAGAACGATTCAAAAACTGGTTTTCAAGAAATGTCAAATTTACGAATTTTCACACAACTTGCACTGAACTTGCAACAAAACTTGCATTTTAAGCGAAACTACTAAGTGTATCTTTTTGGAAATTTGGATATAAGCTTGATTTTTGATTCTCTACAATTTTTCTATTGACACCAAAATGGGTTTCTTTTGAAGAAAGTGCTCAGACTGGGCTGGCAGCTGACATCTCCAGTCCTCCATTCTTGAGTCTCACACTTGTCTCACACACAAACCAAAATCCTACTACGAAAGAGGAATCCGCAAATTGCCTGTAAAATGGGCAGAAGTCGTCAATAATAATGGAAATTATTTGGAATGAATTTATGGTTTTATGTTCGATAAATTTTAGTTCAAAGTCCCGCAGCTTTCAATTCACCAACCCAATAAAAAGTTGGCAAAAAGCTGACAAAAAGCTGGGACTGGGAGTTGTACTGGGAGTTGCTGGATAGCAAGACGACCCTTAATGCAATCAAATACAGTGAACAGTTGGGAAAGGTACAGAAGAATAGGCCCTCCAAGTCAATGATCGTTCTCATCCACGACAACGCGCACCCTCATGTTGCAAAACTGAGTCGCTCTAAAATAAATAGCCTTGTTTGGGAACTTTTGGCGCATTCCGCATACAGTCCGGACCTTGATTACTATTTATTCCGGATCATGAGTAATGAGCTTGCGGGAGAACACTTCGATTCGGAAGAAGCAGTCAAAAATTGGCTTTGAAAGTTTTTCGATTCAAAACCAAAATCCTACTACGAAAGAGGAATCCGCAAATTGCCTGTAAAATGGGCAGAAGTCGTCAATAATAATGGAAATTATTTGGAATGAATTTATGGTTTTATGTTCGATAAATTTTAGTTTAAAGTCCCGCAGTTTTCAATTCACCAACCCAATAGTTTTGGATTCAGTTTTGGATTCGGTACAGATTTGGTTCCTTTTCGGTAAAGCTTTGGTTCCGGTTCGTTACATCATGGCTCCTTTTCGGTAAAGCTTTGGTTCTGGTTCGTTACATCATGGCTCCTTTTCGGTAAAGCTTTGGTTCCGGTTCGTTACAGCATGGCTCCTTTTCGGTAAAGCTTTGGTTCCGGTTCGTTACAGCATGGCTCCTTTTCGGTAAAGCTTTGGTTCCGGTTCGTTACAGCATGGCTTCTTTTCGGTAAAGCTTTGGTTCCGGTTCGCTACAGATTTGGTTCCTTTTCGGTAAAGCTTTGGTTCCGGTTCGCTACAGATTTGGTTCCTTTTCGGTAAAGCTTTGGTTCCGGTTCGTTACAGCATGGCTCCTTTTCGGTAAAGCTTTGGTTCCGGTTCGTTACAGCATGGCTCCTTTTCGGTAAAGCTTTAGTTCCGGTTCGCTACAGATTTGGTTCCTTTTTGATACAGATTTGGTTCCTTTTGATTTAATTGGTTCAAAGATTTGGTTCAAAGTCCCGCAGTTTTCAATTCACCAACCCAATATAACAAAATTAAAAACAAAATGAACATTTTATCTAGAATTTAAAATATTGTAGATAAAAAGCATATTATAAATAACTTTTACAAATGAATGCTTACTTTGTGATGTAGCCAGTTCGATCTCTGTCAAAGGAGAGAAACTCTTGTCGAATGTTATCATTGTCTCCGAACATGAAAAACCTGTTTGGTACAAGGTTTTAAACTAAATTTAAACTTTTTCCAAATAAAACGGAATTTTTGAGTTGAAAACTGAATAAAGCTGAACTTAAAAAGTTTAAAGTTACTTTAAATACTACATTAACTTTGGAAATTTTAAACTGACAAAGTAAACAAAAAGTCAAATAAACGATAAAAGATATAAGAAAAACGGTTTGTATGTAGAAAATCTGGAAAAGAGCCTTTTAAAAGGCTTTGAAAAGGCTTTTAAAACCTTTGAAAAGGCTTTTAAAACCCTTTTAAAATCTTTTAAAAGCCTTTTAAAATCTTTTAGTTGAATTTTCTTTAAAAACCTTTTTCTATTCTTTTTCAAGACAAAAGAACAATTCATTTGCTCTAGAAACACATCAAGAATTCATTTCCAATGGGTTTGTCTTTGCATAAAGATTCCGAAGATTCTAAAGTTGCTAAAAGAGATTCTAAAGATTCTAAAGATGCTAAAGATTCTAGAGATGCTAAAGATGCTAAAGATTCTAAAGATGCTAAAGATTCCAATGATTCTAATGATTCTAAAAGAGATTCTAAAGTTGCTAAAAGAGATTCTAAAGATTCTAAAGATTCTAAAGATTCTAAAGATTCTAAAAGAGATTCTAATAATCCAAGGACCACCTCATCTTCACATCCAAGGACCATCTCATGCCCAAACTGAAAATAATATTGTTTTTACAATTAATTTTAAAATACCATTGCTACAAAAGGCGATCGGCTAATTGCTCGGTGGTAACGACGATTCTTTATCGAATCAGAAGTATTCGTGCCCATCTCGTCGTTTTTTCTTCTTGTGTGCAAAGAATCTTCTAAGTAAAAAAGAAAGATTTAAAGATAAATTCATAAACAAACCTCGACGTTCCGATTAGCACGTTCAACATACTCCTGACTCTAGGAATGACAAGGACATCCATGCACAATTCTACATTTCGACCAACGATTCACCAAATTCTTTGCCTAAAAAAAGCAATTAAATTGATCAATTATTTGATAAAAGACTTAAAAATCACTAATTTATTTAAGAACTCTCGTCCATTGTCGGATTGAAGAATTTTTGGTGTTCCAAAAGTACCGAATATTTCTATTACAAATTCGAGAGTCATTTTCGATTTGAGAGCCTTGAGCATGACGAATTTTGTTAGATGATCCTGATAAACCATCAGAAACTTGTAGTCACCGTCGGGCACCGATTGCAGGACGATCAGATTGACTTGGCACTGTTCAGTTTGCTCGTCAATTTCCTTCGTAGCCTTACGACAATTAGCCTAACGACAACGCCCTTCCTTGGTGTCCATTTCTTGAGTTCCGGGTAGAGTTTGACGAAGATTTCAACGATTTCTTTGGAGGTTCCATGATAATCCTGAAGCTTGTGCTACATCACGTCTCGTCCGGCGTGTCCAAGTTATTTATGACAGGAGATGACATCAACAAGAGTTCTTTCGTCTTCACGACCTTCTTCAGTCGATTCTTCTCGCCATCTTAAAAGAATCCGTTTCCCATTTTCCTTTTCTACCGTGATCTTGTCTCTATTTTTTATCGAATCTATCCACTTTTATCTCTTTCAATATTCTTTTTAAACTATCACCAAATCAGAAAAAAATAGAGACAAAACGGTAGAAAGGGAGCACAGTTTAGAAAATCGTAGTGAACTAAATCGTAGTGGACTAAATCGTAGTCGACTAAATCATAGTGTTTTCTCTATGTACTTTGTGCTCAAAACACACCCTTTCTAGCAAAGTTGTTTCTTTATTTAAGAAAATAGCTATAAGTGCAAAATTTTCACTGTAAAATTTCTGATTTCTATTTTAAAATCGTTTTCTTTTTTTTGTCCCTTTTCTAAAGGGGAAAAGAGGAAAAAAAAAGCAATTAAATTGATCAATTATTTGATAAAAAACTTTAAAACTCACTAATTTATTTGAGAATTCTCGTCGATTGTCGGATTGAAGAATTTTTGGTGTTCCAAAAGTGGAAAAGGGAAAAGAGGCAGGCTGGTTCGCCGTTTCCCTCTCCTCTTTTCCTCCGTCTTTTTCTTTTCCCCTCTCGTTTTCCCTTTTATTTTTCGCCACATCTGGCGTACAATATCGATTCACGGACTGCACCCGTCTTTTTTTTTCCCATCTTTCAACCCCAATTCAAGCAAATAAAACATTGCTTTCGGCCTTAAAGCTTTTTAAACGAAATTTTCTTTTGATGGAAGACGATTTGTTAAGTGAAGCGTGAGTTTTATGATTTTAAAATTTAGAAAAAAATATATTATTAATTGAAAAGAGCACGTGTGGCTGACTGGTTAAGTGTCTCTTATCTTAATCGGAAGGTCGAGGGTTCGAACCCCACATGCGACATGGTCACCCCCTTCGGATTTCCTTTCCCTTCGGGTTGAGAGGTTTTCTGGAGGGCAGTCTGGTGGTTGTGGCCCCAGTTCTTTAAAGTGACAAGCCACTCCTTCATCGTCATCTTCCCTTCACCACCAAAAAAGCTATTTAGTTCCCCATTGAGCTTAGGGTTAGGGAGCCGTCTGTCATGACGTGGGTTAAGTTAAGATATAGCCTAGTATTGTGTGTGTCGTTGTATTGTGATTGATATATTTCGTGTATGCGATAAATTCACCACTGGTAGCCCCAGTCGGTATTTTTTTTTTAAATTATTAATTGAAATTATTTAAAATCGTATTTAAATTTCAATTAAAAGCAATTACCGTATTCTCTCTAATAGTAGTGCACTCTTTAATAGTATTGCGGTTCGAGAGGGGGCTAAAAAAATAGTAGTGCGCCTAGTATGAGTAAAATAGTAGTGCGCCCTCGAAAATTTGAATTTCTGCTGCTTCTTTTTCATCTAAACCTTTTTAACTTTATGTTTATGTGACATTCTAAAGCTATTCAAGCAAGCAAACGTGAGGCTTTTTTTATTCATTTATTAACTATTTATTAACTAATATTCTTCACATGAAAAAATTAGCAAAAAAATCTAAAAAATCTAAAATTGTTGTGCAAAGTGCAAAAACATCTTTTTGTTGTTTGTCAAGACACAAACACAAACAATTACTACGGTAATTGTCAACTCCAACTCCAAGAATGTCGTTTTTGACAAGGATCTTGTTGCTTGGATTCAAGAAATGCGGGCAAAGAAGATGCGAGTGATACGAAAAATGATTCAAAGCCAAGCCAGGTTAATGTGGAAAGGTGACGAGGAATTTTCGGCATCAGAGGGATGGCTAAATTTATTCATGTCAAGACACAAATTGTCAACTCGCCGGCCCACAACTGTATGTCAAAAGGAGCCAAAGGAGTACGTGAAAGAATTGCAAGAATTTTTGGAACAAAGATCTGTCTTACTTTGGTAAATGATAAAATTCTTTAATAGTCGTGCACTTTCTAATAGTATTGCGGTTCGAGAGGGGGTTGAAAAAATAGTACTACTATTAGAGAGAATACGGTAAATTTCAATAAAAAAAACATTAAATTTCAATAAAAATCCTCCTTTATAGTTCTTTCATAGTTCCTATTTAGTTCCTTCAAAGCTCCTTTAAAGCTCCTTCAAAGCTCCTTTAAAGCTCCTTCAAAGCTCCTTTAAAGCTCCTTTAAAGCTCCTTCAAAGCTCCTTTAAAGCTCCTTCAAAGCTCTTTAAAGCTCCTTTTAAAGCTCCTTTATAGTTCATTAAATTTCAATAAAAACATTAAATTTCAATAAAAACATTAAATTTCAATAAAAAAAACATTCAATTTCAGTAAAAAAACATTAAATTTCAATTAAATATGAATTAAAATTGAAATTGATTTTTTTAGAACTTTTAGAACTTTTAGAACGACTATTTAATTTAATTTACTATTTAATTTTAAGCTATTATTTACAAATTTCTTTTTAGAACCTCAAAACTGTGTTCAATTCAACTGTTAAATGCTTTACATGTAAAGTCATGCGATGGGAAAACCGGCATTTACTTCACAAAGCATACACCACAACTAAATGGAATGTGGGACATGTTGGTGGCTGGAACGAATGGAGAGTAAGTTGAGAAAGAGGAAACAAACAAAAACAAGAAACAAACAACAAACAACAACAAGAAACAAGAAACAAACAACAACCAAACAACAACCAAACAACAACCAAACAGCAGCCAAACAACAAACAAACAAAATTCGAATTCATAGGAAAAGCTAGGATTCTAGACTGATATAGTTAATGGTTAGGTTAAGTTTTGAGTCTAGAAAACAAAGCCTAGCCCAGATTTACTGCACTTTGCTTTTCTGGGTAGATTTGTTTAAAAGCCAAGCTCTAACCTAGCCAAGCCTGGCTTTAGCATTGGCTTGGCCTAGTTTTCCTACACTTTTCTACACCTAAATCTTGTTTCAGGCTAAGCTGAGAATTCCTAATGATTCTTTAAACCTAATCCTTAAAGGATAAGCTTAAGAATGTTTAATGACTCTTTAAACTTAATCCTTAAGGATCAATCCTTAAACAATCAATCCTTAAAGGTTGACTGGTTGGCTGGCTGTGTCGTGTGTGGCCCTAATGAAGCCCAGAGCAGTGAGCAGTGTGCAGCCTCACCCCTCACCCACAGCCAGCCAACCAGCCAACCAGTCAACCTTAAACAATCAATCCTTAAAGCAATCAAAGCTTAATTTCAGTCTCCCAATGACCAACGAACTCTATTTTAACTCAAAAGTGCCTGGGATTTACATAAACATTTTGGATTTGACGGGAATTCGTGTCAGAGCGTCACTGAATGAGGATTGTGTAGCGCCGTGGACATCTGGAGCTGGTAGAAACATGTTTTTAATAAAAAAATAAGCAATGTTTATAAATCTTTACAATTTAAAGCTATCATTTAACTCAATTTTCGATTATTTTTATAGAAAATAGGGTAAATTGTTTTGAAAAATCTAGAAAGAATGCGTTTGGACAACTTCTTCGGAGCACCAGGTGTTGGGATTTCTTCAAAACCCAGCCCAACAACGAGACGAGTGATTTTACAACGATATTCGAAACATCCACGAGGATTGCCGATTTCAAAAAAGGTTTATAATCTGGAAATCGGTTTAAACAAGCGGAAAAATCTGGTAAAATGCTTTTCAAACTTTGATTTAAATGAATAAAATTGAAGGTTTGATAAAACTGAAGCAAGCAAGCAAAGCAAAGCAAGCAAAGCAAGCAAAGCAAGCAAAGCAAGCAAAGCAAGCAAAGCAAGCAAAGCAAGCAAAGCAAAGCAAGCAAAGCAAGCAAAGCAAGCAAAGCAAGCAAAGCAAAGCAAAGCAAGCAAAGCAAGCAAAGCAAGCAAAGCAAGCAAAGCAAGCAAAGCAAGCAAAGCAAGCAAAGCAAGCAAAGCAAGCAAAGCAAGCAAAGCAAGCAAAGCAAGCAATGAGAACAAATTTATGCATTTGTTTATAAAGAACAACCAATTAAATTCAATAAAACTCAATAAAACCAGTTTAAAGTCCTTTAAACCCAATAAAACTAGTTTAAAGTCTTTAAACTCAATAAAACCAGTTTAAACTCCTTTAAATTCTTTTTAGATCTTGAGCATTCCGGACGCTGAAAAGCCGCATATGTTTGCTGAAGGGACAAACGCTTTGGTGCTCTATTTTGTTAAATCTCCTTTCGAAGTACAAGCTAAAGGAAGCTACAAAAGGATATCAGCTGATTCGAAGCAAGTTTTGATGTAAGTGAATGACAGAGATCTCTTAAAATTGGGTTGTTCAGTTATGATATTACTATTTTGTAAATTTCTCAAGATATCGAACAGATGTATTTGAGTGTTATATATCATTCGAAAGCTGAAGATCTCCTCTACATTTTGGAATAAAAAAAGCTTTTGAATTCATTCAACTTTTTGGGGAATTTGACTGCACAAAGGGAGAGGTCGTTTTCGAAAAACTTGGACTTGGACCCTCGCCTTGCCTCAAATCACTACCACTTGGTAACCTCGCGAATGGTAATCAAATGATAAAGCAAATGATAACCTCGCGGAAGACAGGGTTGTAATGTCGCGCTTTGGTTTTTGAAGCTCCTTACAAGACTTTAAACGCGTATAACTTTTGACAGAGTGCTCCGTAGCAAAAAAGAAAAGCAGCATCATGATCAGCGTGAAATTCTACGTAGAATGGTCTATAAATTTAGCCAGCGCGCCCAATTGACCTTCCTTTGTAAGTAAAATTATTCAAAAGTCGAATGAATCTTCTAAAATCAACTTGTTCTCCTCAATCCAATCCTGATGACTCGGTGAGTTGAAATCTCCAGGCAATCACTATCGGTATCTCTTTCAATTCTTTCAAATCTCCTTTCATCGTTTTACAATTCAAAATCTCTTTGGGAAATTGACTGCACAAAGGGAGAGGTCGTTTTCGAAAAAAAACCCATTTCAGCTTAGCTATTCCTCAAGTTTTATGGTGTAAAATAATGATAAAAAATGATCAAAATCGACTTGGAACCATCAAAATCGACTTGAAATGATTAAAATCGACTTGGAACCATCAAAATCCCTGCCAAGATTGTTACAAAAAAGCTAAACCTATAGCCAGTTAGGTCAAAAATGACTTTATCTGGCTTCTGGATAGATTAGAAGTCGATTTTGGATGTCATGCTATTCATTGCTCACTTTTGAAAGCAAAATTCAAGACAAGTCAAGCTCTATAGCTAGAGTTGGCCTGATAGAATCGGTCCAAGGACCTAGACTCGAATATAGTCTTTTATAAATTCTCAAGATATCGAAAAGATATATTTGAGTGTTATATATCATTCGAAAGCTGAAGATCTCCTCTACATTTTGGAATAAAAAAGCTTTTGAATTCATTCAACTTTTTGGGAATTTGACTGCACAAAGGGAGAGGTGACAAAAAAAAAACGTTTTCGAAAAAAAACCCATCCAGCTTAGCTATTCGTCGAGTTTTATGGTGTAAAATAACCGCCCAGAAAAGAAAAGAAAAGAAAAGATGCTCTGAAATTGTTACATTTTAAAAAAACTTGTATTGATAGATCTATTGGCCAAACATCAAACGGTTGACTCAATTTGAGCGGAGCCAAAACTTGATCCAAAGACACCCTTCCATTTTTTGCCCACTTCTTCTTCTGTGCAGTCAATTTGCCCAAAAGCTGGACAAATTCAAAAGCTTTTTATATCAAAATGTAGAGGAGATCTTCAACTTTCGAATAATACTCATATATATCTTTTTCTTGATTTCGGTATCTTGAGAAATTTACAGAATATTAAGAAGCGCGCATTGATAACTGGACAACCCAATAATTGATCAAAACTCTTGTAAATAATTGATTTTCTAAATGAAAACTAAAACAAAACTGTAGCTGAGCTACAAACAGCTATAAAACTGTAGCTGATAGAAATTTCTATCATTAAATCTATCATTAAATCCATCCAATCAAAAAATTTCAGCTTTTTCAAGAAGCTTTTGCAAGCAAACCGTTCAGTTTTGAATGTTTTTAAAAAATAATTATTATTAAAGCAAAAACTCAGCTAGATTTCTGCATTTCTGCACAATTATGCTTAATTGAAAGTTTTTTATAAGTCATAGACTTGAGAAAGGCTTTTGAAACAGTCATAGACTTTCAAAAGCCTTTCAAAAGCCTTTCTCAAGCCTTTCACAAGTGGAAAATCAAGAAAAACACCATTCTAATCCCTTTTAGGACTTAAAACTTCACAAAAAAACAATTTAAAAAGTAAACTAGCTAAGATTTTTCCTTTCAAATACTAGATAATACTGAGTTTTTTTTTTGAAAAACTGTTATCTGTTCTCTCAAGATCTCTCAAGTGACCTCTTCTCCCCTCCTGCGCCTCCTTCAAGACCCCAACAACAATACTGAGATCTATTTATGCTTTATCTCTCAAGCTAAACGCCAAGATCTCTTGGCTTGGCTAAAAACTTAAAAGCTTTAAAATTCTGTAGTTAAAACAAATCCTTAAATTAAATCAAGCCAATTATCTTTAAAAATCAATCTTTTCGAGGTTTCGAGATCATTTTTAGAGATCTTATCGAGAAGAATCCAATGCTGAGCACGGAGAGAATTCATGAGTTGATGACGAGAGAACTGGATGGGCAAAGTGTTCCCGACTTGAAACGGGTAAGGGATCGTTTTGTGATCGAATTTGTAAACACACTAAAATGTCATTTAATCAGTCGAAAAGCTGAGTCTGGCTGAGGATTCCTTCAAAGCAATAGGAACCAACCCTTGGTCCCCTCCGAACCACCACTGACATCTATAATAAACACTGTTCGTCACACTGTGACTGTGACGTCATACACTGTGACTCTAACTTTAGAGCTCAATTTCTCGATGATTTTGATGGCTAGCGGTGTCCGAATGTCACATTAACAATCAGAATTCCAGGAAGAATCAAATGGTGCCATTTGCGTAATGATTCGGGTGTGACTAACGTCGATAACGTAACGCTGAGCGCCCCTCCGAGATTCCTGTAACAATAACTTCCACAATACCTTAAAGCAACTAAAATTGGCATACTTTAACTCCATGCTTGAAAATATTGAAAGCAAAAACGTTTGGAACGAGTGGGAATTGAACCCGACACCCCCTTCGAGCAGTCTTTTTTGTAGAAGGGACGCTAATCACCTCGACCATGTGTGTTTACAGATTTAAGCGAATACTTCAAATGAGAAGATGTTCATTTAAAAAAAACCTTTTCAGATCCAATTCCAACAGAAGAAATACTTGAAAAGTCTCTTTGTGCAGAAAAAACCAAAACGAATCGCTGGAAGCCGGGTCGCTCAATCAAATTTGGACAAAGATTTGAATGAAACCGAACCTTTTCAATACAACGATTTGCTCGAGAGTTTCGGATTGAATGAAGAAATGAATGAAGAGGAGAACCCATTTGCGGAATTTGGGGATTTGGTGGGTTTTAAAATTGTATAGAATCAGACAATACAGACTTTAACGATTCTAAAAGTACCTTTAAATATTTACCAGTTTGTTTTGATTGCAAAATCAAAAGATGCAAAAGATCAAGTGCCAAGGATTTGCCAGAAATCAGCTCTCTTTGCAAAACATAGAGCTACTGTGACCAGATTTGTAGTAGGGTCGACCAGACTCATAGAAAAGGCTTAGGCTTAGACCTAGGCTTAGACTTAGGCTCTGGCTTAGGCTTAGGCTCAGGCTTAGGCTCAGGCTGAGGCTTAGACTCAGACTTAGGCTCAGGCTGAGGCTTAGGCCTAGGTTTAGACTCAGACTTGGGCTCTGGCTTAGGCTTAGACTCTGGCTTAGGCTTAGACTCAGACTCAGGCTCAGGCTCAGGCTTAGGCTTTAGCTGTAAACTTACCTTTAGTTTGGAGCGTAGGGGCCCCAAGTTGTTTATCCGCTTTGCCCCACTATCCCACTCTCTTTCTCTCTCTGCCCCACTTTCTCTGCCCCACTCTCTGCCCCACTCTATGCCCCACTTTCCCCATTCCCACTCACTCCCACTCTTTCCCCGCCACTATCGATCGCGCCTCATTTTCATTTCGCTGCGATACCCAAGAAATTTTTATTATTTTCGTCTTTTGATGCTTTTGATTGTTGATTTCCGTTTTCCGTTTATTCCGTTTTCTATTTTTCAGCTATAATGAACCCTGGGAATAGTAAATATCCGTGGAAACAATTGTGCGATTGTCCAATTGGCACACACGCGATCAACTACGAGGCGCCATTAAAGAGCAAGACGACTCGCGGGAAACGTGAGTCAGATTTCAAAAGTCGTTTTCTAAACCGGCTAACTTTAGAGAATATCTATCTCGAGCGAATGTTTGTGAATAACGAAGATAAGAGAGTTTGTAGACGTTGTTCAAATGTTGGTTACTCAAAGAAATCCGGGCGTTCATACGAGTTGATGTGGACACATTATTTGCAAAAGCATTGTGACGTGGTGGAAGAATTTTTGCGCGAAGAAAAGCGACGAGTCGCTGGGAAAGCGGAACTGGATCAAGTATGACTAAAAAATAGCAAAACTCACAAATGCATCCTTCTCGCGTACTGAAACTGGCCTTTTTTTTGACAAAATATAAGAATAGAATAGAAATTTAGATGCTTTTGGATAACTCTGAGTCGTCTGGACTTTTGGATATTGAAGGTTTCTTAAACCCGGCAATCTCTCCGACAAATTATCGATCTCATTACCACAATCAAAGGATGGAGAACGATGAGATCGTAGGTTTTCTTAATCAAGGTTTTTCCAGAAACAAAGAAGCCAAACTTGACCAGTTTTTTGGTGCTGGCTTGGTCTGGCTTGGCTTGGCCTGGCTTGGCTTGGCCTAGCTTGGCATGGCTTGGTCTGGCTTGATCTGGCTTGGTCTGGCTTTGTCTGGCTTAATCTGGCCTTGCCAAGGTCTTAAACGCGACTGACATTGACCTGATCCAACTTAACTTGATCCTGATCTGACCAGCTCTAATCTAGCACTTCTTCTGCTTGTTCTGGCTTGGTCTGGCTTGGTCTGGCTTGGTCTGGTTGGGTCTTGGAACAGTGTGAAGCTGTAACTGCCCTCTTGCTCCCTCATAGTCACCCCCTCATTTTATCTTTTTAGCCACCCTACCCCCTTGAGCCTTTCAGCCAGCCTGCCCCCTTCCCCCTCTCCGCCTCTGCCCCCCTCACCCCCGCTCCCCTCACCCCGATAGCCCCCTTTCACCCCCCGCTATATCGATTTTTCTCGCGCCCAACATTTTTCTCCCATTTTCTGAAGGTTTTTTTGTTATTTTTTGATATTTTGTGTTTTCTTTGTACAAAATCTTCCCATCGAACAGATTAGACATTTAGACATCCAATTTAGACAATTAAAACAATTAAACAATTAAATAAATTACTTGCAAGCATAGCCTATCAATTATTTCCTGCAATTTAACAATTACAGTCTAGCCTGGAACTTAATTTTATGTTTCTCTGTCAACTTTGAGTCATTTTTGATGATGTTTTGTTTGACTTGTTTTTACAAATTCAATTTAGTGCTGAATGCGTGATGGACGTCAATAGAGTGGGACTGAAAGAGCTGTGCAATTGCCCGGATGGAACACACGGACCAAATTACGAGTTACCGCTCAAGAGCAAGCATTTTGGGAGACGTGGGTTATTGAGTTTTTATTCTAAAATGTTTAAGAACAGTGTTTTCTTATATTTTTCTACCATAACATCTCTTGGCTGACACATTTTTTAAACGAAATCTCTTTCAGTAAACTTTCAAGCTTCCAAAATGCCTCTGACATTTTCCAAAAAAGCGTTCCTAGGGTTTTCTGGTACGCTGATGCGATTGTTGATATTTTTAAAGCCTATTTGCGACTTATTTCTTCTTGTTTTCCTATGTTTTCTTGTTTGCTATCTCTCATTTTCTTTTTTAGATAGATTTTTAGATGCCGGGAATAGCTGAGCTAATAGATTGGATCTTAAATCGTTTATTCTTTTTACTGAATGGCCAAAGCTCAAAGCTAAGACCGATGATGAGGTTGACAAGTGGCTATCGGAGCGGGAAGTGCTATGGATGAACCGGAAATGTCTCAATTGCCAAGAACCAATGCGCCTTAGTAAAAAAGCATAAGGAATCGCGCAAATTGTTGCTACTACTTGGTGTTGCTACTACTTGTTGTTGCTACTACTTGTTGTTGCTCTACTTATTGTTGCTCTACTTTTTTCCTCTACTTGTTGTTGCTCTACTTACTTTTGCTCTACTTGCTTTTGCTCTACTTGTTGTTGCTCTACTTGCTGTTGCTCTACTTGCTGTTGCTCTACTTGTTGTTGCTCTACTTGCTGTTGCTCTACTTTTTTCCTCTACTTGTTGTTGCTCTACTTTTCAATTTGTTGTTGGTTTTTAAAAGGTGCCAGAGACATTTTGGAAGCCTCGTTTTTTGAAATTGCTGCTTTTTAGAAAGTACATCGCCTAAAAGGAAAGAAATATCAAGAATAGAACAATTTCAGTACGCTAGACAGATTGTGTTTATATTTTTACGTAATCAAGGGGACTTTTAGGCAACTTGTACCTGAATCGAATGTTTCTGACGAGAGGCGAAAAGCGAATTTGCATCCGCTGTCCAAATGTGAGCTATTCGAGGAATTCGGGGCGATGCTATGAGCACATTTGGACTCATTACCTCATGAGACACTGCGATGTGCTCGAGGAATTTCTGAAAGAGGAAAAGAAACGTTTGCAACAAGGAACACCGTCAACGGAGATCTCGCAACGGATTCATCCAATCGAGGAAAGGGATCAGGTAAGGAAATGCGCTAATAATGTTGAAATTTATCTATTGTAATTGAACCAATTGCGTACAATTCTTGCAAAGATTTCAGCTGTTTCTGGCCAATCACCAGTCATCTTCCTTGCAAATGGACAATTTCGCATCTCCGATCAATCCAGCTCCAATTTCTCCAATGGCTTTTACCAATTATCGTCATAGTTCAAAAATCGACGTCTTTGAGGATGCTCCGGATCAGGAAAACGTTTGTTTTGTTTGAAAGAATCCATCTTTGCATCTTCTTATGTATTTTTGTTGTTTTCTTCTTGTTTTTTCATTTTTCAGGCCTATTCGTTCATTTCCAAGCCAATACGAAGAACCTAATTGGAACCTAATCGGAACCTAATTGGAACCTAATTGGAACCTAATTGGAACCTAATTGGAACCTAATCGGAACCTAACCGGAACCTAGTTGGAACCTAACCGGAACCTAGTTGGAACCTAACCGGAGCTTAATCGGAACCCAATCGGAACCCAATCGGAACCCAATCGGAAGCTAATCGGAACCTAATCGGAACCTAATCGGAACCTAATCGAAACCTAATCGGACCCTAATCGGACCCTAATTGGAACTGAATCGGACCCTAATCGGAACCTAATCGGACCCTAATCGGACCCTAATCGGACCCTAATTGGAACCCAATCGGACCCTAATTGGAACCAAATCGGAACCTAATCGGAACCTAATCGGACCCTAATTGGAACTGAATCGGACCTTAATCGGAACACAATCGGAACCTAATCGGAACCAAATTAAAGCCGAAATAGAACCGAATCAGAACTGAATCGAAACCAAATCGAACCGAATCACAACCGAAAAGGAATCGAATCAGAACCGAAACGGATCTTTCTTAAATCTTTTCATTGTCAACAAATTTCCCGCCCCAAGCGCTCTTTTATTCAAAACTAGTTACAAATCCAAGCCTGATCAAAGCCAAAGCTAAGAAAACGAAGTTTTTAAGGTTTGAAGCAGAACTGGTGCAAATCATCCATATTTGAGCATTTTCCCGAATCTCTTATGTGTATAAATGGTGTGCCAAATGGTGCACGATTGTGTGTAAAACAGTAGAAAACGCAAAACAAAATTTTTACCCCAAAAGGCCTCGAACTCAAGGAAAAACAATCAGCGTTCGTTTTGTACTCAAGCGCCTTATCCATTAGGCCACTAAGCCACGTTTGGGAGCCATGAGAAAACCGTTATAAAGGCTCGGTTTTCGCTCGGTTTTTGGCTTTTTCTCTCAATTCGGCTCTAAATTTTCCCAAGCTAAAACTTAAAACACGTATAACTTTTTATAGAAAGCTATTTTGCAAAAACGGAAAGCAGATTCGGAATCAGCGTGAAATTCTGCGTCGAATTCATGCTTTCGCCTAAGTACAGCCTTTTGATTTGGTCCAATTTTTGAGCTTGACTCAATTTTGAGCGAAAAGATTCGAAAAATTGATTTAAATCTTTACAATTAGGTAGATTAAACACTAGTTTATTGTTAAAACTGATAAAATTGTCAGAAAGGATGAAAGGATTTCAGGATGAACCCAGCTCGAGCTCGCTCTCACACTCGCCACTGAACGCGCTGCTCATGCAAACGAGTTCGCTGACGAATCGGGTAAATAAGCTTCGATCACTTGGTTCTATCGATATTTACATATTTAGATGGTTCAATCTCCTCAACCAGGCACTGAATATGAAAGTTTCGAGGAGAAAATCCCTTCCTACTACATGGATTTAGCGAGAGGTGTCTCAGTGAAGGTAAAATCAATTTTTCTGCCTTAATCCATTTCTAAAAATCAAATACGAAATGATATTCAGTTAACCAATAAAGAATTAGTTTTCTGTAAAAATGGGCTCTTTCCGATTGGCTTTTGAATCTTTTGAAACTTTTTTTCGAAGTAAACACTTTAAATGCCTATAACTTTGTTTAGAAATTATATTATTGTTAACTTTTTCTATAGTTGGATAGAGAATATTTCAGGCTTTTGAATGATATGAAATAAAGCTTCACTGGATTTACCAATATCTGAAAAATGCCTGAGTAAAGTGCTGGTAAAGTGCCTGAGTCAGTTAGCTTGGTTAGTGCTGGCTTTCTGGAGATCTTTCTGGAGTTGGTTGGCTCAATCAAATTCGATTTGGTATCATTTGAAAGCCTACAGTATACTCTATTCAATCAAAAAGTTAACAATAATATTATTTCTATGTAAAGTTCGAAATGTAACTAGGTAGATAATAAATAAAACAACAGTGATTTCAAAATTTCAGCAAGCTTTGTCAACTCATCGAAAAGTGCCGGAGACTGGTCAACTCTTCACTGGCGCTCAGAAACTCGTTCTTGACGGAATCGTGAAAACGGTTGGTGTTGGAGAAGTTGTCTAACATTTAGATATTTCTGGATATTAACAAAGGAATGTCAACTGGTTGTGGTGGCCAAATGGCATGAGCCATTTACTGGCCGACGTAAAATTTTGCGCTGATTCCGAATCCGTTTTCCGTTTCTGCTATGGAACACTAAAAAGTGATAAATCTACAAGGTTTTATACGAAATTTAAAAAAATCATCTCTCGAGTTTATAAGCAGATTTCCCAGAGCCTCTAGGCAGCCCCGAAACTCGGCTTAAAAGCGCAGAAACGGAAAGCAGATTCGGAATCAGCGTTGCGTTGTTGCGTAGTTTTTGCCTTTTAGCCCAAATTTGACGTTATGTTTCAAAAATAATGAATTCAAATTGAATTTAGTTAAACGAGCTTCTCCTAAAGTCAGACAATAATGGATTTAATGGTGAAGAAACGGTTGGTTACATTAATTCTACAATAACATCAACAAAACAGTTATTTTCTAATCTTATTAAAGATTTCATAGCACTTTTTCATGCTGTAAATCTCAAATTTCAACCAAAAGCCTTTAGAAAAAGGGATTAGTTAACTTTTTTTTTCGTTTAAACTCTACAATCTTTTTCTTTGCTATAGTTTTTATTGAAAAGCTAAAATAGAATAACTTATGCTTAAAGTATTATAGTTTAATATGATAGCCGACTGGATAGGAATCTTGTCTATTAATCGGTGAATTCGAAGGTCAAAGGTTCGATCCAAGTAACCAAAAAAATTTCTTTCTTTTTCCCATCATTATAGGGTTTTTTTTCTTAACAACATTTGAGTAATAAGGGTAAAAAAAAAATCTCCTCCTTTATGCTGTAATTGATTATTCGTCTCGAATAATGTCGAATATTTGAGTCTTTTTATGGTTTAAAGCTTTTTCTTTGTCTTTTTATGGTTTAAACCATAAAAAGACTCAATGTAAAAAATTGGAATCTAACGAAATAATATAATAATGCTGAAATTGATAGATTTATCTTGTGTGATATCCAGATTGGCTTTTCCAAACGGTTTACCCAATTTTCCCTTCAATTTTCTTCAGCAATTTGATATTCAATCTCATTTTCAGCCAATCAACGTCCTCCAATTATTCCCCGACATCAAGCCGACCTCCGGAAACGGGTTTTAAAGCTTTATTTATTATTTTGATGAATAAATTTTCAATTTCTAGACTGAAAACTGTAATTAGGATACTTTTTAGACTGTGAAATTCGTTTTTTTGTAATTTATTTAGGGAAAAGTGATGAAATGATGGAAAAATGATTAAAATTTCGCATTGAGGAATTGAAATTGACTTGAAACGAACACTCAAAAGCTTGCAAAGTGCTTGAAATTAATCAGAAGATCAGAAAACGTTGCTCAAAAGACAATCGAAAACCATTTGCATCAACTAGAGAGTTTAGATCGTCAAAGTATCCTAATGATCATGGTACTTTGAGGATTTTGAGTCATTCTAAGCAGATCCTCTATTCTGGGATTCATTATGAACTGAGATTATCATTGGAATCATTATGAATGACTATAGATGAGTGATTAAACAGGGATGCTTGCTGGAAAATGTGTCTCAACTTGACTCAAGAGAACTTGTGCAAATGCCAGTTCTTCTTTTGCTTCATCAATCCAAAGCTGATGGTTTCTGGAATTCATTTTTAACATCTGATAAAACATGGATTAATTACGAGATTGTTTAAAAGAAAAAATAATGGCTATTTACTGGAAAAATCTCTTAAACCTCAAACCTGATCTTCATAAAAAGAAAATAATGCTTTTGTTGGTGGAAAGATTTGACTATGAGCTAATCTAGAAAAAAATCACGCTGATCTCTATTTCTTCCTTCTTCTTTCCTTCTTATTTCCTTCTTCCTTCTTCTTTCTTTCTTCCCTCTCCTTCTTCCTTTTTCTTTCCTCCTTCCCTCTCCTTCTTCCTTTTTCTTTCCTTCTTCTCTCTCCATCTTCCTTCTTCTTTCCTTCTTCTCTCTCCTTCTTCCTTTTTCTTTCCTTCTTCTCTCTCCATCTACAAAGATTGAATTGATGTTTGAGGCTTGCAACAACCCTTAAACTGCAAGATCGAGAAAATGCTGTAATCTAAAACATTCAAACATTTTGATGTATTAGCATACATCAAAACTTCAAAACATAAACTCAACTTTTTGCATCCAGAAGAAGAAAAAGAATGGCTTTTTGGATCAAATTTCTTCTTGATTCTTTTAAGTGAAGAATATTTTCGTTTAGAGCTCAATAGCGGAGAGCTTTTGATATACGGAAGTTAGATTTTTGATTCTTTTCTTGATTTTGATGCATTTTGATCGATTTTGATGGATTTTAATGGATTTTTCTTGATTTTGGTCGATTTTGATTGATTTTTCTTGATTTTGATGCATTTTGATCGATTTTAGGACTAAAATATTAGCTGTAGAGGTGCAAAATAGTAATATAATAGGATTCAAGAGAGAAATGGGCTAATCCTTTTGTGCAAATAGACTAGATTAGCACAGCTTTTGGCTGGAAAAAAAAGAAAATAATAATACCCGATTCAAATACCCAATCTTTCCCACTTTCATTCTACTTTGAGCTTCTTTTTAACGCATCTAGAACATTCAATTCTAGAACATTCAATTCTAGAACAATCAATTCTTTAATTTTCTCTATGAAAAAGACCAATAAACAGACTCTAAGTGCACTAGAAAGGGTGTGTTTACGATTTCTAACCACAAAATACAAAGAAAAGTCTAATACAAGACGAAAAAATGATGAAAATCGAAAAAATGAAAAAAATGATCGACTCAATCACTAAAAAACCTTGAATTTTCTTGCTTAAACGAATAAAATTCAATTCAATTACCCTAAAAAAAAAGCTTTTTCTCGTAAATCAATTCAAAATGAGCCATAAATGCGCATTGGATTTGGTTAAAACTCGAAAAAGCTGAACACAGCTTGAAAGTACACAGCTGAAAAGGGTTGGCTTTAAAATCTTTTCGAAAATCATCATTTGTTGTCTTTTTTTTGATGCAAATTTTCAATCTGGAACTCACAAAATCCAATTCGCTAGGAAAATCTCGTTTTAAAGCGAAATTGAAATTTTTTTTCCCCCACTTTTTTTCAATCTGGAATTCACACTATAGTAAAAACTCATTTTTGATTGAAATTTTTAAAAAATTGTTTTTTCCAATTTTTTCCAATAATTCTCGTGGTTTAAGAGCTCTTTTTTTAGCAATTAATTATTTATTTCTTTTCTTTTTCTTCTCAATAACTTCTCATTACTTTTTTTCTCACTTTTACCCCCGAAAAAGCTCAAAGAAAGATTTTTTCCTTTGAAAAGTTCGTTTTTATTGTATTTTTTAGGTTTTTGAAGGGTTTTAAAGCAAAAGAATGGAAATTTTCGAAAAATTTGATCTAATTTGATCCAATTTGATCTCCTAGATCTTGAAATAACTGAAAAATAAGCTAAAAAATCGATAACCTTTCTCTTTATCTTTCATTTAACCTTTTTAAAACCTTATTCCAACCACTTACTTACAATTGATGCTCACATTTTAAGCATAAATTTGATTTCATGCACCTTTTATAGCTTTTCACATCATCTATCTCATTTTTCTTTTAGTACTTTTCAATCTGGAAGTCACACAATACAATTCGCTAGGAAATTCTCGGTTTTAAGCGAAAGTGAAATTTTCAAAATTCTTTTTCTTTCGAATTCTTCAATTTCAAAGCGTAAATGAAAATTTTCTTTTTTCATTTTTTTCAATCTGGAAGGCACACTATAGAAATTTCTATTAAAAGCTTATTTTTAAACGAAATTGAAATTTCCAAAATTCTTTTTCTTCCAAATTTTTCAATTTTAAAGCTTAACTGAAAATTTTCTTTTGTCATTTTTTTCAATCTGGAATTCACACAATACAATTCGCTAGGAAATTCTCGTTTTTAAGCAAAATTGAGATTTCCAAAAAACCTTTTGCTTTCCAATATTTTCCTAGTCCAATAATTCATCTCATAGCTGAGAAAAGAGCTCTTTTTTTCAGCTATGAATTATTTATATCCCTTTTTTTCCTTTCAACAACCGAACACATTACTTTTTTTCTCACTTTCACTCCCGAAAAAAGCTCAAAAAAAGGATGTAAACGATGGGAAAATTGATAGAAAAAGTTAGTTTTTACGGCTTTTTTTTAGCTTTACAGATTGTTTTAAAGTAAAAGCTTGAACATTTTCGAAATTAACCAAAAGTAACCAAAAAAATTTCTTTCTTTTTCCCATCATTATAGGGTTTTTTTTCTTAACAACATTTGAGTAATAAGGGTAAAAAAAAAATCTCCTCCTTTATGCTGTAATTGATTATTCGTCTCGAATAATGTCGAATATTTGAGTCTTTTTATGGTTTAAAGCTTTTTCTTTGTCTTTTTATGGTTTAAACCATAAAAAGACTCAATTTAAAAAATTGGAATCTAACGAAATAATATAATAATGCTGAAATTGATAGATTTATCTTGTGTGATATCCAGATTGGCTTTTCCAAACGGTTTACCCAATTTTCCCTTCAATTTTCTTCAGCAATTTGATATTCAATCTCATTTTCAGCCAATCAACGTCCTCCAATTATTCCCCGACATCAAGCCGACCTCCGGAAACGGGTTCTAAAGCTTTATTTATTATTTTGATGAATAAATTTTCAATTTCTAGACTGAAAACTTTTAAGTTTTTTTAATAAGTTTAAATGCTAAATGATAAAGGAATTTGATAGCTTTGAAAGCTTTGAAAGCTTTAATTAAAAGCTTTGAAAGCTTTAATTGAAAGCTTTGAAAGCTTTTATTAAAAGCTTTTATTTCCAGGAATGCATCGTTTTTGGAAGTGCTGGTTGCGAGGCGCTCATTCACACGAAAGATGATCAAGTTTATGGCCTAGGCACCAATTATTGCTGTTGGTTGGGTAAGTAAACAGCGAAATCTCGAATCTCATCGTTTAGCTAAATGGCTAGCGATCTTGACTACCGATCTAATGAGCTAATGATCCAGGGTTCGATCCCGGGTTCGACCCCAGGCTCGACCAAATTGTTTTCTTTTCTAGACACAACAACTTCTCTTGTGCCTTCCAGATTGACAATTAAGCTAACTGGCTAGCGATCTTGACCTTTCGAGGAATTCGAGACCATTTCGAGCTATTCGAGGAATTCGGGGCGATGCTATGAGCACATTTGGACTCATTACCTCATGAGGCACTGCGATGTGCTCGAGGAATTTCTGAAAGAGGAAAAGAAACGTTTGCAACAAGGAACACCGCCAACGGAGATCCCGCAACGGATTCAACCAATCGAGGAAAGGGATCAGGTGCGCTAATAATGTTGAAATTTACTTATTTATCTTTTGTGCTCTCCAGGTTGACTTCTCAAGTGGGTAAGCTTTTGAAATGTTAGCGTTTTCCTTCAATTTTCATTAGGAATCGACTTCGGCCAAAATTATCGAGTAAAACGTTGAAATTAGCGACTATTTTCAACTTAAAAGTAAATCTGGATTCAAGAGAAATATGCAAATTTTAGCAGTAAAAGCTAAACTGGCTTAAAACTGATTTTTCCATTGTACACCTACTTACGGGGTTCTCCATGTTTAGTTTGTACGATTGAAATTTGCATATTTATCTTGCATGACATCCAGATTAGCTTCTCAAGTGGATAAATTTTGATAATTTCAACGTTTTCTCCTAAATTTTTGACCAAGGTCGGTTTCTAATGAAAAATTGGGGAAAAACGGTGAAATTTCTGAAAATTGAACTAAAATTGAACCAATTGCGTACAATTCTTGCAAAGATTTCAGCTATTTCTGGCCAATCACCAGTCATCTTCCTTGCAAATGGACAATTTCGCATCTCCGATCAATCCAGCTCCAATTTCTCCAATCGCTTTTACTAATTATCATCATAGTTCAAAAATCAACGTCTTTGAGGATGCTCCGGATCAGGATCAGGAAAACGTTTGTTTTGTTTGAAAGAATCCATCTTTGCATCTTCTTCTTTGTTGTTTTCTTTTTGTTTTTTTCATTTTTCAGGTCTCTACATTCATTTCCAAGACAATACGAGGAACCTAATCGGAACCTAATTGGAACCTAGTTGGAACCTAACCGGAACCTAATCGGAACCCAATTGGAACCCAATTGGAACCTAGTTGGAACCTAATCGGAACTGAATCGGACCCTAATCGGAACCTAATCGGAACTCAATCGGACCCGAATCGGAACCCAATCGGAACCTAGTTGGAACCTAATCGGAACCCAATCGGAACCCAATCGGAACCCAATCGGATTCTAATCGGACCCTAATCGGAACCTAATCGGAACTCAATCGGACCCGAATCGGAACCCAATCGGAACCTAGTTGGAACCTAATCGAAACCCAATCGGAACCTAATCGGAACCTAATCGGAACCCAATCGGAACTCAATCGGACCCTAATCGGACCCTAATCGGAACCCAATCGGAACCCAATCGGAACCCAATCGGATTCTAATCGGAGCCTAATTGGACCCTAATCGGAACCTAGTCGGAACCAAATTGAAACCGTATTGATACCGAATTAAAACCGAATTAAAACCGAATTAGAACCGAATTAAAACCGAATTAGAACCGAATCTGAACCAAATCGAAACTAAATCGTAACCGAATCACAACCGAAAAGGAACCGAATCGAATCTTTCTTAAATCTTTTCATTGTCAACAAATTTCCCGTCCCAAGCGCTCTTTTATTCAAAACTAGTTACAAATCCAAGCCTGATCAAAGCCAAAGCTAAGAAAAAGTAGGTTTTAAGGTTTGAAGCAGAACTGGTGCAAATCATCATATTTCAGCAATTCCTGTGTCTCTTATGTGTATAAATGGTGTGCCAAATGGTGCACGATTGTGTGTAGAACAGAAGAAAACGCAAAACGAAAGTTTTACCCCAAAAGGGTCGAACTCAAGGAAAAACAAGCGGCAAGCGTTTTGTAATCAAGGGCCTTATCCACTAGGCCACCAAGCCGCGTTTTTGAGCCATGAGAAAACCGTTATAAAGGCTCGGTTTTTGGCTCGGCTTTTGGCTTTTTCTCTCAATTCTCCAAATTTTCCCAAGCTAAAGCTTAAAACACGTATAACTTTTTATAGAAAGCTATTTTGCAAAAACGGGAAGCAGATTCGGAATCAGCGTGAAATTCTGCGTCGATTTCATGCTTTCGCCTAAGTACAGCCTTTTGTTTTGGTCCACTTTTTTGAGCTTGACTCAATTTTAAGCCAAAAGATTCGAAAAATTGATTTAAATCCTTATAATTAGGTAGATTAAACACTAGTTTATTGTTAAAATTGATAAAATTGTTCAAAATTTCAGGATGAACCCAGCTCGAGCTCGCTCTCACACTCGCCACTGAACGCGCTGCTCATGCAAACGAGTTCGCTGACGAATCGGGTAAATAAGCTTCGATCACTTGGTTCTATCGATATTTACATATTTAGATGGTTCAATCTCCTCAACCAGGCACTGAATATGAAAGTTTCGAGGAGAAAATCCCTTCCTACTACATGGATTTAGCGAGAGGTGTCTCAGTGAAGGTAAAATCAATTTTTCTGGCTTAATCCATTTCTAAAAATTAAATACGAAATGATATTCAGTTAACCAATAAAGAATTAAAGTTTTCTGTAAAAATGGGCTCTTTCCGATTGGCTTTTGAATCTTTTGAAACTTTTTTTCGAAGTAAACACTTTAAATGCCTATAACTTTGTTTAGAAATTATATTATTGTTAACTTTTTCTATAGTTGGATAGAGAATATTTCAGGCTTTTGAATGATATTAAATAGAGCTTCACTGGATTTGCCAATATCTGAAAAATGGCTGAGTAAAGTGCTGGTAAAGTGTCAGAGTCGGTTAGCTTGGTTAGTGCTGGCTTTCTGGAGAGCTTTCTGGAGTTGGTTGACTCAATCAAATTCGATTTGGTATCATTTGAAAGCCTACAGTATACTCTATTCAATCAAAAGTTAACAATAATATTATTTCTAAGTAAAGTTCGAAATGTAACTAGGTAGATAATAAATAAAACAACAGTGATTTCAAAATTTCAGCAAGCTTTGTCAACTCATCGAAAAGTGCCGGAGACTGGTCAACTCTTCACTGGCGCTCAGAAACTCGTTCTTGACGGAATCGTGAAAACGGTTGGTGTTGGAGAAGTTGTCTAACATTTAGATATTTCTAGATATTAACAAAGGAATGTCAACTGGTTGTGGTGGCCAAATGGCATGAGCCATTTACTGGCCGACGTAAAATTTTGCGCTGATTCCGAATCCGTTTTCCGATTAGACTAGTGGGGGATTAGTGTGTTGAGCTTCTGGGAAAGCTTAGAAACTGTAAAATAGTCATCAACTCGGCACTACTATTAGAGAAAATACGTTATGTTTCAAAAATAATGAATTCAAATTGAATTTAGTTAAACGAGCTTCTCCTAAAGTCAGACAATAATGGATTTAATGGTGAAGAAACGGTTGGTTACATTAATTCTACAATAACATCAACAAAACAGTTATTTTCTAATCTTATTAAAGATTTCATAGCACTTTTTCATGCTTTAAATCTCAAATTTCAACCTAAAGCCTTTAGAAAAAGGGATTAGTTAACTTTTTTTTTTCGTTTAAACTCTCTACAATCTTTTTCTTTGCTATAGTTTTTATTGAAAAGCTAAAATAGAATAACTTATGCTTAAAGTATTATAGTTTAATATGATAGCCGACTGGATAGGAATCTTGTCTATTAATCGGTGAATTCGAAGGTCAAAGGTTCGATCCAAGTAACCAAAAAAATTTCTTTCTTTTTCCCATCATTATAGGGTTTTTTTTCTTAACAACATTTGAGTAATAAGGGAAAAAAAAAAATCTCCTCCTTTATGCTGTAATTGATTATTCGTCTCGAATAATGTCGAATATTTGAGTCTTTTTATGGTTTAAAGCTTTTTCTTTGTCTTTTTATGGTTTAAACCATAAAAAGACTCAATTTAAAAAATTGGAATCTAACGAAATAATATAATAATGCTGAAATTGATAGATTTATCTTGTGTGATATCCAGATTGGCTTTTCCAAACGGTTTACCCAATTTTCCCTTCAATTTTCTTCAGCAATTTGATATTCAATCTCATTTTCAGCCAATCAACGTCCTCCAATTATTCCCCGACATCAAGCCGACCTCCGGAAACGGGTTCTAAAGCTTTATTTATTATTTTGATGAATAAATTTTCAATTTCTAGACTGAAAACTGTAATTAAGAGACTTTTTAGATTGCGAAATTCGTTTTTTGGAAACTATTTAGGAAAAAAAATGATGCCCGTTTAAAATTTCGCATTGAGGAATTGAAATTGACTTGAATCTTGCACTCAAAAGCTTGCAAAGTGCTTGAAAGCTTGAAAGCAAAGCTTGAAATTGATCAGAAGATCAGAAAACGTTGATAAAAAGAGAAAAAGAGAGAAAGCTGATGGTTTCTGGGATTCATTTCTAACATCTGATAAAGCTTGGATTAATTACGAGATTGTTCAATGAAAAAGCTATCTACCGGAAAATCCCTTAAACCCTCAAACTCTGATCTTGATAAAAAAGAAAATAATGGTTTTGTTGGTGGAAAGATTTGACTATCGGCTAATAGGTTGATGCATAAGTCTTTTCGTTTTTTTCGTACTTCTGTTAAAAAGTAACAAATTCACCAATTAATCTATAGTTTGCTCTATAAAAAAAAAGTGTTTTTTGTTCAATTTGCATCTTTTTAAATGAATTTCGGTTCACTTTCAAGCAAATTCGAGAGTGAAAAACGCCTTTTGTCGTAAAAATCCATAAAAAACTCTACGGAAAAATTGGCTGAATGAATTTCTCTGAAATTTTGGCTAGAACATTCATGTGGGTTATCAGCCGGGTGTGGGTTCTCAGCCGGTCCTCCTACTCGACCCCTTTCTGGCAGCCGACGTGCTATGGGGGCGATATAAAGCACAAATTCTTGTTCAGCATCATGGCAGGGCTGAGTCCCGGCCTGAGTCAGAAAAAGACTCGGTAAAATCCCATGGTGCGGCGTGCTTGCGTCGGTTGGAAGGATACACCATGGTAAGGCGCGGCTCCCGGGGTAAACCCTAGCCGAGTGACCCCCCGGCTTCCACCGTGGCACAGGGGAGGCGTAGGGGGGAAAATTACTATCCCCCCTGACTCATTGACAGCAGCAGGGATAGGCAAGAAGTACCCCCTGCCTCCTGGTCAATAATTCCTGTGAAAGTGTGTGTGTATTTTTTGCATTTTTGGCGGCGGCGAATTTTCTTCGCTTCTTCGCAATTTATTATAATTTTATAATAAAATAATATAATCATTATAATAATTATAATATAATAATGGTAGGATGTAAAATGATCAGTTTCTTTTTGTTTTATATTTTAGAATTCTAGTGTGCTCTCCAGATCAACGAAAAATATTAAAAAATTAGCATTTTTATGATAAAATTGACAGTTTAAAGCCTTGAACTCGATTCGGGGTACGGTAGTTTATCCACCAAGGAGCACGCTTTAGAAAAGGGTACCTATGAGGGTACAGTAATCCGTGCGGTCCAGATCGACAAAAAATTTGAAAATATTTAGATTTTTAGGATTGAATTAACACTTTAAGGCCTTGTACTCGGTTCGGCGAAAAATCGACGAAAAAATCGACGAAAAATATGAAAATAGTTGCATTTTTATCTTAAGATTAACAGTTTAAAGCCTTGAACTCGATTCAGGTACGGTAGTTTATCCACCATCTATTTATCTATTTTTCATGGGTTTTAAAAAGAAAAATTTGAAAATTTAACAAAAAAAAGATGAAATTTTGTTTCAAAAGGCACAGTGAAAAATGAAAATCGAAAATTTACTTTTTGCTAACAGAGACGAAACGCGAAACTTCTAGCGCATCGAATTTTTGCTTTTTAAGCCTTTCCTTTATTTTATATAGAATTTAGCTGCTGCTGCGTGGGAAGCCGGCGTTTACGGTGAGCACAAAGTACACTTCGATTCACGCAGGCACATTTTTGATGAAATGGATGGGAAAACACGTAAAGGAACGAATAGAAAACTAGAAAACTAGAAAGATATTCAAGCAATAAGATAATAATTCTTTAAGAAAACAAAAAACAATAAAAAAAGGATCAATTTTGACATGAAATTTGAAAATTTTGATCATTTGACAATTCGCTAAGCTTGGCTTGAATTTTTTTTTGCCTTCCTTTCCTTTAGTCTAGCTTTAAAATAGTAATTCTAAAGTTATAGCAATTCTAAAGTATTTAAGAATCTTGTTAAGCTTTGAATATGTCATTAGAATCAAGAAAATCAATAATTCCATCAAAATCCATCAAAAAAAAAACATCGGGAAGGAGCTATTCGAACTAGTAGTGTTCTGACAATCAAATAGTTGGATTGGAGTTGGATTGGAGTTGGATTTCTTAAGGCTTTAAGGCCTTGTACTCGGTTCGGCGAAAAATCGACGAAAAATCGACGAAAAATATGAAAATAGTTGCATTTTTATCTTAAGATTAACAGTTTAAAGCCTTGAACTCGATTCAGGTACGGTAGTTTATCCACCATCTATTTATCTTTTGAATTCCGATTGACTTTTGAATCTTTTGAAACTTTTTTTCGAAGTAAACACTTTAAATGCCTATAACTTTGTTTAGAAATTATATTATTGTTAACTTTTTCTATAGTTGGATAGAGAATATTTCAGGCTTTTGAATGATATTAAATAGAGCTTCACTGGATTTGCCAATATCTGAAAAATGGCTGAGTAAAGTGCTGGTAAAGTGTCAGAGTCGGTTAGCTTGGTTAGTGCTGGCTTTCTGGAGAGCTTTCTGGAGTTGGTTGACTCAATCAAATTCGATTTGGTATCATTTGAAAGCCTACAGTATACTCTATTCAATCAAAAAGTTAACAATAATATTATTTCTAAGTAAAGTTCGAAATGTAACTAGGTAGATAATAAATAAAACAACAGTGATTTCAAAATTTCAGCAAGCTTTGTCAACTCATCGAAAAGTGCCGGAGACTGGTCAACTCTTCACTGGCGCTCAGAAACTCGTTCTTGACGGAATCGTGAAAACGGTTGGTGTTGGAGAAGTTGTCTAACATTTAGATATTTCTAGATATTAACAAAGGAATGTCAACTGGTTGTGGTGGCCAAATGGCATGAGCCATTTACTGGCCGACGTAAAATTTTGCGCTGATTCCGAATCCGTTTTCCGATTAGACTAGTGGGGGATTAGTGTGTTGAGCTTCTGGGAAAGCTTAGAAACTGTAAAATAGTCATCAACTCGGCACTACTATTAGAGAAAATACGTTATGTTTCAAAAATAATGAATTCAAATTGAATTTAGTTAAACGAGCTTCTCCTAAAGTCAGACAATAATGGATTTAATGGTGAAGAAACGGTTGGTTACATTAATTCTACAATAACATCAACAAAACAGTTATTTTCTAATCTTATTAAAGATTTCATAGCACTTTTTCATGCTTTAAATCTCAAATTTCAACCTAAAGCCTTTAGAAAAAGGGATTAGTTAACTTTTTTTTTCGTTTAAACTCTCTACAATCTTTTTCTTTGCTATAGTTTTTATTGAAAAGCTAAAATAGAATAACTTATGCTTAAAGTATTATAGTTTAATATGATAGCCGACTGGATAGGAATCTTGTCTATTAATCGGTGAATTCGAAGGTCAAAGGTTCGATCCAAGTAACCAAAAAAATTTCTTTCTTTTTCCCATCATTATAGGGTTTTTTTCTTAACAACATTTGAGTAATAAGGGAAAAAAAAATCTCCTCCTTTATGCTGTAATTGATTATTTTTGGTTTATAATTTCTCAATCAAAATCGACCAAAATCAAGAAAAATCAATCAAAATCAAGAAAAATCCATCAAAATCAACCAAAATCAAGAAAAGAATCAAAAATCTAACTTCCGTATATCAAAAGTATAAAAGTATCAAAAGAATCGAGTACTTAAACTGTCAATTTTATAAAATATTATAAAATTCTAAAAATGGCAAAGAAGCGAAGAAAATTCGCCGCCGCCAAAAATGCAAAAAATACACACACACTTTCACAGGAATTATTGACCAGGAGGCAGGGGGTACTTCTTGCCTATCCCTGCTGCTGTCAATGAGTCAGGGGATAGTAATTTTCCCCCTACGCCTCCCCTGTGCCACGGTGGAAGCCGGGGGTCACTCGGCTAGGGTTTACCCCGGGAGCCGCGCCTTACCATGGTGTATCCTTCCAACCGACGCAAGCACGCCGCACCATGGGATTTTACCGAGTCTTTTTTCTGACTCAGGCCGGGACTCAGCCCTGCCATGATGCTGAACAAGAATTTGTGCTTTATATCGCCCCCATAGCACGTCGGCTGCCAGAAAGGGGTCGAGTAGGAGGACCGGCTGAGAACCCACACCCACCCACACCCGGCTGATAACCCACATGAATGTTCTAGCCAAAATTTCAGAGAAATTCATTCAGCCAATTTTTCCGTAGAGTTTTTTATGGATTTTTACGACAAAAGGCGTTTTTCACTCTCGAATTTGCTTGAAAGTGAACCGAAATTCATTTAAAAAGATGCAAATTGAACAAAAAAACACTTTTTTTTTATAGAGCAAACTATAGATTAATTGGTGAATTTGTTACTTTTTAACAGAAGTACGAAAAAAACGAAAAGATATGCATCAACCTATTAGCCGATAGTCAAATCTTTCCACCAACAAAACCATTATTTTCTTTTTATCAAGACGGAGATCCCGCAACGGATTCAACCAATCGAGGAAAGGGATCAGGTGCGCTAATAATGTTGAAATTTACTTATTTATCTTTTGTGCTCTCCAGGTTGACTTCTCAAGTGGGTAAGCTTTTGAAATGTTAGCGTTTTCCTTCAATTTTCATTAGGAATCGACTTCGGCCAAAATTATCGAGTAAAACGTTGAAATTAGCGACTATTTTCAACTTAAAAAGTAAATCTGGATTCAAGAGAAATATGCAAATTTTAGCAGTAAAAGCTAAACTGGCTTAAAACTGATTTTTCCATTGTACACCTACTTACGGGGTTCTCCATGTTTAGTTTGTACGATTGAAATTTGCATATTTATCTTGCATGACATCCAGATTAGCTTCTCAAGTGGATAAATTTTGATAATTTCAACGTTTTCTCCTAAATTTTTGACCAAGGTCGGTTTCTAATGAAAAATTGGGGAAAAACGGTGAAATTTCTGAAAATTGAACTAAAATTGAACCAATTGCGTACAATTCTTGCAAAGATTTCAGCTATTTCTGGCCAATCACCAGTCATCTTCCTTGCAAATGGACAATTTCGCATCTCCGATCAATCCAGCTCCAATTTCTCCAATCGCTTTTTACTAATTATCATCATAGTTCAAAAATCAACGTCTTTGAGGATGCTCCGGATCAGGATCAGGGAAAACGTTTGTTTTGTTTGAAAGAATCCATCTTTGCATCTTCTTCTTTGTTGTTTTCTTTTTGTTTTTTTCATTTTTCAGGTCTCTACATTCATTTCCAAGACAATACGAGGAACCTAATCGGAACCTAATTGGAACCTAGTTGGAACCTAACCGGAACCTAATCGGAACCCAATTGGAACCCAATTGGAACCTAGTTGGAACCTAATCGGAACTGAATCGGACCCTAATCGGAACCTAATCGGAACTCAATCGGACCCGAATCGGAACCCAATCGGAACCTAGTTGGAACCTAATCGGAACCCAATCGGAACCCAATCGGAACCCAATCGGATTCTAATCGGACCCTAATCGGAACCTAATCGGAACTCAATCGGACCCGAATCGGAACCCAATCGGAACCTAGTTGGAACCTAATCGAAACCCAATCGGAACCTAATCGGAACCTAATCGGAACCCAATCGGAACTCAATCGGACCCTAATCGGACCCTAATCGGAACCCAATCGGAACCCAATCGGAACCCAATCGGATTCTAATCGGAGCCTAATTGGACCCTAATCGGAACCTAGTCGGAACCAAATTGAAACCGTATTGATACCGAATTAAAACCGAATTAAAACCGAATTAGAACCGAATTAAAACCGAATTAGAACCGAATCTGAACCAAATCGAAACTAAATCGTAACCGAATCACAACCGAAAAGGAACCGAATCGAATCTTTCTTAAATCTTTTTCATTGTCAACAAATTTCCCGTCCCAAGCGCTCTTTTATTCAAAACTAGTTACAAATCCAAGCCTGATCAAAGCCAAAGCTAAGAAAAAGTAGGTTTTAAGGTTTGAAGCAGAACTGGTGCAAATCATCATATTTCAGCAATTCCTGTGTCTCTTATGTGTATAAATGGTGTGCCAAATGGTGCACGATTGTGTGTAGAACAGAAGAAAACGCAAAACGAAAGTTTTACCCCAAAAGGGTCGAACTCAAGGAAAAACAAGCGGCAAGCGTTTTGTAATCAAGGGCCTTATCCACTAGGCCACCAAGCCGCGTTTTTGAGCCATGAGAAAACCGTTATAAAGGCTCGGTTTTTGGCTCGGCTTTTGGCTTTTTCTCTCAATTCTCCAAATTTTCCCAAGCTAAAGCTTAAAACACGTATAACTTTTTATAGAAAGCTATTTTGCAAAAACGGGAAGCAGATTCGGAATCAGCGTGAAATTCTGCGTCGATTTCATGCTTTCGCCTAAGTACAGCCTTTTGTTTTGGTCCACTTTTTGAGCTTGACTCAATTTTAAGCCAAAAGATTCGAAAAATTGATTTAAATCCTTATAATTAGGTAGATTAAACACTAGTTTATTGTTAAAATTGATAAAATTGTTCAAAATTTCAGGATGAACCCAGCTCGAGCTCGCTCTCACACTCGCCACTGAACGCGCTGCTCATGCAAACGAGTTCGCTGACGAATCGGGTAAATAAGCTTCGATCACTTGGTTCTATCGATATTTACATATTTAGATGGTTCAATCTCCTCAACCAGGCACTGAATATGAAAGTTTCGAGGAGAAAATCCCTTCCTACTACATGGATTTAGCGAGAGGTGTCTCAGTGAAGGTAAAATCAATTTTTCTGGCTTAATCCATTTCTAAAAATTAAATACGAAATGATATTCAGTTAACCAATAAAGAATTAAAGTTTTCTGTAAAAATGGGCTCTTTCCGATTGGCTTTTGAATCTTTTGAAACTTTTTTCGAAGTAAACACTTTAAATGCCTATAACTTTGTTTAGAAATTATATTATTGTTAACTTTTTCTATAGTTGGATAGAGAATATTTCAGGCTTTTGAATGATATTAAATAGAGCTTCACTGGATTTGCCAATATCTGAAAAATGGCTGAGTAAAGTGCTGGTAAAGTGTCAGAGTCGGTTAGCTTGGTTAGTGCTGGCTTTCTGGAGAGCTTTCTGGAGTTGGTTGACTCAATCAAATTCGATTTGGTATCATTTGAAAGCCTACAGTATACTCTATTCAATCAAAAAGTTAACAATAATATTATTTCTAAGTAAAGTTCGAAATGTAACTAGGTAGATAATAAATAAAACAACAGTGATTTCAAAATTTCAGCAAGCTTTGTCAACTCATCGAAAAGTGCCGGAGACTGGTCAACTCTTCACTGGCGCTCAGAAACTCGTTCTTGACGGAATCGTGAAAACGGTTGGTGTTGGAGAAGTTGTCTAACATTTAGATATTTCTAGATATTAACAAAGGAATGTCAACTGGTTGTGGTGGCCAAATGGCATGAGCCATTTACTGGCCGACGTAAAATTTTGCGCTGATTCCGAATCCGTTTTCCGATTAGACTAGTGGGGGATTAGTGTGTTGAGCTTCTGGGAAAGCTTAGAAACTGTAAAATAGTCATCAACTCGGCACTACTATTAGAGAAAATACGTTATGTTTCAAAAATAATGAATTCAAATTGAATTTAGTTAAACGAGCTTCTCCTAAAGTCAGACAATAATGGATTTAATGGTGAAGAAACGGTTGGTTACATTAATTCTACAATAACATCAACAAAACAGTTATTTTCTAATCTTATTAAAGATTTCATAGCACTTTTTCATGCTTTAAATCTCAAATTTCAACCTAAAGCCTTTAGAAAAAGGGATTAGTTAACTTTTTTTTTTCGTTTAAACTCTCTACAATCTTTTTTCTTTGCTATAGTTTTTATTGAAAAGCTAAAATAGAATAACTTATGCTTAAAGTATTATAGTTTAATATGATAGCCGACTGGATAGGAATCTTGTCTATTAATCGGTGAATTCGAAGGTCAAAGGTTCGATCCAAGTAACCAAAAAAATTTCTTTCTTTTTCCCATCATTATAGGGTTTTTTTCTTAACAACATTTGAGTAATAAGGGAAAAAAAAAATCTCCTCCTTTATGCTGTAATTGATTATTCGTCTCGAATAATGTCGAATATTTGAGTCTTTTTATGGTTTAAAGTTTTTTCTTTGTCTTTTTATGGTTTAAACCATAAAAAAGACTCAATTTAAAAAATTGGAATCTAACGAAATAATATAATAATGCTGAAATTGATAGATTTATCTTGTGTGATATCCAGATTGGCTTTTCCAAACGGTTTACCCAATTTTCCCTTCAATTTTCTTCAGCAATTTGATATTCAATCTCATTTTCAGCCAATCAACGTCCTCCAATTATTCCCCGACATCAAGCCGACCTCCGGAAACGGGTTCTAAAGCTTTATTTATTATTTTGATGAATAAATTTTCAATTTCTAGACTGAAAACTGTAATTAAGAGACTTTTTAGATTGCGAAATTCGTTTTTTGGAAACTATTTAGGAAAAAAATGATGCCCGTTTAAAATTTCGCATTGAGGAATTGAAATTGACTTGAATCTTGCACTCAAAAGCTTGCAAAGTGCTTGAAAGCTTGAAAGCAAAGCTTGAAATTGATCAGAAGATCAGAAAACGTTGATAAAAAGAGAAAAAGAGAGAAAGCTGATGGTTTCTGGGATTCATTTCTAACATCTGATAAAGCTTGGATTAATTACGAGATTGTTCAATGAAAAAGCTATCTACCGGAAAATCCCTTAAACCCTCAAACTCTGATCTTGATAAAAAGAAAATAATGGTTTTGTTGGTGGAAAGATTTGACTATCGGCTAATAGGTTGATGCATAAGTCTTTTCGTTTTTTCGTACTTCTGTTAAAAAAGTAACAAATTCACCAATTAATCTATAGTTTGCTCTATAAAAAAAAAGTGTTTTTTTGTTCAATTTGCATCTTTTTAAATGAATTTCGGTTCACTTTCAAGCAAATTCGAGAGTGAAAAACGCCTTTTGTCGTAAAAATCCATAAAAAACTCTACGGAAAAATTGGCTGAATGAATTTCTCTGAAATTTTGGCTAGAACATTCATGTGGGTTATCAGCCGGGTGTGGGTTCTCAGCCGGTCCTCCTACTCGACCCCTTTCTGGCAGCCGACGTGCTATGGGGGCGATATAAAGCACAAATTCTTGTTCAGCATCATGGCAGGGCTGAGTCCCGGCCTGAGTCAGAAAAAGACTCGGTAAAATCCCATGGTGCGGCGTGCTTGCGTCGGTTGGAAGGATACACCATGGTAAGGCGCGGCTCCCGGGGTAAACCCTAGCCGAGTGACCCCCCGGCTTCCACCGTGGCACAGGGGAGGCGTAGGGGGGAAAATTACTATCCCCCCTGACTCATTGACAGCAGCAGGGATAGGCAAGAAGTACCCCTGCCTCCTGGTCAATAATTCCTGTGAAAGTGTGTGTGTATTTTTTTGCATTTTTGGCGGCGGCGAATTTTCTTCGCTTCTTCGCAATTTATTATAATTTTATAATAAAATAATATAATCATTATAATAATTATAATATAATAATGGTAGGATGTAAAATGATCAGTTTCTTTTGTTTTATATTTTAGAATTCTAGTGTGCTCTCCAGATCAACGAAAAATATTAAAAAATTAGCATTTTTATGATAAAATTGACAGTTTAAAGCCTTGAACTCGATTCGGGGTACGGTAGTTTATCCACCAAGGAGCACGCTTTAGAAAAGGGTACCTATGAGGGTACAGTAATCCGTGCGGTCCAGATCGACAAAAAATTTGAAAATATTTAGATTTTTAGGATTGAATTAACACTTTAAGGCCTTGTACTCGGTTCGGCGAAAAATCGACGAAAAAATCGACGAAAAATATGAAAATAGTTGCATTTTTATCTTAAGATTAACAGTTTAAAGCCTTGAACTCGATTCAGGTACGGTAGTTTATCCACCATCTATTTATCTATTTTTCATGGGTTTTAAAAAGAAAAATTTGAAAATTTAACAAAAAAAAGATGAAATTTTGTTTCAAAAGGCACAGTGAAAAATGAAAATCGAAAATTTACTTTTTGCTAACAGAGACGAAACGCGAAACTTCTAGCGCATCGAATTTTTTGCTTTTTAAGCCTTTCCTTATTTTATATAGAATTTAGCTGCTGCTGCGTGGGAAGCCGGCGTTTACGGTGAGCACAAAGTACACTTCGATTCACGCAGGCACATTTTTGATGAAATGGATGGGAAAACACGTAAAGGAACGAATAGAAAACTAGAAAACTAGAAAGATATTCAAGCAATAAGATAATAATTCTTTAAGAAAACAAAAAACAATAAAAAAAGGATCAATTTTGACATGAAATTTGAAAATTTTGATCATTTGACAATTCGCTAAGCTTGGCTTGAATTTTTTTTGCCTTCCTTTCCTTTAGTCTAGCTTTAAAATAGTAATTCTAAAGTTATAGCAATTCTAAAGTATTTAAGAATCTTGTTAAGCTTTGAATATGTCATTAGAATCAAGAAAATCAATAATTCCATCAAAATCCATCAAAAAAAAAAACATCGGGAAGGAGCTATTCGAACTAGTAGTGTTCTGACAATCAAATAGTTGGATTGGAGTTGGATTGGAGTTGGATTTCTTAAGGCTTTAAGGCCTTGTACTCGGTTCGGCGAAAAATCGACGAAAAAATCGACGAAAAATATGAAAATAGTTGCATTTTTATCTTAAGATTAACAGTTTAAAGCCTTGAACTCGATTCAGGTACGGTAGTTTATCCACCATCTATTTATCTTTTGAATTCCGATTGACTTTTGAATCTTTTGAAACTTTTTTTCGAAGTAAACACTTTAAATGCCTATAACTTTGTTTAGAAATTATATTATTGTTAACTTTTTCTATAGTTGGATAGAGAATATTTCAGGCTTTTGAATGATATTAAATAGAGCTTCACTGGATTTGCCAATATCTGAAAAATGGCTGAGTAAAGTGCTGGTAAAGTGTCAGAGTCGGTTAGCTTGGTTAGTGCTGGCTTTCTGGAGAGCTTTCTGGAGTTGGTTGACTCAATCAAATTCGATTTGGTATCATTTGAAAGCCTACAGTATACTCTATTCAATCAAAAAGTTAACAATAATATTATTTCTAAGTAAAGTTCGAAATGTAACTAGGTAGATAATAAATAAAACAACAGTGATTTCAAAATTTCAGCAAGCTTTGTCAACTCATCGAAAAGTGCCGGAGACTGGTCAACTCTTCACTGGCGCTCAGAAACTCGTTCTTGACGGAATCGTGAAAACGGTTGGTGTTGGAGAAGTTGTCTAACATTTAGATATTTCTAGATATTAACAAAGGAATGTCAACTGGTTGTGGTGGCCAAATGGCATGAGCCATTTACTGGCCGACGTAAAATTTTGCGCTGATTCCGAATCCGTTTTCCGATTAGACTAGTGGGGGATTAGTGTGTTGAGCTTCTGGGAAAGCTTAGAAACTGTAAAATAGTCATCAACTCGGCACTACTATTAGAGAAAATACGTTATGTTTCAAAAATAATGAATTCAAATTGAATTTAGTTAAACGAGCTTCTCCTAAAGTCAGACAATAATGGATTTAATGGTGAAGAAACGGTTGGTTACATTAATTCTACAATAACATCAACAAAACAGTTATTTTCTAATCTTATTAAAGATTTCATAGCACTTTTTCATGCTTTAAATCTCAAATTTCAACCTAAAGCCTTTAGAAAAAGGGATTAGTTAACTTTTTTTTTTCGTTTAAACTCTCTACAATCTTTTTTCTTTGCTATAGTTTTTATTGAAAAGCTAAAATAGAATAACTTATGCTTAAAGTATTATAGTTTAATATGATAGCCGACTGGATAGGAATCTTGTCTATTAATCGGTGAATTCGAAGGTCAAAGGTTCGATCCAAGTAACCAAAAAAATTTCTTTCTTTTTCCCATCATTATAGGGTTTTTTTCTTAACAACATTTGAGTAATAAGGGAAAAAAAATCTCCTCCTTTATGCTGTAATTGATTATTTTTGGTTTATAATTTCTCAATCAAAATCGACCAAAATCAAGAAAAATCAATCAAAATCAAGAAAAATCCATCAAAATCAACCAAAATCAAGAAAAGAATCAAAAATCTAACTTCCGTATATCAAAAGTATAAAAGTATCAAAAGAATCGAGTACTTAAACTGTCAATTTTATAAAATATTATAAAATTCTAAAAATGGCAAAGAAGCGAAGAAAATTCGCCGCCGCCAAAAATGCAAAAAATACACACACACTTTCACAGGAATTATTGACCAGGAGGCAGGGGGGTACTTCTTGCCTATCCCTGCTGCTGTCAATGAGTCAGGGGGATAGTAATTTTCCCCCTACGCCTCCCTGTGCCACGGTGGAAGCCGGGGGTCACTCGGCTAGGGGTTTACCCCGGGAGCCGCGCCTTACCATGGTGTATCCTTCCAACCGACGCAAGCACGCCGCACCATGGGATTTTACCGAGTCTTTTTCTGACTCAGGCCGGGACCCAGCCCTGCCATGATGCTGAACAAGAATTTGTGCTTTATATCGCCCCCATAGCACGTCGGCTGCCAGAAAGGGGTCGAGTAGGAGGACCGGCTGAGAACCCACACCCACCCACACCCGGCTGATAACCCACATGAATGTTCTAGCCAAAATTTCAGAGAAATTCATTCAGCCAATTTTTCCGTAGAGTTTTTTATGGATTTTTACGACAAAAGGCGTTTTTCACTCTCGAATTTGCTTGAAAGTGAACCGAAATTCATTTAAAAGATGCAAATTGAACAAAAAAACACTTTTTTTTATAGAGCAAACTATAGATTAATTGGTGAATTTGTTACTTTTTAACAGAAGTACGAAAAAAACGAAAAAGATATGCATCAACCTATTAGCCGATAGTCAAATCTTTCCACCAACAAAACCATTATTTTCTTTTTATCAAGATCAGAGTTTGAGGGTTTAAGGGATTTTCCGGTAGATAGCTTTTTCATTGAACAATCTCGTAATTAATCCAAGCTTTATCAGATGTTAGAAATGAATCCCAGAAACCATCAGCTTTGGTTTGATGAAGCAAAAGAGCTGAACTGAAGAACTGACATCTGCACAAGTTGTCTTGAATCAAGTTGAGACTCATTTTCTAGGAAGAATCCCTGTTTAATCACCCAGAGACTTATTTATAGTCATTCATAATGAATCCCTGATAGCCAGAGTTCATAATGATTCCAATAATAATCTCAGTTCATAATGAATCCCAGAATAGAGGATGTGCTTAGAATCCTCAATTAGAACTCAAAATCCTCAAAGTATCATGATCATTAGGATACATTGACGATCTAAACTCTCTAGTTGATGCAAATGGTTGTCGATTCTCTTTTATCAACGTTTTCTGATCTTCTGATCAATTTCAAGCTTTGCTTTCAAGCTTTCAAGCACTTTGCAAGCTTTTGAGTGTTCGATTCAAGTCAATTTCAATTCCTCAATGCGAGATTTTAAACGGGCATCATTTTTTTCCTAAATAGTTTCCAAAAAACGAATTTCGCAATCTAAAAAGTCTCTTAATTACAGTTTTCAGTCTAGAAATTGAAAATTTATTCATCAAAATAATAAATAAAGCTTTAGAACCCGTTTCCGGAGGTCGGCTTGATGTCGGGGAATAATTGGAGGACGTTGATTGGCTGAAAATGAGATTGAATATCAAATTGCTGAAGAAAATTGAAGGGAAAATTGGGTAAATCGTTTGGAAAAGCCAATCTGGATATCACACAAGATAAATCTATCAATTTCAGCATTATTATATTATTTCGTTAGATTCCAATTTTTTAATTGAGTCTTTTTATGGTTTAAACCATAAAAAAGACAAAGAAAAAGCTTTAAACCATAAAAGACTCAAATATTCGACATTATTCGAGACGAATAATCAATTACAGCATAAAGGAGGAGATTTTTTTTTTACCCTTATTACTCAAATGTTGTTAAGAAAAAAAACCCTATAATTTGAGGAAATTTGGCTTTTTTTTAAAAAATCAAACAAGATTTATTTCTAAAGAGATTTATTGTAAAAAAATTGAATTTTTACATATTTCAATTTCAATTTCGTTTAAAAATAAGCTTTTAATAGAAATTTCTATAGTGTGCCTTCCAGATTGAAAAAATGAAAAAAGAAAATTTTCATTTACGCTTTGAAATTGAAGAATTCGAAAGGAAAAGAATTTTGAAAATTTCACTTTCGCTTAAAACCGAGAATTTCCTAGCGAATTGTATTGTGTGGCTTCCAGATTGAAAAGTACTAAAAGAAAAATGAGATAGATGATGTGAAAAGCTATAAAAGGTGCATGAAATCAAATTTATGCTTAAAATGTGAGCATCAATTGTAAGTAAGGGGTTGGAATAAGGTTTTAAAAAGGTTAAATGAAAGATAAAGAGAAAGGTTATCGCTTTTTAGCTTATTTTTCAGTTGTTTCAAGAGCTAGGAGGTCAAATTAGATCAAATTTTTGGAAAATAGCCATTCTTTTGCTTTAAAACCCTTCAAAAACCTAAAAATACAATAAAAACGAACTTTTCAAAGGAAAAAATCTTTCTTTGAGCTTTTTCGGGAGTAAAAGTGAGAAAAAAAGTAATGAGAAGTTATTGAGAAGAAAAAGAAAAGCAATAAATCATTAATTGCTAAAAAAAGAGCTCTTAAACCACGAGAATTATTGGAAAAAATTGGAAAAACAATTTTTAAAAATTTCAATCAAAAATGAGTTTTTACTATAGTGTGAATTCCAGATTGAAAAAAAGTGGGGGAAAAAAAATTTCATTTTCGCTTTAAAACGAGAATTTCCTAGCGAATTGGATTTGGTGAGTTCCAGATTGAAAATTTGCATCAAAAAAGACAACAAATGATGATTTTCGAAAAGATTTTAAAGCCAACCCTTTTCAGCTGTGTACTTTCGCTGTGTTCAGCTTTTCGAGTTTTAACCAAATCCAATTCGCATTTATGGCTCATTTTGAATTGATTTACGAGAAAAAGCTTTTTTAGGGTAATTGAATTGAATTTTATTCGTTTAAGCAAGAAAATTCAAGTTTTTTAGTGATTGAGTTGATCATTTTTTTCATTTTCATTATTTTCATCATTTTTTCGTCTTGTATTAGATTTTTCTTTGTATTTTGTGGTTAGAAATCGTAAACACACCCTTTCTAGTGCACTTAGAGTCCGTTTATTGGTCTTTTTCATAGAGAAAATTAAAGAATTGAATGTTCTAGAATTGAATGTTCTAGAATTGAATGTTCTAGATGCGTTAAAAAGAAGCTCAAAGTAGAATGAAAGTGGGAAAGATTGGGTATTTGAATCGGCTATTATTATTTTCTTTTTTTCTAGCCAAAAGCTGTGCTAATCTAGTCTATTTGCACAAAAGGATTAGCCCATTTCTCTCTTGAATCCTATTATATTACTATTTTGCACCTCTACAGCTAATATTTTGGTCCTAAAATCGATCAAAATGCATCAAAATCAAGAAAAATCAATCAAAATCGACCAAAATCAAGAAAAATCCATCAAAATCAATCAAAATCGATCAAAATCAAGAAAAGAATCAAAAATCTAACTTCCGTATATCAAAAGCTCTCCGCTATTGAGCTCTAAACGAAAATATTCTTCACTTAAAAGAATCAAGAAGAAATTTGATCCAAAAGCCATTCTTTTTCTTCTTCTGGATGCAAAAAGTTGAGCCTAGCCCAACAAATGCTTTGAAATGGTTAAATGAAAGAAAATGGCTGCCGAGGCGGATGTGAAGATGGGACAAGATACTGGTAGTGCCGGACTTTTCATATAAAAGGTTGCCAGGCTGTCTCAAGGACAAGCTGAGTCTTCTGGCCGACCTCTGGCCGACTTCTGGCCATTACTAGGTTAGCTTGGTTGTCTTGCCCAGGTACTTTTGCTGTCCGCTTTTTTGAAAAATTCCCTTTTCTGACGTCCGACAAAAATTTAAAAAATCATACAAGATTTATTTCTAAAGAGATTTATTGTAAAAAAATTGAATTTTTACATAAATTCAGCTAAAATCTTGAATTGAGACAACGACAAGAACAAAAGAAAAGACTTTAAGCCAATGTTTTCTCAGAGAAAATAAAGAGAAACGATTTCGAGAGCTTTTTTCAAGAAACACACTCAAAAGTTGAGAAAAAAAAGGCAAAAGATTTAGCCTTTTCCACGATAAACCAGCTTCAACTAATTGACCTATTAGAATTTCCTAGCGAATTGTATCATTGTATCATAAAGATCAATCGATTTGATGGATTTTGATGGATTTTGATGGAATTATTGATTTTCTTGATTCTAATGACATATTCAAAGCTTAACAAGATTCTTAAATACTTTAGAACTTTAGAATTGCTATAACTTTAGAATTACTATTTTAAAGCTAGACTAAAGGAAAGGAAGGCAAAAAAAATTCAAGCCAAGCTTAGCGAATTGTCAAATGATCAAAATTTTCAAATTTCATGTTTTCAAATTTCAAAAATTGATCTTTTTTTTATTGTTTTTTGTTTTCTTAAAGAATTATTATCTTATTGCTTGAATATCTTTCTAGTTTTCTAGTTTTCTATTCGTTCTTTTACGTGTTTTCCCATCCATTTCATCAAAAATGTGCCTGCGTGAATCGAAGTGTACTTTGTGCTCACCGTAAACGCCGGCTTTCCCACGCAGCAGCAGCTAAATTCTATATAAAATAAAGGAAAAGCTTAAAAAGCAAAAAATTCGATGCGCTTCAAAAGAGAGAAAGCTGATGGTTTCTGGGATTCATTTCTAACATCTGATAAAGCTTGGATTAATTACGAGATTGTTCAATGAAAAAGCTATCTACCGGAAAATCCCTTAAACCCTCAAACTCTGATCTTGATAAAAAGAAAATAATGGTTTTGTTGGTGGAAAGATTTGACTATCGGCTAATAGGTTGATGCATAAGTCTTTTCGTTTTTTTCGTACTTCTGTTAAAAAGTAACAAATTCACCAATTAATCTATAGTTTGCTCTATAAAAAAAAGTGTTTTTTTGTTCAATTTGCATCTTTTTAAATGAATTTCGGTTCACTTTCAAGCAAATTCGAGAGTGAAAAACGCCTTTTGTCGTAAAAATCCATAAAAAACTCTACGGAAAAATTGGCTGAATGAATTTCTCTGAAATTTTGGCTAGAACATTCATGTGGGTTATCAGCCGGGTGTGGGTTCTCAGCCGGTCCTCCTACTCGACCCCTTTCTGGCAGCCGACGTGCTATGGGGGCGATATAAAGCACAAATTCTTGTTCAGCATCATGGCAGGGCTGAGTCCCGGCCTGAGTCAGAAAAAGACTCGGTAAAATCCCATGGTGCGGCGTGCTTGCGTCGGTTGGAAGGATACACCATGGTAAGGCGCGGCTCCCGGGGTAAACCCTAGCCGAGTGACCCCCCGGCTTCCACCGTGGCACAGGGGAGGCGTAGGGGGGAAAATTACTATCCCCCCTGACTCATTGACAGCAGCAGGGATAGGCAAGAAGTACCCCTGCCTCCTGGTCAATAATTCCTGTGAAAGTGTGTGTGTATTTTTTGCATTTTGGCGGCGGCGAATTTTCTTCGCTTCTTCGCAATTTATTATAATTTTATAATAAAATAATATAATCATTATAATAATTATAATATAATAATGGTAGGATGTAAAATGATCAGTTTCTTTTGTTTTATATTTTAGAATTCTAGTGTGCTCTCCAGATCAACGAAAAATATTAAAAAATTAGCATTTTTATGATAAAATTGACAGTTTAAAGCCTTGAACTCGATTCGGGGTACGGTAGTTTATCCACCAAGGAGCACGCTTTAGAAAAGGGTACCTATGAGGGTACAGTAATCCGTGCGGTCCAGATCGACAAAAAATTTGAAAATATTTAGATTTTTAGGATTGAATTAACACTTTAAGGCCTTGTACTCGGTTCGGCGAAAAATCGACGAAAAATCGACGAAAAATATGAAAATAGTTGCATTTTTATCTTAAGATTAACAGTTTAAAGCCTTGAACTCGATTCAGGTACGGTAGTTTATCCACCATCTATTTATCTTTTGAATTCCGATTGACTTTTGAATCTTTTGAAACTTTTGTCGGAGTAAACACTTTAAATGCCTATAACTTTGTTTAGAAATTATATTATTGTTAACTTTTTCTATAGTTGGATAGAGAATATTTCAGGCTTTTGAATGATATTAAATAGAGCTTCACTGGATTTACCAATATCTGAAAAATGGCTGAGTAAAGTGCTGGTAAAGTGTCAGAGTCGGTTAGCTTGGTTAGTGCTGGCTTTCTGGAGAGCTTTCTGGAGTTGGTTGACTCAATCAAATTCGATTTGGTATCATTTGAAAGCCTACAGTATACTCTATTCAATCAAAAGTTAACAATAATATTATTTCTAAGTAAAGTTCGAAATGTAACTAGGTAGATAATAAATAAAACAACAGTGATTTCAAAATTTCAGCAAGCTTTGTCAACTCATCGAAAAGTGCCGGAGACTGGTCAACTCTTCACTGGCGCTCAGAAACTCGTTCTTGACGGAATCGTGAAAACGGTTGGTGTTGGAGAAGTTGTCTAACATTTAGATATTTCTAGATATTAACAAAGGAATGTCAACTGGTTGTGGTGGCCAAATGGCATGAGCCATTTACTGGCCGACGTAAAATTTTGCGCTGATTCCGAATCCGTTTTCCGATTAGACTAGTGGGGGATTAGTGTGTTGAGCTTCTGGGAAAGCTTAGAAACTGTAAAATAGTCATCAACTCGGCACTACTATTAGAGAAAATACGTTATGTTTCAAAAATAATGAATTCAAATTGAATTTAGTTAAACGAGCTTCTCCTAAAGTCAGACAATAATGGATTTAATGGTGAAGAAACGGTTGGTTACATTAATTCTACAATAACATCAACAAAACAGTTATTTTCTAATCTTATTAAAGATTTCATAGCACTTTTTCATGCTTTAAATCTCAAATTTCAACCTAAAGCCTTTAGAAAAAGGGATTAGTTAACTTTTTTTTTTCGTTTAAACTCTCTACAATCTTTTCTTTGCTATAGTTTTTATTGAAAAGCTAAAATAGAATAACTTATGCTTAAAGTATTATAGTTTAATATGATAGCCGACTGGATAGGAATCTTGTCTATTAATCGGTGAATTCGAAGGTCAAAGGTTCGATCCAAGTAACCAAAAAATTTCTTTCTTTTCCCATCATTATAGGGTTTTTTTCTTAACAACATTTGAGTAATAAGGGAAAAAAAATCTCCTCCTTTATGCTGTAATTGATTATTTTTGGTTTATAATTTCTCAATCAAAATCGACCAAAATCAAGAAAAATCAATCAAAATCAAGAAAAATCCATCAAAATCAACCAAAATCAAGAAAAGAATCAAAAATCTAACTTCCGTATATCAAAAGTATAAAAGTATCAAAAGAATCGAGTACTTAAACTGTCAATTTTATAAAATATTATAAAATTCTAAAATGGCAAAGAAGCGAAGAAAATTCGCCGCCGCCAAAAATGCAAAAAAATACACACACACTTTCACAGGAATTATTGACCAGGAGGCAGGGGGTACTTCTTGCCTATCCCTGCTGCTGTCAATGAGTCAGGGGGATAGTAATTTTCCCCCTACGCCTCCCCTGTGCCACGGTGGAAGCCGGGGGTCACTCGGCTAGGGTTTACCCCGGGAGCCGCGCCTTACCATGGTGTATCCTTCCAACCGACGCAAGCACGCCGCACCATGGGATTTTACCGAGTCTTTTTCTGACTCAGGCCGGGACTCAGCCCTGCCATGATGCTGAACAAGAATTTGTGCTTTATATCGCCCCCATAGCACGTCGGCTGCCAGAAAGGGGTCGAGTAGGAGGACCGGCTGAGAACCCACACCCACCCACACCCGGCTGATAACCCACATGAATGTTCTAGCCAAAATTTCAGAGAAATTCATTCAGCCAATTTTTCCGTAGAGTTTTTTATGGATTTTTACGACAAAAGGCGTTTTTCACCTCGAATTTGCTTGAAAGTGAACCGAAATTCATTTAAAAAGATGCAAATTGAACAAAAAAAAACACTTTTTTTTTATAGAGCAAACTATAGATTAATTGGTGAATTTGTTACTTTTTAACAGAAGTACGAAAAAACGAAAAGATATGCATCAACCTATTAGCCGATAGTCAAATCTTTCCACCAACAAAACCATTATTTTCTTTTTATCAAGATCAGAGTTTGAGGGTTTAAGGGATTTTCCGGTAGATAGCTTTTTCATTGAACAATCTCGTAATTAATCCAAGCTTTATCAGATGTTAGAAATGAATCCCAGAAACCATCAGCTTTGGTTTGATGAAGCAAAAGAGCTGAACTGAAGAACTGACATCTGCACAAGTTGTCTTGAATCAAGTTGAGACTCATTTTCTAGAATTTAGCTGCTGCTGCGTGGGAAGCCGGCGTTTACGGTGAGCACAAAGTACACTTCGATTCACGCAGGCACATTTTTGATGAAATGGATGGGAAAACACGTAAAGGAACGAATAGAAAACTAGAAAACTAGAAAGATATTCAAGCAATAAGATAATAATTCTTTAAGAAAACAAAAAACAATAAAAAAAGGATCAATTTTGACATGAAATTTGAAAATTTTGATCATTTGACAATTCGCTAAGCTTGGCTTGAATTTTTTTGCCTTCCTTTCCTTTAGTCTAGCTTTAAAATAGTAATTCTAAAGTTATAGCAATTCTAAAGTATTTAAGAATCTTGTTAAGCTTTGAATATGTCATTAGAATCAAGAAAATCAATAATTCCATCAAAATCCATCAAAAAAAACATCGGGAAGGAGCTATTCGAACTAGTAGTGTTCTGACAATCAAATAGTTGGATTGGAGTTGGATTGGAGTTGGATTTCTTAAGGCTTTAAGGCCTTGTACTCGGTTCGGCGAAAAATCGACGAAAAAATCGACGAAAAATATGAAAATAGTTGCATTTTTATCTTAAGATTAACAGTTTAAAGCCTTGAACTCGATTCAGGTACGGTAGTTTATCCACCATCTATTTATCTTTTGAATTCCGATTGACTTTTGAATCTTTTGAAACTTTTTGTCGGAGTAAACACTTTAAATGCCTATAACTTTGTTTAGAAATTATATTATTGTTAACTTTTTCTATAGTTGGATAGAGAATATTTCAGGCTTTTTGAATGATATTAAATAGAGCTTCACTGGATTTACCAATATCTGAAAAATGGCTGAGTAAAGTGCTGGTAAAGTGTCAGAGTCGGTTAGCTTGGTTAGTGCTGGCTTTCTGGAGAGCTTTCTGGAGTTGGTTGACTCAATCAAATTCGATTTGGTATCATTTGAAAGCCTACAGTATACTCTATTCAATCAAAAAGTTAACAATAATATTATTTCTAAGTAAAGTTCGAAATGTAACTTAGGTAGATAATAAATAAAACAACAGTGATTTCAAAATTTCAGCAAGCTTTGTCAACTCATCGAAAAGTGCCGGAGACTGGTCAACTCTTCACTGGCGCTCAGAAACTCGTTCTTGACGGAATCGTGAAAACGGTTGGTGTTGGAGAAGTTGTCTAACATTTAGATATTTCTAGATATTAACAAAGGAATGTCAACTGGTTGTGGTGGCCAAATGGCATGAGCCATTTACTGGCCGACGTAAAATTTTGCGCTGATTCCGAATCCGTTTTCCGATTAGACTAGTGGGGGATTAGTGTGTTGAGCTTCTGGGAAAGCTTAGAAACTGTAAAATAGTCATCAACTCGGCACTACTATTAGAGAAAATACGTTATGTTTCAAAAATAATGAATTCAAATTGAATTTAGTTAAACGAGCTTCTCCTAAAGTCAGACAATAATGGATTTAATGGTGAAGAAACGGTTGGTTACATTAATTCTACAATAACATCAACAAAACAGTTATTTTCTAATCTTATTAAAGATTTCATAGCACTTTTTCATGCTTTAAATCTCAAATTTCAACCTAAAGCCTTTAGAAAAAGGGATTAGTTAACTTTTTTTTTTCGTTTAAACTCTCTACAATCTTTTTCTTTGCTATAGTTTTTATTGAAAAGCTAAAATAGAATAACTTATGCTTAAAGTATTATAGTTTAATATGATAGCCGACTGGATAGGAATCTTGTCTATTAATCGGTGAATTCGAAGGTCAAAGGTTCGATCCAAGTAACCAAAAAAATTTCTTTCTTTTTCCCATCATTATAGGGTTTTTTCTTAACAACATTTGAGTAATAAGGGAAAAAAAATCTCCTCCTTTATGCTGTAATTGATTATTTTTGGTTTATAATTTCTCAATCAAAATCGACCAAAATCAAGAAAAATCAATCAAAATCAAGAAAAATCCATCAAAATCAACCAAAATCAAGAAAAGAATCAAAAATCTAACTTCCGTATATCAAAAGTATAAAAGTATCAAAAAGAATCGAGTACTTAAACTGTCAATTTTATAAAATATTATAAAATTCTAAAAATGGCAAAGAAGCGAAGAAAATTCGCCGCCGCCAAAAATGCAAAAAATACACACACACTTTCACAGGAATTATTGACCAGGAGGCAGGGGGTACTTCTTGCCTATCCCTGCTGCTGTCAATGAGTCAGGGGATAGTAATTTTCCCCCCTACGCCTCCCCTGTGCCACGGTGGAAGCCGGGGGTCACTCGGCTAGGGTTTACCCCGGGAGCCGCGCCTTACCATGGTGTATCCTTCCAACCGACGCAAGCACGCCGCACCATGGGATTTTACCGAGTCTTTTTCTGACTCAGGCCGGGACTCAGCCCTGCCATGATGCTGAACAAGAATTTGTGCTTTATATCGCCCCCATAGCACGTCGGCTGCCAGAAAGGGGTCGAGTAGGAGGACCGGCTGAGAACCCACACCCACCCACACCCGGCTGATAACCCACATGAATGTTCTAGCCAAAATTTCAGAGAAATTCATTCAGCCAATTTTTCCGTAGAGTTTTTTATGGATTTTTACGACAAAAGGCGTTTTTCACTCTCGAATTTGCTTGAAAGTGAACCGAAATTCATTTAAAAAGATGCAAATTGAACAAAAAAACACTTTTTTTTTATAGAGCAAACTATAGATTAATTGGTGAATTTGTTACTTTTTAACAGAAGTACGAAAAAAACGAAAAAGATATGCATCAACCTATTAGCCGATAGTCAAATCTTTCCACCAACAAAACCATTATTTTCTTTTTATCAAGATCAGAGTTTGAGGGTTTAAGGGATTTTCCGGTAGATAGCTTTTTCATTGAACAATCTCGTAATTAATCCAAGCTTTATCAGATGTTAGAAATGAATCCCAGAAACCATCAGCTTTGGTTTGATGAAGCAAAAGAGCTGAACTGAAGAACTGACATCTGCACAAGTTGTCTTGAATCAAGTTGAGACTCATTTTCTAGAATTTAGCTGCTGCTGCGTGGGAAGCCGGCGTTTACGGTGAGCACAAAGTACACTTCGATTCACGCAGGCACATTTTTGATGAAATGGATGGGAAAACACGTAAAGGAACGAATAGAAAACTAGAAAACTAGAAAGATATTCAAGCAATAAGATAATAATTCTTTAAGAAAACAAAAAACAATAAAAAAAGGATCAATTTTGACATGAAATTTGAAAATTTTGATCATTTGACAATTCGCTAAGCTTGGCTTGAATTTTTTTGCCTTCCTTTCCTTTAGTCTAGCTTTAAAATAGTAATTCTAAAGTTATAGCAATTCTAAAGTATTTAAGAATCTTGTTAAGCTTTGAATATGTCATTAGAATCAAGAAAATCAATAATTCCATCAAAATCCATCAAAAAAAACATCGGGAAGGAGCTATTCGAACTAGTAGTGTTCTGACAATCAAATAGTTGGATTGGAGTTGGATTGGAGTTGGATTTCTTAAGGCTTTAAGGCCTTGTACTCGGTTCGGCGAAAAATCGACGAAAAAATCGACGAAAAATATGAAAATAGTTGCATTTTTATCTTAAGATTAACAGTTTAAAGCCTTGAACTCGATTCAGGTACGGTAGTTTATCCACCATCTATTTATCTTTTGAATTCCGATTGACTTTTGAATCTTTTGAAACTTTTTGTCGGAGTAAACACTTTAAATGCCTATAACTTTGTTTAGAAATTATATTATTGTTAACTTTTTCTATAGTTGGATAGAGAATATTTCAGGCTTTTGAATGATATTAAATAGAGCTTCACTGGATTTACCAATATCTGAAAAATGGCTGAGTAAAGTGCTGGTAAAGTGTCAGAGTCGGTTAGCTTGGTTAGTGCTGGCTTTCTGGAGAGCTTTCTGGAGTTGGTTGACTCAATCAAATTCGATTTGGTATCATTTGAAAGCCTACAGTATACTCTATTCAATCAAAAAGTTAACAATAATATTATTTCTAAGTAAAGTTCGAAATGTAACTAGGTAGATAATAAATAAAACAACAGTGATTTCAAAATTTCAGCAAGCTTTGTCAACTCATCGAAAAGTGCCGGAGACTGGTCAACTCTTCACTGGCGCTCAGAAACTCGTTCTTGACGGAATCGTGAAAACGGTTGGTGTTGGAGAAGTTGTCTAACATTTAGATATTTCTAGATATTAACAAAGGAATGTCAACTGGTTGTGGTGGCCAAATGGCATGAGCCATTTACTGGCCGACGTAAAATTTTGCGCTGATTCCGAATCCGTTTTCCGATTAGACTAGTGGGGGATTAGTGTGTTGAGCTTCTGGGAAAGCTTAGAAACTGTAAAATAGTCATCAACTCGGCACTACTATTAGAGAAAATACGTTATGTTTCAAAAATAATGAATTCAAATTGAATTTAGTTAAACGAGCTTCTCCTAAAGTCAGACAATAATGGATTTAATGGTGAAGAAACGGTTGGTTACATTAATTCTACAATAACATCAACAAAACAGTTATTTTCTAATCTTATTAAAGATTTCATAGCACTTTTTCATGCTTTAAATCTCAAATTTCAACCTAAAGCCTTTAGAAAAAGGGATTAGTTAACTTTTTTTTTTTCGTTTAAACTCTCTACAATCTTTTTCTTTGCTATAGTTTTTATTGAAAAGCTAAAATAGAATAACTTATGCTTAAAGTATTATAGTTTAATATGATAGCCGACTGGATAGGAATCTTGTCTATTAATCGGTGAATTCGAAGGTCAAAGGTTCGATCCAAGTAACCAAAAAAATTTCTTTCTTTTTCCCATCATTATAGGGTTTTTTTCTTAACAACATTTGAGTAATAAGGGAAAAAAAAATCTCCTCCTTTATGCTGTAATTGATTATTTTTGGTTTATAATTTCTCAATCAAAATCGACCAAAATCAAGAAAAATCAATCAAAATCAAGAAAAATCCATCAAAATCAACCAAAATCAAGAAAAGAATCAAAAATCTAACTTCCGTATATCAAAAGTATAAAAGTATCAAAAGAATCGAGTACTTAAACTGTCAATTTTATAAAATATTATAAAATTCTAAAAATGGCAAAGAAGCGAAGAAAATTCGCCGCCGCCAAAAATGCAAAAAATACACACACACTTTCACAGGAATTATTGACCAGGAGGCAGGGGGTACTTCTTGCCTATCCCTGCTGCTGTCAATGAGTCAGGGGGGATAGTAATTTTCCCCCTACGCCTCCCTGTGCCACGGTGGAAGCCGGGGGTCACTCGGCTAGGGTTTACCCCGGGAGCCGCGCCTTACCATGGTGTATCCTTCCAACCGACGCAAGCACGCCGCACCATGGGATTTTACCGAGTCTTTTTCTGACTCAGGCCGGGACTCAGCCCTGCCATGATGCTGAACAAGAATTTGTGCTTTATATCGCCCCCATAGCACGTCGGCTGCCAGAAAGGGGTCGAGTAGGAGGACCGGCTGAGAACCCACACCCACCCACACCCGGCTGATAACCCACATGAATGTTCTAGCCAAAATTTCAGAGAAATTCATTCAGCCAATTTTTCCGTAGAGTTTTTTATGGATTTTTACGACAAAAGGCGTTTTTCACTCTCGAATTTGCTTGAAAGTGAACCGAAATTCATTTAAAAAGATGCAAATTGAACAAAAAAACACTTTTTTTTTATAGAGCAAACTATAGATTAATTGGTGAATTTGTTACTTTTTAACAGAAGTACGAAAAAAACGAAAAGATATGCATCAACCTATTAGCCGATAGTCAAATCTTTCCACCAACAAAACCATTATTTTCTTTTTATCAAGATCAGAGTTTGAGGGTTTAAGGGATTTTCCGGTAGATAGCTTTTTCATTGAACAATCTCGTAATTAATCCAAGCTTTATCAGATGTTAGAAATGAATCCCAGAAACCATCAGCTTTGGTTTGATGAAGCAAAAGAGCTGAACTGAAGAACTGACATCTGCACAAGTTGTCTTGAATCAAGTTGAGACTCATTTTCTAGGAAGAATCCCTGTTTAATCACCCAGAGACTTATTTATAGTCATTCATAATGAATCCCTGATAGCCAGAGTTCATAATGATTCCAATAATAATCTCAGTTCATAATGAATCCCAGAATAGAGGATGTGCTTAGAATCCTCAATTAGAACTCAAAATCCTCAAAGTATCATGATCATTAGGATACATTGACGATCTAAACTCTCTAGTTGATGCAAATGGTTGTCGATTCTCTTTTTATCAACGTTTTCTGATCTTCTGATCAATTTCAAGCTTTGCTTTCAAGCTTTCAAGCACTTTGCAAGCTTTTGAGTGTTCGATTCAAGTCAATTTCAATTCCTCAATGCGAGATTTTAAACGGGCATCATTTTTTTCCTAAATAGTTTCCAAAAAACGAATTTCGCAATCTAAAAGTCTCTTAATTACAGTTTTCAGTCTAGAAATTGAAAATTTATTCATCAAAATAATAAATAAAGCTTTAGAACCCGTTTCCGGAGGTCGGCTTGATGTCGGGGAATAATTGGAGGACGTTGATTGGCTGAAAATGAGATTGAATATCAAATTGCTGAAGAAAATTGAAGGGAAAATTGGGTAAATCGTTTGGAAAAGCCAATCTGGATATCACACAAGATAAATCTATCAATTTCAGCATTATTATATTATTTCGTTAGATTCCAATTTTTTTAAATTGAGTCTTTTTATGGTTTAAACCATAAAAAGACAAAGAAAAAGCTTTAAACCATAAAAGACTCAAATATTCGACATTATTCGAGACGAATAATCAATTACAGCATAAAGGAGGAGATTTTTTTTTACCCTTATTACTCAAATGTTGTTAAGAAAAAAACCCTATAATTTGAGGAAATTTGGCTTTTTTTAAAAAATCAAACAAGATTTATTTCTAAAGAGATTTATTGTAAAAAAATTGAATTTTTACATATTTCAATTTCAATTTCGTTTAAAAATAAGCTTTTAATAGAAATTTCTATAGTGTGCCTTCCAGATTGAAAAAAATGAAAAAGAAAATTTTCATTTACGCTTTGAAATTGAAGAATTCGAAAGGAAAAGAATTTTGAAAATTTCACTTTCGCTTAAAACCGAGAATTTCCTAGCGAATTGTATTGTGTGGCTTCCAGATTGAAAAGTACTAAAAGAAAAATGAGATAGATGATGTGAAAAGCTATAAAAGGTGCATGAAATCAAATTTATGCTTAAAATGTGAGCATCAATTGTAAGTAAGGGGTTGGAATAAGGTTTTAAAAAGGTTAAATGAAAGATAAAGAGAAAGGTTATCGCTTTTTTAGCTTATTTTTCAGTTGTTTCAAGAGCTAGGAGGTCAAATTAGATCAAATTTTTGGAAAATAGCCATTCTTTTGCTTTAAAACCCTTCAAAAACCTAAAAATACAATAAAAACGAACTTTTCAAAGGAAAAAATCTTTCTTTGAGCTTTTTCGGGAGTAAAAGTGAGAAAAAAAGTAATGAGAAGTTATTGAGAAGAAAAAGAAAAGCAATAAATCATTAATTGCTAAAAAAAGAGCTCTTAAACCACGAGAATTATTGGAAAAAAATTGGAAAAACAATTTTTAAAAAATTTCAATCAAAAATGAGTTTTTACTATAGTGTGAATTCCAGATTGAAAAAAAGTGGGGGAAAAAAAATTTCATTTTCGCTTTAAAACGAGAATTTCCTAGCGAATTGGATTTGGTGAGTTCCAGATTGAAAATTTGCATCAAAAAAAGACAACAAATGATGATTTTCGAAAAGATTTTAAAGCCAACCCTTTTCAGCTGTGTACTTTCAAGCTGTGTTCAGCTTTTTCGAGTTTTAACCAAATCCAATTCGCATTTATGGCTCATTTTGAATTGATTTACGAGAAAAAGCTTTTTTTTAGGGTAATTGAATTGAATTTTATTCGTTTAAGCAAGAAAATTCAAGTTTTTTTAGTGATTGAGTTGATCATTTTTTTCATTTTCATTATTTTCATCATTTTTTCGTCTTGTATTAGATTTTTCTTTGTATTTTGTGGTTAGAAATCGTAAACACACCCTTTCTAGTGCACTTAGAGTCAAAAGAATCGAGTACTTAAACTGTCAATTTTATAAAATATTATAAAATTCTAAAAATGGCAAAGAAGCGAAGAAAATTCGCCGCCGCCAAAAATGCAAAAAATACACACACACTTTCACAGGAATTATTGACCAGGAGGCAGGGGGTACTTCTTGCCTATCCCTGCTGCTGTCAATGAGTCAGGGGGGATAGTAATTTTCCCCCCTACGCCTCCCCTGTGCCACGGTGGAAGCCGGGGGTCACTCGGCTAGGGTTTACCCCGGGAGCCGCGCCTTACCATGGTGTATCCTTCCAACCGACGCAAGCACGCCGCACCATGGGATTTTACCGAGTCTTTTTCTGACTCAGGCCGGGACTCAGCCCTGCCATGATGCTGAACAAGAATTTGTGCTTTATATCGCCCCCATAGCACGTCGGCTGCCAGAAAGGGGTCGAGTAGGAGGACCGGCTGAGAACCCACACCCACCCACACCCGGCTGATAACCCACATGAATGTTCTAGCCAAAATTTCAGAGAAATTCATTCAGCCAATTTTTCCGTAGAGTTTTTTATGGATTTTTACGACAAAAGGCGTTTTTCACTCTCGAATTTGCTTGAAAGTGAACCGAAATTCATTTAAAAAGATGCAAATTGAACAAAAAAACACTTTTTTTTTATAGAGCAAACTATAGATTAATTGGTGAATTTGTTACTTTTTAACAGAAGTACGAAAAAAACGAAAAGATATGCATCAACCTATTAGCCGATAGTCAAATCTTTCCACCAACAAAACCATTATTTTCTTTTTATCAAGATCAGAGTTTGAGGGTTTAAGGGATTTTCCGGTAGATAGCTTTTTCATTGAACAATCTCGTAATTAATCCAAGCTTTATCAGATGTTAGAAATGAATCCCAGAAACCATCAGCTTTGGTTTGATGAAGCAAAAGAGCTGAACTGAAGAACTGACATCTGCACAAGTTGTCTTGAATCAAGTTGAGACTCATTTTCTAGAATTTAGCTGCTGCTGCGTGGGAAGCCGGCGTTTACGGTGAGCACAAAGTACACTTCGATTCACGCAGGCACATTTTTGATGAAATGGATGGGAAAACACGTAAAGGAACGAATAGAAAACTAGAAAACTAGAAAGATATTCAAGCAATAAGATAATAATTCTTTAAGAAAACAAAAAACAATAAAAAAAGGATCAATTTTGACATGAAATTTGAAAATTTTGATCATTTGACAATTCGCTAAGCTTGGCTTGAATTTTTTTTGCCTTCCTTTCCTTTAGTCTAGCTTTAAAATAGTAATTCTAAAGTTATAGCAATTCTAAAGTATTTAAGAATCTTGTTAAGCTTTGAATATGTCATTAGAATCAAGAAAATCAATAATTCCATCAAAATCCATCAAAAAAAAACATCGGGAAGGAGCTATTCGAACTAGTAGTGTTCTGACAATCAAATAGTTGGATTGGAGTTGGATTGGAGTTGGATTTCTTAAGGCTTTAAGGCCTTGTACTCGGTTCGGCGAAAAATCGACGAAAAAATCGACGAAAAATATGAAAATAGTTGCATTTTTATCTTAAGATTAACAGTTTAAAGCCTTGAACTCGATTCAGGTACGGTAGTTTATCCACCATCTATTTATCTTTTGAATTCCGATTGACTTTTGAATCTTTTGAAACTTTTTGTCGGAGTAAACACTTTAAATGCCTATAACTTTGTTTAGAAATTATATTATTGTTAACTTTTTCTATAGTTGGATAGAGAATATTTCAGGCTTTTGAATGATATTAAATAGAGCTTCACTGGATTTACCAATATCTGAAAAATGGCTGAGTAAAGTGCTGGTAAAGTGTCAGAGTCGGTTAGCTTGGTTAGTGCTGGCTTTCTGGAGAGCTTTCTGGAGTTGGTTGACTCAATCAAATTCGATTTGGTATCATTTGAAAGCCTACAGTATACTCTATTCAATCAAAAAAGTTAACAATAATATTATTTCTAAGTAAAGTTCGAAATGTAACTAGGTAGATAATAAATAAAACAACAGTGATTTCAAAATTTCAGCAAGCTTTGTCAACTCATCGAAAAGTGCCGGAGACTGGTCAACTCTTCACTGGCGCTCAGAAACTCGTTCTTGACGGAATCGTGAAAACGGTTGGTGTTGGAGAAGTTGTCTAACATTTAGATATTTCTAGATATTAACAAAGGAATGTCAACTGGTTGTGGTGGCCAAATGGCATGAGCCATTTACTGGCCGACGTAAAATTTTGCGCTGATTCCGAATCCGTTTTCCGATTAGACTAGTGGGGGATTAGTGTGTTGAGCTTCTGGGAAAGCTTAGAAACTGTAAAATAGTCATCAACTCGGCACTACTATTAGAGAAAATACGTTATGTTTCAAAAATAATGAATTCAAATTGAATTTAGTTAAACGAGCTTCTCCTAAAGTCAGACAATAATGGATTTAATGGTGAAGAAACGGTTGGTTACATTAATTCTACAATAACATCAACAAAACAGTTATTTTCTAATCTTATTAAAGATTTCATAGCACTTTTTCATGCTTTAAATCTCAAATTTCAACCTAAAGCCTTTAGAAAAAGGGATTAGTTAACTTTTTTTTTTTCGTTTAAACTCTCTACAATCTTTTTCTTTGCTATAGTTTTTATTGAAAAGCTAAAATAGAATAACTTATGCTTAAAGTATTATAGTTTAATATGATAGCCGACTGGATAGGAATCTTGTCTATTAATCGGTGAATTCGAAGGTCAAAGGTTCGATCCAAGTAACCAAAAAAAATTTCTTTCTTTTTCCCATCATTATAGGGTTTTTTTTCTTAACAACATTTGAGTAATAAGGGAAAAAAAAAATCTCCTCCTTTATGCTGTAATTGATTATTTTTGGTTTATAATTTCTCAATCAAAATCGACCAAAATCAAGAAAAATCAATCAAAATCAAGAAAAATCCATCAAAATCAACCAAAATCAAGAAAAGAATCAAAAATCTAACTTCCGTATATCAAAAGTATAAAAGTATCAAAAGAATCGAGTACTTAAACTGTCAATTTTATAAAATATTATAAAATTCTAAAAATGGCAAAGAAGCGAAGAAAATTCGCCGCCGCCAAAAATGCAAAAAATACACACACACTTTCACAGGAATTATTGACCAGGAGGCAGGGGGTACTTCTTGCCTATCCCTGCTGCTGTCAATGAGTCAGGGGGGATAGTAATTTTCCCCCCTACGCCTCCCCTGTGCCACGGTGGAAGCCGGGGGGTCACTCGGCTAGGGTTTACCCCGGGAGCCGCGCCTTACCATGGTGTATCCTTCCAACCGACGCAAGCACGCCGCACCATGGGATTTTACCGAGTCTTTTTCTGACTCAGGCCGGGACTCAGCCCTGCCATGATGCTGAACAAGAATTTGTGCTTTATATCGCCCCCATAGCACGTCGGCTGCCAGAAAGGGGTCGAGTAGGAGGACCGGCTGAGAACCCACACCCACCCACACCCGGCTGATAACCCACATGAATGTTCTAGCCAAAATTTCAGAGAAATTCATTCAGCCAATTTTTCCGTAGAGTTTTTTATGGATTTTTACGACAAAAGGCGTTTTTCACTCTCGAATTTGCTTGAAAGTGAACCGAAATTCATTTAAAAAGATGCAAATTGAACAAAAAAACACTTTTTTTTTATAGAGCAAACTATAGATTAATTGGTGAATTTGTTACTTTTTAACAGAAGTACGAAAAAAACGAAAAGATATGCATCAACCTATTAGCCGATAGTCAAATCTTTCCACCAACAAAACCATTATTTTCTTTTTATCAAGATCAGAGTTTGAGGGTTTAAGGGATTTTCCGGTAGATAGCTTTTTCATTGAACAATCTCGTAATTAATCCAAGCTTTATCAGATGTTAGAAATGAATCCCAGAAACCATCAGCTTTGGTTTGATGAAGCAAAAGAGCTGAACTGAAGAACTGACATCTGCACAAGTTGTCTTGAATCAAGTTGAGACTCATTTTCTAGGAAGAATCCCTGTTTAATCACCCAGAGACTTATTTATAGTCATTCATAATGAATCCCTGATAGCCAGAGTTCATAATGATTCCAATAATAATCTCAGTTCATAATGAATCCCAGAATAGAGGATGTGCTTAGAATCCTCAATTAGAACTCAAAATCCTCAAAGTATCATGATCATTAGGATACATTGACGATCTAAACTCTCTAGTTGATGCAAATGGTTGTCGATTCTCTTTTTATCAACGTTTTCTGATCTTCTGATCAATTTCAAGCTTTGCTTTCAAGCTTTCAAGCACTTTGCAAGCTTTTGAGTGTTCGATTCAAGTCAATTTCAATTCCTCAATGCGAGATTTTAAACGGGCATCATTTTTTCCTAAATAGTTTCCAAAAACGAATTTCGCAATCTAAAAAGTCTCTTAATTACAGTTTTCAGTCTAGAAATTGAAAATTTATTCATCAAAATAATAAATAAAGCTTTAGAACCCGTTTCCGGAGGTCGGCTTGATGTCGGGGAATAATTGGAGGACGTTGATTGGCTGAAAATGAGATTGAATATCAAATTGCTGAAGAAAATTGAAGGGAAAATTGGGTAAATCGTTTGGAAAAGCCAATCTGGATATCACACAAGATAAATCTATCAATTTCAGCATTATTATATTATTTCGTTAGATTCCAATTTTTTAAATTGAGTCTTTTTTATGGTTTAAACCATAAAAAGACAAAGAAAAAAGCTTTAAACCATAAAAAAGACTCAAATATTCGACATTATTCGAGACGAATAATCAATTACAGCATAAAGGAGGAGATTTTTTTTTTACCCTTATTACTCAAATGTTGTTAAGAAAAAAAACCCTATAATTTGAGGAAATTTGGCTTTTTTTTAAAAAATCAAACAAGATTTATTTCTAAAGAGATTTATTGTAAAAAAATTGAATTTTTACATATTTCAATTTCAATTTCGTTTAAAAATAAGCTTTTAATAGAAATTTCTATAGTGTGCCTTCCAGATTGAAAAAAATGAAAAAAGAAAATTTTCATTTACGCTTTGAAATTGAAGAATTCGAAAGGAAAAGAATTTTGAAAATTTCACTTTCGCTTAAAACCGAGAATTTCCTAGCGAATTGTATTGTGTGGCTTCCAGATTGAAAAGTACTAAAAGAAAAATGAGATAGATGATGTGAAAAGCTATAAAAGGTGCATGAAATCAAATTTATGCTTAAAATGTGAGCATCAATTGTAAGTAAGGGGGTTGGAATAAGGTTTTAAAAAGGTTAAATGAAAGATAAAGAGAAAGGTTATCGCTTTTTTAGCTTATTTTTCAGTTGTTTCAAGAGCTAGGAGGTCAAATTAGATCAAATTTTTGGAAAATAGCCATTCTTTTGCTTTAAAACCCTTCAAAAACCTAAAAATACAATAAAAACGAACTTTTCAAAGGAAAAAATCTTTCTTTGAGCTTTTTCGGGAGTAAAAGTGAGAAAAAAAGTAATGAGAAGTTATTGAGAAGAAAAAGAAAAGCAATAAATCATTAATTGCTAAAAAAAGAGCTCTTAAACCACGAGAATTATTGGAAAAAATTGGAAAAACAATTTTTAAAAAATTTCAATCAAAAATGAGTTTTTACTATAGTGTGAATTCCAGATTGAAAAAAAGTGGGGGAAAAAAATTCATTTTCGCTTTAAAACGAGAATTTCCTAGCGAATTGGATTTGGTGAGTTCCAGATTGAAAATTTGCATCAAAAAAAAGACAACAAATGATGATTTTCGAAAAGATTTTAAAGCCAACCCTTTTCAGCTGTGTACTTTCAAGCTGTGTTCAGCTTTTTCGAGTTTTAACCAAATCCAATTCGCATTTATGGCTCATTTTGAATTGATTTACGAGAAAAAGCTTTTTTTTAGGGTAATTGAATTGAATTTTATTCGTTTAAGCAAGAAAATTCAAGTTTTTTTTAGTGATTGAGTTGATCATTTTTTTCATTTTCATTATTTTCATCATTTTTTCGTCTTGTATTAGATTTTTCTTTGTATTTTGTGGTTAGAAATCGTAAACACACCCTTTCTAGTGCACTTAGAGTCCGTTTATTGGTCTTTTTCATAGAGAAAATTAAAGAATTGAATGTTCTAGAATTGAATGTTCTAGAATTGAATGTTCTAGATGCGTTAAAAAGAAGCTCAAAGTAGAATGAAAGTGGGAAAGATTGGGTATTTGAATCGGCTATTATTATTTTCTTTTTTTTCTAGCCAAAAGCTGTGCTAATCTAGTCTATTTGCACAAAAGGATTAGCCCATTTCTCTCTTGAATCCTATTATATTACTATTTTGCACCTCTACAGCTAATATTTTGGTCCTAAAATCGATCAAAATGCATCAAAATCAAGAAAAATCAATCAAAATCGACCAAAATCAAGAAAAATCCATCAAAATCAATCAAAATCGATCAAAATCAAGAAAAGAATCAAAAATCTAACTTCCGTATATCAAAAGCTCTCCGCTATTGAGCTCTAAACGAAAATATTCTTCACTTAAAAGAATCAAGAAGAAATTTGATCCAAAAAGCCATTCTTTTTCTTCTTCTGGATGCAAAAAGTTGAGCCTAGCCCAACAAATGCTTTGAAATGGTTAAATGAAAGAAAATGGCTGCCGAGGCGGATGTGAAGATGGGACAAGATACTGGTAGTGCCGGACTTTTCATATAAAAGGTTGCCAGGCTGTCTCAAGGACAAGCTGAGTCTTCTGGCCGACCTCTGGCCGACTTCTGGCCATTACTAGGTTAGCTTGGTTGTCTTGCCCAGGTACTTTTGCTGTCCGCTTTTTTGAAAAATTCCCTTTTCTGACGTCCGACAAAAATTTAAAAATCATACAAGATTTATTTCTAAAGAGATTTATTGTAAAAAAATTGAATTTTTACATAAATTCAGCTAAAATCTTGAATTGAGACAACGACAAGAACAAAAGAAAAGACTTTAAGCCAATGTTTTCTCAGAGAAAATAAAGAGAAACGATTTCGAGAGCTTTTTTCAAGAAACACACTCAAAAGTTGAGAAAAAAAAGGCAAAAGATTTAGCCTTTTCCACGATAAACCAGCTTCAACTAATTGACCTATTAGAATTTCCTAGCGAATTGTATCATTGTATCATAAAGATCAATCGATTTGATGGATTTTGATGGATTTTGATGGAATTATTGATTTTCTTGATTCTAATGACATATTCAAAGCTTAACAAGATTCTTAAATACTTTAGAACTTTAGAATTGCTATAACTTTAGAATTACTATTTTAAAGCTAGACTAAAGGAAAGGAAGGCAAAAAAAATTCAAGCCAAGCTTAGCGAATTGTCAAATGATCAAAATTTTCAAATTTCATGTTTTCAAATTTCAAAAATTGATCTTTTTTTTATTTTTTTTTGTTTTCTTAAAGAATTATTATCTTATTGCTTGAATATCTTTCTAGTTTTCTAGTTTTCTATTCGTTCTTTTACGTGTTTTCCCATCCATTTCATCAAAAATGTGCCTGCGTGAATCGAAGTGTACTTTGTGCTCACCGTAAACGCCGGCTTTCCCACGCAGCAGCAGCTAAATTCTATATAAAATAAAGGAAAAGCTTAAAAAGCAAAAAATTCGATGCGCTAGAAGTTTCGCGTTTCGTCTCGGTTAGCAAAAAGTAAATTTTCGATTTTCATTTTTCACTGTGCCTTTTTGAAACAAAATTTCATCATTTTTTTGTTAAATTTTCAAATTTTTCTTTTTAAAACCTATCAAATATGTGATTTTTCTTGATAATTTAAACAAATTTACACGATTTTTGATCTCTCAATCCCAATTATAGCTAGGTTTTTTGAATTTAAATTTTTTTTTTTCGTACAGATTTCCTTCATTCCGATTGAAAAGAGGTAAAGAAATAAAAGATTTTTTTTTGAATAATGATAGGAATAGATAAATAGATGGTGGATAACTGTCAATGTCAAGAAGCGAAGAAAATTCGCCGCCGCCAAAAATGCAAAAAATACACACGCACTTTCACAGGAATTATATGGTTAAATGAAAGAAAATGGCTGCCGAGGCGGATGTGAAGATGGGACAAGATACTGGTAGTGCCGGACTTTTCATATAAAAGGTTGCCAGGCTGTCTCAAGGACAAGCTGAGTCTTCTGGCCGACCTCTGGCCGACTTCTGGCCATTACTAGGTTAGCTTGGTTGTCTTGCCCAGGTACTTTTGCTGTCCGCTTTTTTGAAAAATTCCCTTTTCTGACGTCCGACAAAAATTTAAAAAATCATACAAGATTTATTTCTAAAGAGATTTATTGTAAAAAAATTGAATTTTTACATAAATTCAGCTAAAATCTTGAATTGAGACAACGACAAGAACAAAAGAAAAGACTTTAAGCCAATGTTTTCTCAGAGAAAATAAAGAGAAACGATTTCGAGAGCTTTTTTCAAGAAACACACTCAAAAGTTGAGAAAAAAAAGGCAAAAGATTTAGCCTTTTCCACGATAAACCAGCTTCAACTAATTGACCTATTAGAATTTCCTAGCGAATTGTATCATTGTATCATAAAGATCAATCGATTTGATGGATTTTGATGGATTTTGATGGAATTATTGATTTTCTTGATTCTAATGACATATTCAAAGCTTAACAAGATTCTTAAATACTTTAGAACTTTAGAATTGCTATAACTTTAGAATTACTATTTTAAAGCTAGACTAAAGGAAAGGAAGGCAAAAAAAATTCAAGCCAAGCTTAGCGAATTGTCAAATGATCAAAATTTTCAAATTTCATGTTTTCAAATTTCAAAAATTGATCTTTTTTTTATTGTTTTTTGTTTTCTTAAAGAATTATTATCTTATTGCTTGAATATCTTTCTAGTTTTCTAGTTTTCTATTCGTTCTTTTACGTGTTTTCCCATCCATTTCATCAAAAATGTGCCTGCGTGAATCGAAGTGTACTTTGTGCTCACCGTAAACGCCGGCTTTCCCACGCAGCAGCAGCTAAATTCTATATAAAATAAAGGAAAAGCTTAAAAAGCAAAAAATTCGATGCGCTTCAAAAGAGAGAAAGCTGATGGTTTCTGGGATTCATTTCTAACATCTGATAAAGCTTGGATTAATTACGAGATTGTTCAATGAAAAAGCTATCTACCGGAAAATCCCTTAAACCCTCAAACTCTGATCTTGATAAAAAGAAAATAATGGTTTTGTTGGTGGAAAGATTTGACTATCGGCTAATAGGTTGATGCATAAGTCTTTTCGTTTTTTTCGTACTTCTGTTAAAAAGTAACAAATTCACCAATTAATCTATAGTTTGCTCTATAAAAAAAAAGTGTTTTTTTGTTCAATTTGCATCTTTTTAAATGAATTTCGGTTCACTTTCAAGCAAATTCGAGAGTGAAAAACGCCTTTTGTCGTAAAAATCCATAAAAAACTCTACGGAAAAATTGGCTGAATGAATTTCTCTGAAATTTTGGCTAGAACATTCATGTGGGTTATCAGCCGGGTGTGGGTTCTCAGCCGGTCCTCCTACTCGACCCCTTTCTGGCAGCCGACGTGCTATGGGGGCGATATAAAGCACAAATTCTTGTTCAGCATCATGGCAGGGCTGAGTCCCGGCCTGAGTCAGAAAAAGACTCGGTAAAATCCCATGGTGCGGCGTGCTTGCGTCGGTTGGAAGGATACACCATGGTAAGGCGCGGCTCCCGGGGTAAACCCTAGCCGAGTGACCCCCCGGCTTCCACCGTGGCACAGGGGAGGCGTAGGGGGGAAAATTACTATCCCCTGACTCATTGACAGCAGCAGGGATAGGCAAGAAGTACCCCTGCCTCCTGGTCAATAATTCCTGTGAAAGTGTGTGTGTATTTTTTGCATTTTTGGCGGCGGCGAATTTTCTTCGCTTCTTCGCAATTTATTATAATTTTATAATAAAATAATATAATCATTATAATAATTATAATATAATAATGGTAGGATGTAAAATGATCAGTTTCTTTTGTTTTATATTTTAGAATTCTAGTGTGCTCTCCAGATCAACGAAAAATATTAAAAAATTAGCATTTTTATGATAAAATTGACAGTTTAAAGCCTTGAACTCGATTCGGGGTACGGTAGTTTATCCACCAAGGAGCACGCTTTAGAAAAGGGTACCTATGAGGGTACAGTAATCCGTGCGGTCCAGATCGACAAAAAATTTGAAAATATTTAGATTTTTAGGATTGAATTAACACTTTAAGGCCTTGTACTCGGTTCGGCGAAAAATCGACGAAAAAATCGACGAAAAATATGAAAATAGTTGCATTTTTATCTTAAGATTAACAGTTTAAAGCCTTGAACTCGATTCAGGTACGGTAGTTTATCCACCATCTATTTATCTTTTGAATTCCGATTGACTTTTGAATCTTTTGAAACTTTTTGTCGGAGTAAACACTTTAAATGCCTATAACTTTGTTTAGAAATTATATTATTGTTAACTTTTTCTATAGTTGGATAGAGAATATTTCAGGCTTTTGAATGATATTAAATAGAGCTTCACTGGATTTACCAATATCTGAAAAATGGCTGAGTAAAGTGCTGGTAAAGTGTCAGAGTCGGTTAGCTTGGTTAGTGCTGGCTTTCTGGAGAGCTTTCTGGAGTTGGTTGACTCAATCAAATTCGATTTGGTATCATTTGAAAGCCTACAGTATACTCTATTCAATCAAAAAGTTAACAATAATATTATTTCTAAGTAAAGTTCGAAATGTAACTAGGTAGATAATAAATAAAACAACAGTGATTTCAAAATTTCAGCAAGCTTTGTCAACTCATCGAAAAGTGCCGGAGACTGGTCAACTCTTCACTGGCGCTCAGAAACTCGTTCTTGACGGAATCGTGAAAACGGTTGGTGTTGGAGAAGTTGTCTAACATTTAGATATTTCTAGATATTAACAAAGGAATGTCAACTGGTTGTGGTGGCCAAATGGCATGAGCCATTTACTGGCCGACGTAAAATTTTGCGCTGATTCCGAATCCGTTTTCCGATTAGACTAGTGGGGGATTAGTGTGTTGAGCTTCTGGGAAAGCTTAGAAACTGTAAAATAGTCATCAACTCGGCACTACTATTAGAGAAAATACGTTATGTTTCAAAAATAATGAATTCAAATTGAATTTAGTTAAACGAGCTTCTCCTAAAGTCAGACAATAATGGATTTAATGGTGAAGAAACGGTTGGTTACATTAATTCTACAATAACATCAACAAAACAGTTATTTTCTAATCTTATTAAAGATTTCATAGCACTTTTTCATGCTTTAAATCTCAAATTTCAACCTAAAGCCTTTAGAAAAAGGGATTAGTTAACTTTTTTTTTTCGTTTAAACTCTCTACAATCTTTTTCTTTGCTATAGTTTTTATTGAAAAGCTAAAATAGAATAACTTATGCTTAAAGTATTATAGTTTAATATGATAGCCGACTGGATAGGAATCTTGTCTATTAATCGGTGAATTCGAAGGTCAAAGGTTCGATCCAAGTAACCAAAAAAATTTCTTTCTTTTTCCCATCATTATAGGGTTTTTTTTCTTAACAACATTTGAGTAATAAGGGAAAAAAAAAAATCTCCTCCTTTATGCTGTAATTGATTATTTTTGGTTTATAATTTCTCAATCAAAATCGACCAAAATCAAGAAAAATCAATCAAAATCAAGAAAAATCCATCAAAATCAACCAAAATCAAGAAAAGAATCAAAAATCTAACTTCCGTATATCAAAAGTATAAAAGTATCAAAAGAATCGAGTACTTAAACTGTCAATTTTATAAAATATTATAAAATTCTAAAAATGGCAAAGAAGCGAAGAAAATTCGCCGCCGCCAAAAATGCAAAAATACACACACACTTTCACAGGAATTATTGACCAGGAGGCAGGGGTACTTCTTGCCTATCCCTGCTGCTGTCAATGAGTCAGGGGGATAGTAATTTTCCCCCTACGCCTCCCCTGTGCCACGGTGGAAGCCGGGGGTCACTCGGCTAGGGTTTACCCCGGGAGCCGCGCCTTACCATGGTGTATCCTTCCAACCGACGCAAGCACGCCGCACCATGGGATTTTACCGAGTCTTTTTCTGACTCAGGCCGGGACTCAGCCCTGCCATGATGCTGAACAAGAATTTGTGCTTTATATCGCCCCCATAGCACGTCGGCTGCCAGAAAGGGGTCGAGTAGGAGGACCGGCTGAGAACCCACACCCACCCACACCCGGCTGATAACCCACATGAATGTTCTAGCCAAAATTTCAGAGAAATTCATTCAGCCAATTTTTCCGTAGAGTTTTTTATGGATTTTTACGACAAAAGGCGTTTTTCACTCTCGAATTTGCTTGAAAGTGAACCGAAATTCATTTAAAAAGATGCAAATTGAACAAAAAACACTTTTTTTTTATAGAGCAAACTATAGATTAATTGGTGAATTTGTTACTTTTTAACAGAAGTACGAAAAAACGAAAAGATATGCATCAACCTATTAGCCGATAGTCAAATCTTTCCACCAACAAAACCATTATTTTCTTTTTATCAAGATCAGAGTTTGAGGGTTTAAGGGATTTTCCGGTAGATAGCTTTTTCATTGAACAATCTCGTAATTAATCCAAGCTTTATCAGATGTTAGAAATGAATCCCAGAAACCATCAGCTTTGGTTTGATGAAGCAAAAGAGCTGAACTGAAGAACTGACATCTGCACAAGTTGTCTTGAATCAAGTTGAGACTCATTTTCTAGAATTTAGCTGCTGCTGCGTGGGAAGCCGGCGTTTACGGTGAGCACAAAGTACACTTCGATTCACGCAGGCACATTTTTGATGAAATGGATGGGAAAACACGTAAAGGAACGAATAGAAAACTAGAAAACTAGAAAGATATTCAAGCAATAAGATAATAATTCTTTAAGAAAACAAAAACAATAAAAAAAGGATCAATTTTGACATGAAATTTGAAAATTTTGATCATTTGACAATTCGCTAAGCTTGGCTTGAATTTTTTTTGCCTTCCTTTCCTTTAGTCTAGCTTTAAAATAGTAATTCTAAAGTTATAGCAATTCTAAAGTATTTAAGAATCTTGTTAAGCTTTGAATATGTCATTAGAATCAAGAAAATCAATAATTCCATCAAAATCCATCAAAAAAAAAACATCGGGAAGGAGCTATTCGAACTAGTAGTGTTCTGACAATCAAATAGTTGGATTGGAGTTGGATTGGAGTTGGATTTCTTAAGGCTTTAAGGCCTTGTACTCGGTTCGGCGAAAAATCGACGAAAAAATCGACGAAAAATATGAAAATAGTTGCATTTTTATCTTAAGATTAACAGTTTAAAGCCTTGAACTCGATTCAGGTACGGTAGTTTATCCACCATCTATTTATCTTTTGAATTCCGATTGACTTTTGAATCTTTTGAAACTTTTTGTCGGAGTAAACACTTTAAATGCCTATAACTTTGTTTAGAAATTATATTATTGTTAACTTTTTCTATAGTTGGATAGAGAATATTTCAGGCTTTTGAATGATATTAAATAGAGCTTCACTGGATTTACCAATATCTGAAAAATGGCTGAGTAAAGTGCTGGTAAAGTGTCAGAGTCGGTTAGCTTGGTTAGTGCTGGCTTTCTGGAGAGCTTTCTGGAGTTGGTTGACTCAATCAAATTCGATTTGGTATCATTTGAAAGCCTACAGTATACTCTATTCAATCAAAAAGTTAACAATAATATTATTTCTAAGTAAAGTTCGAAATGTAACTAGGTAGATAATAAATAAAACAACAGTGATTTCAAAATTTCAGCAAGCTTTGTCAACTCATCGAAAAGTGCCGGAGACTGGTCAACTCTTCACTGGCGCTCAGAAACTCGTTCTTGACGGAATCGTGAAAACGGTTGGTGTTGGAGAAGTTGTCTAACATTTAGATATTTCTAGATATTAACAAAGGAATGTCAACTGGTTGTGGTGGCCAAATGGCATGAGCCATTTACTGGCCGACGTAAAATTTTGCGCTGATTCCGAATCCGTTTTCCGATTAGACTAGTGGGGGATTAGTGTGTTGAGCTTCTGGGAAAGCTTAGAAACTGTAAAATAGTCATCAACTCGGCACTACTATTAGAGAAAATACGTTATGTTTCAAAAATAATGAATTCAAATTGAATTTAGTTAAACGAGCTTCTCCTAAAGTCAGACAATAATGGATTTAATGGTGAAGAAACGGTTGGTTACATTAATTCTACAATAACATCAACAAAACAGTTATTTTCTAATCTTATTAAAGATTTCATAGCACTTTTTCATGCTTTAAATCTCAAATTTCAACCTAAAGCCTTTAGAAAAAGGGATTAGTTAACTTTTTTTTTTCGTTTAAACTCTCTACAATCTTTTTCTTTGCTATAGTTTTTATTGAAAAGCTAAAATAGAATAACTTATGCTTAAAGTATTATAGTTTAATATGATAGCCGACTGGATAGGAATCTTGTCTATTAATCGGTGAATTCGAAGGTCAAAGGTTCGATCCAAGTAACCAAAAAAATTTCTTTCTTTTTCCCATCATTATAGGGTTTTTTTTCTTAACAACATTTGAGTAATAAGGGAAAAAAAAAAATCTCCTCCTTTATGCTGTAATTGATTATTTTTGGTTTATAATTTCTCAATCAAAATCGACCAAAATCAAGAAAAATCAATCAAAATCAAGAAAAATCCATCAAAATCAACCAAAATCAAGAAAAGAATCAAAAATCTAACTTCCGTATATCAAAAGTATAAAAGTATCAAAAGAATCGAGTACTTAAACTGTCAATTTTATAAAATATTATAAAATTCTAAAAATGGCAAAGAAGCGAAGAAAATTCGCCGCCGCCAAAAATGCAAAAAATACACACACACTTTCACAGGAATTATTGACCAGGAGGCAGGGGGTACTTCTTGCCTATCCCTGCTGCTGTCAATGAGTCAGGGGGGATAGTAATTTTCCCCCTACGCCTCCCCTGTGCCACGGTGGAAGCCGGGGGGTCACTCGGCTAGGGTTTACCCCGGGAGCCGCGCCTTACCATGGTGTATCCTTCCAACCGACGCAAGCACGCCGCACCATGGGATTTTACCGAGTCTTTTTCTGACTCAGGCCGGGACTCAGCCCTGCCATGATGCTGAACAAGAATTTGTGCTTTATATCGCCCCCATAGCACGTCGGCTGCCAGAAAGGGGTCGAGTAGGAGGACCGGCTGAGAACCCACACCCACCCACACCCGGCTGATAACCCACATGAATGTTCTAGCCAAAATTTCAGAGAAATTCATTCAGCCAATTTTTCCGTAGAGTTTTTTATGGATTTTTACGACAAAAGGCGTTTTTCACTCTCGAATTTGCTTGAAAGTGAACCGAAATTCATTTAAAAAGATGCAAATTGAACAAAAAAACACTTTTTTTTTATAGAGCAAACTATAGATTAATTGGTGAATTTGTTACTTTTTAACAGAAGTACGAAAAAACGAAAAGATATGCATCAACCTATTAGCCGATAGTCAAATCTTTCCACCAACAAAACCATTATTTTCTTTTTATCAAGATCAGAGTTTGAGGGTTTAAGGGATTTTCCGGTAGATAGCTTTTTCATTGAACAATCTCGTAATTAATCCAAGCTTTATCAGATGTTAGAAATGAATCCCAGAAACCATCAGCTTTGGTTTGATGAAGCAAAAGAGCTGAACTGAAGAACTGACATCTGCACAAGTTGTCTTGAATCAAGTTGAGACTCATTTTCTAGAATTTAGCTGCTGCTGCGTGGGAAGCCGGCGTTTACGGTGAGCACAAAGTACACTTCGATTCACGCAGGCACATTTTTGATGAAATGGATGGGAAAACACGTAAAGGAACGAATAGAAAACTAGAAAACTAGAAAGATATTCAAGCAATAAGATAATAATTCTTTAAGAAAACAAAAAACAATAAAAAAAGGATCAATTTTGACATGAAATTTGAAAATTTTGATCATTTGACAATTCGCTAAGCTTGGCTTGAATTTTTTTGCCTTCCTTTCCTTTAGTCTAGCTTTAAAATAGTAATTCTAAAGTTATAGCAATTCTAAAGTATTTAAGAATCTTGTTAAGCTTTGAATATGTCATTAGAATCAAGAAAATCAATAATTCCATCAAAATCCATCAAAAAAAAACATCGGGAAGGAGCTATTCGAACTAGTAGTGTTCTGACAATCAAATAGTTGGATTGGAGTTGGATTGGAGTTGGATTTCTTAAGGCTTTAAGGCCTTGTACTCGGTTCGGCGAAAAATCGACGAAAAAATCGACGAAAAATATGAAAATAGTTGCATTTTTATCTTAAGATTAACAGTTTAAAGCCTTGAACTCGATTCAGGTACGGTAGTTTATCCACCATCTATTTATCTTTTGAATTCCGATTGACTTTTGAATCTTTTGAAACTTTTTGTCGGAGTAAACACTTTAAATGCCTATAACTTTGTTTAGAAATTATATTATTGTTAACTTTTTCTATAGTTGGATAGAGAATATTTCAGGCTTTTGAATGATATTAAATAGAGCTTCACTGGATTTACCAATATCTGAAAAATGGCTGAGTAAAGTGCTGGTAAAGTGTCAGAGTCGGTTAGCTTGGTTAGTGCTGGCTTTCTGGAGAGCTTTCTGGAGTTGGTTGACTCAATCAAATTCGATTTGGTATCATTTGAAAGCCTACAGTATACTCTATTCAATCAAAAAGTTAACAATAATATTATTTCTAAGTAAAGTTCGAAATGTAACTAGGTAGATAATAAATAAAACAACAGTGATTTCAAAATTTCAGCAAGCTTTGTCAACTCATCGAAAAGTGCCGGAGACTGGTCAACTCTTCACTGGCGCTCAGAAACTCGTTCTTGACGGAATCGTGAAAACGGTTGGTGTTGGAGAAGTTGTCTAACATTTAGATATTTCTAGATATTAACAAAGGAATGTCAACTGGTTGTGGTGGCCAAATGGCATGAGCCATTTACTGGCCGACGTAAAATTTTGCGCTGATTCCGAATCCGTTTTCCGATTAGACTAGTGGGGGATTAGTGTGTTGAGCTTCTGGGAAAGCTTAGAAACTGTAAAATAGTCATCAACTCGGCACTACTATTAGAGAAAATACGTTATGTTTCAAAAATAATGAATTCAAATTGAATTTAGTTAAACGAGCTTCTCCTAAAGTCAGACAATAATGGATTTAATGGTGAAGAAACGGTTGGTTACATTAATTCTACAATAACATCAACAAAACAGTTATTTTCTAATCTTATTAAAGATTTCATAGCACTTTTTCATGCTTTAAATCTCAAATTTCAACCTAAAGCCTTTAGAAAAAGGGATTAGTTAACTTTTTTTTTTCGTTTAAACTCTCTACAATCTTTTTCTTTGCTATAGTTTTTATTGAAAAGCTAAAATAGAATAACTTATGCTTAAAGTATTATAGTTTAATATGATAGCCGACTGGATAGGAATCTTGTCTATTAATCGGTGAATTCGAAGGTCAAAGGTTCGATCCAAGTAACCAAAAAAATTTCTTTCTTTTTCCCATCATTATAGGGTTTTTTTTCTTAACAACATTTGAGTAATAAGGGAAAAAAAAAATCTCCTCCTTTATGCTGTAATTGATTCGATATTTAAAAAGTATTTAAGAATCTTGTTAAGCTTTGAATATGTCATTAGAATCAAGAAAATCAATAATTCCATCAAAATCCATCAAAAAAAAAACATCGGGAAGGAGCTATTCGAACTAGTAGTGTTCTGACAATCAAATAGTTGGATTGGAGTTGGATTGGAGTTGGATTTCTTAAGGCTTTAAGGCCTTGTACTCGGTTCGGCGAAAAATCGACGAAAAAATCGACGAAAAATATGAAAATAGTTGCATTTTTATCTTAAGATTAACAGTTTAAAGCCTTGAACTCGATTCAGGTACGGTAGTTTATCCACCATCTATTTATCTTTTGAATTCCGATTGACTTTTGAATCTTTTGAAACTTTTTGTCGGAGTAAACACTTTAAATGCCTATAACTTTGTTTAGAAATTATATTATTGTTAACTTTTTCTATAGTTGGATAGAGAATATTTCAGGCTTTTGAATGATATTAAATAGAGCTTCACTGGATTTACCAATATCTGAAAAATGGCTGAGTAAAGTGCTGGTAAAGTGTCAGAGTCGGTTAGCTTGGTTAGTGCTGGCTTTCTGGAGAGCTTTCTGGAGTTGGTTGACTCAATCAAATTCGATTTGGTATCATTTGAAAGCCTACAGTATACTCTATTCAATCAAAAAGTTAACAATAATATTATTTCTAAGTAAAGTTCGAAATGTAACTAGGTAGATAATAAATAAAACAACAGTGATTTCAAAATTTCAGCAAGCTTTGTCAACTCATCGAAAAGTGCCGGAGACTGGTCAACTCTTCACTGGCGCTCAGAAACTCGTTCTTGACGGAATCGTGAAAACGGTTGGTGTTGGAGAAGTTGTCTAACATTTAGATATTTCTAGATATTAACAAAGGAATGTCAACTGGTTGTGGTGGCCAAATGGCATGAGCCATTTACTGGCCGACGTAAAATTTTGCGCTGATTCCGAATCCGTTTTCCGATTAGACTAGTGGGGATTAGTGTGTTGAGCTTCTGGGAAAGCTTAGAAACTGTAAAATAGTCATCAACTCGGCACTACTATTAGAGAAAATACGTTATGTTTCAAAAATAATGAATTCAAATTGAATTTAGTTAAACGAGCTTCTCCTAAAGTCAGACAATAATGGATTTAATGGTGAAGAAACGGTTGGTTACATTAATTCTACAATAACATCAACAAAACAGTTATTTTCTAATCTTATTAAAGATTTCATAGCACTTTTTCATGCTTTAAATCTCAAATTTCAACCTAAAGCCTTTAGAAAAAGGGATTAGTTAACTTTTTTTTCGTTTAAACTCTCTACAATCTTTTTCTTTGCTATAGTTTTTATTGAAAAGCTAAAATAGAATAACTTATGCTTAAAGTATTATAGTTTAATATGATAGCCGACTGGATAGGAATCTTGTCTATTAATCGGTGAATTCGAAGGTCAAAGGTTCGATCCAAGTAACCAAAAAAATTTCTTTCTTTTTCCCATCATTATAGGGTTTTTTTTCTTAACAACATTTGAGTAATAAGGGAAAAAAAAAATCTCCTCCTTTATGCTGTAATTGATTATTTTTGGTTTATAATTTCTCAATCAAAATCGACCAAAATCAAGAAAAATCAATCAAAATCAAGAAAAATCCATCAAAATCAACCAAAATCAAGAAAAGAATCAAAAATCTAACTTCCGTATATCAAAAGTATAAAAGTATCAAAAGAATCGAGTACTTAAACTGTCAATTTTATAAAATATTATAAAATTCTAAAAATGGCAAAGAAGCGAAGAAAATTCGCCGCCGCCAAAAATGCAAAAAATACACACACACTTTCACAGGAATTATTGACCAGGAGGCAGGGGGTACTTCTTGCCTATCCCTGCTGCTGTCAATGAGTCAGGGGGGATAGTAATTTTCCCCCCTACGCCTCCCCTGTGCCACGGTGGAAGCCGGGGGGTCACTCGGCTAGGGTTTACCCCGGGAGCCGCGCCTTACCATGGTGTATCCTTCCAACCGACGCAAGCACGCCGCACCATGGGATTTTACCGAGTCTTTTTCTGACTCAGGCCGGGACTCAGCCCTGCCATGATGCTGAACAAGAATTTGTGCTTTATATCGCCCCCATAGCACGTCGGCTGCCAGAAAGGGGTCGAGTAGGAGGACCGGCTGAGAACCCACACCCACCCACACCCGGCTGATAACCCACATGAATGTTCTAGCCAAAATTTCAGAGAAATTCATTCAGCCAATTTTTCCGTAGAGTTTTTTATGGATTTTTACGACAAAAGGCGTTTTTCACTCTCGAATTTGCTTGAAAGTGAACCGAAATTCATTTAAAAAGATGCAAATTGAACAAAAAAACACTTTTTTTTTATAGAGCAAACTATAGATTAATTGGTGAATTTGTTACTTTTTAACAGAAGTACGAAAAAAACGAAAAGATATGCATCAACCTATTAGCCGATAGTCAAATCTTTCCACCAACAAAACCATTATTTTCTTTTTATCAAGATCAGAGTTTGAGGGTTTAAGGGATTTTCCGGTAGATAGCTTTTTCATTGAACAATCTCGTAATTAATCCAAGCTTTATCAGATGTTAGAAATGAATCCCAGAAACCATCAGCTTTGGTTTGATGAAGCAAAAGAGCTGAACTGAAGAACTGACATCTGCACAAGTTGTCTTGAATCAAGTTGAGACTCATTTTCTAGGAAGAATCCCTGTTTAATCACCCAGAGACTTATTTATAGTCATTCATAATGAATCCCTGATAGCCAGAGTTCATAATGATTCCAATAATAATCTCAGTTCATAATGAATCCCAGAATAGAGGATGTGCTTAGAATCCTCAATTAGAACTCAAAATCCTCAAAGTATCATGATCATTAGGATACATTGACGATCTAAACTCTCTAGTTGATGCAAATGGTTGTCGATTCTCTTTTTATCAACGTTTTCTGATCTTCTGATCAATTTCAAGCTTTGCTTTCAAGCTTTCAAGCACTTTGCAAGCTTTTGAGTGTTCGATTCAAGTCAATTTCAATTCCTCAATGCGAGATTTTAAACGGGCATCATTTTTTCCTAAATAGTTTCCAAAAAACGAATTTCGCAATCTAAAAAGTCTCTTAATTACAGTTTTCAGTCTAGAAATTGAAAATTTATTCATCAAAATAATAAATAAAGCTTTAGAACCCGTTTCCGGAGGTCGGCTTGATGTCGGGGAATAATTGGAGGACGTTGATTGGCTGAAAATGAGATTGAATATCAAATTGCTGAAGAAAATTGAAGGGAAAATTGGGTAAATCGTTTGGAAAAGCCAATCTGGATATCACACAAGATAAATCTATCAATTTCAGCATTATTATATTATTTCGTTAGATTCCAATTTTTTTAAATTGAGTCTTTTTATGGTTTAAACCATAAAAAGACAAAGAAAAAGCTTTAAACCATAAAAAGACTCAAATATTCGACATTATTCGAGACGAATAATCAATTACAGCATAAAGGAGGAGATTTTTTTTTTACCCTTATTACTCAAATGTTGTTAAGAAAAAAAAACCCTATAATTTGAGGAAATTTGGCTTTTTTTTAAAAAATCAAACAAGATTTATTTCTAAAGAGATTTATTGTAAAAAAATTGAATTTTTACATATTTCAATTTCAATTTCGTTTAAAAATAAGCTTTTAATAGAAATTTCTATAGTGTGCCTTCCAGATTGAAAAAAATGAAAAAAGAAAATTTTCATTTACGCTTTGAAATTGAAGAATTCGAAAGGAAAAGAATTTTGAAAATTTCACTTTCGCTTAAAACCGAGAATTTCCTAGCGAATTGTATTGTGTGGCTTCCAGATTGAAAAGTACTAAAAGAAAAATGAGATAGATGATGTGAAAAGCTATAAAAGGTGCATGAAATCAAATTTATGCTTAAAATGTGAGCATCAATTGTAAGTAAGGGGTTGGAATAAGGTTTTAAAAAGGTTAAATGAAAGATAAAGAGAAAGGTTATCGCTTTTTTAGCTTATTTTTCAGTTGTTTCAAGAGCTAGGAGGTCAAATTAGATCAAATTTTTGGAAAATAGCCATTCTTTTGCTTTAAAACCCTTCAAAAACCTAAAAAATACAATAAAAACGAACTTTTCAAAGGAAAAAATCTTTCTTTGAGCTTTTTCGGGAGTAAAAGTGAGAAAAAAAAGTAATGAGAAGTTATTGAGAAGAAAAAGAAAAGCAATAAATCATTAATTGCTAAAAAAAGAGCTCTTAAACCACGAGAATTATTGGAAAAAATTGGAAAAACAATTTTTAAAAAATTTCAATCAAAAATGAGTTTTTACTATAGAAATTCATTCAGCCAATTTTTCCGTAGAGTTTTTTATGGATTTTTACGACAAAAGGCGTTTTTCACTCTCGAATTTGCTTGAAAGTGAACCGAAATTCATTTAAAAAGATGCAAATTGAACAAAAAAACACTTTTTTTTTATAGAGCAAACTATAGATTAATTGGTGAATTTGTTACTTTTTAACAGAAGTACGAAAAAAACGAAAAGATATGCATCAACCTATTAGCCGATAGTCAAATCTTTCCACCAACAAAACCATTATTTTCTTTTTATCAAGATCAGAGTTTGAGGGTTTAAGGGATTTTCCGGTAGATAGCTTTTTCATTGAACAATCTCGTAATTAATCCAAGCTTTATCAGATGTTAGAAATGAATCCCAGAAACCATCAGCTTTGGTTTGATGAAGCAAAAGAGCTGAACTGAAGAACTGACATCTGCACAAGTTGGTTAGTGCTGGCTTTCTGGAGAGCTTTCTGGAGTTGGTTGACTCAATCAAATTCGATTTGGTATCATTTGAAAGCCTACAGTATACTCTATTCAATCAAAAAGTTAACAATAATATTATTTCTAAGTAAAGTTCGAAATGTAACTAGGTAGATAATAAATAAAACAACAGTGATTTCAAAATTTCAGCAAGCTTTGTCAACTCATCGAAAAGTGCCGGAGACTGGTCAACTCTTCACTGGCGCTCAGAAACTCGTTCTTGACGGAATCGTGAAAACGGTTGGTGTTGGAGAAGTTGTCTAACATTTAGATATTTCTAGATATTAACAAAGGAATGTCAACTGGTTGTGGTGGCCAAATGGCATGAGCCATTTACTGGCCGACGTAAAATTTTGCGCTGATTCCGAATCCGTTTTCCGATTAGACTAGTGGGGGATTAGTGTGTTGAGCTTCTGGGAAAGCTTAGAAACTGTAAAATAGTCATCAACTCGGCACTACTATTAGAGAAAATACGTTATGTTTCAAAAATAATGAATTCAAATTGAATTTAGTTAAACGAGCTTCTCCTAAAGTCAGACAATAATGGATTTAATGGTGAAGAAACGGTTGGTTACATTAATTCTACAATAACATCAACAAAACAGTTATTTTCTAATCTTATTAAAGATTTCATAGCACTTTTTCATGCTTTAAATCTCAAATTTCAACCTAAAGCCTTTAGAAAAAGGGATTAGTTAACTTTTTTTTTCGTTTAAACTCTCTACAATCTTTTTCTTTGCTATAGTTTTTATTGAAAAGCTAAAATAGAATAACTTATGCTTAAAGTATTATAGTTTAATATGATAGCCGACTGGATAGGAATCTTGTCTATTAATCGGTGAATTCGAAGGTCAAAGGTTCGATCCAAGTAACCAAAAAAATTTCTTTCTTTTTCCCATCATTATAGGGTTTTTTTTCTTAACAACATTTGAGTAATAAGGGAAAAAAAATCTCCTCCTTTATGCTGTAATTGATTCGATATTTAAAAAGTATTTAAGAATCTTGTTAAGCTTTGAATATGTCATTAGAATCAAGAAAATCAATAATTCCATCAAAATCCATCAAAAAAAAAACATCGGGAAGGAGCTATTCGAACTAGTAGTGTTCTGACAATCAAATAGTTGGATTGGAGTTGGATTGGAGTTGGATTTCTTAAGGCTTTAAGGCCTTGTACTCGGTTCGGCGAAAAATCGACGAAAAAATCGACGAAAAATATGAAAATAGTTGCATTTTTATCTTAAGATTAACAGTTTAAAGCCTTGAACTCGATTCAGGTACGGTAGTTTATCCACCATCTATTTATCTTTTGAATTCCGATTGACTTTTGAATCTTTTGAAACTTTTTGTCGGAGTAAACACTTTAAATGCCTATAACTTTGTTTAGAAATTATATTATTGTTAACTTTTTCTATAGTTGGATAGAGAATATTTCAGGCTTTTGAATGATATTAAATAGAGCTTCACTGGATTTACCAATATCTGAAAAATGGCTGAGTAAAGTGCTGGTAAAGTGTCAGAGTCGGTTAGCTTGGTTAGTGCTGGCTTTCTGGAGAGCTTTCTGGAGTTGGTTGACTCAATCAAATTCGATTTGGTATCATTTGAAAGCCTACAGTATACTCTATTCAATCAAAAAGTTAACAATAATATTATTTCTAAGTAAAGTTCGAAATGTAACTAGGTAGATAATAAATAAAACAACAGTGATTTCAAAATTTCAGCAAGCTTTGTCAACTCATCGAAAAGTGCCGGAGACTGGTCAACTCTTCACTGGCGCTCAGAAACTCGTTCTTGACGGAATCGTGAAAACGGTTGGTGTTGGAGAAGTTGTCTAACATTTAGATATTTCTAGATATTAACAAAGGAATGTCAACTGGTTGTGGTGGCCAAATGGCATGAGCCATTTACTGGCCGACGTAAAATTTTGCGCTGATTCCGAATCCGTTTTCCGATTAGACTAGTGGGGGATTAGTGTGTTGAGCTTCTGGGAAAGCTTAGAAACTGTAAAATAGTCATCAACTCGGCACTACTATTAGAGAAAATACGTTATGTTTCAAAAATAATGAATTCAAATTGAATTTAGTTAAACGAGCTTCTCCTAAAGTCAGACAATAATGGATTTAATGGTGAAGAAACGGTTGGTTACATTAATTCTACAATAACATCAACAAAACAGTTATTTTCTAATCTTATTAAAGATTTCATAGCACTTTTTCATGCTTTAAATCTCAAATTTCAACCTAAAGCCTTTAGAAAAAGGGATTAGTTAACTTTTTTTTTCGTTTAAACTCTCTACAATCTTTTTCTTTGCTATAGTTTTTATTGAAAAGCTAAAATAGAATAACTTATGCTTAAAGTATTATAGTTTAATATGATAGCCGACTGGATAGGAATCTTGTCTATTAATCGGTGAATTCGAAGGTCAAAGGTTCGATCCAAGTAACCAAAAAAAATTTCTTTCTTTTTCCCATCATTATAGGGTTTTTTCTTAACAACATTTGAGTAATAAGGGAAAAAAAAATCTCCTCCTTTATGCTGTAATTGATTATTTTTGGTTTATAATTTCTCAATCAAAATCGACCAAAATCAAGAAAAATCAATCAAAATCAAGAAAAATCCATCAAAATCAACCAAAATCAAGAAAAGAATCAAAAAATCTAACTTCCGTATATCAAAAGTATAAAAGTATCAAAAGAATCGAGTACTTAAACTGTCAATTTTATAAAATATTATAAAATTCTAAAAATGGCAAAGAAGCGAAGAAAATTCGCCGCCGCCAAAAATGCAAAAAATACACACACACTTTCACAGGAATTATTGACCAGGAGGCAGGGGGTACTTCTTGCCTATCCCTGCTGCTGTCAATGAGTCAGGGGGGATAGTAATTTTCCCCCTACGCCTCCCCTGTGCCACGGTGGAAGCCGGGGGGTCACTCGGCTAGGGTTTACCCCGGGAGCCGCGCCTTACCATGGTGTATCCTTCCAACCGACGCAAGCACGCCGCACCATGGGATTTTACCGAGTCTTTTTCTGACTCAGGCCGGGACTCAGCCCTGCCATGATGCTGAACAAGAATTTGTGCTTTATATCGCCCCCATAGCACGTCGGCTGCCAGAAAGGGGTCGAGTAGGAGGACCGGCTGAGAACCCACACCCACCCACACCCGGCTGATAACCCACATGAATGTTCTAGCCAAAATTTCAGAGAAATTCATTCAGCCAATTTTTCCGTAGAGTTTTTTATGGATTTTTACGACAAAAGGCGTTTTTCACTCTCGAATTTGCTTGAAAGTGAACCGAAATTCATTTAAAAAGATGCAAATTGAACAAAAAAACACTTTTTTTTTATAGAGCAAACTATAGATTAATTGGTGAATTTGTTACTTTTTAACAGAAGTACGAAAAAACGAAAAGATATGCATCAACCTATTAGCCGATAGTCAAATCTTTCCACCAACAAAACCATTATTTTCTTTTTATCAAGATCAGAGTTTGAGGGTTTAAGGGATTTTCCGGTAGATAGCTTTTTCATTGAACAATCTCGTAATTAATCCAAGCTTTATCAGATGTTAGAAATGAATCCCAGAAACCATCAGCTTTGGTTTGATGAAGCAAAAGAGCTGAACTGAAGAACTGACATCTGCACAAGTTGTCTTGAATCAAGTTGAGACTCATTTTCTAGGAAGAATCCCTGTTTAATCACCCAGAGACTTATTTATAGTCATTCATAATGAATCCCTGATAGCCAGAGTTCATAATGATTCCAATAATAATCTCAGTTCATAATGAATCCCAGAATAGAGGATGTGCTTAGAATCCTCAATTAGAACTCAAAATCCTCAAAGTATCATGATCATTAGGATACATTGACGATCTAAACTCTCTAGTTGATGCAAATGGTTGTCGATTCTCTTTTTATCAACGTTTTCTGATCTTCTGATCAATTTCAAGCTTTGCTTTCAAGCTTTCAAGCACTTTGCAAGCTTTTGAGTGTTCGATTCAAGTCAATTTCAATTCCTCAATGCGAGATTTTAAACGGGCATCATTTTTTTCCTAAATAGTTTCCAAAAAACGAATTTCGCAATCTAAAAAGTCTCTTAATTACAGTTTTCAGTCTAGAAATTGAAAATTTATTCATCAAAATAATAAATAAAGCTTTAGAACCCGTTTCCGGAGGTCGGCTTGATGTCGGGGAATAATTGGAGGACGTTGATTGGCTGAAAATGAGATTGAATATCAAATTGCTGAAGAAAATTGAAGGGAAAATTGGGTAAATCGTTTGGAAAAGCCAATCTGGATATCACACAAGATAAATCTATCAATTTCAGCATTATTATATTATTTCGTTAGATTCCAATTTTTTTAAATTGAGTCTTTTTATGGTTTAAACCATAAAAAGACAAAGAAAAAGCTTTAAACCATAAAAAGACTCAAATATTCGACATTATTCGAGACGAATAATCAATTACAGCATAAAGGAGGAGATTTTTTTTTACCCTTATTACTCAAATGTTGTTAAGAAAAAAACCCTATAATTTGAGGAAATTTGGCTTTTTTTTAAAAAATCAAACAAGATTTATTTCTAAAGAGATTTATTGTAAAAAAATTGAATTTTTACATATTTCAATTTCAATTTCGTTTAAAAATAAGCTTTTAATAGAAATTTCTATAGTGTGCCTTCCAGATTGAAAAAAATGAAAAAAGAAAATTTTCATTTACGCTTTGAAATTGAAGAATTCGAAAGGAAAAGAATTTTGAAAATTTCACTTTCGCTTAAAACCGAGAATTTCCTAGCGAATTGTATTGTGTGGCTTCCAGATTGAAAAGTACTAAAAGAAAAATGAGATAGATGATGTGAAAAGCTATAAAAGGTGCATGAAATCAAATTTATGCTTAAAATGTGAGCATCAATTGTAAGTAAGGGGTTGGAATAAGGTTTTAAAAAGGTTAAATGAAAGATAAAGAGAAAGGTTATCGCTTTTTTAGCTTATTTTTCAGTTGTTTCAAGAGCTAGGAGGTCAAATTAGATCAAATTTTTGGAAAATAGCCATTCTTTTGCTTTAAAACCCTTCAAAAACCTAAAAAATACAATAAAAACGAACTTTTCAAAGGAAAAAATCTTTCTTTGAGCTTTTTCGGGAGTAAAAGTGAGAAAAAAAGTAATGAGAAGTTATTGAGAAGAAAAGAAAAGCAATAAATCATTAATTGCTAAAAAAAGAGCTCTTAAACCACGAGAATTATTGGAAAAAATTGGAAAAACAATTTTTAAAAAATTTCAATCAAAAATGAGTTTTTACTATAGAAATTCATTCAGCCAATTTTTCCGTAGAGTTTTTTATGGATTTTTACGACAAAAGGCGTTTTTCACTCTCGAATTTGCTTGAAAGTGAACCGAAATTCATTTAAAAAGATGCAAATTGAACAAAAAAACACTTTTTTTTTATAGAGCAAACTATAGATTAATTGGTGAATTTGTTACTTTTTAACAGAAGTACGAAAAAAACGAAAAGATATGCATCAACCTATTAGCCGATAGTCAAATCTTTCCACCAACAAAACCATTATTTTCTTTTTATCAAGATCAGAGTTTGAGGGTTTAAGGGATTTTCCGGTAGATAGCTTTTTCATTGAACAATCTCGTAATTAATCCAAGCTTTATCAGATGTTAGAAATGAATCCCAGAAACCATCAGCTTTGGTTTGATGAAGCAAAAGAGCTGAACTGAAGAACTGACATCTGCACAAGTTGTCTTGAATCAAGTTGAGACTCATTTTCTAGAATTTAGCTGCTGCTGCGTGGGAAGCCGGCGTTTACGGTGAGCACAAAGTACACTTCGATTCACGCAGGCACATTTTTGATGAAATGGATGGGAAAACACGTAAAGGAACGAATAGAAAACTAGAAAACTAGAAAGATATTCAAGCAATAAGATAATAATTCTTTAAGAAAACAAAAAACAATAAAAAAGGATCAATTTTGACATGAAATTTGAAAATTTTGATCATTTGACAATTCGCTAAGCTTGGCTTGAATTTTTTTTGCCTTCCTTTCCTTTAGTCTAGCTTTAAAATAGTAATTCTAAAGTTATAGCAATTCTAAAGTATTTAAGAATCTTGTTAAGCTTTGAATATGTCATTAGAATCAAGAAAATCAATAATTCCATCAAAATCCATCAAAAAAAAACATCGGGAAGGAGCTATTCGAACTAGTAGTGTTCTGACAATCAAATAGTTGGATTGGAGTTGGATTGGAGTTGGATTTCTTAAGGCTTTAAGGCCTTGTACTCGGTTCGGCGAAAAATCGACGAAAAAATCGACGAAAAATATGAAAATAGTTGCATTTTTATCTTAAGATTAACAGTTTAAAGCCTTGAACTCGATTCAGGTACGGTAGTTTATCCACCATCTATTTATCTTTTGAATTCCGATTGACTTTTGAATCTTTTGAAACTTTTTGTCGGAGTAAACACTTTAAATGCCTATAACTTTGTTTAGAAATTATATTATTGTTAACTTTTTCTATAGTTGGATAGAGAATATTTCAGGCTTTTGAATGATATTAAATAGAGCTTCACTGGATTTACCAATATCTGAAAAATGGCTGAGTAAAGTGCTGGTAAAGTGTCAGAGTCGGTTAGCTTGGTTAGTGCTGGCTTTCTGGAGAGCTTTCTGGAGTTGGTTGACTCAATCAAATTCGATTTGGTATCATTTGAAAGCCTACAGTATACTCTATTCAATCAAAAAGTTAACAATAATATTATTTCTAAGTAAAGTTCGAAATGTAACTAGGTAGATAATAAATAAAACAACAGTGATTTCAAAATTTCAGCAAGCTTTGTCAACTCATCGAAAAGTGCCGGAGACTGGTCAACTCTTCACTGGCGCTCAGAAACTCGTTCTTGACGGAATCGTGAAAACGGTTGGTGTTGGAGAAGTTGTCTAACATTTAGATATTTCTAGATATTAACAAAGGAATGTCAACTGGTTGTGGTGGCCAAATGGCATGAGCCATTTACTGGCCGACGTAAAATTTTGCGCTGATTCCGAATCCGTTTTCCGATTAGACTAGTGGGGGATTAGTGTGTTGAGCTTCTGGGAAAGCTTAGAAACTGTAAAATAGTCATCAACTCGGCACTACTATTAGAGAAAATACGTTATGTTTCAAAAATAATGAATTCAAATTGAATTTAGTTAAACGAGCTTCTCCTAAAGTCAGACAATAATGGATTTAATGGTGAAGAAACGGTTGGTTACATTAATTCTACAATAACATCAACAAAACAGTTATTTTCTAATCTTATTAAAGATTTCATAGCACTTTTTCATGCTTTAAATCTCAAATTTCAACCTAAAGCCTTTAGAAAAAGGGATTAGTTAACTTTTTTTTTCGTTTAAACTCTCTACAATCTTTTTCTTTGCTATAGTTTTTATTGAAAAGCTAAAATAGAATAACTTATGCTTAAAGTATTATAGTTTAATATGATAGCCGACTGGATAGGAATCTTGTCTATTAATCGGTGAATTCGAAGGTCAAAGGTTCGATCCAAGTAACCAAAAAAATTTCTTTCTTTTTCCCATCATTATAGGGTTTTTTTCTTAACAACATTTGAGTAATAAGGGAAAAAAAAATCTCCTCCTTTATGCTGTAATTGATTATTTTTGGTTTATAATTTCTCAATCAAAATCGACCAAAATCAAGAAAAATCAATCAAAATCAAGAAAAATCCATCAAAATCAACCAAAATCAAGAAAAGAATCAAAAAATCTAACTTCCGTATATCAAAAGTATAAAAGTATCAAAAGAATCGAGTACTTAAACTGTCAATTTTATAAAATATTATAAAATTCTAAAAATGGCAAAGAAGCGAAGAAAATTCGCCGCCGCCAAAAATGCAAAAAATACACACACACTTTCACAGGAATTATTGACCAGGAGGCAGGGGGTACTTCTTGCCTATCCCTGCTGCTGTCAATGAGTCAGGGGGATAGTAATTTTCCCCCTACGCCTCCCCTGTGCCACGGTGGAAGCCGGGGGTCACTCGGCTAGGGTTTACCCCGGGAGCCGCGCCTTACCATGGTGTATCCTTCCAACCGACGCAAGCACGCCGCACCATGGGATTTTACCGAGTCTTTTTCTGACTCAGGCCGGGACTCAGCCCTGCCATGATGCTGAACAAGAATTTGTGCTTTATATCGCCCCCATAGCACGTCGGCTGCCAGAAAGGGGTCGAGTAGGAGGACCGGCTGAGAACCCACACCCACCCACACCCGGCTGATAACCCACATGAATGTTCTAGCCAAAATTTCAGAGAAATTCATTCAGCCAATTTTTCCGTAGAGTTTTTTATGGATTTTTACGACAAAAGGCGTTTTTCACTCTCGAATTTGCTTGAAAGTGAACCGAAATTCATTTAAAAAGATGCAAATTGAACAAAAAAACACTTTTTTTTTATAGAGCAAACTATAGATTAATTGGTGAATTTGTTACTTTTTAACAGAAGTACGAAAAAACGAAAAGATATGCATCAACCTATTAGCCGATAGTCAAATCTTTCCACCAACAAAACCATTATTTTCTTTTTATCAAGATCAGAGTTTGAGGGTTTAAGGGATTTTCCGGTAGATAGCTTTTTCATTGAACAATCTCGTAATTAATCCAAGCTTTATCAGATGTTAGAAATGAATCCCAGAAACCATCAGCTTTGGTTTGATGAAGCAAAAGAGCTGAACTGAAGAACTGACATCTGCACAAGTTGTCTTGAATCAAGTTGAGACTCATTTTCTAGGAAGAATCCCTGTTTAATCACCCAGAGACTTATTTATAGTCATTCATAATGAATCCCTGATAGCCAGAGTTCATAATGATTCCAATAATAATCTCAGTTCATAATGAATCCCAGAATAGAGGATGTGCTTAGAATCCTCAATTAGAACTCAAAATCCTCAAAGTATCATGATCATTAGGATACATTGACGATCTAAACTCTCTAGTTGATGCAAATGGTTGTCGATTCTCTTTTTATCAACGTTTTCTGATCTTCTGATCAATTTCAAGCTTTGCTTTCAAGCTTTCAAGCACTTTGCAAGCTTTTGAGTGTTCGATTCAAGTCAATTTCAATTCCTCAATGCGAGATTTTAAACGGGCATCATTTTTTCCTAAATAGTTTCCAAAAACGAATTTCGCAATCTAAAAAGTCTCTTAATTACAGTTTTCAGTCTAGAAATTGAAAATTTATTCATCAAAATAATAAATAAAGCTTTAGAACCCGTTTCCGGAGGTCGGCTTGATGTCGGGGAATAATTGGAGGACGTTGATTGGCTGAAAATGAGATTGAATATCAAATTGCTGAAGAAAATTGAAGGGAAAATTGGGTAAATCGTTTGGAAAAGCCAATCTGGATATCACACAAGATAAATCTATCAATTTCAGCATTATTATATTATTTCGTTAGATTCCAATTTTTTTAAATTGAGTCTTTTTATGGTTTAAACCATAAAAAGACAAAGAAAAAGCTTTAAACCATAAAAAGACTCAAATATTCGACATTATTCGAGACGAATAATCAATTACAGCATAAAAGGAGGAGATTTTTTTTTTACCCTTATTACTCAAATGTTGTTAAGAAAAAAAACCCTATAATTTGAGGAAATTTGGCTTTTTTTTAAAAAATCAAACAAGATTTATTTCTAAAGAGATTTATTGTAAAAAAATTGAATTTTTACATATTTCAATTTCAATTTCGTTTAAAAATAAGCTTTTAATAGAAATTTCTATAGTGTGCCTTCCAGATTGAAAAAAATGAAAAAAGAAAATTTTCATTTACGCTTTGAAATTGAAGAATTCGAAAGGAAAAGAATTTTGAAAATTTCACTTTCGCTTAAAACCGAGAATTTCCTAGCGAATTGTATTGTGTGGCTTCCAGATTGAAAAGTACTAAAAGAAAAATGAGATAGATGATGTGAAAAGCTATAAAAGGTGCATGAAATCAAATTTATGCTTAAAATGTGAGCATCAATTGTAAGTAAGGGGTTGGAATAAGGTTTTAAAAAGGTTAAATGAAAGATAAAGAGAAAGGTTATCGCTTTTTAGCTTATTTTTCAGTTGTTTCAAGAGCTAGGAGGTCAAATTAGATCAAATTTTTGGAAAATAGCCATTCTTTTGCTTTAAAACCCTTCAAAAACCTAAAAAATACAATAAAAACGAACTTTTCAAAGGAAAAAATCTTTCTTTGAGCTTTTTCGGGAGTAAAAGTGAGAAAAAAAGTAATGAGAAGTTATTGAGAAGAAAAAGAAAAGCAATAAATCATTAATTGCTAAAAAAAGAGCTCTTAAACCACGAGAATTATTGGAAAAAATTGGAAAAACAATTTTTAAAAAATTTCAATCAAAAATGAGTTTTTACTATAGTGTGAATTCCAGATTGAAAAAAAGTGGGGGAAAAAAAATTTCATTTTCGCTTTAAAACGAGAATTTCCTAGCGAATTGGATTTGGTGAGTTCCAGATTGAAAATTTGCATCAAAAAAAGACAACAAATGATGATTTTCGAAAAGATTTTAAAGCCAACCCTTTTCAGCTGTGTACTTTCAAGCTGTGTTCAGCTTTTTCGAGTTTTAACCAAATCCAATTCGCATTTATGGCTCATTTTGAATTGATTTACGAGAAAAAGCTTTTTTTTTAGGGTAATTGAATTGAATTTTATTCGTTTAAGCAAGAAAATTCAAGTTTTTTTAGTGATTGAGTTGATCATTTTTTTCATTTTCATTATTTTCATCATTTTTTCGTCTTGTATTAGATTTTTCTTTGTATTTTGTGGTTAGAAATCGTAAACACACCCTTTCTAGTGCACTTAGAGTCCGTTTATTGGTCTTTTTCATAGAGAAAATTAAAGAATTGAATGTTCTAGAATTGAATGTTCTAGAATTGAATGTTCTAGATGCGTTAAAAAGAAGCTCAAAGTAGAATGAAAGTGGGAAAGATTGGGTATTTGAATCGGCTATTATTATTTTCTTTTTTTCTAGCCAAAAGCTGTGCTAATCTAGTCTATTTGCACAAAAAGGATTAGCCCATTTCTCTCTTGAATCCTATTATATTACTATTTTGCACCTCTACAGCTAATATTTTGGTCCTAAAATCGATCAAAATGCATCAAAATCAAGAAAAATCAATCAAAATCGACCAAAATCAAGAAAAATCCATCAAAATCAATCAAAATCGATCAAAATCAAGAAAAGAATCAAAAATCTAACTTCCGTATATCAAAAGCTCTCCGCTATTGAGCTCTAAACGAAAATATTCTTCACTTAAAAGAATCAAGAAGAAATTTGATCCAAAAAGCCATTCTTTTTCTTCTTCTGGATGCAAAAAAGTTGAGCCTAGCCCAACAAATGCTTTGAAATGGTTAAATGAAAGAAAATGGCTGCCGAGGCGGATGTGAAGATGGGACAAGATACTGGTAGTGCCGGACTTTTCATATAAAAGGTTGCCAGGCTGTCTCAAGGACAAGCTGAGTCTTCTGGCCGACCTCTGGCCGACTTCTGGCCATTACTAGGTTAGCTTGGTTGTCTTGCCCAGGTACTTTTGCTGTCCGCTTTTTTGAAAAATTCCCTTTTCTGACGTCCGACAAAAATTTAAAAAATCATACAAGATTTATTTCTAAAGAGATTTATTGTAAAAAAATTGAATTTTTACATAAATTCAGCTAAAATCTTGAATTGAGACAACGACAAGAACAAAAGAAAAGACTTTAAGCCAATGTTTTCTCAGAGAAAATAAAGAGAAACGATTTCGAGAGCTTTTTTCAAGAAACACACTCAAAAGTTGAGAAAAAAAGGCAAAAGATTTAGCCTTTTCCACGATAAACCAGCTTCAACTAATTGACCTATTAGAATTTCCTAGCGAATTGTATCATTGTATCATAAAGATCAATCGATTTGATGGATTTTGATGGATTTTGATGGAATTATTGATTTTCTTGATTCTAATGACATATTCAAAGCTTAACAAGATTCTTAAATACTTTAGAACTTTAGAATTGCTATAACTTTAGAATTACTATTTTAAAGCTAGACTAAAGGAAAGGAAGGCAAAAAAAATTCAAGCCAAGCTTAGCGAATTGTCAAATGATCAAAATTTTCAAATTTCATGTTTTCAAATTTCAAAAATTGATCTTTTTTTTATTGTTTTTTGTTTTCTTAAAGAATTATTATCTTATTGCTTGAATATCTTTCTAGTTTTCTAGTTTTCTATTCGTTCTTTTACGTGTTTTCCCATCCATTTCATCAAAAATGTGCCTGCGTGAATCGAAGTGTACTTTGTGCTCACCGTAAACGCCGGCTTTCCCACGCAGCAGCAGCTAAATTCTATATAAAATAAAGGAAAAGCTTAAAAAGCAAAAAATTCGATGCGCTAGAAGTTTCGCGTTTCGTCTCGGTTAGCAAAAAGTAAATTTTCGATTTTCATTTTTCACTGTGCCTTTTTGAAACAAAAATTTCATCATTTTTTTGTTAAATTTTCAAATTTTTCTTTTTAAAACCTATCAAATATGTGATTTTTCTTGATAATTTAAACAAATTTACACGATTTTTGATCTCTCAATCCCAATTATAGCTAGGTTTTTTGAATTTAAATTTTTTTTTTCGTACAGATTTCCTTCATTCCGATTGAAAAGAGGTAAAGAAATAAAAGATTTTTTTTTGAATAATGATAGGAATAGATAAATAGATGGTGGATAACTGTCAATGTCAAGAAGCGAAGAAAATTCGCCGCCGCCAAAAATGCAAAAAATACACACGCACTTTCACAGGAATTATAGACCAGGAGGCAGGGGGTACTTCTTGCCTATCCCTGCTGCTGTCAATGAGTCAGGGGGATAGTAATTTTCCCCCTACGCCTCCCCTGTGCCACGGTGGAAGCCGGGGGGTCACTCGGCTAGGGTTTACCCCGGGAGCCGCGCCTTACCATGGTGTATCCTTCCAACCGACGCAAGCACGCCGCACCATGGGATTTTACCGAGTCTTTTTCTGACTCAGGCCGGGACTCAGCCCTGCCATGATGCTGAACAAGAATTTGTGCTTTATATCGCCCCCATAGCACGTCGGCTGCCAGAAAGGGGTCGAGTAGGAGGACCGGCTGAGAACCCACACCCACCCACACCCGGCTGAGAACCCACACCCAATACAATTTTAAAATATATAAAAAGCAGACCTCGCTGACACGTCAAATTTGGGCTAAAAGGCAAAAACTTTTAGCCCAAATTTGACGTGTCAGCGAGGTCTGATTTGTCGAAATTCGGAATCTAAGCATACGATTCCCTTATATGGAAATATTTTCGAAGCTCTACGGCCTTTCCTAAGGCCTTTTCCAGCAAAAATAAGGTGCGCGAATGTCCAGGTGCGCAAAAAAAAGATCGCATTTTTTCCACCCCAATTTTTGGTTTATAATTTTAGGAAAGCTTATAGTTAATTGTTTTATCAATGTTTCTTTTATTAATATTAAGTAGAAGACGTTTTATAAACTAAGAACAAATTGAAAAGTAGAGCAAGTATCAATGCTCTCTTCTAAATTATTAGGTTGATGCATAAGTCTTTTCGTTCCTTTTCGTCCCTGATAGCCAGAGTTCATAATGATTCCAATAATAATCTCAGTTCATAATGAATCCTAAATAGTTTCCAAAAAACGAATTTCGCAATCTAAAAAGTCTCTTAATTACAGTTTTCAGTCTAGAAATTGAAAATTTATTCATCAAAATAATAAATAAAGCTTTAGAACCCGTTTCCGGAGGTCGGCTTGATGTCGGGGAATAATTGGAGGACGTTGATTGGCTGAAAATGAGATTGAATATCAAATTGCTGAAGAAAATTGAAGGGAAAATTGGGTAAACCGTTTGGAAAAGCCAATCTGGATATCACACAAGATAAATCTATCAATTTCAGCATTATTATATTATTTCGTTAGATTCCAATTTTTAAATTGAGTCTTTTTATGGTTTAAACCATAAAAAGACAAAGAAAAAGCTTTAAACCATAAAAAGACTCAAATATTCGACATTATTCGAGACGAATAATCAATTACAGCATAAAGGGAGGAGATTTTTTTTCCCTTATTACTCAAATGTTGTTAAGAAAAAAACCCTATAATGATGGGAAAAAGAAAGAAATTTTTTTGGTTACTTGGATCGAACCTTTGACCTTCGAATTCACCGATTAATAGACAAGATTCCTATCCAGTCGGCTATCATATTAAACTATAATACTTTAAGCATAAGTTATTCTATTTTAGCTTTTCAATAAAAACTATAGCAAAGAAAAAGATTGTAGAGAGTTTAAACGAAAAAAAAAAGTTAACTAATCCCTTTTTCTAAAGGCTTTAGGTTGAAATTTGAGATTTAAAGCATGAAAAAGTGCTATGAAATCTTTAATAAGATTAGAAAATAACTGTTTTGTTGATGTTATTGTAGAATTAATGTAACCAACCGTTTCTTCACCATTAAATCCATTATTGTCTGACTTTAGGAGAAGCTCGTTTAACTAAATTCAATTTGAATTCATTATTTTTGAAACATAACGTATTTTCTCTAATAGTAGTGCCGAGTTGATGACTATTTTACAGTTTCTAAGCTTTCCCAGAAGCTCAACACACTAATCCCCCACTAGTCTAATCGGAAAACGGATTCGGAATCAGCGCAAAATTTTACGTCGGCCAGTAAATGGCTCATGCCATTTGGCCACCACAACCAGTTGACATTCCTTTGTTAATATCTAGAAATATCTAAATGTTAGACAACTTCTCCAACACCAACCGTTTTCACGATTCCGTCAAGAACGAGTTTCTGAGCGCCAGTGAAGAGTTGACCAGTCTCCGGCACTTTTCGATGAGTTGACAAAGCTTGCTGAAATTTTGAAATCACTGTTGTTTTATTTATTATCTACCTAGTTACATTTCGAACTTTACTTAGAAATAATATTATTGTTAACTTTTGATTGAATAGAGTATACTGTAGGCTTTCAAATGATACCAAATCGAATTTGATTGAGTCAACCAACTCCAGAAAGCTCTCCAGAAAGCCAGCACTAACCAAGCTAACCGACTCTGACACTTTACCAGCACTTTACTCAGCCATTTTTCAGATATTGGTAAATCCAGTGAAGCTCTATTTAATATCATTCAAAAGCCTGAAATATTCTCTATCCAACTATAGAAAAAGTTAACAATAATATAATTTCTAAACAAAGTTATAGGCATTTAAAGTGTTTACTCCGACAAAAAGTTTCAAAAGATTCAAAAGTCAATCGGAATTCAAAAGATAAATAGATGGTGGATAAACTACCGTACCTGAATCGAGTTCAAGGCTTTAAACTGTTAATCTTAAGATAAAAATGCAACTATTTTCATATTTTTCGTCGATTTTTTCGTCGATTTTTCGCCGAACCGAGTACAAGGCCTTAAAGCCTTAAGAAATCCAACTCCAATCCAACTCCAATCCAACTATTTGATTGTCAGAACACTACTAGTTCGAATAGCTCCTTCCCGATGTTTCGTTTATTATTATTTCGTTAGATTCCAATTTTTTTTAAATTGAGTCTTTTTATGGTTTAAACCATAAAAAGACAAAGAAAAAGCTTTAAACCATAAAAAGACTCAAATATTCGACATTATTCGAGACGAATAATCAATTACAGCATAAAGGAGGAGATTTTTTTTTTTACCCTTATTACTCAAATGTTGTTAAGAAAAAAAACCCTATAATTTGAGGAAATTTGGCTTTTTTTTAAAAAATCAAACAAGATTTATTTCTAAAGAGATTTATTGTAAAAAAATTGAATTTTTACATATTTCAATTTCAATTTCGTTTAAAAATAAGCTTTTAATAGAAATTTCTATAGTGTGCCTTCCAGATTGAAAAAAATGAAAAAAGAAAATTTTCATTTACGCTTTGAAATTGAAGAATTCGAAAGGAAAAGAATTTTGAAAATTTCACTTTCGCTTAAAACCGAGAATTTCCTAGCGAATTGTATTGTGTGGCTTCCAGATTGAAAAGTACTAAAAGAAAAATGAGATAGATGATGTGAAAAGCTATAAAAGGTGCATGAAATCAAATTTATGCTTAAAATGTGAGCATCAATTGTAAGTAAGGGGTTGGAATAAGGTTTTAAAAAGGTTAAATGAAAGATAAAGAGAAAGGTTATCGCTTTTTTAGCTTATTTTTCAGTTGTTTCAAGAGCTAGGAGGTCAAATTAGATCAAATTTTTGGAAAATAGCCATTCTTTTGCTTTAAAACCCTTCAAAAACCTAAAAAATACAATAAAAACGAACTTTTCAAAGGAAAAAATCTTTCTTTGAGCTTTTTCGGGAGTAAAAGTGAGAAAAAAAGTAATGAGAAGTTATTGAGAAGAAAAAGAAAAGCAATAAATCATTAATTGCTAAAAAAAGAGCTCTTAAACCACGAGAATTATTGGAAAAAATTGGAAAAACAATTTTTAAAAAATTTCAATCAAAAATGAGTTTTTACTATAGTGTGAATTCCAGATTGAAAAAAGTGGGGGAAAAAATTTCATTTTCGCTTTAAAACGAGAATTTCCTAGCGAATTGGATTTGGTGAGTTCCAGATTGAAAATTTGCATCAAAAAAAGACAACAAATGATGATTTTCGAAAAGATTTTAAAGCCAACCCTTTTCAGCTGTGTACTTTCAAGCTGTGTTCAGCTTTTTCGAGTTTTAACCAAATCCAATTCGCATTTATGGCTCATTTTGAATTGATTTACGAGAAAAAGCTTTTTTTTAGGGTAATTGAATTGAATTTTATTCGTTTAAGCAAGAAAATTCAAGTTTTTTTAGTGATTGAGTTGATCATTTTTTTCATTTTCATTATTTTCATCATTTTTTCGTCTTGTATTAGATTTTTCTTTGTATTTTGTGGTTAGAAATCGTAAACACACCCTTTCTAGTGCACTTAGAGTCCGTTTATTGGTCTTTTTCATAGAGAAAATTAAAGAATTGAATGTTCTAGAATTGAATGTTCTAGAATTGAATGTTCTAGATGCGTTAAAAAGAAGCTCAAAGTAGAATGAAAGTGGGAAAGATTGGGTATTTGAATCGGCTATTATTATTTTCTTTTTTTTCTAGCCAAAAGCTGTGCTAATCTAGTCTATTTGCACAAAAGGATTAGCCCATTTCTCTCTTGAATCCTATTATATTACTATTTTGCACCTCTACAGCTAATATTTTGGTCCTAAAATCGATCAAAATGCATCAAAATCAAGAAAAATCAATCAAAATCGACCAAAATCAAGAAAAATCCATCAAAATCAATCAAAATCGATCAAAATCAAGAAAAGAATCAAAAATCTAACTTCCGTATATCAAAAGCTCTCCGCTATTGAGCTCTAAACGAAAATATTCTTCACTTAAAAGAATCAAGAAGAAATTTGATCCAAAAAGCCATTCTTTTTCTTCTTCTGGATGCAAAAAGTTGAGCCTAGCCCAACAAATGCTTTGAAATGGTTAAATGAAAGAAAATGGCTGCCGAGGCGGATGTGAAGATGGGACAAGATACTGGTAGTGCCGGACTTTTCATATAAAAGGTTGCCAGGCTGTCTCAAGGACAAGCTGAGTCTTCTGGCCGACCTCTGGCCGACTTCTGGCCATTACTAGGTTAGCTTGGTTGTCTTGCCCAGGTACTTTTGCTGTCCGCTTTTTTGAAAAATTCCCTTTTCTGACGTCCGACAAAAATTTAAAAAATCATACAAGATTTATTTCTAAAGAGATTTATTGTAAAAAAATTGAATTTTTACATAAATTCAGCTAAAATCTTGAATTGAGACAACGACAAGAACAAAAGAAAAGACTTTAAGCCAATGTTTTCTCAGAGAAAATAAAGAGAAACGATTTCGAGAGCTTTTTTCAAGAAACACACTCAAAAGTTGAGAAAAAAAAAGGCAAAAGATTTAGCCTTTTCCACGATAAACCAGCTTCAACTAATTGACCTATTAGAATTTCCTAGCGAATTGTATCATTGTATCATAAAGATCAATCGATTTGATGGATTTTGATGGATTTTGATGGAATTATTGATTTTCTTGATTCTAATGACATATTCAAAGCTTAACAAGATTCTTAAATACTTTAGAACTTTAGAATTGCTATAACTTTAGAATTACTATTTTAAAGCTAGACTAAAGGAAAGGAAGGCAAAAAAAATTCAAGCCAAGCTTAGCGAATTGTCAAATGATCAAAATTTTCAAATTTCATGTTTTCAAATTTCAAAAATTGATCTTTTTTTTTATTGTTTTTTGTTTTCTTAAAGAATTATTATCTTATTGCTTGAATATCTTTCTAGTTTTCTAGTTTTCTATTCGTTCTTTTACGTGTTTTCCCATCCATTTCATCAAAAATGTGCCTGCGTGAATCGAAGTGTACTTTGTGCTCACCGTAAACGCCGGCTTTCCCACGCAGCAGCAGCTAAATTCTATATAAAATAAAGGAAAAGCTTAAAAAAGCAAAAAATTCGATGCGCTAGAAGTTTCGCGTTTCGTCTCGGTTAGCAAAAAGTAAATTTTCGATTTTCATTTTTCACTGTGCCTTTTTGAAACAAAATTTCATCATTTTTTTGTTAAATTTTCAAATTTTTCTTTTTAAAACCTATCAAATATGTGATTTTTCTTGATAATTTAAACAAATTTACACGATTTTTGATCTCTCAATCCCAATTATAGCTAGGTTTTTTGAATTTAAATTTTTTTTTTTCGTACAGATTTCCTTCATTCCGATTGAAAAGAGGTAAAGAAATAAAAGATTTTTTTTTGAATAATGATAGGAATAGATAAATAGATGGTGGATAACTGTCAATGTCAAGAAGCGAAGAAAATTCGCCGCCGCCAAAAATGCAAAAAATACACACGCACTTTCACAGGAATTATAGACCAGGAGGCAGGGGGTACTTCTTGCCTATCCCTGCTGCTGTCAATGAGTCAGGGGGGATAGTAATTTTCCCCCCTACGCCTCCCCTGTGCCACGGTGGAAGCCGGGGGGTCACTCGGCTAGGGTTTACCCCGGGAGCCGCGCCTTACCATGGTGTATCCTTCCAACCGACGCAAGCACGCCGCACCATGGGATTTTACCGAGTCTTTTTCTGACTCAGGCCGGGACTCAGCCCTGCCATGATGCTGAACAAGAATTTGTGCTTTATATCGCCCCCATAGCACGTCGGCTGCCAGAAAGGGGTCGAGTAGGAGGACCGGCTGAGAACCCACACCCACCCACACCCGGCTGAGAACCCACACCCAATACAATTTTAAAATATATAAAAAGCAGACCTCGCTGACACGTCAAATTTGGGCTAAAAGGCAAAAACTTTTAGCCCAAATTTGACGTGTCAGCGAGGTCTGATTTGTCGAAATTCGGAATCTAAGCATACGATTCCCTTATATGGAAATATTTTCGAAGCTCTACGGCCTTTCCTAAGGCCTTTTCCAGCAAAAATAAGGTGCGCGAATGTCCAGGTGCGCAAAAAAAAGATCGCATTTTTTCCACCCCCAATTTTTGGTTTATAATTTTAGGAAAGCTTATAGTTAATTGTTTTATCAATGTTTCTTTTATTAATATTAAGTAGAAGACGTTTTATAAACTAAGAACAAATTGAAAAGTAGAGCAAGTATCAATGCTCTCTTCTAAATTATTAGGTTGATGCATAAGTCTTTTCGTTCCTTTTCGTCCCTGATAGCCAGAGTTCATAATGATTCCAATAATAATCTCAGTTCATAATGAATCCTAAATAGTTTCCAAAAAACGAATTTCGCAATCTAAAAAGTCTCTTAATTACAGTTTTCAGTCTAGAAATTGAAAATTTATTCATCAAAATAATAAATAAAGCTTTAGAACCCGTTTCCGGAGGTCGGCTTGATGTCGGGAATAATTGGAGGACGTTGATTGGCTGAAAATGAGATTGAATATCAAATTGCTGAAGAAAATTGAAGGGAAAATTGGGTAAACCGTTTGGAAAAGCCAATCTGGATATCACACAAGATAAATCTATCAATTTCAGCATTATTATATTATTTCGTTAGATTCCAATTTTTTAAATTGAGTCTTTTTATGGTTTAAACCATAAAAAGACAAAGAAAAAGCTTTAAACCATAAAAAGACTCAAATATTCGACATTATTCGAGACGAATAATCAATTACAGCATAAAGGAGGAGATTTTTTTTTTCCCTTATTACTCAAATGTTGTTAAGAAAAAAAAACCCTATAATGATGGGAAAAAGAAAGAAATTTTTTTGGTTACTTGGATCGAACCTTTGACCTTCGAATTCACCGATTAATAGACAAGATTCCTATCCAGTCGGCTATCATATTAAACTATAATACTTTAAGCATAAGTTATTCTATTTTAGCTTTTCAATAAAAACTATAGCAAAGAAAAAGATTGTAGAGAGTTTAAACGAAAAAAAAAAGTTAACTAATCCCTTTTTCTAAAGGCTTTAGGTTGAAATTTGAGATTTAAAGCATGAAAAAGTGCTATGAAATCTTTAATAAGATTAGAAAATAACTGTTTTGTTGATGTTATTGTAGAATTAATGTAACCAACCGTTTCTTCACCATTAAATCCATTATTGTCTGACTTTAGGAGAAGCTCGTTTAACTAAATTCAATTTGAATTCATTATTTTTGAAACATAACGTATTTTCTCTAATAGTAGTGCCGAGTTGATGACTATTTTACAGTTTCTAAGCTTTCCCAGAAGCTCAACACACTAATCCCCCACTAGTCTAATCGGAAAACGGATTCGGAATCAGCGCAAAATTTTACGTCGGCCAGTAAATGGCTCATGCCATTTGGCCACCACAACCAGTTGACATTCCTTTGTTAATATCTAGAAATATCTAAATGTTAGACAACTTCTCCAACACCAACCGTTTTCACGATTCCGTCAAGAACGAGTTTCTGAGCGCCAGTGAAGAGTTGACCAGTCTCCGGCACTTTTCGATGAGTTGACAAAGCTTGCTGAAATTTTGAAATCACTGTTGTTTTATTTATTATCTACCTAGTTACATTTCGAACTTTACTTAGAAATAATATTATTGTTAACTTTTGATTGAATAGAGTATACTGTAGGCTTTCAAATGATACCAAATCGAATTTGATTGAGTCAACCAACTCCAGAAAGCTCTCCAGAAAGCCAGCACTAACCAAGCTAACCGACTCTGACACTTTACCAGCACTTTACTCAGCCATTTTTCAGATATTGGTAAATCCAGTGAAGCTCTATTTAATATCATTCAAAAGCCTGAAATATTCTCTATCCAACTATAGAAAAAGTTAACAATAATATAATTTCTAAACAAAGTTATAGGCATTTAAAGTGTTTACTCCGACAAAAAGTTTCAAAAGATTCAAAAGTCAATCGGAATTCAAAAGATAAATAGATGGTGGATAAACTACCGTACCTGAATCGAGTTCAAGGCTTTAAACTGTTAATCTTAAGATAAAAATGCAACTATTTTCATATTTTTCGTCGATTTTTTCGTCGATTTTTCGCCGAACCGAGTACAAGGCCTTAAAGCCTTAAGAAATCCAACTCCAATCCAACTCCAATCCAACTATTTGATTGTCAGAACACTACTAGTTCGAATAGCTCCTTCCCGATGTTTTTTTTTTGATGGATTTTGATGGAATTATTGATTTTCTTGATTCTAATGACATATTCAAAGCTTAACAAGATTCTTAAATACTTTAGAATTGCTATAACTTTAGAATTACTATTTTAAAGCTAGACTAAAGGAAAGGAAGGCAAAAAAAATTCAAGCCAAGCTTAGCGAATTGTCAAATGATCAAAATTTTCAAATTTCATGTCAAAATTGATCCTTTTTTTATTGTTTTTTGTTTTCTTAAAGAATTATTATCTTATTGCTTGAATATCTTTCTAGTTTTCTAGTTTTCTATTCGTTCCTTTACGTGTTTTCCCATCCATTTCATCAAAAATGTGCCTGCGTGAATCGAAGTGTACTTTGTGCTCACCGTAAACGCCGGCTTCCCACGCAGCAGCAGCTAAATTCTATATAAAATAAAGGAAAGGCTTAAAAAGCAAAAAATTCGATGCGCTAGAAGTTTCGCGTTTCGTCTCTGTTAGCAAAAAGTAAATTTTCGATTTTCATTTTTCACTGTGCCTTTTTGAAACAAAATTTCATCTTTTTTTTGTTAAATTTTCAAATTTTTCTTTTTAAAACCCATGAAAAATAGATAAATAGATGGTGGATAAACTACCGTACCTGAATCGAGTTCAAGGCTTTAAACTGTTAATCTTAAGATAAAAATGCAACTATTTTCATATTTTTCGTCGATTTTTTCGTCGATTTTTCGCCGAACCGAGTACAAGGCCTTAAAGTGTTAATTCAATCCTAAAAATCTAAATATTTTCAAATTTTTTGTCGATCTGGACCGCACGGATTACTGTACCCTCATAGGTACCCTTTTCTAAAGCGTGCTCCTTGGTGGATAAACTACCGTACCCCGAATCGAGTTCAAGGCTTTAAACTGTCAATTTTATCATAAAAATGCTAATTTTTTAATATTTTTCGTTGATCTGGAGAGCACACTAGAATTCTAAAATATAAAACAAAAGAAACTGATCATTTTACATCCTACCATTATTATATTATAATTATTATAATGATTATATTATTTTATTATAAAATTATAATAAATTGCGAAGAAGCGAAGAAAATTCGCCGCCGCCAAAAATGCAAAAAATACACACACACTTTCACAGGAATTATTGACCAGGAGGCAGGGGGTACTTCTTGCCTATCCCTGCTGCTGTCAATGAGTCAGGGGGGATAGTAATTTTCCCCCCTACGCCTCCCCTGTGCCACGGTGGAAGCCGGGGGGTCACTCGGCTAGGGTTTACCCCGGGAGCCGCGCCTTACCATGGTGTATCCTTCCAACCGACGCAAGCACGCCGCACCATGGGATTTTACCGAGTCTTTTTCTGACTCAGGCCGGGACTCAGCCCTGCCATGATGCTGAACAAGAATTTGTGCTTTATATCGCCCCCATAGCACGTCGGCTGCCAGAAAGGGGTCAGTAGGAGGACCGGCTGAGAACCCACACCCGGCTGATAACCCACATGAATGTTCTAGCCAAAATTTCAGAGAAATTCATTCAGCCAATTTTTCCGTAGAGTTTTTTATGGATTTTTACGACAAAAGGCGTTTTCACTCTCGAATTTGCTTGAAAGTGAACCGAAATTCATTTAAAAAGATGCAAATTGAACAAAAAAACACTTTTTTTTTATAGAGCAAACTATAGATTAATTGGTGAATTTGTTACTTTTTAACAGAAGTACGAAAAAAACGAAAGATATGCATCAACCTATTAGCCGATAGTCAAATCTTTCCACCAACAAAACCATTATTTTCTTTTTATCAAGATCAGAGTTTGAGGGTTTAAGGGATTTTCCGGTAGATAGCTTTTTCATTGAACAATCTCGTAATTAATCCAAGCTTTATCAGATGTTAGAAATGAATCCCAGAAACCATCAGCTTTGGTTTGATGAAGCAAAAGAGCTGAACTGAAGAACTGACATCTGCACAAGTTGTCTTGAATCAAGTTGAGACTCATTTTCTAGGAAGAATCCCTGTTTAATCACCCAGAGACTTATTTATAGTCATTCATAATGAATCCCTGATAGCCAGAGTTCATAATGATTCCAATAATAATCTCAGTTCATAATGAATCCCAGAATAGAGGATGTGCTTAGAATCCTCAATTAGAACTCAAAATCCTCAAAGTATCATGATCATTAGGATACATTGACGATCTAAACTCTCTAGTTGATGCAAATGGTTGTCGATTCTCTTTTTTATCAACGTTTTCTGATCTTCTGATCAATTTCAAGCTTTTGCTTTCAAGCTTTCAAGCACTTTGCAAGCTTTTGAGTGTTCGATTCAAGTCAATTTCAATTCCTCAATGCGAGATTTTAAACGGGCATCATTTTTTCCTAAATAGTTTCCAAAAAACGAATTTCGCAATCTAAAAAGTCTCTTAATTACAGTTTTCAGTCTAGAAATTGAAAATTTATTCATCAAAATAATAAATAAAGCTTTAGAACCCGTTTCCGGAGGTCGGCTTGATGTCGGGGAATAATTGGAGGACGTTGATTGGCTGAAAATGAGATTGAATATCAAATTGCTGAAGAAAATTGAAGGGAAAATTGGGTAAATCGTTTGGAAAAGCCAATCTGGATATCACACAAGATAAATCTATCAATTTCAGCATTATTATATTATTTCGTTAGATTCCAATTTTTTTAAATTGAGTCTTTTTATGGTTTAAACCATAAAAAGACAAAGAAAAAGCTTTAAACCATAAAAAGACTCAAATATTCGACATTATTCGAGACGAATAATCAATTACAGCATAAAGGAGGAGATTTTTTTTTTACCCTTATTACTCAAATGTTGTTAAGAAAAAAAACCCTATAATTTGAGGAAATTTGGCTTTTTTTTAAAAATCAAACAAGATTTATTTCTAAAGAGATTTATTGTAAAAAAAATTGAATTTTTACATATTTCAATTTCAATTTCGTTTAAAAATAAGCTTTTAATAGAAATTTCTATAGTGTGCCTTCCAGATTGAAAAAAATGAAAAAAGAAAATTTTCATTTACGCTTTGAAATTGAAGAATTCGAAAGGAAAAGAATTTTGAAAATTTCACTTTCGCTTAAAACCGAGAATTTCCTAGCGAATTGTATTGTGTGGCTTCCAGATTGAAAAGTACTAAAAGAAAAATGAGATAGATGATGTGAAAAGCTATAAAAGGTGCATGAAATCAAATTTATGCTTAAAATGTGAGCATCAATTGTAAGTAAGGGGGTTGGAATAAGGTTTTAAAAAGGTTAAATGAAAGATAAAGAGAAAGGTTATCGCTTTTTTAGCTTATTTTTCAGTTGTTTCAAGAGCTAGGAGGTCAAATTAGATCAAATTTTTGGAAAATAGCCATTCTTTTTGCTTTAAAACCCTTCAAAAACCTAAAAATACAATAAAAACGAACTTTTCAAAGGAAAAATCTTTCTTTGAGCTTTTTCGGGGGTAAAAGTGAGAAAAAAGTAATGAGAAGTTATTGAGAAGAAAAAGAAAAGCAATAAATCATTAATTGCTAAAAAAAGAGCTCTTAAACCACGAGAATTATTGGAAAAAATTGGAAAAACAATTTTTAAAAAATTTCAATCAAAAATGAGTTTTTACTATAGTGTGAATTCCAGATTGAAAAAAGTGGGGGAAAAAAATTTCATTTTCGCTTTAAAACGAGAATTTCCTAGCGAATTGGATTTGGTGAGTTCCAGATTGAAAATTTGCATCAAAAAAAGACAACAAATGATGATTTTCGAAAAGATTTTAAAGCCAACCCTTTTCAGCTGTGTACTTTCAAGCTGTGTTCAGCTTTTCGAGTTTTAACCAAATCCAATTCGCATTTATGGCTCATTTTGAATTGATTTACGAGAAAAAGCTTTTTTTTAGGGTAATTGAATTGAATTTTATTCGTTTAAGCAAGAAAATTCAAGTTTTTTTAGTGATTGAGTTGATCATTTTTTTCATTTTCATTATTTTCATCATTTTTTCGTCTTGTATTAGATTTTTCTTTGTATTTTGTGGTTAGAAATCGTAAACACACCCTTTCTAGTGCACTTAGAGTCCGTTTATTGGTCTTTTTCATAGAGAAAATTAAAGAATTGAATGTTCTAGAATTGAATGTTCTAGATGCGTTAAAAAGAAGCTCAAAGTAGAATGAAAGTGGGAAAGATTGGGTATTTGAATCGGCTATTATTATTTTCTTTTTTTTCTAGCCAAAAGCTGTGCTAATCTAGTCTATTTGCACAAAAGGATTAGCCCATTTCTCTCTTGAATCCTATTATATTACTATTTTGCACCTCTACAGCTAATATTTTGGTCCTAAAATCGATCAAAATGCATCAAAATCAAGAAAAATCAATCAAAATCGACCAAAATCAAGAAAAATCAATCAAAATCAAGAAAAATCCATCAAAATCAACCAAAATCAAGAAAAGAATCAAAAATCTAACTTCCGTATATCAAAAGTATAAAAGTATCAAAAGAATCGAGTACTTAAACTGTCAATTTTATAAAATATTATAAAATTCTAAAAATGGCAAAGAAGCGAAGAAAATTCGCCGCCGCCAAAAATGCAAAAAATACACACACACTTTCACAGGAATTATTGACCAGGAGGCAGGGGGTACTTCTTGCCTATCCCTGCTGCTGTCAATGAGTCAGGGGGATAGTAATTTTCCCCCTACGCCTCCCCTGTGCCACGGTGGAAGCCGGGGGTCACTCGGCTAGGGTTTACCCCGGGAGCCGCGCCTTACCATGGTGTATCCTTCCAACCGACGCAAGCACGCCGCACCATGGGATTTTACCGAGTCTTTTTCTGACTCAGGCCGGGACCCAGCCCTGCCATGATGCTGAACAAGAATTTGTGCTTTATATCGCCCCCATAGCACGTCGGCTGCCAGAAAGGGGTCGAGTAGGAGGACCGGCTGAGAACCCACACCCACCCACACCCGGCTGATAACCCACATGAATGTTCTAGCCAAAATTTCAGAGAAATTCATTCAGCCAATTTTTCCGTAGAGTTTTTTATGGATTTTTACGACAAAAGGCGTTTTTCACTACTCGAATTTGCTTGAAAGTGAACCGAAATTCATTTAAAAAGATGCAAATTGAACAAAAAAACACTTTTTTTTATAGAGCAAACTATAGATTAATTGGTGAATTTGTTACTTTTTAACAGAAGTACGGAAAAAACGAAAAGATATGCATCAACCTATTAGCCGATAGTCAAATCTTTCCACCAACAAAACCATTATTTTCTTTTTATCAAGATCAGAGTTTGAGGGTTTAAGGGATTTTCCGGTAGATAGCTTTTTCATTGAACAATCTCGTAATTAATCCAAGCTTTATCAGATGTTAGAAATGAATCCCAGAAACCATCAGCTTTGGTTTGATGAAGCAAAAGAGCTGAACTGAAGAACTGACATCTGCACAAGTTGTCTTGAATCAAGTTGAGACTCATTTTCTAGGAAGAATCCCTGTTTAATCACCCAGAGACTTATTTATAGTCATTCATAATGAATCCCTGATAGCCAGAGTTCATAATGATTCCAATAATAATCTCAGTTCATAATGAATCCCAGAATAGAGGATGTGCTTAGAATCCTCAATTAGAACTCAAAATCCTCAAAGTATCATGATCATTAGGATACATTGACGATCTAAACTCTCTAGTTGATGCAAATGGTTGTCGATTCTCTTTTTTATCAACGTTTTCTGATCTTCTGATCAATTTCAAGCTTTGCTTTCAAGCTTTCAAGCACTTTGCAAGCTTTTGAGTGTTCGATTCAAGTCAATTTCAATTCCTCAATGCGAGATTTTAAACGGGCATCATTTTTTCCTAAATAGTTTCCAAAAAACGAATTTCGCAATCTAAAAAGTCTCTTAATTACAGTTTTCAGTCTAGAAATTGAAAATTTATTCATCAAAATAATAAATAAAGCTTTAGAACCCGTTTCCGGAGGTCGGCTTGATGTCGGGGAATAATTGGAGGACGTTGATTGGCTGAAAATGAGATTGAATATCAAATTGCTGAAGAAAATTGAAGGGAAAATTGGGTAAATCGTTTGGAAAAGCCAATCTGGATATCACACAAGATAAATCTATCAATTTCAGCATTATTATATTATTTCGTTAGATTCCAATTTTTTAAATTGAGTCTTTTTATGGTTTAAACCATAAAAAGACAAAGAAAAAGCTTTAAACCATAAAAAGACTCAAATATTCGACATTATTCGAGACGAATAATCAATTACAGCATAAAGGAGGAGATTTTTTTTTTACCCTTATTACTCAAATGTTGTTAAGAAAAAAAACCCTATAATTTGAGGAAATTTGGCTTTTTTTTAAAAATCAAACAAGATTTATTTCTAAAGAGATTTATTGTAAAAAAATTGAATTTTTACATATTTCAATTTCAATTTCGTTTAAAAATAAGCTTTTAATAGAAATTTCTATAGTGTGCCTTCCAGATTGAAAAAATGAAAAAAGAAAATTTTCATTTACGCTTTGAAATTGAAGAATTCGAAAGGAAAAGAATTTTGAAAATTTCACTTTCGCTTAAAACCGAGAATTTCCTAGCGAATTGTATTGTGTGGCTTCCAGATTGAAAAGTACTAAAAGAAAAATGAGATAGATGATGTGAAAAGCTATAAAAGGTGCATGAAATCAAATTTATGCTTAAAATGTGAGCATCAATTGTAAGTAAGGGGTTGGAATAAGGTTTTAAAAAGGTTAAATGAAAGATAAAGAGAAAGGTTATCGCTTTTTTAGCTTATTTTTCAGTTGTTTCAAGAGCTAGGAGGTCAAATTAGATCAAATTTTTGGAAAATAGCCATTCTTTTGCTTTAAAACCCTTCAAAAACCTAAAAAATACAATAAAAACGAACTTTTCAAAGGAAAAAATCTTTCTTTGAGCTTTTTCGGGAGTAAAAGTGAGAAAAAAAGTAATGAGAAGTTATTGAGAAGAAAAAGAAAAGAAATAAATAATTAATTGCTAAAAAAAGAGCTCTTAAACCACGAGAATTATTGGAAAAAATTGGAAAAAACAATTTTTTTAAAATTTCAATCAAAAATGAGTTTTTACTATAGTGTGAATTCCAGATTGAAAAAAAGTGGGGGAAAAAAAATTTCATTTTCGCTTTAAAACGAGAATTTCCTAGCGAATTGGATTTGGTGAGTTCCAGATTGAAAATTTGCATCAAAAAAAGACAACAAATGATGATTTTCGAAAAGATTTTAAAGCGAACCCTTTTCAGCTGTGTACTTTCAAGCTGTGTTCAGCTTTTTCGAGTTTTAACCAAATCCAATTCGCATTTATTGCTCATTTTGAAATGATTTACGAGAAAAAGCTTTTTTTTTTTAAAGGGTAATTGAATTGAATTTTATTCGTTTAAGCAAGAAAATTCAAGTTTTTTTAGTGATTGAGTTGATCATTTTTTTCATTTTTTCGATTTTCATCATTTTTTCGTCTTGTATTAGATTTTTCTTTGTATTTTGTGGTTAGAAATCGTAAACACACCCTTTCTAGTGCACTTATAGTCCGTTTATTGGTCTTTTTCATAGAGAAAATTAAAGAATTGAATGTTCTAGAATTGAATGTTCTAGATGCGTTAAAAAGAAGCTCAAAGTAGAATGAAAGTGGGAAAGATTGGGTATTTGAATCGGCTATTATTATTTTCTTTTTTTTCTAGCCAAAAGCTGTGCTAATCTAGTCTATTTGCACAAAAGGATTAGCCCATTTCTCTCTTGAATCCTATTATATTACTATTTTGCACCTCTACAGCTAATATTTTAGTCCTAAAATCGATCAAAATGCATCAAAATCAAGAAAAATCAATCAAAATCGACCAAAATCAAGAAAAATCCATCAAAATCAATCAAAATCCATCAAAATCAAGAAAAGAATCAAAAATCTAACTTCCGTATATCAAAAGCTCTCCGCTATTGAGCTCTAAACGAAAATATTCTTCACTTAAAAGAATCAAGAAGAAATTTGATCCAAAAAGCCATTCTTTTTCTTCTTCTGGATGCAAAAAGTTGAGCCTAGCTTGAGTGTAGATTTTCGATCTACAATTAAATCCATCTTTCGAATGAATGTAAACAAAGATTCGATAGTTTTCCATATTTTAATTTTTTAAGCCCAACAAATGCTTTGAAATGGTTAAATGAAAGAAAATGGCTGCCGAGGCGGATGTGAAGATGGGACAAGAGACTGGTAGTGCCGCACTTTTCATATAAAAGGTTGCCAGGCTGTCTCAAGGACAAGCTGAGTCTTCTGGCCGACCTCTGGCCGACTTCTGGCCATTACTAGGTTAGCTTGGTTGTCTTGCCCAGGTACTTTTGCTGTCCGCTTTTTTGAAAAATTCCCTTTTCTGACGTCCGACCGAATAGGCCCAATTAGCGAGAGGAAATTTGGCTTTTTTTTAAAAAATCAAACAAGATTTATTTCTAAAGAGATTTATTGTAAAAAAATTGAATTTTTACATAAATTCAGCTAAAATCTTGAATTGAGACAACGACAAGAACAAAAGAAAAGACTTTAAGCCAATGTTTTCTCAGAGAAAATAAAGAGAAACGATTTCGAGAGCTTTTTTCAAGAAACACACTCAAAAGTTGAGAAAAAAAAGGCAAAAGATTTAGCCTTTTCCACGATAAACCAGCTTCAACTAATTGAAAATTTGTAAGAATTTGTAAGAATTGGGGATCTAAAACAAAAAAAAACACCTCTTTCTTAAACATTCCTTTCACTTTTCTTCTTTGATTATTTGGTGATTTTCGTCAATTTAAAAGCTAAATTTGGTATGAAACAAGTCAGTAATCTTTTTTTTAAACAAATAGACAGTATTTCTAGGATTTTGTACTACTTGTTTCTTCCAAATTGATTGCTTTCTTTACTATTTAATTGTTATTATCTTATTATTGAATTATTATCTTATTGCTTGAATATCTTTCTAGTTTTCTAGTTTTCTATTCGTTCCTTTACGTGTTTTCCCATCCATTTCATCAAAAATGTGCCTGCGTGAATCGAAGTGTACTTTGTGCTCACCGTAAACGCCGGCTTTCCCACGCGGCAGCAGCAGCTAAATTCTATATAAAATAAAGGAAAAGCTTAAAAAGCAAAAAATTCGATGCGCTAGAAGTTTCGCGTTTCGTCTCTGTTAGCAAAAAGTAAATTTTCGATTTTCACTGTGCCTTTTTGAAACAAAATTTCATCATTTTTTTGTTAAATTTTCAAATTTTTCTTTTTAAAACCTATCAAATATGTGATTTTTCTTGATAATTTAAACAAATTTACACGATTTTTGATCTCTCAATCCCAATTATAGCTAGGTTTTTTGAATTTGAATTTTTTTTTTTCGTACAGATTTCCTTCATTCCGATTGAAAAGTGGTAAAGAAATAAAAGTTTTTTTTTTAATAATGATAGGAATAGATAAATAGATGGTGGATAAACTACCGTACCCTGAATCGAGTTCAAGGCTTTAAACTGTTAATCTTAAGATAAAAATGCAACTATTTTCATATTTTTCGTCGATCTGGAGCGCACAATAGAGTTCTAAAAGGAAAAACTAGAGAAAACTGATCATTTTGCATCCTGCCGTACCCGAACCCGTACCCGAACCGAGTACAAGGCCTTAAACTGTCAATGTCAAGAAGCGAAGAAAATTCGCCGCCGCCAAAAATGCAAAAAATACACACACACTTTCACAGGAATTATTGACCAGGAGGCTTTGTTATAACTTTGTTTAGAAATTATATTATTGTTAACTTTTTCTATAGTTTGATAGAGAATATTTCAGGCTTTTGAATGATATTAAATAGAGCTTCACTGGATTTACCAATATCTGAAAAATGTCGGAGTAAAGTGCTGGTAAAGTGTCAGAGTCGGTTAGCTTGGTTAGTGCTGGCTTTCTGGAGAGCTTTCTGGAGTTGGTTGACTCAATCAAATTCGATTTGGTATCATTTGAAAGCCTACAGTATACTCTATTCAATCAAAAAGTTAACAATAATATTATTTCTATGTAAAGTTCGAAATGTAACTAGGTAGATAATAAATAAAACAACAGTGATTTCAAAATTTCAGCAAGCTTTGTCAACTCATCGAAAAGTGCCGGAGACTGGTCAACTCTTCACTGGCGCTCAGAAACTCGTTCTTGACGGAATCGTGAAAACGGTTGGTGTTGGAGAAGTTGTCTAACATTTAGATATTTCTAGATATTAACAAAGGAATGTCAACTGGTTGTGGTGGCCAAATGGCATGAGCCATTTACTGGCCGACGTAAAATTTTGCGCTGATTCCGAATCCGTTTTCCGATTAGACTAGTGGGGGATTAGTGTGTTGAGCTTCTGGGAAAGCTTAGAAACTGTAAAATAGTCATCAACTCGGCACTACTATTAGAGAAAATACGTTATGTTTCAAAAATAATGAACTCAAATTGAATTTAGTTAAACGAGCTTCTCCTAAAGTCAGACAATAACGGATTTAACGGTGAAGAAACGGTTGGTTACATTAATTCTACAATAACATCAACAAAACAGTTATTTTCTAATCTTATTAAAGATTTCATAGCACTTTTTCATGCTGTAAATCTCAAATTTCAACCAAAAGCCTTTAGAAAAAGGGATTAGTTAACTTTTTTTTTCGTTTAAACTCTCTACAATCTTTTTCTTTGCTATAGTTTTTATTGAAAAGCTAAAATAGAATAACTTATGCTTAAAGTATTATAGTTTAATATGATAGCCGACTGGATAGGAATCTTGTCTATTAATCGGTGAATTCGAAGGTCAAAGGTTCGATCCAAGTAACCAAAAAAATTTCTTTCTTTTTCCCATCATTATAGGGTTTTTTTTCTTAACAACATTTGAGTAATAAGGGTAAAAAAAAAATCTCCTCCTTTATGCTGTAATTGATTATTCGTCTCGAATAATGTCGAATATTTGAGTCTTTTTATGGTTTAAAGCTTTTTCTTTGTCTTTTTATGGTTTAAACCATAAAAAGACTCAATTTAAAAAATTGGAATCTAACGAAATAATATAATAATGCTGAAATTGATAGATTTATCTTGTGTGATATCCAGATTGGCTTTTCCAAACGATTTACCCAATTTTCCCTTCAATTTTCTTCAGCAATTTGATATTCAATCTCATTTTCAGCCAATCAACGTCCTCCAATTATTCCCCGACATCAAGCCGACCTCCGGAAACGGGTTCTAAAGCTTTATTTATTATTTTGATGAATAAATTTTCAATTTCTAGACTGAAAACTGTAATTAAGAGACTTTTTAGATTGCGAAATTCGTTTTTTGGAAACTATTTAGGAAAAAAATGATGCCCGTTTAAAATCTCGCATTGAGGAATTGAAATTGACTTGAATCGAACACTCAAAAGCTTGCAAAGTGCTTGAAAGCTTGAAAGCAAAGCTTGAAATTGATCAGAAGATCAGAAAACGTTGATAAAAAGAGAATCGACAACCATTTGCATCAACTAGAGAGTTTAGATCGTCAATGTATCCTAATGATCATGATACTTTGAGGATTTTGAGTTCTAATTGAGGATTCTAAGCACATCCTCTATTCTGGGATTCATTATGAACTGAGATTATTATTGGAATCATTATGAACTCTGGCTATCAGGGATTCATTATGAATGACTATAAATAAGTCTCTGGGTGATTAAACAGGGATTCTTCCTAGAAAATGAGTCTCAACTTGATTCAAGACAACTTGTGCAGATGTCAGTTCTTCAGTTCAGCTCTTTTGCTTCATCAAACCAAAGCTGATGGTTTCTGGGATTCATTTCTAACATCTGATAAAGCTTGGATTAATTACGAGATTGTTCAATGAAAAAGCTATCTACCGGAAAATCCCTTAAACCCTCAAACTCTGATCTTGATAAAAAGAAAATAATGGTTTTGTTGGTGGAAAGATTTGACTATCGGCTAATAGGTTGATGCATATCTTTTCGTTTTTTCGTACTTCTGTTAAAAAGTAACAAATTCACCAATTAATCTATAGTTTGCTCTATAAAAAAAAGTGTTTTTTTGTTCAATTTGCATCTTTTTAAATGAATTTCGGTTCACTTTCAAGCAAATTCGAGAGTGAAAAACGCCTTTTGTCGTAAAAATCCATAAAAAACTCTACGGAAAAATTGGCTGAATGAATTTCTCTGAAATTTTGGCTAGAACATTCATGTGGGTTATCAGCCGGGTGTGGGTGGGTGTGGGTTCTCAGCCGGTCCTCCTACTCGACCCCTTTCTGGCAGCCGACGTGCTATGGGGGCGATATAAAGCACAAATTCTTGTTCAGCATCATGGCAGGGCTGGGTCCCGGCCTGAGTCAGAAAAAGACTCGGTAAAATCCCATGGTGCGGCGTGCTTGCGTCGGTTGGAAGGATACACCATGGTAAGGCGCGGCTCCGGGGTAAACCCTAGCCGAGTGACCCCCGGCTTCCACCGTGGCACAGGGGAGGCGTAGGGGGGAAAATTACTATCCCCCCTGACTCATTGACAGCAGCAGGGATAGGCAAGAAGTACCCCCTGCCTCCTGGTCAATAATTCCTGTGAAAGTGTGTGTGTATTTTTTGCATTTTTGGCGGCGGCGAATTTTCTTCGCTTCTTTGCCATTTTTAGAATTTTATAATATTTTATAAAATTGACAGTTTAAGTACTCGATTCTTTTGATACTTTTATACTTTTGATATACGGAAGTTAGATTTTTGATTCTTTTCTTGATTTTGGTTGATTTTGATGGATTTTGATTGATTTTGATGGATTTTTCTTGATTTTGGTCGATTTTGATTGATTTTTCTTGATTTTGATGCATTTTGATCGATTTTAGGACCAAAATATTAGCTGTAGAGGTGCAAAATAGTAATATAATAGGATTCAAGAGAGAAATGGGCTAATCCTTTTGTGCAAATAGACTAGATTAGCACAGCTTTTGGCTAGAAAAAAAAGAAAATAATAATAGCCGATTCAAATACCCAATCTTTCCCACTTTCATTCTACTTTGAGCTTCTTTTTAACGCATCTAGAACATTCAATTCTAGAACATTCAATTCTTTAATTTTCTCTATGAAAAAGACCAATAAACGGACTATAAGTGCACTAGAAAGGGTGTGTTTACGATTTCTAACCACAAAATACAAAGAAAAGTCTAATACAAGACGAAAAAATGATGAAAATCGAAAAAATGAAAAAAATGATCAACTCAATCACTAAAAAAACTTGAATTTTCTTGCTTAAACGAATAAAATTCAATTCAATTACCCTTTAAAAAAAAAAGCTTTTTCTCGTAAATCATTTCAAAATGAGCAATAAATGCGAATTGGATTTGGTTAAAACTCGAAAAGCTGAACACAGCTTGAAAGTACACAGCTGAAAAGGGTTGGCTTTAAAATCTTTTTCGAAAATCATCATTTGTTGTCTTTTTTTGATGCAAATTTTCAATCTGGAACTCACCAAATCCAATTCGCTAGGAAATTCTCGTTTTAAAGCGAAATTGAAATTTTTTTCCCCACTTTTTTCAATCTGGAATTCACACTATAGTAAAAACTCATTTTTGATTGAAATTTTTAAAAAATTGTTTTTTCCAATTTTTTCCAATAATTCTCGTGGTTTAAGAGCTCTTTTTTTTAGCAATTAATTATTTATTTCTTTTCTTTTTCTTCTCAATAACTTCTCATTACTTTTTTCTCACTTTTACCCCCGAAAAAGCTCAAAGAAAGATTTTTTCCTTTGAAAAGTTCGTTTTTATTGTATTTTTTAGGTTTTTGAAGGGTTTTAAAGCAAAAGAATGGAAATTTTCGAAAAATTTGATCTAATTTGACCTCCTAGCTCTTGAAACAACTGAAAAATAAGCTAAAAAATCGATAACCTTTCTCTTTATCTTTCATTTAACCTTTTTAAAACCTTATTCCAACCCTTACTTACAATTGATGCTCACATTTTAAGCATAAATTTGATTTCATGCACCTTTTATAGCTTTTCACATCATCTATCTCATTTTTCTTTTAGTACTTTTCAATCTGGAAGCCACACAATACAATTCGCTAGGAAATTCTCGGTTTTAAGCGAAAGTGAAATTTTCAAAATTCTTTTCCTTTCGAATTCTTCAATTTCAAAGCGTAAATGAAAATTTTCTTTTTTCATTTTTTTTCAATCTGGAAGACACACTATAGAAATTTCTATTAAAAGCTTATTTTTAAACGAAATTGAAATTTCCAAAATTCTTTTTCTTCCAAATTTTTCAATTTAGAAGCTTAACTGAAAATTTTCTTTTGTCATTTTTTTCAATCTGGAATTCACACAATACAATTCGCTAGGAAATTCTCGTTTTTAAGCAAAATTGAGATTTCCAAAAAACCTTTTGCTTTCCAATATTTTCCTAGTCCAATAATTCATCTCATAGCTGAGAAAAGAGCTCTTTTTTCAGCTATGAATTATTTATATCCCTTTTTTTCCTTTCAACAACCGAACACATTACTTTTTTTCTCACTTTCACTCCCGAAAAAAGCTCAAAAAAAGGATGTAAACGATGGGAAAATTGATAGAAAAAGTTAGTTTTTACGGCTTTTTTTTAGCTTTACAGATTGTTTTAAAGTAAAAGCTTGAACATTTTCGAAATTATTGATAACTTTTGCCCAACTAGCTCTTAGATCTTTTAAGCTTTCAAGCTTTTTACTCACAGTTTAAGCATACATTTAGAGTATAAATTCTCAAAAATTTCAAAAGTACCTAGAGGTTTTTGGCTCGTTTTTCTATAATCTAAATGAATTTTTCATCTTTCGATATTTTTCTATAATTCTTTGACTATAGAAGTTTGACTATTTTGGCTGTTAGAACTAGCACCAAACAAAAGAAAACAAAACTAGCTTCAAGATCATTTTCCCTAGGCCAAAAGAATTTTGGCTGTTAAAACTAGTTTGCCTGTTAGAACTAGAATAGTTTGGCTGTTAGAACTAGCACCAAACAAAACAAAACAAAACTAGCTTCAAGATCATTTTCCCTAGACCAAAAGAATTTCTTGCAAATTGTTATGTATAGAAAAGGAGCTAAAGAAGGCTGAAAGAAGAGAAAAAGAAAAAAAATTGGCTGGTAGGGCCTGGTCCTTTGTGTCACCAAAAGAAAAAGAAGGGGGGGGGGGGAAAGGAAAAATGGCTTTCTTTTTCTCTTTCTTGAATCTTTTCCCTTTTCTCCATGGCCTTTATCAAGCTTTTTCTAGTTTTCTTTTAGATAACTTCAATGGATTATATAATTTCTGAAACTTTATCTAAAATCTAAAGAGTTAAAGAATTGATTTGTCTTGCTTTTTGAGTTAATGGAGAGATTTGGCTGGCGTTTTCCGATTAGACTAGTGGGGGATTAGTGTGTTGAGCTTCTGGGAAAGCTTAGAAACTGTAAAATAGTCATCAACTCGGCACTACTATTAGAGAAAATACGTTATGTTTCAAAAATAATGAACTCAAATTGAATTTAGTTAAACGAGCTTCTCCTAAAGTCAGACAATAACGGATTTAACGGTGAAGAAACGGTTGGTTACATTAATTCTACAATAACATCAACAAAACAGTTATTTTCTAATCTTATTAAAGATTTCATAGCACTTTTTCATGCTGTAAATCTCAAATTTCAACCAAAAGCCTTTAGAAAAAGGGATTAGTTAACTTTTTTTTTCGTTTAAACTCTCTACAATCTTTTTCTTTGCTATAGTTTTTATTGAAAAGCTAAAATAGAATAACTTATGCTTAAAGTATTATAGTTTAATATGATAGCCGACTGGATAGGAATCTTGTCTATTAATCGGTGAATTCGAAGGTCAAAGGTTCGATCCAAGTAACCAAAAAAATTTCTTTCTTTTTCCCATCATTATAGGGTTTTTTTTCTTAACAACATTTGAGTAATAAGGGTAAAAAAAAATCTCCTCCTTTATGCTGTAATTGATTATTCGTCTCGAATAATGTCGAATATTTGAGTCTTTTTATGGTTTAAAGCTTTTTCTTTGTCTTTTTATGGTTTAAACCATAAAAAGACTCAATTAAAAAATTGGAATCTAACGAAATAATATAATAATGCTGAAATTGATAGATTTATCTTGTGTGATATCCAGATTGGCTTTTCCAAACGATTTACCCAATTTTCCCTTCAATTTTCTTCAGCAATTTGATATTCAATCTCATTTTCAGCCAATCAACGTCCTCCAATTATTCCCCGA